TCAGGCCATCAAGAAGGAGCTCGAACGCGAGGAGAATAGGGACCTCCTCGAGAAGGTTGTCTCCGCCGAGGTGGCTGAGGAGGTTCGCGAGATCATTGAGGAGGCTGCGGGCCATGCCGTCGCCGACAGCTGGGAGAGCGCCGACCAGGACGAGATCGTGGTGATCGAGGAGGAAACTCCCGCTCCCGTCAAAGTCTTCAACTTTCCAATGAAGCCTTGGATCTCAATTGCTCTGCAGGACAGCGCTACCGAGCCTCGCCCTCAATTCAGAGACGACGCCATCATGGACATTGCTCGTCTTAAGAAAGAGTTCGACCAGATCGACCGCAACCTCTACACTGCCACCGAGAACTACATGGCCTACGGCATGTCAAAGGCTGGTGGCCTCCGCGTCATTAGACAAGACGATGGCAAGGACGCCAAGATCTTTACCGACACCAAGGACCGCATCTTCAACGTTGCCATGTCTGTTACTCCATCTGACCACACCGGCATCCACCGCGAGGCCATCATTGGCACTGGCATCACTGGCACTGTCTACTGGGTTCAGATTAAGAGTGGCGAGAAGGACCACATTGAGGATGCTCATCCCGAGCAGTACGGCTTCGCTCTGCCTCCCATGGCTTCCCACGAAGGTGGTGATGCTCCTGGCGGCGTTCTCAAGACCCGTGCACGCACGTCGACCATCCACCCCGAGTTCTTCGCCGTTGGCCGTGGCAAGTCCATCAACATCATCTGGCCCACATTCATCATGCAGAACAACCTGTTCAAGCCTGGCCACGACCGCGTCGTCGACACGGAAAGATTGGCCAAGCAGTGTTCGTTGAAGATCAATACTGGTAAGGCCGGTAAAGACTTCACGTTCAGTCAGGACGATAGCGTGATAGTGTCTCTTGACAAGTCCGGACGTGTCAAGTTCTGGGACGTCCGTGATCTGACCGCCGCCAAGGAGGGCAGCGACCCGCGTGCGCCCATTCCGGCGTATACTTCGCTCGAAGTGAAGGAACCTCTCATGACCCTCACCAGCACTCCCGAGGGCGAGAAAGCGTGGCCCACATCCGTTCTCCTTGTCGACAAGCTTCGCCCGTATCAGAAACGCTGCGCTCTGCGTTACATGATTATCGGAATGAAGCAGAACCATACTCTGCAGCTCTGGGATCTTGCGCTCGGCAAGCCTGTGCAGGAGTTCAACCTCCCCCACAGCAAGGAATCGGACGCTGTCTGTAGCGTCATGTATCACCCTCCTACTGGCATGCTGGTGATTGGACACCCGACCCGTAACTCCATCTACTTCGCGCACCTCTCGGCTCCTAAGTACAACCTGAAGAGCGTGTCGCAAGTGGAGTACATCCAGCGTCTCGTTGCCCAGGATACCACCATTCCCGCGCCCGACTCGACTGCCGTTATCAGCGGCGTTCGTGAGTACTCGTTTGCAAACCGTGGCATCCTGCGCAGCCTCGACATTCTCTGCAACCCTGCCATGGCTCAAGAGACCGATGAGCCAACCCTCTTCGAGCTCTATGCCATGCATTCCAAGGGCGTTGCTTGTCTCTTGATCAAGCAAGCCGAGCTCGGCTGGACCAAGGACAACAAGGTCTTGGCACCCGTTGACGCTGTTGACGCTGGTGTTGTTACCATTTCAAAGTTGAAGCCTCCTGCTAGCCAGCCCGCCGAGCCCAACCACCAGAATGCTGACAACGCTCACCCTTCGGCCCGCAACATTGCCAAGGACTCCCTTCTGCAGACCACGCCTTCTCAAGATGAGAATGCTCCTCGTCGCGGTCCCGAGTCTGTTACGCCGGTCAAGATCGCCAAGGCCGATCTCAAAGAGGAGGAGACGCCTGTTCCCGCTCCCGCCCCTGCCAAGGAAGAGAAGCAGGAGCGGAAGAGCCGCAAGAAGAAGGCAACTGCAGCGGCGGCGGCGGCGGCGGCCGCTGCCGCCGGCAACGAGCAGACAAATGGCTCGCCTCGTGTTGGCCCTTCCAACAACAACAACTCCAAGGACTCAGGCAAGTCTTCCGGCAATAATTCCAACTCCAACTCCATCACCCAAGAGTCAGTTGAGTCAGCAATCAGCAGCATGGAAACCCGCCTCCAGAACGGATTCAACAGCTTGCTCAATTCGTCATTCAAGACGCTTCACGGCCGAATTGACGATGGTCTGCGTGCCCGTGAGGCCGACTTCGACGAGCGCCAGCTCAAGCTCCTGAACATGGTGTCAGAGGTTCTCAATGAGAACACCCAAAAGGTGCTCGAGGCTCTCATTCAGGAACAGTTCAGCAACGCTGTCATTCCCGCCATTGCCGACGTCGCCGGGAAGGCTGTTTCTGACCAGTTTACCAAGAGCATGAACAACCAAGTTTCACAGTCTGTCCAGAAGGAGATTCACAAGGCCCTTCCTTCCGCGACCCAGCACGCGCTGCAGAATGGCGACTTCGTGAAGGCTATTTCAGACAGAGTCGGGGCTACGGTGGCGGCCAACGTCCAGCAGGAGGTCGTAAACGCTCTGACCTCTCGCCTTGGCCCCTCCTTCACCAACATGGCGGTCCAGGCATGCCAGCGTGTGGCTGGTGACCTCCAGAAGCAGCACCGCGCCGAGTTGGAGGCTCTCAATGCGCAGCGCCTTGCAGAGAGCAACAAGGTTGATCAGTTGTCCGCCATTGTGACTCGTCTTACTGGCACGATCTCCAGCATGGCGGCTTCGCAGGAGCAGTTCCAGAACGAGTTCCTCAAGTTCCAGCAGCAAATGATTCGCGTCCAAACCCAGGCTCAGCAGCAGCAGCAACAGCAGCAACCTCAACAGGTGGCGCATCATCAGCATGCCCCTTCGTACGCTCCTTCTGTTGTAAGCCAAGTCCCCAGCCAGGTTCCTAGCCACATGCAGAGCCAGGCCTATAGCAACCTGCAGAGCCCCGACAGAGCCTCGCAGCACTCAATGAGCTACAGCGGCCACTCGCAAGCTCTCGCGGTAGCCAAGTCCAACAATGAGTACGATGCCGACCTCCAGGCTCGTATTGCTGTCGTCAACCAGCCGATGAAGGAAGGCCGAGCCGAGGAGGCTGTTGTCCGCTGGATGCAGTCTGGTCGTGAGCAAGAAGTGTTCGAGAAGTACATGTCCAAGTACAGCCCAGAGTTCGTCCGCAACCTGCCGCACCTCGTTCTCCTGACTGTGACTGCCACTGTCAGCTTGAACTTGGAGTCGTACACTCGTGAGAGAATTGCTTGGCTCGAGATGGTTGTGCACAGCCTCCAGGTCTCGCTCGGCGAAATGGTAAGTCATTCTGACGCTGGTTTGCTCGACTTGATCCTAACAGATATTCAGGATGGTGATGCTCGTGCGGTTACGCCAAAGATTATGGGTATGCTGGTGGCCCGCGTTGAGGGTCTCTTCGTTCGCATCAGCAGTACCTCGGGCAACGACCCGGTCCTCAAGAACCTCTCGCAAATCATTGTCAACGCGAAGCGTGTGATTGACGCCTGCCAGGATGAGCAGCAGTACGCTTGAGAAGCAGACGGATGAGGGTGGATATTTCTCACACCTGGCCCGATGACGACATGACGATATCAAGTACATAAGACATTTCGACACCATACACATTTGCAGGACGGCTTTGCTACGAGGCATGGCCAAGATGTTGAGGAGAAACGTCTCCTGAAGAATGGATGGGCACGATAGCCTACGGTCGATACCTTAGTGCACATATGGCTGCGTTTCTTTGGCATTTGGAGAATGGGGTTTGTGAGTACGTTTTTCAACGGGAGGCGTGTTACAGGCATGCGAATGGGGTTGTTTGGGCTCCAATTGATCTGTGTGGGGAGGGTCGGTGGACAAGATTCCCAAGCTTTTTCTTTTCTCTTTCCATTGTAATAAGGGGTACGCTTGGGTGTTGGGACGAACAAAAAAGGTTAAGCAGAGAGGGCGTTTGGACGTCAGCCCAGAGTCTACAGTATTCTTGGGGTTGGATGGTTCCATTAGGACGTAACCTCGTCTTCGACAGGAATATCAAGGCGTGATCTAGCCTGGCATGTGCTGTTTATGTGTTGGCCGTGTGACAGTGTAAGGTAATGTGATGTTTCCGATACTCAAGTCTACCTATCCGTGTTGTTGGTAGCAAACACCCCCGTACTCTGCTCCGTATTTCACAAGCCCATCGCCATTGGGTCAAGGCCCATCGAGGTTTGCCCCAGGAATGGGTTGACCTAACCGCGCCCTCAACATGGAACTGATTGCGCTGATAACGAAGCGTGCGATTGCAAGGAGGTTAAGGTAAGGAAGATAAGCGTAGTCTGCATCCGTCAGGCACCTTACCTTATTCAAAGTGTTAGATAATCTCCAAGTTTACATCAGCGACTTGCAGCAATGTGGCCTGTGCTACTGAAGAGACGGCATAACCTTGCAGGCCTGCAGGGCTTGATGCCTGACAGCCTCGCACCTTCTTAGGCGGCGTTTGATTGGACGAGCGAATGGCGGCAAGAGCAGGACACCTGTGCTCCACCGCCCACTTGGGGAAAGCTCGAGTCACACAGCACACCTCAGCACGGCACCTGCCCTGTGGCTCCGGGACAGAACCGGTCAAGCGCGATACGTACCTTACGCTGAGGAACGAAGCAAGGCCAGACAGGCGACGGGAGGAAAGCAGCCCATCTGGCTCCTGCTCGTGCGTGTCTTTCACTTTCTACCCGTGCTGTTCGCCATGGAAAAGCCACCAACCCAACGCGAATTCGAAGCGGCGTCGAATTCTTTGCTGCCACTCCCACAGCCAAGCTCCCATTTTTCGTCCAACCCAGTTTTCTAACGGCACTCTTTCTTCTATTCTTGGGGAAATAATACCTACCTTACCTTAGGTACTCAGTTACCTCCATTGAGCCATCCCGATTCCCGACACGTAGTTTCTCCGCCCCCTCGACCCGGCCAATTGCGTCTGACAGAGTGTACTCCCACCCGCCGCAGGGTACCTACACATTGACTCTTCCACTACAAAGTACAGGGTACCTGAGATTTAGACAGACGCCGACGCGACAACGAACAAAGCTCCAATTGAATTGACCAGGGGTGCCAACGCCAACGCCGACAGCACAGCTCCGACCACCGCTTTAGGGGCTCCGAGCCTGGATTTGGGTTGGCAACCACCTTTTTCCATTTCACGACGACACGACACGACGACCACGACGGCCAAGACCGCTGCGCCAGCGCTTCGACGAGTCGCCGCCGATACCTTTGACCTTTTTTCTCGTCTGATGTAAGGACGACGCACCATCATCACCTCGAGACGACGCAAAGGCGCGCAGGCTGCTGCACCAGCAAGACGATCCGAGAGAAGGAACCCATCCCGACGGCTTGACCACCACCGACGAGACGATTCCTGCACCTCGCTCCTACCTTCTCCCGCATCCGACAGCAGTGCCGAGCTGCCCATCGGGGACCATTCCCCCCTTGAGCGCGTATGAGCTGGCAGGTGGTTCCGGGTATGGGGTCGAACGTAGGCAATGGCATGGGCGGGCCTGGAGGAAACGAGATGGGCGGCGCGATGCAGGGCAACGGCGGCAACCAGCCTCACGCGACCGAGTATACGCTGCAGGGTAGGTTGTCCGACTTGATTATTGAATCGGTCCCTTTTTTTTTTCTTTTTTTTATTGCTGATCGCGATACTTCTCAGGTGTTATGCGCTTCCTCCAAACCGAATGGCACCGTCACGAGCGGGACAGGAATGCTTGGGAGATTGACCGCCAGGAGATGAAGGCGAGGATAGCTTCCCTCGAAGGCCAGGCGAGAAGGGCCGACGCAACCCAAAAGGCACTTAAGAAATACGTCGCCATCCTCGAAAAGAAGGTCAAAGACCAGGCTGCACAGCTCAAGGGAGGTGCCAAAGCAGGCGAAGACGCGGCAAAGGCCGATAAGGATAGGGCTACCCTGGTACAGGAGAAGCTTCGACGTGAGTCCTGCGACCTTCCCTCTATTGTCAAAAAAATGCATCAGTTAACAGAGTCACGCAGCTTCCTCCAAGAGACCATTTGATGTCCACGGTGGCGAGCTCGATGTGGAAAAGGCCGACGATGAATCGCAACGGGCCGACCTCAAGTCTTTCCTGGACCAGTGCCAGGCTGAGTTCACCTATCTGATGATCACTCCCGCGAATCCGCTACCCCCACGAGATTCACCGCCTCTTCCGATACTTGAAGATCTGCGCGAAGGCGAGCCGTTTGGCGTACCTGGTGGTAAGCCATTCCAGGAGCCGCCCTTCCCTTTTGCTTCTTCGTCTCTGGTGCCGCAAAACCACGTACGCGAGGCCAACCGCCCACCCCCCGCTCCAAACCATGCACCCCCGATGCAGCGAAGCCAGCCCACGAGTTTCCAAGTCAAACCTGTCGAACAGCAGCAGCAGCAGCAACAGCAGCATCAACCACAGCAACAGCACCAACAGCAAATGCCGCCCCCGGCCCCAGAGCCTGCACCGCCCATCATGTATGCTGCCGGCACTGAATGGCCTCAGCCAGTGTCGGCGACTGGCCGTATGCTGGATGACAACATGCAGCGTCCCAGCCATGCCATTGAGTCCATTAGCAGCGTCGAGCCAACAGACGAATCTCAGCCTGGCCGAACTGCCCCTGAGTCCGATGGTTGGGATTTCTCCGAAGGATCATTCGCTGACTCCAACTCGTCACAATTCCTCCAACATATCACCAACAGGCCCGATACCGATGCATTTCCGACCGCAGATAACCTCCCAAAGTCGCCCAATCGTGGACCGAGCTCTCATCGCCGCAAAGGATCAATGTCACGGAGACGCAGCGCAGACCATGAGCTGTCGTTGAACTCGGCTGCTCAGAAGGCCGAGACAGGCAACTTCAAACTGCGCTTCGGACTGCGAGGGCATCTGGACACTGTGCGCACCGTCATCTTCTCTGGCGGTGGTAGCCCTGGAGAACCCGAGATCTGCACTGCAGGCGACGATGGCATGATCAAACGATTCCACATCCCCCGTGCCGACAATCACGGCCAGACCCACGCTGCCTCAGATCTTGACGTGACGGCTAACTTCTCTCATCGTGGCCATGCCGGAGGCGTGCTCTGCCTCACGTCCTGGTCGCCCTCGCCAAACTTCTCCACCGGCGGTCGCGCCCAAGGTGACGGCTGGATCTTCTCCGGCGGACAGGATGCCACCATCAGGGTGTGGGAACGTGGAAGAGTCGACCCCAAGGCTACCCTCGAAGGCCACACTGATGCTGTCTGGGCGTTGTGCGTATTGCCTACCACGTTGGGCGCAGTCTTTGGCCAGAACAGCCAATATGGAAGCCCCGATCGCATCCTGCTCGTTTCTGGCGGCGCTGATGGATCTGTTCGTCTGTGGTCCGTAAGCGCACCACCTCAATTGACCTCTCCTCAGCCCGGGACCAACAGAGCTGGTCCGACGGGCAGCAGAGGTCGCGTTCGCGGTAATTCGATGAGCTCGGGAAGTGCATTCTCGAGCACTCCGCAGCCCAATATGGCGTCGAGCTCTCCTTTCAACCACACGCTCGTCCATAACATTAAGAGACCGGACGGCTCCGACGCTAGCCCTACATGCATCACTTCTCTTAGCCCCAGCGGTGACACGTTTATCGTCTCTTATTCCGACGCAGCTATTCTTGTCTATGATACCCGGACCGGTGAACAGACTGGCACAATGGACAGTTCTGAGACTTATGACGGCTCGATCAACACCAGCGTCAACGCCGTCGTTGCGACAACTGTCGGCTTGGAACAGCCCCAGGGTGGTCTATCTGAAGAAGACAGCATCGGCGGTGGTGGACCAACCGGTGGCGGAGGTAGATCCATGGCGGGGTCCGGGGTCGAAGGCGTCATCATTTCTGGACACGAGGACCGGTTCGTCCGCTTTTTCGATGCCAACAGCGGCAAGTTACAGAATTCGTATGCGTATGAGGACGATGTGCTAATTCAACACCCAGGCCAATGCACTTACCAAATGCTGGCACATCCGGCGTCGATTTCGGGCCTTTCACTCAGTCCAGACGGCCGTGAGCTCGTCAGCGCAGGCCACGATGCCTCGCTGCGGTTCTGGAGCCTCGAGAAGCGATCCTGCACACAGGAGATTACGAGTCACCGAATCATGCGTGGCGAGGGCGTATGCTCTGTTGTCTGGAGTCAAGACGGCAAGTGGGTTGTCAGCGGTGGCGGAGACGGTGTGGTCAAGGTGTTTGCGCGGTAGACGGCGGAGGAGTGTTTGAGAGAGATGAAGGGAAGAAAATACACAACAAAAAGAACAGCATAGCGTCCGTTGAAATGGCGTCGTCATTGGGTCATTGCTTGCTCTGGGATGGACGTCTGAAAAGATGTTTTGCTCTCTGAGTCGATTGTCCGGGCATGAGAGAGGAGAAGGGTGTTTCGGGATTCCGCAACTTATTTTTGGGCACGAAGTATAAGACTCGGGGCTTTGGCCTGCTGCAGTGGGCTGGCGAGCTACATGAGCAAAACAGAAAACGAGGGGACGAATGGAATAGGATAAGGGCGTGGACTGGCGCGGCCAGTTTGCGTCACGTTGTAATATTGTACTGGGGCATCATTGTTCATCACTCGTCGATACCCTCCCTCAACACTTCACCAACCAACGCAACCCTCCCGTTTCCTTGCCTGCTGTTGGGTGGACTCTGGACAGCGGTCTCGGTTTCTTTCGTACATAGCTTTATATGGGTGAAGAGAATAGACGATTGTATGATTCTGGGTATTAAGACTATCATGAAAACCAAGAGTGCCATCGCCGCTATGAAAGGAGGTTGCGAGTGTCTGCTCAATACGAAGAGGAAGAAGAAGAACACCACGAGGCTAAAATTCCAATTCCTCAACTTCCATGCCGCACCCGTTGCACTTCTTGACCGTCATACCCTCCTCATTCTCGACCGCTCGACCCCAATCGTGAACGTGCTTGCCACCACCGACAGAGTCTCCAAACTTTCTCGGTCCTGCGCCGGCGGCCATGGTGGCCTGCTGTCTGCGAATGGCTTCGGTCCGGGTCTTGCGCTTGAGGTCGTTGAGCTTGTCCCTGAACTTGGCCTCCTTGCGCCGCTTCTTGTCGGCCTCGCGCTTGGTGAATTCCGCGTCGAGCTTCTCGGCGGATCCCCATTTCGTGGTGAAGGCGTACTCCTCGACCTGGAGGCGGAGGAAAAGCATCATGTCGTGCCAGTGCGACTTGTGCGGGTTCGGCCGCGACAGATGGGGGAGCAGGTCGGCGTCCTTGAGCTCCTCGTCGGTGAGGAGGTAGTCCTCTTTACATTCGGTCTTTGTGAGGAGGGAGTATTTTTCGGGCAGCTTGTCCTTGCAGGCGTGGCACACTTGCACGCCAAAGACTTCGTCCCAGACAAAGTCGATTTCGTACGAGGAGCAGTCGGCGCACTTTTTGCGCATGGTGGCGTCGGCGAGAACGCTGAGGCCTGGCTCGAAGGGTCCTGCTTTCTGTCGGCGGAGTTTCTTGAGGAGCTGGAGACGCTCCCATTCCTGCGAGGACATGCCCTTTGGCTTCTCGTCTTGGGGCGGGCCGCCGCTGCCGGGTTTCACCTTGGGCACAAGAGCCGTGTTGTGGGGGTCGTCTTCGGCGGTCAGGAAGCCGCCTTTTGTGTCCGTCATGGCGGACATGTTGTAGTCGACGAATTTGGCAAAGTTGCGCGCCGGGCGCGGGGCGGCGTTGGTGTCGCGGGCATCGCGGTTCGTCGACGGGTGTGATTCGGCTGCTGCCGCCGCGGCGGGATTCGTCGTTGAGATGGACGAGTGTGGGCGTTTGCGGGAGGAGATGTCTGTTGCGTGGGAGGCACCGGCGTTGGTGATGTGGACGTCGCTGGTGGCGACGAAGCCCGAGACGGTTTTGGGGGTAGGCATGGCGCCTGAGGCGGCGAGTTCTGCGTCGCGGCGGTCGCGGATGGCTTTGGCTTTGAGGCGGGATTCTTCCTGTGGGAGAAGGCGTGTTCAGTCGGGGTCGGACAGGATATCGAGGGGATTCAGTCAGTCACTCACCATGCGACGGATTGCTGCTGGTGTTGGAGGGGTTCTGGCCGGCAGCGGCGCCGTTGCCGGGTTTGGCGGTGGTGTTGACGGGCGGACCATGGCGATTGTCTTCTTGTGGGCGTAGTGAGGGTATCTAGAGCGTCGTCCTGGTTATGGGTTGTAAGTTGTAGAGTGAGGGACGTGTGTAAGCGTGCGCGCGGAGGGGCAACTTTTTTGGGAGGAAACGATTATGTCACTACTTGAATCGCGAACGCACGTGCCTTGCCTTGCCGCACCCCGAAATGGCAAGAGGGGGGCGGGAGGAGGGAAAACGGAACTGGCGGAGCTGTCAGACAAGACACGACATGGAGCTAACTAACACGGAAAGGCTACAAAGCTTGACGTCGAGGTTGAGAAACGTGCCATTGGTGGTGGTGGACAACGAAAAAGAGTTCGGATTAATGAGCTGTATCTTGACGAGACATCGTATCTACGCGACGAGTTTGCCACTCCAATTCCGGGAGGATCGCATGGTAAGGCATTATACTGTAAATATACTTCCCAACGTGTCCTCTTTACTGCCTTACGGTAAAAGATATATGACGGCGGCTTGCCTGAGAACATGTCTCCTGCCTGTATGACCAATGATGAACCCCCTTTTTGATTTTATATTTTCTTCACTGTCCGACTGTCCGTTCCCCCCCAAGCAGCAATTACCACTATCGACGACGAGAGCGAGTGCATATTTACTCCTCCTTGGCACCACCGCGGCCGGCACGCTCGGCGGTCTCAATGGCCTTCTTGTCGCTAGCGGCGGGGCCGCCCTGCAGACCCTGCATGAAGTTGGCGGGGGCCTTGAAGGGGCGCTTGAGGTCGCCGGCGGCGGGCTGGCCAAAGACGTGGATCTTGACGAGGTTGCTCTCGAAGGCGCCCTTGAGGGGGATGATGGACTGGATCAGGAGGGGGTTGGTGTACTTCATGTAGATGTGCATGAAAGCCATCATGGCGATACCCATGGCCTGGGAGCGGAAGGCCTGGCGGAGCTGGGTCGTGTCGTATGCGTGGATGGTGGTGGTGACGAGCTTGCCCTCCTCGGCGGAGCCCATCGCCGGGGGCTCAACGTACTTGAGCGTGGTGAGGTCTGGTCTTCTGTCAGTGACTGCGCTGGGAGATTCCAAAGAGACCCGGAAGGTGACGCACCCTTCTTCTTGTTGATCTGGGCCTGGACGTAGAGGTAGATGATGGCGATGATGATGTTGCTGGCAATGTAGCCGGCGCGGCACAAGTTCAGGACGTTGGGGTCATCGAAGGGGACCTTGCGCGAGACCTGCACCATGCCGAGCATGATGATCAGGTTGGTGCTGTGGCAATTGTCAGTATTTCATTCATGGCTGCAGGCGCGCATGACAAAGCAGAAATTTGCCATGCGATTCGATGCGATGGGCGAGGATAAAGAGGGAGAAAACGTACATCTGAGGGCTGACCATTTTGGCGGTTTGCGACGAAGCTGAGGATGTTGATTGGGGGAGGATTGGGAGAGCAGGCGAGGGCAGCGAGCAGCGAAGAAGCTCGAGATGTAAGAGAGAGGGCTGGTTGAAGAGGAGAGGAGGAGGCTGGCAGGTTGCAGAGGCGAAGACGGCGCGGCGTGGAGTTGGCGAGTTTTTGAATGGTTTAGCGCGTGAGGGCGAGGGCGCCTTTGGGGGCGATGGACAGACGGGACTCGGGAGAGGGTGAGGTGGTCGAAACGGCGTCCGTCCAGTGGGTTGGTTGGGCCTGGCTGGGGTGGAGGTGGAGGTGGAGGTACCTTCCAGGTTGTCCAGGTACCTTTTAGCAGTAGGTAGTAGCAGCGCGGTACGCCGTATGGTGCAGTGAGCAGCCTAAGGTAAGGTAAGGTAAGGTAAGCGGTCCGGTTCGGGGTCCAGCGGGATGGCGAATTGCGAAATGGCACAAATTTTGCACTTGGAAAGCTCCGTCAGTTTCTGTAGCATTCCGCTGCAGTCTTTTTTGGCTCTGGTCAGGGCCATGCAAGGGTGTCTGCGCATGCGTTTGTTGTCGGAGCCTCAGCTTCATCACATGGATCCCTCCTTTCTCCGACAAGTCTCTCCATCTAGGTACACTATCCGTACCTTACCGGTACTACCTTAGTGCCTGTACTGCTGTTGAAGCACATGATGCAGCCATGGCACAGCACGACTTTAGAGGTGTCTGTAGCCCAGTAAGGGGACACACCGGTAGTACCTTAAGTACGATGGACTGCTCAAGGCAACATGCCACGCACTCAGTGGCTGGGAACTTGAACAAACGCCACTGGCAAGTCCGATTCCCCGCCCTTGTTCTTGGGTTGCGCTCCAACTCGAGGCTCTTGTGGGCTCTTGTGGGCTCTTGAGTCTTGGGGGCTCTCGTTGGAAACTGCAAAAAGCCAAGTCTTGGCCAACAGAGGACACGTTCGTAAATTGCAACGTGGGGAATCCTGCCAGACATATCCACCAACTGCCTGATTCAGACAGCTCCCATTTTGCCTCATCTTACAGCTGAGATTTGGTCATGCACCCACTGATAAACTAACCATCACTAGCACGAGATATCTCTTACCTCGCTTCGCTTCTTGGTTGGATAATTGCTTGACTCTCACGTCTCGCTCGACTTCCGTTGAGTTGTCATAGAATTCAGTCAGAACTAGACCTCGCTTGACCACAGTTGCAACATCATCCACTATCACTGAAAACTGGGCTTTTCATATTCCAGATATGTACACCAGGGGCCCATGATACCCGCAATCAATATCTACATTGAGAATTTCACCAGATAACAGCTTCCCTGTCCGGGTTGCTGGGTCCTCCGGCAACAGCGCCGCCGTGGAAATCACGTAGCACCGGCCACACGTCCCACTTTCGCCGATATCCACCCCTTAAAAGGTACGTATCCACCCCCGATGTCCGGAATAGCCTCAAATGAAGCTCTTGATAATCGGGAGGTAGGCTGCGTACGCCTTTCCAGTTCCAGGCTCGATGGAGTAAATATAGTCAGCCCACCAAGGACCGGCGGCCCACCAAAGCACCTTGAAATAGCGAGGTTAGCAGCGTTCAAACGAAGAGAACCGGTTGGAGAGTTGGGAACACTTACACCTTTCCACTGCGCCGTGTTGGTAGCGAGGTGCTGGAGGGCCCCCTTGACGGCAGCTTCGCACTGAGCGTTGACGCCGGCACCAATCTCGCCGAGAACGCCCTGCTTGTTGTTGTCCTTGAGCCACTTGGTGGCGACGGCGAGGCGCTCGGCGCCAATGGTGCTGCTGACGCAGGCCTCGTTGGTGCCGGAACCGTCCGTGTCGAGGTACTGGTGCATCTCGTAGAAGAGAAGCTTGCCGGTGGGGTCGGCCGGGTCCTTGAGGTCCTTGAGAGCGGCGCCGGTGCCGCTCTCGATCCAATGCCAGGCACCAGAGTAGGAGTTGCCCTCGATGAAGATGTTCTGCTTCGTGGCGCCCGCGGCACGGATGTTGTTGATGGCGGCCTGGTTCAGGTCGTGGATGAGCGTGTTGTCCATGTCGTGGTACTCGTTGTTGGTGTCAAAGATGACCTTGTCGTTGTCCTTGAAACGGGCGGCGACCGTCTTCCACCAGGTACCAAAGTCGGCGGAGCTGGTGATGATTTTGCCGTAAAAGCGGCCGTAGTTGTGGGGGTCGATGATGGCGTAGGAGCCCTTGGAAGTGACGTCCTTGACGAGCTGCAGTGTGAGGTTTAGCATCCAAGTCTTTTTACATCAAGGCGTATCATCAGCAGAGCGGACTCACGTCCTCGAGACCAGAGAAGTAGGCCTCGTTGATCGGTCCGGTCAGCTTGTCAGGAGTGATACGCTCCATCAACGTTCCGATACGGAAAGTGTTGAGGCCTTGGGCTCTCAAGGTCTACCACCAAGAGTCAGCTGCTTGTACTGTTCGTCATGACCGTCTTGCTCACATCAATGGCAGTCTTATTGGGCCATGTGTAGTCCTTTCCCAGCTGTCCAGACAGGGTGCCCTGGCCGAACTCGCCACCGCTTTCGTTGACACCGGTGAAGAGGAATTTGCCGGCGCGCTTCTCCTTGGCGCACTCAACGGGGGCCGCCAGGACCGATGCGACGGACGCAGCTCCGAGAGCAATGGTGGAAAACTTCATGATTCTTGATCAAAGAGAAAAGAACGAAAGGAGTTAGACTAGAAAAGAAGGTAAAAAGGTCGGATGCAGTCCGAGCAAGCCAAGGTCGACCCCAGAGTGACGCCGAGGCATGGCAGACTTTATATCCTCATGGCCGGGCCCCATCTCTCTCCTCTCTTTCGTCTCCCCTTTCCGTCTCTCGTTTACAGTTTAGGGGGTGGGACGGGATGGCAGAGGCGGTACTTTTCACATTGTGGATAGGAAGACTCGCCGGTTGCGAACCTTTGGGAGAGAATCACCGGGCCACCCCCCTACAGCATCGTGACGGAGTCCCTTGCTCCGTCCCATGTATAATGGCAAGATACCACACGATTGTGGGAAAAGAGGGAACGCAATCAACGAGGGGGGGCCGGTCACGTTGCTTCTAAAAGCCTACTCTGGAGCCCGTGGAAGCGACGAGCCTCACTAAGCTAAGCTTGCTTGGCATGGATCATGTGTCATATGGGGTAGTGCCGGCAGGGAAGAGCACGATCTCGGGACCTGGCCCTCCCTGGTGTTACTACGTAGACCTCCCAAGTCCTTGGACCTTGCAGACGGCGAATTGTGGTTGCGTTGATGTCGAGACTGCCGAGAAATGCGGCTGCTTCGTAATCTGTACATAGACCGGGGGGTTTAGTTCGCCGCCTGGGTTAGATTGCGCGCAGGTCGCTTCTGGTTGATTGTCATTGTTTGGGTACGGATACAAGGCATCATCACCATCATCGAGGGGATGATCTGGCAGCTAGGTGCGGCGGGTGGTATGCTCCAATAGGTGTTTGCGCAAATTTCCCGAGGGTGACAAGTGCCGGCATGAAAGCCAAGAGAAGCAAAGTGCGACCAAGACAGAAAGCGACTGACACGTCGCGGCTCGCCAATAGGCTCTGGTGTGTCTTTGGGGTCCCAAAGGGCCCAAAGGGGGAGGGGATGAAGTTGGCTGTTTCAAGTCGCCGGGGGAATTCCCTCCGCGTGGTCACTGGTAGAGCACCTAGAATTAAGGGACTGCCAAACCCCACAATGATCATCAAGATGGGACTGGAGGGCTGCGAGGGGGCCAAAATGATCCGCGAACTCGGGACAGCGGCTCCAGCAGGTCACGGATAGAGGCTACGGATACCATTAAAGACGGTTGGGAGAGAATGGGGATGGCACGCTTAGAGTGGAATGACGTGATACGACAGATATGAGATCAGGGGAACAAGCCGTTGAGACTAGAATTGTTAGACTTATGGGCAAAGAGAAATCTAATTCAGTAGACTTTAGAAATTGCGGCCAAGCAGGGAGATCCTTGGGTGCTGCAATACTGACAAGCTTTGGACTGAGTCGTTTCAACGGAGTTCGCGGCCAAGGAAACAGCCCAGGTTAACAGAGGGGTCTTCCGGTTCTACCAGGTCTACCAGGTCTACCATAGGGTACCGTTGCCGTCTGAAACAGCGTGGAACGGCCGTCCGAGCATGTCTTGATGAGCAGCACGAATCGATGCGACGAAGGCTTCTTTTCGAGACTCTTTCCCAACTTTGGAAGCCTTTGTCACGACCTCACATTGGACCATTTGAAAGCATGTCAATAATCCAGCAACCTTTTCAGCCCAGCACCGTACAAGTGTGTCCACGGTCCGAGAAGTTGCGCCGAGCCGTGGTTGGCTGGGCCGGGAACCCAAAAAGTCGGGTCCGAGGCACGGAGCATCGGCCAGTCACGTGATCCGGACAAATTCTGGAAGCTCGGAAATTCTTCCCGCGCAGCATCGCGGTAGAAGGAGACCCGGAAGGACAGGAGCTACCAATCCCAGGCCAGGGCATCATATCGCAAACCGGAAAATGCAGCCAACACGACACCTACTGAAGCGATCCGTGTGGAAGGGTGAGTAGTCCCAAACTCCGTTGTCGCGCATTGTGCTGTATGGAAGGCGTGAACTGACAGCTCGTATCTAGGACCTCACATCGTCCCGTAAGGACTCTCCTCTCAGCAAACACCCCTCAACCGAACCCTCGAATCTGACCTTGACGCGAATAGTCTCCCGATTGTGCGCCCCGTCCCTGGACAGAAGATTGTGCCCATCCGGACGCAGGCCCGTTCCGCCACGATCCTGCCCAACTTTGTCGGCCTCAAGTTCCAGGTCTACAACGGCAAGGCGTACATTGACGTGACGATTACGGAGGAAATGGTCGGTCACAAGCTGGGAGAGTTCTCGCCGTACGTCGAACCATTGCTTGCATGGTATAGCAGGGTGCCCGGAGCTAACTGTTGGCAGGACGAGAAAGCCATTCATCTGGAGCAGGTTGTAAGAGGGGTCGGGTCGGGTCGGGTCGCCTTGCGAACTTTCAAACTTTGGAGCAGCATTTGGACGGCGTCTCTGTTAGGGAGAGGAGAAGAGAGGAGAAAACATCTGTACAACACTGTCAAGATACCAGCGATACTCTGTAGCATAAGAATTTGGGGCCTTGGGCCATTGACGACCCTCTGCTGGCCTTATAGGTGTCCATGTCGTATAATTCTTCTCGAGCACCTCTAGTCTAGTGCTCGTCCAAAGTCGAACCTCCCGGTCATGATAACCCCGTAGACGCCATACCCAAGCCTGTCCAACGCCGTGGTATATGTACACCAGCCCAAAAAGATGGCAGCTCCCTGCTGCTGTGACAACAAACCCCTTATCGATAAAATTCACTTCTCTTGACGTTGACTCCGTACTCGCCGACAGCCATGCCGAGGTCTTCCATCGTCAGAACGGTCCTGTTCTGGCTGCCACCTTGTCCACCGCCGCCGTAGCCAGGCCGCTGGATACCAAGCGGCCCTCCGCGACTTTGGTCCTTTGCGCCGGCTGGGCCTGTGGGTTGACCTGGGATGGGGAATCCTGCCGCAGCACCGAGGTTACCCATTGGGTTATTGGCGTTGGAGTTGGAGGCGCGGATACGGCTATACTGGTAGGCGTCTGCGGAGATATCGGCGATGAACTTTTGCGTTGCCAGGGCGAGCAGCCGCGCGAGGCGCGGGTCGGTCTGCGGTGGTGGGGGGAGGCCGGCCTTGGTCATGTAGTAGTTTGTGACTGCGTCGGGGATCTAGACAAGCGAGAGCGATCAGTCCTTGTTCTCAATGGTTGAGGGAATTCAGTGTTTCGAGACATACGATGGGGGCATAGTCATCCATCTTGGTCAAGAACTCGCGGAGAGACATGTCTTTGCGGGTGATGGCCTTGGGCTCTGGGCCTGGCGCGACTGCCTCGGGGACAGCCGCGGCGTCGGCTGGAGCGGCGGCGGCATCGGTAATCGCCTCCTGCGTGTTGGGCGCGGTGGGTGCCTGCTCGGCGGGTTCAAGCGCGTTAGTCGACATTGTGATCGCGGCGTGTCAAGAGCAGAGGTTTGGATGATATTGCCGGATGGGATAAATTGAGTCAAAGGCGCGTTGGTCCACGAGGCTGATGAGGCTGGTGATGTAAGACGGTGTCGCCTTGCAGGAGACGAAAGTGGCGTCGTATCACGTGCTGTTGAGCTGAGCCACAGCGGGGTTCACCTACTCCATATCCAAGGTGAGCGACTGAGGTGGATCGCCGGTGGTCTGTGCTTCTCAAGTTCCACCATCTTATTTAAGCTTGAACAGGGAGCCACGCCGCCCAAGGTGAGCAAGCATGTGGGGGACAAGAAAACCGGCACACCTAACAGGCAGTCTGAGTAGGACAGCTTTGGTATACGTATCAATACTTGGAAGAATAATGACAAACAATATTCTGATTAAAAAAAATTTATTATAAAATTTCTTTCTCAAGTTTAGATTAAGAATCAAGTATCAAAACTCATAGGTTTGGCAGAAGATTGGTGGTGCTTGGTGTGAGGTATGCTGTTTTTTTTTTTTTTTTTGTCTGCCGCAGGACAAGGTGGCAAGGTGTTTTCAGAACTCGAGGTGACTGTTTGCAGCTGCTAAATTCTGTGGTATGGACTGTCTGAGAGCTCATGTTGATCGGTATTTGGGTCCTTCAACGGATTTTGGAAATGGGAACACTGCAAGCACATGTTCAATTAAGAGTCAGGGCGGCCTTCAGATGATCATTATGAGAATAACGATCATTGACACAGCCAACACGATCAAATGCCAGTTGTGATATCATCGTTTACTGACCTGCCTGGTCAAAACCTATTGAAACATAGTCCTTAAGGGACCGACAGAACAAATAGAAACAAAGTGAAACACGGCAAATCATACAGAAAAGACCGACAGAGCCGACTGAGACAAGGCGTTGTACTTCAGTAACTGTAGAGGAGCGTATCCCGATTGCCTTCATGGGAAATTCTTCGATTCTCTCTAACCAACATCCACCTCAAGAGCCATGCCATAATCGCAGCAGCTGCAGAAAACGCAGCGCTAGACATCATGGCCGTGGTATACCGAGGTGCATCCGATTCTGGCCAGAGATACTTCAGCGAGTTAAAGTGGTGGTCTCAAAATTGTTGGATCTGTGGAAAAGGAGTCTAGACTTACTGGGGTATAAATTGACCCGATGGTGGCTATGGTGTTGACCAACGCGAGTGAAACGGCCTTCTTCTCCCTTGTCTGCCCACAAGTGCTCGTTACCCAACCAAGAATGATGGAGTTACATGCATACACACCGCTTGCGAAGGTGCACATGGCAAAGTACCTAGCACCGACATTCAAAGTACTGCAGGCTAACACGAAACCAAAGATTGCGACAACTTTGGCAATGGTGATGTGCCAGACTCTGTCATTGAAGTGCCCTAGCCATACGTGTCAGTAGTACACAGAGACGAGCGATAGTCAAGGCCTCACCCGAGCTGGCAGCCCATGCTATGGTTGCAATGCCAGAAATAAGGTAAGGGGGGCATGTCAAAGCGAGCGTGACGTTTCGACCAAAGCCCAGTGTCTCGACAATAGTCGGGAAGAAGTTTTTGTATCCCGACGCGCTGAGATGCAAATGTTGCATGACCACCAGGACCCAAAGACGAGGGTCCCGAGAGGCTTCAGCAAGACCGGCCCAAATACTGGTATTCGCATGAAGTTGGACCGTATCGACTGCTACCCGAGAGTGCGCCAACTTTCGTTCGTCTTCAGTTAGCCAGCGAGTGTCGAGCGGTTGGTCTGGCAACACAAAAGCTGATGAAACGGAAATAACGAAGCTGATCACTCCCTGGAGTATGAAGAGCCACCGCCATCCGCTTAGACCGGCCACCTGGTCCATTTGGAAGACCCCGATGGCTATGAGACCAGCGAAAGCGGTGCCGCAGATGTTGGCCGTGAAGAGTATCGATATTCTTGTTGCAATCTCTTTTCTGGTGTAGAAAATTCCAAGCACATACAGAGCACCGGGGTAGAATGGCGCCTCTGTGATGCCAAGGAAGAATCGAGTCAAAAGTAGGCCTTTGAAGTCTTTCGTCACCCCCGTCACGGTACTGACGATTGACCAAAGAGCCATGGTCGAAGCCAAAAACAATGATGGTCTGACTCTTGTTATCAACATGTCTGTTGATCTTTGTCAGATGCCGCTTGGGATAAGAAGATAGTCCGAGACGTACTGCTCGGTATTTGTCCCAGGATGTATCCAACAAAAAGAATGGAGACACAGGTCTGATACTCGGTCGAGGTTAGGTTAAGTTCCTTCTCGATAGCATCTAAGCGGGCCACAGTGATGGCATTTCGATCGAGGTAACTGTCGCATAGAGAGTTAGGAAGGTGTCGTTTCTGCTCGAACATAACATTTGTAGAAGCAAGTTACTTAAACCAATACTGTTGGCAGCGTACAAAAGTTAGCGTCCATAATAAATATTGGTAAATGAAGTCATCAATACCGACCATAACCCAAAGAACTGGCAAGATTATCCAGTCTAATTTTCGGACCAACTTAACCTCTGCCGGGCTCATGCTCTCGCCAACAACTGTTGGACCAGTCTCTGGTACGTCCGGATGAGACACGGCTACCACCCCCATTTCCAGATGTTGGCACGCGGTAACTTCATCTGTTTTCGACACAGTTTTCGAACCGTGCGCCTCGACATCAGTTTGATTGGGCGTGGCCATGTTGAACCTGGTGAAAAGGGCCTGAGTGGATGGATATTTGGTAGACTTCTCCTTCGCCTGTCGATGTCGTTGCCAAATTTGAAAACCTGGAGAGGAACCTCTGCTTCCTCTACTTATAAAACACGCTTCTTATTGCGGTAGCTACTACACCCCAGCTTGTTTAACAGACAACCCAGCTTTCCCCGCATTCTCCTGCACACACCCGCTCGCTAGTGCGCATGTATATTTCCGCGACATGCTTGGCTAGATCTACGGTCCTACGGAAGACTTGGCCGAAAACGCGTGGGTCAAGCTAGCATGCGTAGACGGTGTTTGTGATGATGGACAATGTGGGGATGGCTGAACGGACTTCAGCGGGTCGAGACGGATACAGGAGAGACAAGTCATGGCCAAGGGTGTGGAGGATGTTGAGCACTCCCTGTAACATCTGATTGGTTGTAGCGGACTGATGCGGTCCAACACGGATCGTCACGGGAGTCGGCAAGGAGCTAGCACGAGGGGAATAGCCGGAATCTGGAGGTTAGGCTCTTGGTCCCATGTTTCTGAAGCGGACACTTGTTCAACTAAAATGCTCCATGAGGCTGTATCTAGTAGTTCTAGTTGATGTCTGGGAGGTTCCATAGGAAGTTGAGTGAGTCAATGTCAAACCCTTGATAAAGCTGATCTGCGTTGTCACTAAAAGGCGCGATACTAGAGTCGAATTGCAGAGCCCGCAAAAACCCGTTCTGATCCATAGAAGCGGCATCGTTTATACTTTGATCAGCCGGGAGAGTTGACAACGTCAGGTCATATCCACTCAGGCTGTCGTGAACATGACTTGGCGCACGACGCTGATCTGCGCTTCCTCTGGGGGTTTCAGACACAAAGTACAGATTTGATTTCAGAAACTGGGTATGCTTCTCAATGAGGTGTGCGTATCTCAGTGCAAAGTCCATGTCGTCGGGCGGATACCTTCCCAGTGCTGTGACACATCGATCTAGCGTTTGCAAGGCTGTAGGTAGATCTGTTGCTGGTGATCCAAGACTGAGGGCCTTTAGTAGGAAGACGGATGCGGATATTACGCTGATTCTTATACTTGCTGGCGCGTATGCAAGATGTTCCTGGAAAGAGGTCTGGGTTGCTATGCGCAGCACTTCGCTGCTATCCGACACCACGTCTTGCAGAAACCTAGCATCCTGAGCAGTCATATAACCAGCTAGACTGTCTTTTTCAACACCATCCGACTTGGCTGTTGCAGCTCTTTGAACGACTGCTTGTATTGATATGGCACCAACACAAGCTCTGATGTGGTAGTATTCGATAGACAGCGACGTCTTTAGAAGCCCGGCTGGAGGTACGCATTTGCATTAGCCATGGAATTATGGTGGGACTATGGGACCAACCTCTGCAATCTGAATCAAGTGTAGTTTTCCAGTTGGAGAGAGAGCTAAGGAAATGGCCCAACAGGTCTGAGTAGCCATCGTTCCGAAGTAAACCTTCCAAGTGGCCCGCGGATTGAAAGAACATTGACGAAGCTACTTTTGAAAGACGGGTGAACTCAAAGTAGACATCTATATATGAGTTCCATGAAACTTGCGAAGCATCGTCAACGTCTTTCATGGAAGATCGCGTGGCTGCGATAGAGACACTTTCAGGGATGACGGAATTATACCCTAGTCTCGTGGCGGTTTGCGTCATGTAGGCGTAAAGAAGCTTTTGAGCTCGAAACTTTCGACAATCTGCAATGTCAGATGCCGAGAAGCTTGCGCGTTGGTCGCTTGACAATATCCCAAGTTCGTAAGCAAGATTCGTAGCAAGGCCAAGGAGCATCCAAGACATCCTGCTTGCTCTTTTTGCAGGCTCGAAAACATCCTTGCGCCAGCGAATTAGGGGCTCCTCATTGTTGGTTCGCTTCCGGTTTTGTCGATCATAATCCACGTCGATGAACAAGGCATCCCAGCCCTCCGTGTCTGGGGGAAAATGAACAGCCCGAGGGTGCCAATCCGAGATGAGCAGTAAACTCTCAATTGTACCGATTATTCTCATCTTGGCGGTGGATATCTTCTCTTGACCCAGAATGATGCGTTTGATCATAGTCTCACAGTACAGCCAGAGTCGATTGTGTATCAGATGGCTCCTAGAAACACCACCTGCTCCCGGTAACAAGAAGAATCGAGACGAAATCATGAGGATAGTACAACACAACATGGACTCTTCGTAAACGAGGCGTGAATGACCCTCGTGGTTTCGAAATTGATCGACGTTGATGGGAGATAGCGGGGAGAGGTATTTAAAGAATCTGATTGATCAAATGTCAGTTGGGACTTGTATGGGGTACAGGAGTTCCTTCTTACAGATCCACATACGTGACAGCTTCTTGCGAAGTGAACCACCCCTGTCTGATGAATCTGCTCTTGTCCCACAAATCCAGAGTCATGTCGTCTGGTTCGGATAGAGCCTGGATGACGAATCCTATCCCAATCTGACCGCCAGTCTGCTCTCTAGCGGGCACGGCAATGGGTACATCTTGCAGGTTGTGAGCTGGCTGTGCTGAAGGGGGACCAGAGGACGGTGACGCTGTGGCATGATGAAGCAGATTTGCAGCATCGGACAGCACATCCAGAGCGTCACCGGACCCGGTCACAAGACTAGAGACAACACGCCCCGAAAGTGAATGATCGGGAAAAGAACTCGGACGCCATCCCGTGTCAAAGTTTGGGGTGAATGCTGTAGACGGAGTTCCCGTTTGTGGCATGTTTTCTGGCATCTGTGTGTCGACATCTTGCGGCGATTTAGATAGACTGCCAGGCTGTGGTGTAGTAGCATGCGCAGCCGTACTGACGCTGTTCCAACTTGGCGGATCCCTATGTTTGGACGTTCTCGGACGTCGATCGAACCGACAGTCGCGATGCTCACGTCTGCATTTGGCGCAAGGGGGCTCATCGCCCACGATACATCTAACTTTTCGAGACCGGCAGGTGTCGCAAGCAACATAAGTCCGCTTGAACCGTGGCGATTCCACTAAGGACGACCCTGTGGCGTGTTTATTCCTTGGTTTGTCGCCCATGTTGCATGCTAAGAAACGATCACTGAGTTGAGACAAAGGCTACGGACTGGATGCTGAACGTGTCAGCCCTCAATCAATCGCATAGTCTTGCTTGGTATCCTTCCTTACCCCAGTGGAACTCTTGGTACAAGGTAACTTCCCGCTATCCAGGATATGAGCACGTGTGGGCTGCGTTTGAATGCTGGAGGTACGGAGGTTTGTTGAAGGGAGGAAAACCATTGCCGAAGAAGTCCGCCTCAATCCGCTACATAGCGCGAAAGCCCGCGAAAGCCCGCGACAGTCCGCGAAGACCCGCTTCGGTCCGTCTTCGCTTTCTGCGCTGACATCATCTGAACTATGCTCCCCTCTTCACCCGCAGCCACCGTTCCATCTCCCCGCAATCCGGGATGGATTCGATCGTCAGACAATGCGGCAGTCATCAGAAACGGTTTCGAAAGTCACATGAATGGCGTGTAGCGACTCCGAGTACCGGAGGTTCTGGAGATGTTGTTGAGCCACTGGTGAAGTGCGGAACTTCGTGTATATAATGCCAGGAGGCGGCTTGAGTGAAAAGCAAAAGCAAGATTCACAACAGCATCAGTGTTGAAAACCGACCAGCTGCTATAGAAAGAACTCCACATCACACGATTCCCAACGATCAGCCATGTCTAAGTCAATCGTCAACACCAACCCTTACCCGTTCCAGTTCGACGCCAGCAATGGCCCATCCATTGAGGGAACGGACAAGGTGACAATTAAGCTGGACAACTGCCGCGGAAGAATCCCCTCCCTACAGGCAACCAAGGTTCGAGCCATGATCCAAGAAGCGCACGAAGACCCTTCCAAGATCCTTGCCCATGTCTGCAGCTATGATGCTTTGAGCTCGCGACTTTGCGAGGAAGCGGGCTTTCCTATAATCTTCCTTGCCGGGTATGCTGTGGCTTCTGCGTTTGGCCTCCCGGACACTGGGTATATTGCTTTCCAGGAAGTTGCTGCCAAGGTCCAAGAAGTTGTGAGGGAAGTCAAAGTTCCCGTCCTTGTGGACGGTGATACTGGCTATGGCGGCCCCTTGAACGTGAGGAGGACAGTTGAGGGGTAAGCTTCAATTTTACTCAGAACAAAAGCTACATGTGGTGACACAGCTGACTGGTGTTGCACAGGTTTGCGGCTGCGGGAGCCGCTGGCATCATGATCGAGGACCAGTCTTGGCCAAAGAGTATGATGATGATATGACCCGTTATGAGAAGACCAGCCAGATCTGACAATACTGCAGGATGCGGCCACACTGCTGGCAAGAGCGTTGTCTCTAGAAGTGAGGCTTATGCCCGTTGGCAGGCTGCAGTCGATGCCAGAAACGAAGGTGTGGACATCTGGATCTTGGCCCGAACTGACAGCCTTATCCATGGATACGACGAAGCTCTGACCAGAGCCCGCAAGGCGATAGAGATTGGGGTAGATGCCGTCTTTGTTGAGGCGCTCCCTGACCGAGAAACCATGGAACGTCTCAGGAAAGACCTCGACTTCCCCGTCCTTGCCAACATCATCGAGGGCGGAAAGACGGAGAACCTGTCTGCGCAAGACCTGGGTAAACTCGGGTACTCTGCAGTTGCGTATCCGTGGACGTTGGTTGCCGCAAAGTTGAAGAGTATCCGCGAGGCCTTGGAGGGGTTGAAGGGGTCCTTCACCGTGGGGAAGCCGCCGACTATTCTGTCTTATGCCGAGGTGTGTGAGGGGGTCGGGTTCAATAAATACTTCAAGCTCGAGGAACGCTACCAATATGAGGGACGCACGAACGGAGCAAATGGACACCAGTGGGAGAAGTAGATCGGAGATGGAGCTTTCGGCTTGTAGTATGCACGGTTGATCTATTCAATGTTATATTCAATCAATCAATTTCATTCCGCCCTGCCTTATTGTCGTCCGCCTCCGGAAAGTTGCCTACCATTACTGATTGCTGGAAATGTTGTCCGCCACAAATACCAGTCGTACAGGCACACTATTGTGCTTTCTGCTGCCCATCGCAATTGGTCTCTTATTGCTAGGTGTATACACATCGACCGTAAAGGCCACCGCTGGTGATATCAGTCTATCGTTGAACACCGAAAGGCAGCCTGGTTGATGTCGGGAGCCTGGTATTTCTTGGTGGCGGGCAGTGAGGATTAATTATATGGGGCTGCAAAAGCAAGAACCATGATTTCGGGGTTAGCATTGGCCGCGGATGTAGCACGGCTCATTGTGTGCTGCAATAGCCCATGCTTTGCTCTGTTGGCTTGTTTGATGCGGTAGAGTTGACCACTGGTTCGCTGAAATGGACCTGACAAGCAGTGCCAAATTGTTTTTTTACTCGTGCTGCTTAGCGGCAAGCCTCCCGTCGATGTGCCCGCAATCACAGCTATTGACTGCACGTCCACGCTAGTCTATGGCCGGCGTAAACGCTGCTAACCCATTGATTGTTAGAGGGCCGACGCGAAGTTGCGAGGCGAGCGCAATGGGAAGATTTTCCGCAGACGCTCGACCATACAAGTGGTGTTTGATGAGGTCCTATAGGAACAATAAAACTGTGCTTAAACGATGCGAATAACTGGCGATTCTCTCGATAGAGAATGCGAATGAGTCTGAGACCGGCGGTAGCCGAACGTCTCAGCAACATCAAGGCATACTGGCGCTGGAGGCTCCTGTACGTGTACTTCTATTTGATGATCACCTGAATTATGTGTGAGTCGAATTGGTTACCATCTAAGACACAGCGCAAGTTGTCACAAGTTTCATCCAAGAAATTATAACCAGGGTCTTTGTGAAGACTCAAGAAGAATGGATCGAGCGGCGTAAGAGGTGAAAAGTTCCCTTACCAGTCTACTTGAAGGTCCATCGTTGAGTTTGCTACTGCAATCGAGCGTGGGACATGGACACCACGGCGTAGCCGGTCCAAGCAATCAAGAGCGAAGCGACGTGCGTCGGGGGGCGTTGTGGAAATCTCAGCAATGACTGATAATGGCCAGATTAAGCATCGTGCTGTAACGGAGAATCGATCTTCGGTGGTTTCTAGATAGTCGCCACAACTGGCAAGTACCTCGACAACGAGACTCGATATTTTCCGCGTCGCAGATTCCCGCATTGCGAGGTAGTTCGTATTGGCTGATCCCGATCCTTGGGCAAGTATCATGGATGTTTGCATCCAGATAAGGTCGTTGAGAAACATGCGTATGACCCTCAAAGAGTTCCAGTACCGCAACGCTCGAAGGGAAGGGTAGCAGAAAGACATGCCCTTGTATGTCATTGCCGCCCTCTCATCTGGGCTTCGTGCCGTGAATCTCCATTCTGCTGCGACTTCACGCCCAAGGTTCGCTGTGGCCGCGTCCAAGTCCAGAGCTTCAACTATAGCCTCATGTCTCTCTAAGTCGTGGAGTTTGGCTATCCTTGACCGTAAAGTGGCAACCCGGTCGAGGATAGGGGTGATCTTGAGGAAGGGATCGTTCAGATCAAGGTACGGCTGTGCATCATCGAAGAGCTCTATGAAGCGGGCCGGGACAGGCGTTTTGCTATGCGCGCAGCTTGTGCGGATATTGCTTGCAGAGTGAACGAACAGCTTGCGGCCAAGAGGAGTCCCAAATTGCCGACTTCCACGCAGGCGCAGCAGCTCAACGGAGCCGAGAGTGTGCTGGTTCCAGCTGTCTAGAGACTGCTGACCGGAAAAGACAATGGCCTCGAAAAGTCCCAGGAGAAGTACGGCAGCTAGGGTGCTGTTCTCGACGGCAAGTTTCGCTGAGCTTAGGGCTTGGTTCGTTTGGCACAATGCGCTGGCGTATTGAACTCTGGCCTGCTTCATGAGTTTTGGGTCTGATATCTTGAGCGAAAGACTGGCAAAGCTAGCAGCCAGTATTGACGCCGACATGGCATCATTGCCTGTTAGCCCATGAGGGCAAAGCTTAGGTAGATAATCAAATGGCGAGGTCGCTATGTAGTCGGTCATGAAATATGTGCGTGCCAAGTCCTCGATGGGCGACGAAAGTGATCGATAGCGAACCACCTCGTTATCCGACGGTGGAGTTGACGACGAGGAGCTTGATGAAGACCCTCGATTAACCAGAGTTCCAATAGCCTGCCTTGGAGTGGCCGCCGCCGTGGCAGCGGCCGCCACGGTTGGTGTCCCGCTCGAGCTTCCATGTTCCTTCTGCGCGTCTGCTCCCGTCCCTGTTTGCTGCTTCGGTTTGGGCGGCAAACGCCTTCTGGGTTTCCTATTCTGGACCTTAAAAGCAGCGTTGGCGGTCTCGTCTCTAAAGTAGAATTCCGAAGGATCCCTGTAGCCGGGGCAAACTATCTGCTTTCGGGAGCACTGGGTACACCCAGGCTGCAGGCGATCGCACTGCAGAACGGGAACAGAAAGAGTTCATGTCAGCCTTGGCTCGTGTCCGAAGAGTGTGGTTCATGTTGGTTATTACGTGCGGGACAACATCCAGAAGTGTGCGTGCAATGTCGTTAAGGTCGTACAGAACGCCAAAGGACGGACGGGCCGAGGCTCGGGGCTAAACATACGAGCGGACCACTCGGGAGGGGGGGGTTAGGAACAAGATGGAGTACGAACCCTGAGTCTTCCCTTGCGACAGGGGTAACACGCCTCTGATGGTCGGCCCAGGAAGACCATTGTTAGTTGTCGGCTGGGGCAAACGGATCGTATGGGACGGAGGGGCGAAGGGACCGAGACAGTGCATCAGCCTTCGAGACAGAGACACATGGGGAATATCTTTGAGGCATGGGGAGATGTGGTGTCGATACTTTCCTGGGTGTGGCTGTGATTGGGGGCCCTCGTAAACGTAGAAGGGCGTCGGAAGAGGGCCGGAAAAGCGGCATAAAATCACACATCTTTCTTGGCATGTCGAAACACGAACCCCATTTGGTTTAGTCGAACCTGATGAACAAGCACAACCAGATTTCAGTCATCACAAATCCTCATTTCTACATTTAAATGTTTGTGTTCAGGTGGAGTTAGGAATTGTTCAGCTGAATTGCACAGTCGCGGGGTTACACGATGTCGAACACAAGATTTACAACTGCTCCTATCGAGGTCATTATACCTACACTGCTGTGAGGAGATAATCACACATTTTCAAAAGAGAAAGAAGAAAAAACATAAGACTACAAGAAATCAGAAACCCAGAAAAGTAAGCAAGCCTGCCTGTGATTCCATCGTTGGATGTTGGAGGAGTTGCTCAAGATCGAGGAAGACGTCCAGACTCTCATAAATGCCCTTCAAAGCCACAGCGACGAGGTTGTCATTCCACACGTCAAAAATGGAGAGAGGGGTTTCCTCTGACAATTTGTCTCGCGAATGTGCTTTCCGCAGCAAGCTCCATGCCTGATTGACAATCTCGCGTGCATGCTCGTCAGGAACCGGGATGTCGGCAGATGAGACAGACTCATCGACATCGTCACCTGAGCCCCCGAGCAAAAGTGGCTCACCATTGTTCTTGGTTTTCTGGCTTCGAGTGTCGGGAAGCGGCGCCTCGGAGTCCCAGTGGTGACCGAAATGCTCAATAGCCACGCAGAGTGCCTGCAGAAGAGTCTCGGCAGTGTTGTGGTTGATGGCGTGGAGGGCGTGGGTAAATTCAATGCTCAAAAGACCCTCCGAAGGGCGAGCAGTGGTAATGATCCAGATGGCAGCCGCATTCGAATTGCTACCCTTGGCGCTCAACTCAAAGGGCAAGTCAGGCGTTGTCTCATTAAGCTCCTCCGCCAACGGGATGTTCTGATGCTGCACGATGGACGCGCCCGTGAAGGATGTACGAGCTGGCCAAGATGTGGCTCCTGTGATGATGCGACGGAACCCGATGTGCTCGTGCTCCATGCTCTTGGTATGTTGAGCGTGAACGGCCTGCAGGAAAGCGCGCGTGCTGGTATCCTTCAAGATGTTGTTGACGCGGACAGGGGATAGATTGACACAAGGTCCTACCGCGGACTCGATGCCGGAGATCGGAGCAAATCGACCAGACACAAGGCAACCAAAGACAACGTCGGAGAGACCCGTATGTTGAGCAAGAACGATGGCCCATGAGGCTTTGAGAACGCTGGCAAAGGTCGCGCTGGCTTGGGATAGGTCCGGCAGGGTCACGAGGCGAGTAATGTGACCCTCAATGCCGTCGTTGGCGATGACAGCAGCAGGGGTGATGACTTGAGTCATCTGGGAGTTCTCGAGGAGGTGTCGCCAGTATGACATTGAGTGCCGAGATGGGAGAGCCTGGAGGCTTGAAGAAAATTTGGCGAAGGAGACTTCGGGTGCTAGTTCACGACGATTCAAGGCCTGCGAAAGAGTCTGAAGTAGCAGTGGGAAGGACAGGCCATCGTAGTGCGTATGGGCAAGTCTCATGACGAGCTGAGTCTGTGAGGCTGATTCGACGATGAAGAATTTAGTAGGCATCTCATCGGTACCCAAGCGACGGGCCTCATCAGTTTCGATCAAGCGGGTTGTGAAGGAGAAAACATCATCCGAGTTGACGCGGAAGAACTCGAAACTGGGCTGGAAAGACGTCTCAGAAGCTGCAAGCTGCCAAAGGCGGCCGTTGGCGAGTTTGAGTTTGGTGCGAAGGATCGAGTGATGCTGGACCAGTTGTGTGCAGGCGTTGCGGATGCGTTCGTGACTGAAGCGATCGAGGAAGCGGAGGACAAAGTAGTTCAAGAACCCGCGGTTCCGAAGCTGGGAGAACTCAAAGGCAAGCGCTTGGAAGTCTGATGCCGGCGTAATGTGGTATTCAGCAGGACTGTGTGAAGAAGCCTGTGCTGTTGAAGACAACTCGGAGCCAATGGCGATGTTTCCAGCAATGGCAACCTGCAGAGCCTCGTCATCGAGGTGCTCAGCGTCTGGAGTAAGATCCTGACTACCGCCAAGATCTGACCATTCGTCTGTCGAAGAAGACCCGTCTGTGCGGTCTTCGTCCCCTTGGAGATGGCGACACAAACTGGCCAAAACGGGATACTTGAAGACATCCGAGACCCGAAGCGTGAGACCACCCTCGGCCAAGATTGGCACCAGGCGCATTGCTGTGATGGAATCTCCTCCGAGACGGAAGAAACTGTCCCGGATGCCAATCTTGCTCGTATCAAGTCCAAGGACCTGGGCCCAAGCAGACACCATGCTCTTCTCCAAAGACGAACGGGGAACTTCTTTGACACCTTGCACACCACGGAGAAGATCCAGTTGTTCGGCAGTGACTTCTGCGACAATCGCCTGTAGTCTGCGGCGATCGACCTTGCTCGACGTAGTGAGCGGGATTGAGTCAAGGGGGATGTAGAGCGTGGGAACCATGTAGAGCGGCACCGCATGCGATACCTCCACGGTTGCCTTTGACCAAGCCTGGGCAAAGGCCTTCACTGCGTCGCTGTCGAGCGGAAGCATGGAGGCGGGAGAATTGCCTGATGCCTTGCTAGTTGAAGGCACAACGAAGGCAACCAAGGCCATGGCGTCGTTCTTCTGCTGAGGGAAGCTCACTATGTCGGCGACGACCTGGCAGTCAGGCAGTGCGCGACTGAGGTGATGCTCAACTTCGCTGAGTTCAATGCGCTGACCCCTGAGCTTGGCTTGGTTGTCCTTGCGGCCGATGAACAAGATGCCACCGTCTGAGTCGTACCTCACAATGTCGCCAGTCTTGTAGAAGCGTCTGGGTCTGTTGCTAGGACTGGGGAAACCTTGTGTCCAGGCAAGATCTTGTACGAAAGCGGCGCGGGTCTTTTCTTCCTGATGAAGATATCCGCGGGCCAGGCATGGTCCTTCAACAAGAAGCTCGCCAGGCGCACCAACAGGTGCCAGCTTGTTTGGATCTTCAGGATCCACGATCCAGCAGATGCAGCCGACACCTCTTCCAATGCGTCCCGGCTTGTGGTTGTTGGACTCCAAAACACACACAACGGTGCACTCGGTCGGGCCGTAGCCATTACTCACACGGCGCCCCTCCCATCGCTGGATATCTGAGCTCGTGACAACCTCAGCACCCAGAGCGATAGCCTTGATAGCTGGTACTTCTTTGGGACGGAGCAGAGACGCGACTCGCGGTGATAGGGCCGCGAAGTTGACGCCATACTTGCGGACTGCTGTGTTCAAGTCTTCGGAAGCCTCCTCGGGGGATGGGATGCAAACGCAAGCTCCAGCGAGCAGTGTGCCAAGTATCTCGAGCACACAAGCATCGAATGTGTAAGAAGAGAACTGTAGTACTCGACTCTCCGAAGTGATTCCCATGGCGGAACCGTGGGCCAAAGTGCTGGAAGCTGCAGCAGAATGAGACACCATCACTCCCTTGGGCACACCCGTGCTGCCAGACGTGAAGACAACATATGCCAGGGAGTCAGGTGGAGAGACACTGTGAGCAGGTGGCGGAGTGGTCTCCTTCTCTTCCGTCGAGTACTCAAGTGACGCTGGAAAGACTGGAGTGACAGGTAGACTCGCCAGCGAGGGACGTTGTGCCAGCTCAGGTGAAGTGAGAAGGACGCTCACTCTGGCTTCTTCGACGATGAACTTGAGACGACTTTCAGGCTGAGCAGCATCCAGAGCAACGAATGCACCGCCTGCCTTGAGAATACCAAGCATGATGACGGGGACCCATTTGGACTTCCCGTGGCTGAAAGCAACCACAGTTTCGGCGCCGATGCCGACTCCCATGCCGCGGAGGCGATAGGCCAAGCCGTTGGAGAGCCTGGTCAACTCGGCATATGTCAAGTCGCCATCCCAAGCACTCACAGCGGGCGCCGAGGAGGGATTGCGACCAATGATGGTGTACACGGCCTCTCGTACTCCGGCAGGAGGACCTCGGGCATTCCATGCTTGGATCTGAGACAGGTCCGACTTGCCAGCCAGATTCAACGCTGAGATGGGAACGTTGGGGTTTTGATCGAGAAGTGAGGCGGCATGCCCAACCTGGTGCAAGATCCGGCGCATCTCGGGAGGATCGATAATGCGACTATCAAAGGTGGCAGACAGTTTAAGTTCGTTGCCTTCAACCGTCGCCTCAATGCCAAGCGGGTAGGTCTGAGGAGAGGCAGTTTCCTCGCCGCTGGGGGCGCTGTTGGGATCCAGCGGATCACCAAAGAGACTCTCGCACGCAGCGCTGTCTTCCTCTTTCTCGGGCTGAACGACGAAGATGCTCTGGAACTGACACGATCTCTTGGCTGATTCGCTAATCTTTGCGATGTTGACCAGACCCATCTGTTCGAAGGGCATCATCTCCGTGGCTTGGCGCTGCGCGTTCTGGAGGAGCTCCTGTGCTGTCATGTTGGCATCCCAAGACAACCGGACTGGTACAGTTGTGATGGTTGGTCCAACAATGGTTTCAACACGAGGCACAGGAACGTTGCGGCCACTCAAGGTTGTGCCAAAGACAACGTCAGAGGAACCGGTGTACGTTCCAACGACAATGGCGTATGCTGCACGAAGAACGGTCGACACGGTGACCCCATCGCGTTGCTGTGACTTCCAGGACAGGTTGACCTTCTCGGACCTGTCGGCTCGGAACTCCAGTGAGGCTCCATGCGGGACGGCTGGGAAAGGAGATGCCCCTGCTTCGTCAAAGTAGGACTTCCAGAAGGACTGAGCGGCTGTGGCATCAACTCCCTGGATGTGCTTGATGAATGTGTTGAAAGCAGGAGCCTCGGGGAGCATCACTTCCATATAGGCCGTGGCAACGGCCTCCTTGATGATGGGCATCGACCAACCATCATACATGGCGTGGTGCGCAGTCCATATGAAGATGGCGTCATCGGCTGGGTTGGTCGGAATGACGAGACCATACCTGCTGAGAGCCGTGCCCAGACCCATCGTCTCTTTCTCGTCCTGAGCAAGATACTCCTGAAGAGAGGAAGCCGTGCGCCACCGAATTGCGTGTTTGGTGTTGATCACGGCCTGGAGAGTTCCGTAGGTATCGAGATGCACGAGTTGGGTGCGTAGAATCGGATGGATGCTTGCGACGTACTCCCAAGCCTTCTGGAACCGGCTGATGCGCACACTGCGGAGGCGGAAGATCTCTCGAATGATGTAGGATCCCTCCTCCTTGACCGAGAGAGATATAAGACCTTGTTGGAGTGGAGTGCAAGGATACAAGTCCTCGAGCGCCTCAGGAGTCACACCACACTGTCGAGCAGCCTCTTGATGCATGAGGGTGTCGTATGCTGGGATGAGAGAAAATGGTGGAATGACCTCGATCTCATCGCTTTCGCTGCCGCTGCAACGGCAAAGGTTTGCCAAAACGGGCGTCTGGAAAATGTCTGATACGGTGATGGAGATACCGACTGATCGTGCAGCCGTGACAAGCTTCATAGCAGAGATAGAATCTCCACCAAGACGGAAGAAGCTGTCATTGACGCCGATGCTCTCAGGATCCAGTTGCAGGACGGTCGACCAGGCGGATTGCAAGCGTCTTTCGATATCGTTCCGAGGTGCAACCTTCGGCCCGTCACCGGTAGCTCCGCGCTGAAGGGCTCGCAAGGTATCGAGGTGCTTGTGGGGGATCTTCGCCGCGATGGCCTTGAGTCGCTGTCGATCGGTCTTTCCGGAAACCGTGAGAGGCATCTTGGAGATGGGGATGAAGATTGAAGGGACCATATATGGTGGTACAGAGCGAGCCAGCTCAGCCACGGCAGTTGAGGCGGCTTCTCCGATTTTCTTGAGCGATCCAGCACTTATACCTTCGTTGCTCTCGATGTTCACGTCGACACCATCGAGGACGAAAAAGGCAGCAAGAGCTTTGAGCATACCGCTACCAGCCTTCTGCTGCTGAAGATCAACGATATCTGATCGTACAGTAGCCGATGTGAGAGCGCGGCGAAGATGGAAATCGATCTGGAAGAAATCCTGTCAGCAAAGTCGCCACGATTCTTATGCATTTGGGGGTAATGAGAGAAAGAAACAGAAAGGGAAAAATGGGAAGGCGCTGGGTTCAACTCACCTCTCCGAGCTCGATCCTTTGACCACGAAGTTTGACCTGAGTATCCTTGCGTCCGAGGTAGATGAAGGAACCATTGCTTGTCTGCCGAACCAAGTCACCTGTCCTGTAGAAACGACGGGTTGCCGAAGGCTCGTCGCTGAGTGCCCAAGCAGGATTGAAGATGAACGATGCTGCCGTCCGCTCCGCATCATTGAGGTATCCGATGGCGAGACTTGGGCCTTCAACGAGGAGCTCACCGGCACATCCAATCGGCACCAGCTTGTCGGTGTCATCGGCATCAACGACCCACGCACGACAACCGACGGCGTGACCGATTCGACCACCGTCACGAAGATCCGGGTTGACGACGCAGACGACGGTACACTCTGTAGGTCCGTATCCATTTTGGATACGGCATTGGCTAGACCAGCGTGAGATATCGTTGTCGGTGACTTGCTCGGCGATGAAAATGATGGAGCGTAGCGACGGTGTGTCCTCTGGTGAAAGCAACGCCAAAACGGATGGGGTGAGCATGACGGTGTTGATCGAATAGGAGCTGATGGCTGCTGCAAGATCATCCACACGCTGGGCATCTGAAGGCATACAGATGCAGCCGCCAGTAGCGAGCGTTGTGAAGATCTCGAAGATGCAAGCATCAAAGGTCAGGGACGAGAACTGTAACGTACGACTGGAAGAGTCGACCCCGAAGCGCTCAGCATGAGCCATAATACTCGAAGATGCCGCGCGGTGACTGATCATGACACCCTTGGGTACACCAGTACTGCCAGAAGTAAAGATGACATAGGCAAGGTCTTCAGGAGATGAGATGACTCCCTTGACGAGGGCGTCACTGCCAGAAGCCTTGTGCCGCTTGACAAAGGGAGCGGCGGTATCTGCCAAAGCGACAAGCTCCGAGGTGCATACGACGTTGGGTGTATTCTTTGAGAGGCGTATCAAGCGCTCCTCGAGGCTCTTGGAAGTCAAGACCAGGCGGGCCTTGGAAAGCTTCATGATGGTTGCGAGTCTGTCATCTGGTTGAGCCGGGTCAAGAGCCACGAATGCCGCGCCGGACTTGAGAATGGCGAGTGCCGAGATAATAGCCCATCGGGACTTCTCAAAGCACAGCAAGACCATCTCACCTGGGCCACTGCTACCAACACCGACACTACGGAGTCGACCAGCAACTTGCGCAGATGCCGCCTCAAGTTCCGCGTACGTCACATCGCCATCCCAGGCGCTGATGGCAGGGCGTGTCGCATTGGCGACGGCGGCGGCAGCCACAAGGTCGTGCATGGTCTTGTGGATAGGATTGACTCGTCCCTCGTTCCACTTGATGACCTGGTTGTGGTCGGCTGGGTTGATGAGATGGAGGTCACCGATTGGCTTGTCGAGGTTCTCGATCTCGACTAGCTGTGACAGAATGTGCTTGAACTGCTGCGCCATTCCGGAAACTAATACCGAATCCAGCAGCTTTGGGTCGTAGCTCATCCGGAGGGAGAAGGTCTTTGATGAAGCCTCCGCAACACACTCAACCAACAATGGTTGGGTAGTGAACTGGGCTGAAGTAACCTCGAACGCGTCGTAGAGCTCCATGATGTTGGCGACGGCTTCGTGTTCCTCACTGTCATCCTGTTGGACAACGAACAGAGTGCCGAACTGACAAGCAGCTTGGGCATCCTCGTGCAGGCGTGATATGCGCTGCAGACCTGTCTGCTCAAACGGAATCATGGTTGTGGCATCCTGCTGTACCGACTCGAGCAAGGTACGGATGGTGGTGCTTCCCTTCGAGTCCCAGCGGACACGGACAGGGACAGTAGCAATGGTTGGGCCGCTCATTCGATCGATGCCAGGAACAGGTGCGTTGCGGCCGTTGACTGTGATGCCAAAGACGACATCCGAATCGCCGGTGTAGCTTCGCGTGAGTAAAGCCCAGGCAGCGCGCAGAATATTAGATGAAGTGATGCCGCCAATTGCGTTGACAGAGAAGCCAATGTTTTCGTCATGTCTTGCACTAGGCTGGGCAGTCTGATTCGGGAGCAGAGAAGCAGGGAATGTGGTACTCGGGCCCTCGAGATAGGATGACCAGAAGGCGTCTGAATCCGTTTTGCGCAATCCGTTCAGATGCTTGATGAAGGCGTTGAATCCCGGAATCTCCGCGTCTCCGCGTGAAGTCTTGTTGTAAGCCTTTGAGAGGTCACTGAAGAGCAGTGGGAGTGACCAGCCATCAAAGACGCAGTGGTGCAACGTCCAGACGAAGAAGAACCGATCGTAGTAAGGAATGATGGCGTAACGGCTGAGGGGTGCCCCAAATTCGACCTCTCGGGCATCGTCATGCGCGATGTAGTGGTCGAGGTCGATGCTGGTGTCCCACGACAGTGACCGAGTGGTGATGACTTGATACATGCTGGAGCCCACACTGACAATCCGCGTCCGCAAGATCGGGTGCGCCTGAACAACTTGCTCCCAAGCCTGGTGGAAGTCGGCCATGCGGATGTCTGTCGACAGCACTAAGACTTGACGCATGATATACGAGCCATGCTGCTTCGCGGAAAGCGACATGAGTCCCTCCTGAAGAGGTGTGCAAGGATAAACATCCTCAACCTCTTCAGGTCTAACTCCACACTGCTTGGATGCCTCAACAATGATTGTCTCTTTCTCATCTTGGTCAATGAGAGAGAATACAGGGATCTTTTCCACGAGAGACGACTGGTCGCTTGCGGCAGCTTGGGAAGCCAGGTCCCTCAAGATGGGAGCGCGGAAAACGTCGGCAACAGAGATTTGAAGACCGAGTTGCCGTGCAGCGGGAACCATCTTCATGGCAGTGATTGAATCTCCACCGAGTCGGAAGAAGTTGTCGTCGAGGCCAATGGTCTCGGTCTTGACGCCGAGGACTTCAGCCCACACCGCCTGCATGTCGACTTCGGCTTGGGACTGTGGCTGCTCCTTGACATCCGAAGTTCCCTGCAACAGTGAGAGATCTTCCGGACGCAGTCCTTGTGCGAGAGCACGAAGTTTCCGGCGATCTGCCTTGGCTGAGATAGTCAAGGGCATTCTGTTGATGGGAACGAAGAGAGTTGGGAGCATGTAGGCTGGCAGAGAGCGCGAGAGATCTGCAATGAGCTTGGGCCTGATGGTAGCCAATTTGTCGACAGTCACAGCATCCAGACATGTGGTGACCTCGGCAGACTCTTCCTCATCGTTGGGGAAAACAAGGAATCCGACGAGAGTGTCGGGAGCTTGACTGTTGGCCTGCATCGTTGCGATCTCGGCAGACACATCGAAATCCGGGAGTGCCTGGGCCAGCTGATGCTCAATTTCACCAAGCTCCACGCGTTGACCTCGGAGCTTGATCTGTGTGTCTTTGCGGCCATGGTAGAAAACGGCACCATCTTCGTTGGCATGCACAAGATCACCAGTCTTGTAGAAGCGACGCCGTCTACCAGATCCATCATTAGCCCAAGATGGATCAAAGATGAAGGACTTGGCGGTGCGTTCAGGATCTCCGAGATAGCCACGAGCAAGACCCGGCCCCTCAATCAAGAGCTCGCCCGGTGCACCGACGGGGACGAGCATATCATGATTGTCAGGGTCAACAACCCAAAGATTGCAGCCGACACCTTTGCCGATGGGGGGCTCCTCGTTGCTCCGTTTGTTCAGAGGGATGAGGGTTGACGTGACGGACGCCTCGGTACAACCATACGAGTTGAGGAGGTTGGTGCTCTCGGGCCATCGACTGACATCGCTTCCATGAGATCGGTCACCTCCAAGAATGATGGTCTTGAGAGAGGGAACTTCTTCAGGAGTGAGGAGGGAAGCAACCTTGGGGTTGAGCTCGGCCCAATTGGTCTTGGTCCGACGAATCTCACCGGCCAGGTCGTTGATACGTGATGCTTCCGAAGGAATGTGGAGGGTAGCGCCGGCAAAAAGTGTGCAGAAAATCTCCTCTGAGCTGGTATCGAAGCTGTAAGAAGCAAATTGCAAGACTTGACCGTCGGATCGCAAGCCGCTGTCACGACCAAACTCGTACATGGCAGAGCAGAAAGCCCAATGCTCGGTCACACATCCTTTCGGGGTGCCCGTCGACCCAGATGTGAAGATGACATACATAGCGTTGTCTGGGCTGCCATTCGGCAGGGGTTTTCTTGGAAGCGGCAGCTTCAGAATAGAAGCATCACAGACGACGAGTGTGTTTACGCAACCCGACGGGAACAGTGACTCGGTCGAAGGCGCCACCACAGCAACTTTGGCACCGAGTTGCCGAACAATGACCTCTTTCCTGTCCAGAGGGTGTGAGGGTTCGACGACAGCAAAAGCACCACCGGCCTTCAGAACACCGAGCATCGCGACAACAGCCCAAATAGACTTCTCGAAGCAGATGGGGACCAAGACATCTGGGCCCACTCCGAGCGCATGCAAATGACCTGCGAGGCGGTCTGAGGCATCATCAAGCTGAGCATATGTCATCACGCCGTCCCAGGAGCTGAGGGCAGTGTGCGTTGAACGCAGTCTAGCTTGGTGGCGGAAAAGATCATGCGCCTGTCTCCGGACGACCGTCGGTGGTATCGCGTTCCACTCCTGAATCTGATGGACGTCTGCATCGGTGACCAGGTTCAGGGAGGAGATCTGAGACTGGAGGTTACTGCTCAGATACAAGACTGTCTGCTGGAAAAGGGTGACGATTCGCCCAAGTCGTTCCTCGTGCAGAACGCGGCTATCAAAGGTGGCGACGGCGCGTAGTTGCTGTTTGTCAATCTCGCACTTGATTGACAGAGGATGGTCGTCATATTCCAAAGACTTTTCGTGATCCTCGACACCAAAGACTTCTGTCAACTTGGTCTGGTCGGCAGTAGCAGGAGGTTGTACCAAAAAGAGACAGGAGAACTGGCATGCCCCTCGAGCATCTGAGCTGATGCGCGCAATATTTTGCAGGCCCGTTTGCTCAAAGTGCCGCATGTCCGACTCTTCTCGTTGAACGACCTCAAGTAGCTCCATGATTGTCATCTTGGGCTCCCACCGGATGCGAACCGGAACAGTCGCTATGACAGGGCCGGTAACGACATCAAGGCCAGGAATAGGTACTGGGGAATTCCTGCCACTGCGAATGTTTCCGAAGATGACATCGTGGGAGCCAGAGTATTTGCCCGCAACCAAGGCCCAAGCAGTTTTCAAGAGTGTAGATGTGTTGAGACCATTCGTTGGCCTCCAAGCCCAAGGGAATTTGCGCACCACAGTTGAGTCAGGCCTAGGAGTCGAGATCGAGGATGGGACCGACGGGAAGAATGAGAGGTCTGGCCCATCTAGATAGGAAGACCAGAAAGTCTGGGAAGCCTTATCATCGATGCCCTTGAGAGACTTGATGAAGTTGCCGAATGGGGGAGAGGGGCTGACGCTCTGGCCATTATAGGCTCTCCAGAGCGCCTCCTGGATGATGGAAATCGATATTCCGTCGTAAACGGATTGGTGAATAGTCCAGACGAAGACGGGGTTCCTCTGTGCACCTGACTCAATGTCTATCAGGGCATACCGGAACAGAGGCGTACCGAAGGTCATCGGTTGTTGCGCATCTCCAGCCAGATATCCATCTAGATCGCTTCCAAAGCTCCAAGATAGAGGGCCTCTGATCACAGCTTGGAGCAATCCATGGTTCGCGGTGTTGACGAGTCTGGTTCGGAGAATGGGATGTGCGAGAGCCGTTATGTTCCACGCCTCCTCGAACTGGAACATATTGATGTGGCTAGGCAAGTTGAATACCTTTCTGCTGATGTACGCTTCCGAAGAGTCGTGCTTGGATGAGACTGAGATGAAGCCTTCCTGGAGAGGAGTGCATGGGTAGAGGTCTTCGACATCCGCTGGGGAGGTGTTGCATTGTTGCGCGGCTTCTCGTCGCAGCTCCAGAGCAGCATCAAGTGGGATGAACGAAAATGGCGCCACCTGCTCCTCAACTCCTCCAGTTGCCGCTTCTGATGCGAACCTGGCTAGATCAGAAAGCTTTGGATACCTGAAAAAGTCTGAAATGCCCAAGGGTAGACCGATAGCTCTGGCCGCCCTAGCCGCCTTCATTACAGAGATGGAATCTGCGCCTAGCTCGAAATAGGATGTGTTCCTTCCAACAAGATCGGGGTTGACGTCGAAGGTTGAGGACCAGATTGATTGCAGCTGTTGTTCAGTCTCGGTCTCTGGCGCTTCAACCGACCCCTGAGCACCGCGAAGAGTCGTCAACTGGCTCTTCATATTGTGTGGTGTGATTTGTTGATGCAGTCTACCAAACGATTGTTGATTAACAGCATTAAGATAGATAAGTAGACAGGTAGAATCAAAGATTGTTGACGACTGTGTTTTTGTAAAATAATACCATTCTACGCGTTGAGGCTCGCGTTTGAGCGGTCTCACGCAATAGTTATGCGAGAGATTCCAACTTCAACCCCACTCCCCTAGTCAGGAACGAGTGCCCGTGTCATCTCACAAAGCTGACATTGCCAAAGCGACCTTCGGTGTTGATGGAGATCGGAGAGCATGTCACCGGGGACTCTTTCTTGGATCCGAAATAGCGACATGAATGGCCCTGTCCAAACCTTAACACGCCAGACTGATCCCTTGGACAAGCAGTGCAGTCATCATTGCACACGTAGGCGAGGCATTGGTAAGAATCGAGACCAGTCGCATTTGAGGGTCCAGTTTCCTAGACAAGCCAAGTATGGATCGCGAGTCGTGCACTAGTTTCAATTTCCGGCATGTCACTGCGAGTTCTACCCTGGATGTACGAGTGTTGATCAAATGCAGCAAATAAGGAACCGTTCCCTGGTCGCCGAACAGTAGGGTCACATCTCCCGTCGGCCTGGGTTGGCACGACTGCAAGGTCCCGCGTTCTTCGGCTTCCCGTCGGCTTCCTCGCCAGAATGAGACTCTGCGGAGGATAGCCCGATCCCATCCTCATGGTCAGACGAACCTCAGCCGGAAAACTCTTTAGGAACCCGGATGCTTGTGAAGCGAGGTGGGGCCGTAAACGGATCCGGATCGTGGGGCTTAGCTGCAAGGTCAGCAATACCCCTGGCTGCAGCGTGGCTCGAAGTCAGACGCAGGACGAGCCCGACGGGGAATTTGGGTTGCTGCAAGAAATAATTTACAGAATCTGGAGCCGTTGTTAGGAAGGCAATGTTACCACGGCTAAGCCGGGTCATCACAGCAACTGCAGATGTTGCTGACTCCCGTTTGATCAAACACTCGGAATACCCAGGGTTCCTGAGTCCTGACAGGCGTGAGAAGAATTGTGCCAAATCTATATGCGGCCCACACGGCAGCAATACAGAACCGTTTAGACTGCGTGAACCCACGTTGACCTCGAGAGCGTGCGGCTACGGACATTTGAGGTTTGCCGACGCTCTCGGATATTCAGGGCAAAGGCTGCTGCTCGTATCGGTATCCGCATGTCCGGTCGAGGCGGGTGGTGCTTCGAGAAGACGGGAGCGAGCACGACATGTGCTATGTCAGGGCTCCATATGGGCCTCTTATGTAGCTTTGGCTGACTCTAACTTTGACCCTGTCCCGCTGCCATATCTAGACTTTATGACAAGACACCCGTTGCCATGCAACCCATGCAACCGGTGCAAATTTACACGTCTACGTTGCATCTGTCTCAACGCCCAGCCATCAATCTTCTCCATTTCAGTCCCTACAAGTGGCTGCCTAAACTGATATCACTCTTTCAATACTTCAAAAACGCTCAATTACGGCAATTGACGCGATGACGGGTACCAAAGACACGGAGTCGCTGAAGACAGCAGAGCGAACATGTTTCGGAATACCGCTCCCTGCACTTGCGGTGTGCATTGCCTTGTCCCTCACCGTTGGACTCATTGGCATGGTAAGTGTTCGACTTCCTGAATTTGGGAATACGCGCGTAGATCAGCCTCCAAAAGCGAACAGCGGCGTTTGCCTTCCCCTCAAGCAACCCCATTCTGACTGACGTATTCTGGTCTTCATAGGACGGCACAATTGTGGGTGTAGCAACTCCTGAAATCACGAACGATCTCGGAAGTCTTGGTGATGTTGGCTGGCTTGGATCTGCCTAGTATGCGCTCAACGCCGTCTTCTTTCGCACTCAACTTGATTGGGAAGACATACTGACGAATACACCTCCGCAGCTTTTTGGCTGCAGCGGCATCACAACTCGGCTTTGGCGCTCTCAATCGAGTAGTCCCACACAAACATGTCTACATCGCCGGAATCTTTCTGTTCGAGCTTGGTTGTTTGCTTGCCGGGCTTGCGAATACAGCTACCATGTGCATTGTTGGTAGAGCATTTTCTGGCTTGGGATGTTCTGGAGTAGTATCAACTTCACTGGTGTACGTGTCAAGTGTCCTCTGACTAAAGTTTCCTTTGCTGACTGCATCTTCGTGACAGACTTGTCACAGAAATTCTGCCACCCGCACGCCTCCCCCTCATGATCGGGATTTTGGGAGCCATGGAGTTGGTTGGCCAAATCACCGGGCCCCTCATCGGTGGCGCCCTCACGGACAACGCCTCGTGGAGATGGTGTTTCTTGATTAATGTACCAATGGGAACTGTAGCCGGTGCGGTTGTTTTCTTCCTGCTCAGAACACACCGAAAGCCTTGGAAGACCGTCTTCCAAGAGCTGAGACTGATCGACGGCATCGGCATTCTCATCCTGACTCCGGCAATCACTCTCATTCTCTTCGTCGTCCAGTCGGGAGGCAACACATTCGCATGGGACAGTGCAGAGTCCATCAGCATGCTGACAGTGGGATTTGCTCTCCTCGTGGCGCTCGTCTTCTGGGAGCATCGGAAGGGTGGAGCTGCGGTCATCCCACTTGCTCTCTTCAAGAACCGCAGCATCTCTTTCGCCGCCATCTTCGCTCTCGCAGCTGGCATGGCCGTGGCCTTGTTTGACTATTATGTGGGTGCAATGCGGATTCTCATTTCTATAAGAATGAGCACAGCCTAACAAGTCACAGATCCCTATATGGAACCAAGTCATCAAAGGCTATTCAGCCGCACGCGCCGGTATCTTGCTTTTGCCACTCAATGCATGTTCCGCTGTCGGTGTGATGGCGGGAGGCCTTCTGGCAAATGTCATCGGTCGCGCCAACCCTGTGATGCTTCTCAGTGGTATTCTCACAGCCATTGTATCCGGTCTTTTCAGTACCATCACCAGGTTCAGCACAGACTCACGCATCATGGGATTCTCAGCTCTGGCGGGGTTCTCTGCTCTGGCGACGCAGCAGCCCATCGTTGTAGCTCACAACGCTGTCGAGACAAAGCTGTCACCAACTGCCATCTCTATGATGCTCTTCAGCAACATGGTGGGCAGTGCAATCAGTCTTGCCATTGCCCAAGCGGTATTTCTCAACAAATTACAAGCCAACCTTCGTCCGGTCCAGGGAGTCGACATCGAAAAGATCATCCAAAGCGGCGCGACTGAGCTTCGCAAAATAGTTGACCCCGCCTTATTGCCAAAGGTCCTCGAGTTATACAACCTTTCGATCATTCAAATATTTTACATGTCACTAGCTGCTGGTGTCGCTATGACAATAGCATCTCTTTCGGTCAAGTGGACGAGAATCCTGGACAAGAAGCCAAAAGATGCGGGAAATCGGGAACCTTCCCCAGTCACATCAGCCGGTTCTGGAGTCACCGAGCCTGAAGGAGTTAGAGACACGGAAACTACTGCGGAAACAGTTGTCGAAAAGGATAAAGATTGATGAGAGGTTTGTCACTGGTGACTAGCCAATATATTATAGAATTTTGCGTTTATTATTCTTTCGGGTTTGGTCGTCTTTTGCAGGCTGGGAGCCTATGCCGTTTTGTTAATATTTGTATGTACATGCTCGATCTTGCTGCTGATACATTTATGTAACCGACGCATTGAACCTGATCACTCTTCCGCCCCAGTTTCACCTCATGCCAAATATTGACCGCATACTTGAGAAATTCAAATGATAGGTGCTAATGGTGGCTGAACTCTGTATCATCATAATTGTGCGTGACAACCTCGTATTCTCGGTGTTGATTTCCCACGGCATGTGCAGAAGCATTCGATCACCCCCAAAAACTTAGTCTCTAATTTCCAGCCCGAGTATCTGGACACCACACACGCTGTTTAAAGTTGCTAGCTCATTTGTCCCAACATGGCTTCGTCAAATTCAATTTTATTTACAAGCAATATCTTCAACTTCCAGGCCTTGATCTTGTCACAGGGGCTCCATACATGACAGTGGCGAGTTCAAAAGCAATTTTATGTAGCTCAGGCTGAGGCCGCAGTCTGCTGGGATGCAGCCGTCGTAGCAATCTTAACCACATTATTTTGTTTCTTTAGTGGCAATGTCGACAACTTGCGACGATACATGTGCTTTTGTAGGTGTTAGTGCAAGATAACGACACAGGATTTGGAGGAACTTACTAATGAAGCCGAAACGACCGCCATCGCTTGCGCGTTCTCTTCGTTCTCGTCAATGAAGTAGCCCCATGTAGTTTTGTCTCCTTCGACGCAGCTGGCAAGCGCGCAGAATTTTCCATCAAACCGATCAGAGAGCTGCTGAGTGTGATGAATCTTGGCAACAGCATTCACGTCCTTCATGAAGTGCAGGCCCCTGACAACAGCGGAGGCGATGTCCGGCCCAGTTCCGTCAATGCGAATGGCAAAGCCGTCAGTAGGATTGATCATTCCAACAACAGTCTGCAGTGTTCCGTCGCTAGTGACGGAGATGCTGCCGATGTTTGAGGCCCCATCGTGCTTCTCACTTGGTGTAAGTGCGTAGCTGGCAATGAAGAGGTTGATGACCTCCTGGTGGGAGATCTCTCGCGCAAGGGCCTCGCACATCATCTGGACCCGACCTCCAAAGTTGACTTGTAATTCGACAGGGATGTCAAGTCCCCAACGTCTGTTGAGAATCCAGGTTGCAGCGGCTTTGCCACTCTGAGAATTCACCCGAATGATTGTGTCGAGGGGAATTCCCAAATCCTCAGGGTCAAGAGGCAGGTAAGGAATGTCCCAAATTGGCCGTATTCCCTTCTCCGCGGCCTCGACGCGCTGGGCAATGCCCTTGCGAATGATGTTCTGATGGCTTCCACTGAAAGCTTGGAGCGCAAATTCGCCAGTGTAAGGCATACGCTGGGATACGATGAGGCCTGTGAGCTTCTCGTACTTTCGCTTGATGTCGTACAGCTTCGAAAAGTCGAGACCGGGGTGGATGCCGCGCGAGTAAAGGTTCAAGGCTAGTGTGACGAGATCAACATTGCCAGCGCGTTCTCCGTTGCCAAACAAACACCCCTCTACCATGTCTGCGCCTGCAAGCATGCCAAGCTCAGCTGCGGCAACACCGCATCCACGGTCGTTGTGGGTGTGGATTGAGATGGAGATCTTTTCGGGGTCAGACAAAGATGCCCGGAAGGTCTCAACCTGGTCAGCGAAGACGTTGGGGGTGGCGACCTCGGTGCTGGTTGCCAAAACGACAACCAAGGGGTCTTCCACGGTGGGCTCCCATGCCTCTTTGACGGCCTCGGTGATCTTCACAGCGTAATCATGGTCGGCCTCATTGTAAGACTCGAGGCCAAAGGCCATGGTCCAGTCCGTCACAGCGGCTGATTCCGGATCATCTTTGGTGATGGATCGCAGATATCGGACAGATCTGACAGCCTGCTCGAGTGCCCTTTCTCGCGAAAAGCCTTGATATTTGAGCTGCTTGTCACTGACGCAGATGTAAGTGCAAACAGAAGCTCTCTTGGCCCCACGGAGAGCGGCGACTGTGCGAGCCAAGAAATCCTCGCGAGTGGGTGACAGGCCGCGCAAACGCACAGTGTCAGGAACGATATTGGGCGTCTCAATCAGGCGCCTTGTGAAATCAAATTCGACTTGGGATGCGGCGGGAAAGCAGACTTCGATCTCAGTGTAGCCAATTTCCACAAGCATCTGGAAGTATTCCCACTTTTGCTCAATCGTCTGTCATGGAATTAGGACACGCTGGACGCAAGTTTGGTGCAAAACACTGACCAAAGGGTTGATGAGAGACTGGTTTCCATCCCGCAAATCAGTTGAAAGCCAAATAGGAGGCTTATCCAATGTCTTGTTGGGCCATTCCCGGTTTGGGTTATGGATTTGCTGGAATCCCGTGTACTTGGTGTGTGGGTTGGGAAGCCTGTTCCGGAACAATATCAGCTAGCTTTCAAAGAAAAGAAAAAGACCTGCATAATTCGTAGGGACACGCACATCTTGGCCGATTGTGTTTTTGGGGGCAAGTAAGACAGGAATCAAGAAGGTAAATGACAGCCAAATATGACTAATGAGGCTTAAGGCTGAATATCAGATTGACCAAGTTGAGATGTCCACATCCTGGTATTGGTCCCACTGGCACTTGGAGGTATATGTATCACTGAGCTCAATCTGGCGAGAAGCTCCTTGTAGTTAGATACGGTTCCATAACCCGAGCTTCCGACTACCGTGGGGGCCGTCAACGTAGAGGACGGTATTTGACTATGCAGCTGTGACATTGCATGGGGTGGGCAATTGCCTGGGGCAGACACTACATCAGTGACACAGCGGGTTCAATGCTTGGTCCGTGTTGACAACAAAGGGTCCCATCCAAGGGGTCTAGTCCAGGGGGCAGGGGGGCTATTCCCGGCGCTTCCATTGACAAGTCGGTCACACCATCCGTCAGCAACATCGTGACCCAATTCAAGCCAGAAAAACTTCGTTATCCAATATGCCTTGTTATTCATATTTCCTACTGTCCTCATCGTTCTCGTCGGTTTTGACTTTTCTTTTGTACGTGCTAAATACCTAAGTAGTATATTGTGTACTATATATACTGCTTGTACTACTGTGTAGCTGATTCTTATTAGGCGATTAAGGTTAATGGTTTTAATCCCATGTTGTGAGGATATTGATTGTAACAAGCAAGTGTGGAATATAGTAATTTTACATTCCTTTGTTGTTAATGATAACTTGTCTCAGATAAGATGGATTGCAACGAATTTCCAACTGCCTTTGCTAACCTTTAGTCGGCTAGCTTATGCTTATCTTCAGCAGGGATCGGCATGATCAGACAACAGACTGGGATAATCAGTGCCATAACAGAACTCAAATTTCACCAAGGTCAATGAGCACAATGAAATAAGCTTTGCGATCATATTACTCTATTCACATCGCCGGCTTTTAAACCTCACGAAGTTCCCAAAACATTCTCCAGAGCCCCGATGATCATAGAAACTTCCTCCACTAAATACGAGAAAACACGTCAGTGTTTCGAGTCGTTGACAGAGTGTTGAAGAGAGCGACTCACCAGTGTTGTAGTGTACTAAGCTGACTCGGACAACGCCATCCTCTCCGAGACCGAGAATCTCCTCAACCAACCGCTTGGAGAAGAAATGGCCCCATCGAATCCCAACGATAGATTGGGCCTCTACAGCCTCCACAACGCTTTGGGACGATCTCCCGTTCACAGTAAAGCTCACAGTTGGCACTCGGACCAAAGCTGCAGAAGAAGTATCGCCGAAGATGGAGACATCAGGTCGCGATTTCAGGTAGTCGAGAAGATGTTTTTGTAGGGCTTCTTCGTGCTGGGCTATTTCAACCCAGGTCTGTTTCGGATTTTGCCCCAAGTAGTCGACAAGGGGCATGATTGCCTGGGTGAGCTCGTAACTGGCCCCAGCTAGTTCGAGCTTATCCATCAAAGTTCCGGATGGATTGAAGTAGTGTCCAAGTGACTGGAGCTGCTCTTGTGCCTTGAAGGACCCGTACAGCAAAGAGATGTGTGGACCGTACACCTTTGAGTTGCAGATTGTCAGTCGCCGCAGCGCAGTTTCTTCATCAGAGAATCATTTACTTTGTACCAAGAGAAGGCGTAAAAGTCAGCTCCAATTTCCTTTACATCGATCGCCCGATGTGGTGCGTACGCAACACCGTCAACACACAGTAGGGTGCCCGGGACTTCATGGACGATATCGGCAAAGGCCTTGATGTCGTGAATGCTTCCCAAGATATTGCTGGCATGTGTGCAAGCGACGAAACGAGTTTTTGGTGTCAAGAGACTCCGAAGTCCTGCGACATCGAGCTTTGGGTTCAAGTTGTCAGAAGGTGCCCACCACTTTACTGTCGCGCCGGCGAGAGTTGCATAGTGTAACCACGGGTCAATGTTGGACTCATGATCAACTTTAGAAAGAATGATTTCATCACCGGCCTTCAATTTTAGAGCTGCAGCGAGATTGCGGAAAGCTTGGGTTGTTGAAGGAGCAATAACTTTGCGTCGTAAGTAAGGATGGTGCCTTTCTGTTACGTTTTGGCGTGGGGTGTTGGATTATGCATACCAATTTCACCGGCATCGGCGTTGATGTAATCGGCGGCAACTCTGTACGCCTTGTCGAATGTTTGCGTTGAGATCTTGGATGTTTTGTAGCTCGCTCCCAGTTGCACGTTATTGTTCACTAGGTATTCCGAGATACTATTCGTCGATATCAGCAAATAAGCCAGCTCGTTTCCACACCAGCTTCAGATACCCAATGAAATCTGTCCACTAGTTCTTACCTCTTTGCGACTGTTCCAAGGACTTGACTTCCGCCAGCGTTGTCACCGAAAATCTGGTCTTGTGCCAAAGCTGGAAATTGAGCCCGGGCTTTCTCGACAGAAAATGTTGAGGCCATCGTGATCACCTATTCTCTGAACAAGAATCCGATCTGTTATGCTGCGTATGCTTACTTTAGTTGGAGGCTAACTTCATAACGACTAGTGCAAATGTTGTGCGCGACGATGGTAGAGGCAGATTTGACGATGGGCTACGGATGGATGGATACAGCATGATGCCGCAAAACACGCATGGACCTCCTCCATATGCATGGTCACACTGGGCTAAGCTGGGTCCAACAAGCTCGTCAACCACGTCATGATGACCAAGACAGTCAGCGACAGTCACAGAGTAAGGCAAAGTCTCTTTTCTTCCATCCAGTCTCTTCATATTTTGCAGATGTGAGACAGTGCAGGGTGAGACACTGTTATGATGCTGACAGAGTGAGGGGTGCCATGAGTCTGGGACCGGTGTACTCAGAATATGAGCGTCCAATTTGATTCAGAGGGTGTCCAATGATTATGTAGGCACAGCAACAACATCACTTTGTTATGTGCTTCTCGTGAATTATCTTATCAATATGAATTACTATAACTGGGTCATACTTCTCGAGAGTAGACGAGTCGAGAGGTACACCATCGCGCACACTGCATCCCTATTCCTACCGCAATCGACCAGCGTCTAATTGTTCCGCCTTGTCACTTACTGCCAGTGGCTCGGCGATTAATTTTTTGTCTTCAAATCTTGCAGACTTACCCGGTCGAGTAATCAAAATGCGGAACACGGTAAGGAACATACATCAATTCATGTTTACCACAATAAGTACAACTAAACGGCCATCAAGTCGTTGAAATCGGGGGCGTCCGCGTCCGAATGACACCTGTGGATGAAAGCCCGAAGACAGCCGTTGCATTCCAGACGGCGCTCGCGGGTCCCTCGATAATTTCCTGAAGCCCATCACCGTGCTCAAGTATTCGGGTCAGTCGACTTTGATGCGACGTCGGGTTGGATGGGCATGGGGTAACATCCCAATAGTTGCTTTGCAAATTTCTCGTCGGGCATCTTCGCTGGCCCCGTCGGCGTCGACCGCCTTCTCGGTATTTCTGACCGCATCGGTCTCTCCGACAAGGGGACATGGTTAATACCTGGTCACTCTATGGAAACATCCCCGGCGGAGACGAAATCTACAATGGACTCGGGGGCGGAGATTGCACTTCATGGCTACTGCCACGAAGACAGCACCAAGCTCGACACAAAGCAAGATGAAGACGTCTTGGACAGGTGTACTGCCCTTGTCGAGTCACTGACTGGGAAGCGTCCTGCCGGGTTCCGTGCTCCATCGTACCGAATCCGCTATGAGACGATTGCCCTCCTGGAGAAAAGGGGGTTCCTTTATGATATCTCATTCAGCGACCACGACTCAAAGCTGTACCCTCTTGACCGCGGCTTCTCTCTTGCTCCATTCGACAACTCTAAATGAGCCCATACTTGGATTCAGCCTTCTGTCAAGCCGGAATCAACCGGTATCTTTGAAATCCCTGCCGACTGGTACGTGGAAGGCATGACCCCTCTGCAGTTTTGGCCCAACATGATCCGAGAACCCTCATCGATTTGCGTCAGTCCAGACGATCGAGAAGATGCGGAAAGACCACTTCACACGGCTATAGAGTCATGATGCCGACGACAATGGCCCTGATGATTTCATGTTCCCCTCGGTTCTCCATCCCAATACGTCGCGTATGGCGCACATTGAAGTGGCTATCGAAGACAAGTTACTGTGGTTGCAAAGCTGGGGGTCTCGGGTAGATTTCTTCATGTAAGAGACCGCAGCAAGGTCATATATGGAGCAAAAGGGTTTCAAAAGTAGAAAGTGTCTCAATAACATGATGACATACGCCAAATTGACTTCCGTCTTCGTGTCCACTTTCATAAAACGATCAACTGTATGTGGAATTACTATACCACCAATGCTTGGCAGTTGATCTTGAGGTGACAAGATCGGTATGAACCGGGCATCTAGTGATGATTTCCTTTGTAGCTTTTGTAATCAGTGTTTGATAAAAATCTGATAGATTCAATCTGATTACAATAGGAGTCGCTATACGTAAAACTTTCCCCAAAACAGCTGACACGGCTAGAGAATGGCACATTCAAGAGTTGAAAAATTTCTCCAGGGCTAACCTCGGGCATTTGATGTTGTGTGCTCGTCGATTATTTCGATTTTCATGCGGTGAAGCGGAAATTTTCCGACGAAGGCCTCATCACGACATTTTTTTTACGAATTATCACCATAATTAGGAGTCGCTTATGCAAGTCTCCGCCTGAAATGCAAAGTCAGCAGTCGTTTGGGGTCCATACAACATGCCTGTACTTTCACACTATCCATCGTAGACATCATCGTGGAGGCTGTAATCGACAATTACAATTGTCATGGCAAGCGAACCCATCTGGAGGAGGAATAGTTCGCGCCTACAAGTATTCTTCAGTCACGTTCTCAATCGAAGGAGACTCTAAAGTATGGATGGGCTGCGAGCATCCTACCGAGACAACAACTCCTACCCTCCTAGCCTCTTCAACACGAGAACCACGGCCAATCTTGTCACCTTTCAGATCTTTGCCCGCTACATTAGTCTATTTGCCTTAGCAATGAAAGTCCCCTTCGCCTTCGCACTACGGCGGGAGGCAAGATAACGGCATACTCCTGGCCCATGGCCATGCCGAATTTCCCACCACAACGTTGCAACGTTCGAGTTGGTCCGTCAGTAGCCGCAGGCCATTGCAGAATGACACCACAAGCCCGGCCCCTTCGTGCTTATTGCACCCGGAGAAGTCTGAATCTCCGACGTTACGGCCATGCGAGACCTGTTCAGTTGTGCCAAGAGGAAACGCAAAAGAGACTACTATGATTATTTCGTCTACCACAGACAGCGGTCAATCTTTGCCGAGAAGCCGTACGCAGAGAACAAAGCAAAGCAAGAGTGGCTTTTCCTCGGCATGATATCAGGCAAACTCCAACTACAAGTAGGAGATACAGCAGCCTTTCCGCCAAAAAGGTCTTTGGTGTTGGGAGGCACTTGAGAAACTTGCAATGTTGAAAGAATTCATTGATTGTTTTCCATATTATCGACCATTACGAATAGGATAACATCACCGAGGTGGTTTATTGGCTGGGACGCAACTCGCATACTGTCTTGGAAGACTACACAGACCGCGACGTTCTGGCCAGGCTCAAGAACACAGAGATGTGCAACTCTCTCAAGTTCAATCTTTCTTTCGCTCACAACGCTATGGAAAACGCTGTTGCCATGTACACCGGGTCATCAAAGTTCCTCTCGGCGGAACCTCATCTGGCTGTTTGGGCCATGCAGCCTGATCCCAAGTCATCATCTGATTGGTCATTTATCCGCCTCATTAGATGTGTCCGACTGGCCAGTCGTGATATATCTGATGATTACGTGGCTTATGAGATGATTGATAACCTCCACTCGGCCCAAGCCACCGTCAGTGTTGCTTTGACATATGTGGTCCACCACCTGAACCAGAACCCTGGCTGGACGGCCAAGGCCCGCGCTCAGATCGAGGCGTTGCCGGGGGAGGACGATGGCCTCCCGGTCTGGCAGCGAATCGAAAAATCCCCTATTCTGGAAGCTTCCCTGAGAAAGTCCTAACGTATCAACCCAGTCTTTAGTGGGCGAACCCAGCCTATATTGTCAAAGGGCACCCGATACGGCGATGTTTACATCTCTTCTCCATCCGTAAGTTGCCGGTTGCGCTTCCGCTACGTTAGAACCAAAGCCAGAATTCTACCCGTACACGCCGTTCTATCCTAACATTACCCCATGTCAAAACTAGAACGTTGCAGCAGCTTCGATCATTGCGTTACACCAGCACCCGTAAGTTTTTCCCCGGGCCGCTGGAATTCAACCCAAGGCGTTGGTTAGAATTGACGCCCGAAGGCTTATTAAGGCTAGATCGGTCTTTTATCCCATTCGGAAATGACGTCCGTTTGTGCCTTGACAAAGCATTGGCAACACACCAGGTGAACATGTTGGTGTCGCTGTTCTTCTCACGTTCGAAACCGCTTTAGACGACCCAAGTCATATCATGGCACCAGGGGGAACACGCCATGGTTTGCCCAAATCGCTCAACTCCAAACTCCGTTTCCGAAAAAGACGGGACGGTTCATGAGCAGCCGATTTTTTAGTCGGATGAACCGGTAGTATTGGGGCCCGGCAGCTTGTCTGGACATGGAAAATGGCACAGTGGGGAGTTCCATGGCTTTGCGAGCAGCAAAGTACCACAAAAACGAACGGGAATTTTCGTAAACGGCTTGAGCAAGAAACCTTGTCAAATTGTCTTGACGTTGCATCGCCAGCAGCCACAAATTGTTTGAGGGCGTTACGCCTGGCATTATTAAGGAGCTGCTGATCTCAGAGACGTTGGCTGACTCGCTTTAGCCCTTTCCCCCCGTAGCGAAGCAACGTGCTTCCGTCGTGGTCTGACAATCAAACGTTCAAACCCTATATGTATTGGCTTACCTAGCCCAAGCATGGAGGTGCGACCGTTTGCGCGCTTCGGCGCGGGGAACAATGTCCGCAGTTGATCCCACGCGGAGCCCTCCCGTTACACTCTCCCCGGGACCTCGGCACCGGGGTCGCTATGTCGGTGCCAGGATTTGATGCGAGAATCCCTTCCCCTTCCCTTGAAATCCTGTGGGACTCGCCGGCGGTGTGGATACAAGCGCCTCAGCCCCGGTAGCACCGACAATGGCTTGGCGAAAGTTTAAGGTGCAGGAAGATTTCGAGGGGGCCAGGTTGTTGAATAGTATCACGGAAGGCCGGGCTTTACTCTATGACGTGCTGACGATATTCATATTGTTCCTGCCCGCTGCGGCCCGTCATAGAGACCGTCTCTGATGTGTTTTATGCGCTTAAGAAATACTTCTGCAGCTTCCTGCAAGTTCGGCGCTTGACTGCATTCCGTACTTTAGTCTTTTTCGTTATACGAACCGATTGCAGGCCTCTGAATAGTTTATCTACAGTCCCATCACCATGAACACCATGAGCTGCGAGAGTGACATGAGGTCTCTTTTGATGGCCCTTACAGTCAACCCAGCCGAGCGGAGGAGAACACAAAACCGACTGGCAAAGCGAAAGTCCCGTATGCAACCACGAACTCCAACATACCTTGCCCTGCCTACACCCTCACTTCACTATCTTTACCCTCAGTCCTAGCCCAGCACATGCCACAGCACACTCCTGTTATCATCATCCGTTCAATACAGAGAGGAACGTTTAGAAACCAACAAGTCGCGCTATTCTAGGAGCCAAGGGAAAAAGTGCCGCAGCAGCCGCCGCAGCATCAAGCCATGTCGCGTCATCATCCACAGCAAGATCAGCAACAACGACGAGGAGGTCAAGAAGCGCTTCCTCTTCACCCCCAACGGTCACAGCAAGTGTGCTTACGCGTCTTTGCGGTACCAATGTCACGAGAACCTGAGCTAATCGGAATCTGCAGGACCTCACATACACCGCAACACTTGCCGATCCATTTGGCTCACTTCAGACCCCGCCGCATGAGCCAACCCAAGACTTTGGGCAGGCAGCAGTAATCTTCCCTGCTTCGGAAATGGGAGTGTCTGGAGAAGCTGCTCCACGGACGCTGCAACAAAATGCCGTCACTGATGACCTCGACGCGAGCTCATATTCAGCGGGAATCCCACATAGCTTGAACACGGTTGAGTTCATCGAACCGTGGATATTAGACGCCAGCATGACACTCATGACACCGAACAGCAGACACGAAGACATGTCAGACCTTTCAACAGAAGATATCCTCACATTAGGGGTAAGTTTCATATCTTGGTCCATTTTACTACGACGTTCTTGTGAGGTATATGATGAGAGTATCTGTTATATACTCTGTCAGATTTCTCGAATTTCAATTTTATGCCCCAGAAAACAGCCGCCATCCAAACCCTCTCACAGCTTTGCCCGTTGATTTGCTGACAGTATCGAAAAGTTTGCAAGACCTACCCAAGGGAGCCCCTTGCATATTGCAGCAACACACGGCCACATCAACGTGGCTAAAACGCTGATCCTCCACGGCTCGGACGTCAACGCCCCGGATAAAGCTGGGCTGGCCCCAATTCACTATGCAACACAGAACAACCAAGGACCCATGGTGACCATGCTTGCCGAGCATGGGGCCGACGTCGACTTCCTGGACCCGGATGGTTGCACGCCTCTGTACAGAGCGGCGGAAAGTGGAAACAAAGCCATGGTCGAGCGTTTACTGCGTCACGGAGCGAAGCTGAGCTAGGAAAGTCACAAAAGAAAACGGAAACATGACTCCGGCTTGGAGTTAGGGTAGCATGGGAAACGGAGGACTCAGGAGTACTGTCAAATTGGGTGGCTATCTAGGTTTACTGGTGTAGAATAGGCCTGTTATCAAATAAGTTCAAGAATCAAGGTCATTCTATCCGTGTCAGTTAACCCACTGGGTATGCGGTCTAGATGACAAGGTGACCCTTGCATGCCGAAATCCGGGTCGTTCTCATGTCTGTGCTCCGCACTCAGCCTCAACCGTATTTTGGACGTTACACACACCTGGGTCACCTGTTTGATCCAGAGAGACTGGACATCGAAGTCATGTTTGAATTTGTCTACCCCGGTAGAGGCATTTAGAGTGTGGAGAACACATGCCGCAAGTCCGTAGTCCGGACGAATATCTCGGACGAATATTTTAGTATGCGACCGATGTGTGTCTCAGCCGCGGAAGCCGTCACGGACTATGGAACCAGCTCATCACCTGGGAATCTTTGTCCACCCGTTCAATCAGGAATATACACGGACTCCAGATCAACCTAACAGGCAATGTTTCTTGGAGTCGCTCGAATTCCTCGAGTACCCTGCCGGACGGACAAATGCCGCAGGCCTCCGAAGACGGAACCGCTCGGCGGGGCATGCTGCCGCAACATGGAAGCCAAAATGTTTTCAGTCCCCTGCAGCCCGGCCTTTTTCAACCGTGCTGACGATGCAGCGTCTGTTGCAGCAACGTGTCTGGTGCGGATAGGATGGGGATAGGACACTTGAATTATGAAAAAATAGGTGAAGTCAGACTGGTAGTAGATACACATGTCGTAAGAATAGAGATTGAGTCTTGATGAGGTGGCCGGACGTGGCACAGACGCCCGCACGGATGGATCATGGGATGACTTTGCGTCCAATCTGACCTTTTCTTTTTCGGCTGACGAAGCATTCTCAACTGAATGATGCAATGAGAACTTCTGTGGTATTTTGGATCGAACACTCAATCTCTTGATTAATGTGGTGTATCTATTAAAGAGGCTCTGAACCAGATTCACACCCTGAGCACCCCATTCTACCACTACCGGCAAAGTAACACAACTACAAGATCTAAATCCGACGACTGTGCATGCATCATCGCTGAAGACCTCATAAGAACATGGCGGAACAGAGCTTCAACGAACAGCTCCGGCAGCTGCTGGCCGCCACCCGAGATCTCCACCTGGAGGAAGAGCAGACGCCGAGCGGTAAGAATTCATGCATATTCCCTGTCAAGGGCTGGAGAGAACTGAAGGCGGACTAGGAACGAATAGGAAGGATGAAAGCTCCGAGCAACCTCTCGTCGTTCTTTCTGCCCTTGCAGCCAGACTGCAGCGAGATGGCAAGGAGAAGGAGGCGAAAGCCATCCTGCAGGTCGTCAGCATTGCCACGGGATCCCCCGATTACGGCGGCATGGGCTTGACATGGAACGAGGAGTTGAGTGCAACGGACCGCAGCGAGCTGGTTCTTCTAACATCTGCATGTAAGCATACTTTCTTTGCCTTCTCTCTACCGTGCCGTGACTAGGCAACCCCTGAAGTTGCAGCTAGTATTGGATGAGAACTGATCGGAGGCGGATTGCCTCATCCAGGGCTCGAGAGTCTGAATTCAAACGATCGACGGGGGGGACCGATCGTCCCCTTGGTCAGCCGGCCTGCCGGCCGCCGCCCCATGAATGTTACAGAAAAGATATTTGCCCTGCATGACGTGACTCGCACAGGATGGGTCCGAACAGGGGACACAATTAGAGTTTCCGTCGACTGGATCATGGCTAGCGAGGCGAGCTGGCATGTACGTTTACACTTCACTCCCGCCTTTACCATATCCACAGTCATATGTGGCTCGCTGACGCTGGATTAGGGAATGCTGCAAGTCTACAACAAACTGGGAGATCCCGGAATTTTTTCGAACTCCAATTTTTGGCTGGCGGGCGACCATGTGGTTGATCCAAGGCTGATGGATACGCCGCTCGTTCAGAAGCTGGTTGATGAGATGGACTTTGCTCGCAAGAAGTTCAAGATGACCCAGTTCCAGGGCAACAACTACACCATTATGCACACCGAATTCTACCGTGAGCGGGCCCAACCAGGACAGATCATTATTGGCTCAGATTCGCACACGTGTAGCTCTGGGGCCGATGGATGTCTTGCTATTGGACTGGGCGCAACCGAGGTCACGATGGCTCTCGTAACCGGAGAGATCTGGTTCAAAGTTCCCGAAGTTGTCGAGATCCACCTGGTGGGTAAGCCCCAGCGTGGAGTCGGAGGTAAAGACATTATTCTCTACATTCTCCAACAGCTCAAACGCAACACGGTGGCTGCGGATCGGGTTGTTGAGTACACGGGACCTGGATGCCGATGGCTGAGTTCCGATGCCCGCTTCGCCATTGCGAACATGACTACCGTAAGCAACTGCCTTTTCTCCGTGCCCCCACCGATTCGATACCGCGGGCACGCCGCACACTCCATGTAACCTTTGGAATTTTGCACCAAGTTTCAGGGATGCTAACTTCAGAGTCAGGAGTTTGGTGGTATCACGGGGATATTCGTACCGGACGAAGTGACCAAAGACTTCATCGATGCCCGCAAAACAGCCCATCACAGGACCGCATCGTACTATTTCCAGCCAGACGAAGGATGCTCCTATGCGGAGTCACATACTATCGATGTCTCCCTCGTCGAGCCCTTTGTGGCCAAGTATCCGAGCCCCGACGACGTTGTGCCCGTGTCCGATGTGGCAGGTACTCACCTCGATGGCGTCTTCATCGGCGCTTGTACGACCGCAGAGGAGGATCTAGTCATGGGCGCGCTTGTGCTGCAGGCTGGCCTGGATGCGGGGAAAACGCCGGTGGCTCGGGGAACCCGCCGTGTCGTCCCCGGGAGCCGTCCCATCGCCGACTACCTGCGCAAGACAGGCCTCGCAGACATTTATGAGAGGGCTGGCTTCATCATCGGCATTCCTGGATGCAGCTACTGTGTTGGCATGGGTGCCGACATGGCCAAGCCTGGGGAAGTCTGGCTCAGCAGTCAGAACCGCAATTTCGAGAACCGTATGGGCAAGGGTGAGTGTGTTAGACGATCGTCCTTATTTTCTCAACTGTCCCTTTTTGATCAAAACTGCCCGGCGGTGGGCCGCGATTCCGTGCGGACCCGCGACCGTGCAGGTTTGTGATCATCAAAAGAACCCTTCCAGAGACCTAAACTCAGCTGAGAACGAATGTAACGCCGGGTATGGTAAGCTAACATGACTTTCATGACAGGGGCCATCGGTAGTTTGGCGTCCGCTGCAACAGTGGCTGCGTCATCTTTCGACATGGCTGTCACTTCTCCACAAGATCTTATTGACCTCATCCCAGAGGATCGGTGGACCGCCGTCAAGGGTAAAGGATCCCTTGCCGACGGTATCCTCAGCCAACCGCAATGGGTGGAGCCACCAGGCCAAGATGCCGAAGAGAACGAGAAGGAACCGGAGGAGGGGGGCCAGGGACCTAGCCCGTCTGGTCAAGACGCGGCCGACGACCAGACCAACAAGGCCGGATCCGGAACCATTAGGAGTAAGATCTTTCGACTAGGAGATTTTGTTGACACGGATGCGGTAAGCCACACTCCCCTCTGATTCGTGAATCATAAAAAAAGGCGCGCCAAACAAGAAAGATCAAGACGTTCTAACGGCCCGTCCCGCAAATAGCTCGCACCGGCGCAATACCTTCTTACATCCAAGAACAATGAGGAGCTCGGCACTCACTGCCTCGAGTTCACCAACCCGGAGTTTCGGCAACTCGTTAAGGAAGGTCACAAGGTAATTGTCGCTGGCGATGCGTTTGGCTGTGGATCTAGCCGTCAAGAGGCTGTGCAGGCTTTACTAGGTGAGTCTCCTCATCCCGTCCTCTGCTCCGTCGCACTCGGTCGTTCTCACGGCCGCCTTTTTTTCCGTTTGTCCGCCGGCCGCCGTCTCTTCCATTGCACCGATCAATCGCCTTCTCCCTTTCGGTCTCTCGCTCCGTTCCTTAGCTCGTAAAGGTGGGCTGACCAGACATTTTCAGGCGTCGGTGTCGAGTGTGTCATTGCGAAGGCATTCGCGTTCATTTACAGCCGTAACCAGCCATCCTTGGGTCTGTGGGGCTTCACCATTGACGATCCCCTGTTTTACGAGAAGGCGCAGACAGGAACCAACATTGAGATCGACCTGGACCGCAACGTGCTAACGGTCGACGGCGAGACTTTTGAGTTTCAGCTGTCCGTGCTCGAGAAGAAGTTGACCAAGATGGGCGGCATGACAAATGCCTTTAACCAGTTTGGCAAACGCATCTACGACGTTTTGACAGGTCGCACCGCCCAACAGGGCGGCGTCGCAAAGGAACTCAAGGCTAAGCCTGCGCAAGATGTCATGGCATGGTGAGCATGGATTCCGTGGGTACCATGGGGCCAGGGTGTTTGCAGGGTAGTGAAGTGGGGGCCAGCGGGACAAGGAGATGGAGGTGAGCAAGTTGTTCCAGAATGCTAGGTGCATATTCGTATTGTAGATTGTAAAGACTCTTGAGACGCGCGCTATATGACTTGGCTTTGTGGTGTCTGTGTGTTGGCGACTTGGCACATTGAAAGACCCATCCCCCTTTGAATCAACTAGAGGCGTAGAGACTGCAGCTTGTGAAAGTGGACGACGAGGATCTCGGTGAAGAAAACCCCAGCGGGCTAATTCTGGGTTCCGTCTCCAAAAGATCCTTACACCATCTTTGGTCAGCAGCAGCAGGGCGGTTTGCTGGGGTTGACACGGGGAAGCTGGGGCCATTCTCTGGCTATGCTGCATAAACACATGCATTTTCGTGGTCGCAGGTGGCTGTGTTACGAAATAGGTGGGTGAATGACTAGAGCGGTCAAGTGAATAGGCCGGCGTTCATCGTAGTTTACCACATCGCCTATCCTCCCAGACCTACCAACCATAGAAAAGCGATATGTCTGTGTGCAAGCCAAGGGATATGTAAACCTATACCCATGAGGGGATGATGAGCCACGCTGTGTCCGTTACAGTTGAGAGCGAGGCAACGGCTCGGCCCGGCTGCGCCTGCTGTCTATTTTCTACTTGTCAACTTGGCAACTTGGCATGCTGGCTGGGGGAATAGTCAAGTATGATACCTACGGTGGGATGACTGGCTCAATGAATAGGTAAAAGTCCCGTCCAAGACAATGTTCCCGCCAGTTTCGGCGATAACAACAACGTACTAAGGAAAAATAGACATAGAAATGCTCCAACTCCACGGATCGAGCAGTCAAGTCACAACCCCCGCACAACGAGCCCGCGGGCTGCCGGCGGCCGACGGCCGAAGGTCACATATCTTACTCGTGAGTTTGTCTCCCGAAAACACTATGTAGTACCAGAACTAGTCGCCTACACCACACCTGTCAAGGAGACGAAGCACTCCTTGGTGGAGTTCAAGGAGATGCCCACCGGCCCATTTTTGAGAAACAAGAGCCCCAGGAGAGCTCCATATAACCTAGGTACGCGCGCCGATATCTCCTAGATGGGCGTGGAAGAGTAATCTATCTTCAGCAGGGCATAACTCTATCCAACTCTGTCCAACTTGCACGCGGTCACCAGACCAGAGTCACTGGCTCATACCCGCTTCTTGTGATACATACAAACGTAAAATCGGCCATTGCACCAAACCCCGGTCCCGAAATTCACTCCGAAGACTTTGCTGGCCCAGTGTTCGTAATCCGCTCAATGTCATGGCGCAAAGCAACGCCGTCGAGCTCCTCCACCCAGCCCCAAGGCTCCGTATAGAGGCCCCTTTTGATTCCTTGCAGACGGTCTGTCAACCTGGCATAAGCGGAGTGCGGAGACTGCGCATCGACGGTAAACGCGAAACGCTCGCCGGTCGATTCGCGCTCGATGGCGCTTACGGGCACCAGCGACGACGCGGTGCCGACCGTGTAGACTTCAGAAAAGTCACCAAGCTCAGTAAACGGGATCTAATGCAACGGCGCCGGAACATTAGCGGTAATCTCCCTCCAAAAGTCAAAATCTTCCGCCAAGATTTCGTCCCAAGCCCGCATGGAACGCTGGCGAGAGGAGGAATGCAACGCTGAGAGAGGAATGTTTCCGTATTCTCATGGTGGAATGTGGATCAAGAGGGAAAACTGAAAACTTAAAACTTACGGGACGCCTCTCAACCTTCCACCCGAGGTCTTGGGCAATTTGTCCCACGCTGTCAACCGTGATACTGGGGAGGATGTGCTCGTCCTTGGGTATGACCATGGTAGGTGGAGCGCCGGTGTCGGGGGATCCTGACTTGACTCCAATGAAGCCGCTAGCAGAGAACTCGTGGACAAAGGACTGCGTCTCGGCGTCGAGGTGGAGCGTCAAGCCGTAACCCTGCTTTCGAGCCCGTCCCATGACCGGGATGGTGGGCCCGTAATTACCGCCGACTTTGAAAGCACCGGTGCCCTTCGGCGCCGTGCGATCGAATCCCTCCACCACCAGCGCCTTGAGCCCCATTGCGCCGTACAACAGACCGACGGGCGTGACGAGGACGGCAAACGTGTACTCCTCCGCCGTGTACATGTTCATGGTCGGGCTGCTCGCAAAGACGACTGGCCGCACATACATGGAGCACCCGCCCTCGAAAGGAGGCACAAAGTCGCTGTTGAGGTGGACGGCCAACCGCACCGATTTGGCAAACAAGTCAGCCGGGACGGCCGGAATGTCGACGGCAGCGGCAGAGCGGGCGAACCGGGCCGCATGGCTCGCTAGGCGGAAAAGCTGAAGGCTCCCTGACTCGCCGCGAAAGACGCGTAACCCCTCGAATGCTTGCTGCCCGTAATTGAGCGCGGGGGAAAGGCCATGAACCTTGAGGTAAGGCTCACGCACCCAACGCGGTTGGCTCCAGGTGCCGGATTGGACTGTAAAGGTACACTCGACATGGCCGTTTACTAAGCGCTCAATTGTTATTAATCCCTCGAATCAAACTTGGACCTCATTCAGCTACCGGGTGTTATTGGTTGCTTCACGGTGGTTCAGATCGAACGAGAGTGACCGCATTTGTAATTTGACTGACCTTGGAACGGCGTAAACCCGATCTTGTGCCATTCTACGTCTGCTTTCGGCGGGCGGACTCCGAATTGGTTTCCGGTCTCGCTCTCGCCAGCTTGAAGTGCCGGCGAGGAGTATGCAGGAACAGAACCCATGGTAGTAGATATTTCGTAAGAGAAATGGGGATTTTCGTGCCGGTTCCCGGTAGACAGTGTGACCGTGTACGAATTTTCGGAAAAGAATTGCAGTCTGATGTTCCAAATGCAAGTTGATCAAAGGCGACAGGAACCAGCATTTGAATCTTGTTCAAACACGGCTCTATAAACTGACAATCTCAAGTTCCGATAACGAGTTGCCGAGTCTGGCAATCCGGACTCTTGACTTCATCGACGACCTTAGCTGATTGTCAGCGCCTGACCGCAACCTTTAGCTAGAGTGCTTCCCGCTTGACCATACAGCTGGGGGTAACCTGTATTGTATCACGCGTTGTCCGGCGCCGATATCCGTAATACTAGTGATATTCGAGCTAAAAGAATTCCATCCCGTCAAGCAGGATCCATCTCAAGTCGCGCATGGCTGCACCGTCCGCAGAGTCCCTGGTCGGACGAGCATTCGTAATTTCAACCACCCACCCACGGCGCCTCGTGTATCTGGCGCCAAGCGGGAAGGGGAATGGACCGCCGTGTGGGCCTGGGGATTTAAGCTCTGTCGGGGTTTGCAAATTATGACACGGAGCCGACTTTGTAATCATCATTGGCCTCCCGCCGCGTTCCGATTGACCAGATCGAAGACGCAAATTGGTGGCGCCAAGTTCTAAAAGGCTATTGAACCCTGTCTACTTTGTTGAAAAGTCGTGGGAAGATTTGACTAGCCGGGACCAGGGGCTCATGCAAGGTCAGCGCAATCATCATACTCGCAGAGTGGATGAGCCCCTGATCTTCGGATAGATTCGCATTCCCGTCACATCCCAAGAATGAATGCATAGTCTTCTTTCCCAGTCATTAGTATTGCTTGCTTCTCATGCAGTGTCCGACAGGAAAGCAGCGTCAACATCGTGAACCACAAAGTGATCAATTGCCTGGCCGAGCTCGGCTCGAGGGAAACAGTTGCAACATCAAACATGAGAATGGACAAACCCAGTTGAAAGCCATGTGTATACTTGAAGAAAGAAAACGCGATTTGAGCCACATCCAAGACGATTGAGCAACATTGTGCATCTATCTGCCCTTCCATCTAACTTCCTCATCGAATTACTGCGCAATTTCAATCCGTAAAAATGTCTACTACGTTTAAAATTGTTGTTTTTGGCGGAGATTACGCCGGGCCAGAGGTATGTTGGACTTCCCCAGTTCACGCACACGCCCGTTTGTGGTGGATAAATCCCGTCATTAATCACAAAAGCAGGTCATGTCTGAGGGGCTCAAGGTGCTTCACCAAGTCGCCCTCCGCCACCCCGAAATCAAGTTCAACCTGACGCATCATCCCATAGGCGGAGTACGTCGACATCAAAACTTCTGCCTAAACGCACACTACCAGCTCAACTAACCCCTTTCGACGCAGACATCCTTCGATCTCCACGGAAAGCCGATACTTGCCGAAGCTCTCCAAGATGCAAAGGAGGCCGATGCAATCCTGCTAGGCGCAGTCGGTGGCCCTGTAAGTCATTCATGGATTCATGCCGGTAGCCGTCCTCACATCAGGAAATCCAAATACTAATCATGAGCTTCAAAGAAATGGGCTGGACAGGTCCCTTCCGTTGAAGCCGCGAGTCTGGGGACCCTGCGCCGCGAACTGGATGCGTTCGGCAACCTGCGTCCGATCAACTTTCCTGCCCCGTCCCTAGTCGACACGTCGCCAATGAAGGCCGACATTTGCAGAGGCACTGACATCCTCATCGTCCGAGAGCTGACTGGTGGCATATACTTTGGGCACCGAGAGCGTGGAGACCGCATCGCCAAGGATACGGACCAGTACACGTATGAAGAGGTAGCGAGAGCAGCGCGCCTGGCGGGCAATCTGGCAAGACTGTCAAGCCCGCCAAAGCCCGTCATCAGTCTCGACAAGGCGAATGTCCTGGCGGCGTGCGGTAGCTTCTGGCGTCGCGTCGTCACCGAAGTTCTCAGCGAGGAGTTTCCCGATGTTCGTTTTGAGCACCAGCTCGTGGACAGCGCTGCCATGACTCTGGCCTGCAACCCGACGAAGCTCAACGGCATTGTTCTGACGAGCAATCTGTTTGGTGACATCATTAGTGATCAAGGGAGCGCCATAGCCGGTAGCATTGGCCTCCTCCCTAGCGCTAGCTTGCGAGGCATCCCGCCGCAGGCTGGCAGCAGCATGATCAAGGGTCTATATGAACCCGTCCATGGTACGTTGTTTTCATTCGATTTTGATGGATTCCCTTCCAGTTTCACTCATGGATCGATGCTGATTGTCCGATCTAGGCTCTGCGCCGGATATCGCCGGTAAAGGGTTGGTAAATCCTGTTGGAATGATCCTCTCTGTTGCCATGATGTTCCGCTATTCTCTCAACATGCCCGAGGCTTCTGATCTAATTTGCAAGGCTGTAAGCGATGCCATTGAGTCTGGCGTGCGGACTTCGGACTTGGGAGGTACTGCGACTACCAGCCAATTTGGCGATGCTGTGGTTAAGATCATTTCACAACTCCCTTGAGAAAGTGGCACAACAGAAGAAAAAGCAGAATCGGTTACTTGAACTTTTGAAGGCCAGGGGGCATTGCTAGCGCCAAGCAAGGCATGGATGTGCGTTTAGAACCAAGGATGTATAGACTAGAGGCAGTGATGGAAGCTTAGCATAGAGATTTGCTCCCGCGCAGGCAGATCGCAACAGTCTAAATATGCATGCCATCTGAAATAGCGATCATGGAACATCATGTTGAGAAGAGAATTTCTGCACAAGCCAGAAGGTTTTTGGCTACATTAGATTCAGGGAAGCCCTCACATGTGAATTGGACTGTCATCGGGTGACATTGACTTCTGTACTGATAGATCAACCTTTTCAAGAGAATAGACGGAAATTCAGACGAACCAAAGTCCGAAATTTCGTCAGAACCAACTTGAATCCATTGGTTGCCTATTTTCTTCCGTAAAGTAGAAGCACTGTCACCGCAAAAAGCTCGAAAATTTGTAACGTCGTCAGATTTCAGACCCCCTTACCCCTGTTGCACACGTTTCTCGTGTTGGTTGGATAGTGGTCTGTCACAACTAGACCCGCTTAGACGTGACCCTCGGAGGGTCAATGGACGGTCGATCATGCTGAGTCGCCGGCAGCGCTGGATAAAGGACGCGTCATTTGCGAGACATAGAGGCCGACCAACTTGCTTTCATTTTAGGCACCAGCCTTGGCACCCTGAACTCTCGGAATGTAGTTGACGCCGCTGTGAGATGATACGTTTAGTGCCCAGAATCTTTAAGTCGGGTATCGAAGCCAAGTTGAAAGTTGAAGGATTGAAAAGGTTGTCGACATTGAGCAGAAAGAAACACTGCCTTTGGTTTCCCTACCTTAGTTCCATCGGAACTTAATTCGAATGTTTTCGTTTGTTCGTTGCGACCATTGGAATTTCTCCCTGATTTAAGAAATTGTCTTGAATCCTTACATTACAAGCGCCATGCTTCCAACGCCAACGCTGGTGATCCGAGACGATGGCGACGACGACCCTCCAAGCACGTATTGCACAAGTGCTGTGCCAGGACCAAACGGAGCGGTTCCTTGGGATGCTTGCAATTCCAACTACAACTTCTATCCTAAGTTGGCGCCTGCCATTGCAACAGCTTCAATCTTTGGGGTTCTAACATTGATCCATCTCATCGAGGCGATTTGGTACCGAAAGGTAAGATGATGGACCCGAACTTTCTGTTGTTTCTCTTTCCATGGAAGAAAGATCCAGCCAAGGGAACATGCAAACGCAGTCAGTGTCGTGTACATGCTGATTCTCGATGTCTTGTAGCCATTCACATGGACGGTTCTGATGGCGGCAAGTTGGGAAATGGGCGCCTTCATCCTCCTCGCATACGGCTCGCAAGATCAACAAGCTCAAGGCTACGCTACAGGCCATCAGGTCCTCTTTCTATTGGCTCCAATTTGGCTTAACGCCTTTGTCTACATGACCTTTTCACGAATGGTCTACTTCTTTCGACCAGGCGGAGAACCTCGAGTCTGCCAGATTCCAGCAAGATGGCTTGGTCGTATTTTTGTCGTTGCCGATATCGCCACCTTCATCGTACAGGCCACAGGAGGTATCATGGCTGGTCCGACAGTAGAGCCTAATACGAGAGCGAAGGGTGTCAAGATCTACATCATCGGCATGGGTGTTCAAGAGGGCTTCATTGTGGTGTTTTTGATGTTGATGGCTCGCTTCCATTATCGCGCCATACAAATGAACCGGGATGATGTTGATGGACTTGAAGGTTCATCCGAACGTGAAGACGAAGAGGGCTTTATGCCGCGGCGGACCTGGAAGCCTCTTCAGTTTGCACTTTATGCAGTGTTGCTTGCAATCACGGTCAGTTTGCGTTTTCTATTTACTATCTTCTTTCCGTTCTTTGTCAAGGCTGTTTTACTAAAAGGTATTTCCCTGCGTAGACACGCATCATCTTTCGCCTGGTCGAATTCACCGGCGGCATGACTCCCGAAGAGAACCCTGTACCTTACACAGAGGCATATTCATATGCCCTTGACGCTTTCCCAATGATGCTGGCTTTGCTTGTTTTAGCCATCATACACCCGGGTCGAGTTCTTCAGGGCACGAACAGCGAATTCCCGAGAAAGGGTTGCCGACAGAAGCGCAAGGAGAAGAAGGAGGAAAAGGCGGTGAAGAAGGCAGCGAAGGAAGAGCGCAAGGCAGCCAAGGAGGAAAAGAAGAGGATCAAGAACGATCGGAAGAAGATGAAGGCATTTGGCGAGGAACCTGACTCGGAACGGGATAGCTATGGAATGGGGCTGATTGACGGGCAGAACCACGAGCCCATGCGGTATGCAGACTACGATAGACCCTAGGTACGCCAGATGAATGATGAATCCAAGACGTTATGACGGGACATCTTTTTTCACCCTTAGCAGATGATCAAAAGCAATGTCTATGCAAGACGAACTGCATATGCGCCACTCTCACAGCATGGATCTCTCAACTTTTGACCGACTGTCTGTCTATACTTTACCGTCCACAAATGGGAACGAGTCTAAAGGCACGCTCTACGAATGACCTTGACTAATTAATTCGATGCGCTTCATTAAGAGAAACAGACCTAATCCCTTACCAATAATGATTGGCCCCAAAAACCTCGGTCTCAAGAACACATCCACAGTCTGCTTATTCAGGAGAACCTTTACGTGCTTCTTGCTGAAAATACCGCCACCACATTTAGAAAGGATTCGTCTCCCTTCATTCTCTCTTGCGGCTTGGATATTCCCTTGCAACACAACGTGCACTATCCATGTCGACGGCAGATTCTAGACTTGCGTACACGTCGTAGCTGACAGTGCATACAGACCCCTATCCTAGCACATTTGGCAGACCCGAGGAGGGGGCACCCCCAGTGGATCTGTCAAGGCTTTTGAGTTTTTCCTGTGCATGCATGTCATCCCGAATCTCGGGAATGACACGAGAGGTAAACGACGTGTTGATGAGAGGAACTGATCGTGGCCTGAAGTTTTGGATTCTCGCGCCATAGTTTTCGGAGACCTCCAGATCGATACTGATGCACAGTCAGCGGATGAGGGTACTGCTTTGATCGGAATAGGTCAACATGTATCTAAATAAACGGCACTATCATGTCACCAAGTTAGTACGAACATGAAGGCATTGGAAAGAGGATAGAAACACAGTGTGACATCCAAGACCGCAGACATGACTTTTCTGATTCTCGGCTCGGCGCTGCCATTTGTGGCCATCCTTTTGCTTCTTGGACTTTTCTTGTTCCAGACGTTGTACCGCTCTTTTACCGGAGGTCTCTCGAAAGTGCCCTCTGCTCATTGGACGTGCTCGTTCAGTTCCGTTTGGATTCTTTGGCAACGTTACCATGGAAAGGAACTGAAAGCTGTCCTCGCAGCTCACGAAAGACTCGGCAAGATTGTCAGAGTCGCGCCACAAGAAATCAGCATCAGCGACTACGAGACTGGCGTTCGTCAGGTTTATAACGCTGGTTTTGAGAAGCCAGGCTACTTTGACTTCTTCCAATATTACGGGTACGTCACATATGTGATCAACAATCAAAGATATCTCCCAGAATTCTCCTTGCCGAAGTCGTAACCAATCACTTACTTGCCTATGTCAGACAACGGAATTCTTTTGCCAGCCGGAGCCGAGCCGATCATGCCGCATGTCGCAGACGAGTATCGTCGTCTTACTCTAAGACGACGCTGTTTGCATCAGAGACGTTGAGCAAGGTGACTCACAATATTATGTACCAACGCCTCATCCCAGTACTCCAGAACCACTCTGCACACGGACAACCCATCGAGCTTTTGAGACTCTGCTACGCTTCTGGGCTTGACATGCTCAACTGTTACATTTTGGGTCTGTCCAGTGGACCTGACTTTACGCGTAACCCCGAGTTGACAGAGATGTGGCTGGAACACTACGAGAACAGATATAGTCCTCAGGGTTTCTGGCTGCAGGAGCTCCCTGGACTGTATCATGGGCTTCGCCGCATCGGATTAGACCTGATGCCTCGTAAGCACTACGAATCGACCAAGTGGATCGAGAATTGGATGCTTGAACATTGCGATAAGTCTGAGGCAGTCTACCGACGTATGCAGAACGGAGAGCAACCCGCCCCCGAGGACGTTCCAGTCGTCTATCAACAACTGCGAAAAGCAATGTCCAACTTGAAGGATGGCAAATTTCTCGACATGCAAGCTTCGGAAGAGATGTCCAGAATCTCTATCGCAAGTGAGATTTTTGACCACATGTGTAAGTTTCCCTTGCTCTTGTTAACTTTCAGTAAGAGAATATTACTGACTGTAGAAAACGCACGCAGCCGGCGCTCGTGAGGTCTTTGGTGAGTTTCAAGCGCTTCATGAAGTATTCCCTCTTCTGACTTTAGATGCTAGGACTTGTTCTCGCTTATGCGGTCTACTACCTTGCCCAGAATCCGGCTCATCAAGAAATGCTAAAGCAAGCGGTCGCGGGACTTGGAATGCACGTCAACCAGGTCGGAAAAAATAACGAAAACAGTCTACCTTCGCCTCAGACTATTGAGTCAATCGCATACCTGCAGGCCGTCATCAAGGAATCCCTGCGCATGAGACCCAACAGCACCCCGTTACCACGCGTCACCCCCCACGACAAATCCGTGAGCATTTCGGGAGTTGACGGCATTCCGGCGGGCACTCGCGTCAACTGCTTCCAGTGGTTTCTGCACCGCAACCCAGAGATGTGGACCCAGCCGAATGCCTGGGTTCCTGAACGCTGGTTGGACCAGAACGGCGAAGAGAGGACTGACATGCCTCCTCTCTGGGCTTTTGTGACCGGTCCGAGAGCCTGTATCGGAACTCAACTGACATACTACCGTAAGCAATTCTATATCTCAAGCTTCAACAAACTGACACGTCATTTCAGTCTTTGGGTACATACTGGCTGGCCTATTCTCCAACTTCCACGTTCAGATTGCCCGCCCTGAGACCTACGGCCGCCACACCCCTGGGTCTCTGGAAGATGAACTTTTTGTGACGATGACACCCATTGCTGCATAAGCGAGATGCTCATAATCGTCTTTTGCGATCGATTTACATTGAATACTTCTTGGCTGGCCAGCATTTGGGTTGGTGCGATTTGGTTATGAGAGTAGCTGAAGATTGCTTGTTTCATAAGACTTCGATGATTGAAAAGATCGAGTATACTATTAAAAAATGATGAAGGCATCACGAAAGTGGCCCGCAAAAGGCCATTCTGAATTGACCTTTTTGCGTGCTAAATAACCGAGAATCTTTCACTAAACTACTTATCTAAGTAAGAAGGCAACTGTGATGTCGATGGTTCGTAATACAGATATTTCAGACTTTTCGTACTATCTATCATACTTCAAATGCCATCCGGAATCGTGGAAAAGGTATTTCATGTTTCGTCAGCCCATGCCGTGATCCAGCTTCGATATGAGTGAAGGTGATTACATTGAATCCAGTTTTGAACAAGCTTCCTCGGATCCAAAAATTATCGCTGATTGCAGCGAAAGAACCAATGATCATGACTCCGACTTCAATCTTTAAGCTATAGAAACAATTAAAAGTTAGGGCCGGGAATTACAGAGTAGCCTTATTGGCAATCTCATGTGTAGACCAGGCCCAAGGAAACTTTTCCGTGAATCAAATGGAGCAGCGTAATATAGGCGGTATCGTTCAGAGACATTGCGACGCCTCAATGATCGTACATTGATCCCATTCATGTGTAACCTGATAATGAATTGGATTGATAAGAAAGCTGAATGGCTTGTGATACTCATCCAGTCGCAAGCACCGTCCGGGCTACAGAAAGGATGGCCTCCCGTGTCAGATTGACCCCTGTCCCCCGGTCGATGCATGTCAGAAGTGGCTGCATCAATAGGGCTAACTCTACATTCTACTAGCCTAGGTATTCCATAGACCAAGTGACGAATTCCAAGCAAACAAATTTTGAGCGAATCATTGACGACACACCATCCGCGCGCCGACCAATTGCCTTTGGAACGTGTAAGACCAACATTGAAAATCGTTCCATTCATGTAGGCTATTGGAGTTGAGTTTCGTAGATCACAGAATGAGAGACAATGCCCGTGGCATCTCCGACGCGGTCACCACCGATCTTGGAATTTCTCGATCAAGATCAACAACGCTTGGTGATAGGACAGTTCTTGAGAAATACTAGAATCTCAATTCGATAAATTTCTCAAGCAACTTTATAATTTTATGTTCACATCTTTCACAGCCGGTGCTAACATCTATTCTTCCCTTTGCGGCCTAACGTATATATTGCTCGAAGAAAATTCAATGAGATTGCAGGGATAGCACATGCTGACATTCGGCTACCCCAAGAGCTCAGCTGCGGCTGTATGCAGTGAGACAGCCACCGACTTACACTAAGACCCGATATGACAGCAAAGCTGAACCCCCTTGCCTGCGATGCTGAGGCTGGGACCCGTGCATCACCCCCGCGTTATAACCCCCTGATTTCTCGTTCACTTCGAGACGACTGGCAAGACTCAAGGTCATCAATCCATAGCCCTGCGACATCCAGCAGTATGGCTTCCACGACTCGCGGTGCTCCCAAACGCTTGATTGTTTGCTGTGATGGAACCTGGATGGACTCGTTGGGTAGCAAGGGGTAAATTCTGTCACTCTAGCAACGTGGTCTCGTCGTCCGCTGACCTGCACGTTAAGCGCTGAACCGCAATCCAACGTGACGAGAATCTCACGAGTGCTTCGGAGAACTTGTCAAGATGGCACCCATCAAATCATCATGTACCATCCTGGTGTCGGTAGCTCAGACAGCGCAGTCGATAAGTTCACCGGTGGATTGTTTGGGGTTGGACTCGACCAGGTGCAGTGGAACGCACCCAAAGCTCGCGTCTTTTCCAGAGGAGCTAATTGGAAATCCAGGCTATCCGTGAAGTCTACAACTTTATCTGCACTAATTACGTCGATGGAGATGAGATCATACTCATAGGCTTCTCTCGCGGCGCTTTCACAGCGCGCTCTGTTGCCGATATGATTGCGACCGTCGGCTTGCTAACTCCCACGGGCTTGGACCACTTCTACGCCATCTTCGAAGATTATGAGAATATGGGGGACTCTGATCGTGATTTGAGTCTTTTTCTGGATCCGCAAGTACTTCCCTACAACGGCGAGAAAGGAGCAGCCAAGGCCAAATGGGAGATGGACCGGAAATCGCAGTACGAGAAATGGCTTGCTAACGTGTGTCCTACCTACCTTTTGTGGGCTTTGACACTAATGGCATGTAGAATAACCTCACACGACACACATACGAAGACGCGAAGGGTGTGCACGAGATTACCATCAAGGCAGTTGGTGTTTGGGATACTGTCGGTGCCTTGGGCATCCCTCCAGCTCCGGTCATTGGGCTGCGTGGAACATCAGATCAATAAGTGTACCCTCTCCGCATTCATCTCAAGACATGACTGACATATATTTCTACGTGGAAGTTCAGCAATACGCAGGTATCAGACCGCGTGGAAAACGCGTTCCATGCTCTGTCTCTGGACGAACCACGATTCGCTTTCCGTCCTGCACTTTGGGAAAAGCTCGAAGGCAACAAAACCAACCTCAAGCAGGTCTGGTTTCCAGGTAGCCATGCTGGCGTAGGCGGAGGATGGCATGAGCAACAGATTGCCACCATCACCCTAGCTTGTACGCAGCCACTGTCATCTTGACTATCATGTGGCAGAAGCTGACCAAAAACTAAGGGATGTGTGATCAGCTGTCGACTGTGGGTGTCGAGTTCAACCCAGACCGTATGTTCGACATTTTCATGCAAGGACTTCGGTTCTCGGCTGCCCACCCGTTCTCCTACGTCCCTGATACCTGGTCATCATGGTTTCGGCCGAAGCAACAACTGCCGTGGGCGAAACCCAGGATATGTCCGGTAAAGGCATCAAGCATCCATCGGGATAAGGCTGAATGTGATGGAAAGGATCGTCATCCTGCCGGTAGTGCAGAAGAGCTCTGGAAAACCGCTCGTCCGTGGGGGCTAGGCCAAATCCGATATCCGACAAGCCGCCTCCAGACTTGGTCAGGAACCACAATCCGGCACCCCGGGACCTTTATGCGTACGGACCCGCAAACGAACCAAGACACGGACCAGCCTTTGTCCAACACCAACGAAAGGATTCATAGTAGCGTGCGGGTCCGGCTGGCTTGCCAAGGCCTCTCTATGGACGATGATGGGGTATGGGACTGCAAACCTCTAACTAGAGCCGATGATGGGAGCGAGCTCTGGAAGCTGGAACGCGGCTCCGGGCTTAACGCCTCTGGGGCAGATAGCTGCAAAGACGGCAGGACCAGGGAGTTGGATCTTGGAGCAGATGGAGGTGACTTGAAGCCTTATCCGGTCGAGAAGGAAGACGGCCAATGGAAATGGGTCTTAGCCAACGAACGGCACAACGCCTTCCCGCAGGCTAGAGTACTGCCCGAGGAGCCTTTGACGGGGTTCTGGGAACGGAAGTTGCTGGCTTTGACTGCGGGAAATCCCGACGTGTGGAGATGGGCGGAGGAGAATCCCCTCGTTGGCTTGATCTAGGTCCTTTCTGTCTCAGCCCGTGGCTTTTGGGCGGCAGCCACAGTATCGTGGTGAGTGTGACGAATACGGTTGAATGTCTTACACTTGAATTTGCCGCTCGAAATACCAGCAAATCAGAGAGCCTCCCCTTGCGAGTGATCGCCGTGTGAGTGATCGCCATGCCGGTGTTGTGTAACCTTTTACCCGTTGGAATCCAACACCAAGTTGAGCTCACCCCAAGGTTGTTGATCAGGTTTTAATATGAAGTTATTATCAACTTGGGTATCGCTGACCAGATTTTAGACAGCATTTTTGATAACGCCACCATCGCGATATGTTGGCAGTTGTATCGATCTCCGATGAGATTTGCCACCATTTTGAGCGTGGCTGCATGCGGCCAAGGCAGCGCAATTCCGTCATCTCTTGCGGCTATGAGGAGGCTATCGCGGCTAGCTGACGGCAACTACCGAAGGACTGGTAAAAGGGAGCTTACGCCGTGTCTCTGATCTGGCCGAGACATCAGCGGATTTAGGCTTGTCCTACTTGACCAGTAACGGCCTTGCGCAACCTGGCGAGGCCATTTCCCGCCTCAGCCATTTCTTCGGATGTTCTGTGATCCATTCAGCCGGTAAGACGTCTCTCCGAGAGCTCAAAGGTTTCTTGTCTCTCAGTCCAAGCCTGGCAACAGAGGAGACAAGTCCTCAATCTTGGGGTTTATTGACAACGGCAAACTCGATTCGAACTATTGACTGCATTCGTCCAACAACCAAGATCATAATGAGTGAATTAGGAAGATCGCGGGATTCAGTGCGAATGAGAAGCATGATAGTCGAGTATAAAGTGACTGACTATTTCCCTCCTCGATCAATTCTTCTTCACTCGCCACAGCAATTCGAATATCTTCACATCTTCTTCAGCAAAGGTTCTTGAATCAATAATTCAAACATCTCAAGATGGCTTCCATTCGCATTCTCACTACCTTTGCCCTGGCTCTTGGTGTGGCAGCCAACCCTGCGCCTGCTCCTCAGCCCGAAGCTGAAGCTGGCATTGCCGATTCGATTGGTCCTATCTCCATTAAATTGGAATCTTTGTCATTCTCCTTGACTCTTCCCAATGTGGAGCTCCCGTCCCCGCCTCCGGTCAACGCTCCCCGAGGCGTTCCCGACATTGATCTTCCGGCTCTTCCTACAACCCTCACCTCTCTTCCGAGTCTCAAGATTCCCCGGGATCTCACGGCTCCGACGCTCTCAGCTCCGACGCTTCCACCTCTGCCCACCCTTTCTGTCAAAGTAACCATCCCGCCTACCACTATCCCTGTGGCTGTAAATGTTCCGGACCTGAACATCCCTCGGGACCTCCCAGTTGCGCTTCCGCTTCTGTCGTCGATTCTTTCCGTCTCAGTCAAGATTGAGGCCACTGGTATCCCCGCTATCCCGACTCTCAACATCCCACGAGAGATCCCAGAGCTTCCCTCCATCAGCATTGAGATCCCGGCTCTGCCCACAACTTCCGTCTCCCTCCCGGCTCGCAAGCACCCCCGGGACATCTCGCTGTCGTTCCCCAACACTCCCCTTCCGACTCTGCCGGTGGTTAAAGTCGCTCCTCATAGCATTACTCTTCCCGGCGTCGGAACCCCCGAGGGCTCCGGTGCTGCCGTTGCTGGCGACATTCTCTCAATCACTGGTCTCCCGGCTGACATCACCCTGCCTACCGTTGTGCCCACCACTCTGCCCAAGCTCAACCTCGAGCGCGACCTTACAACCACCATTGATATCTCGGCCCTTAGCAGCCTGCTCGCCGCTCTGCCCACTGCCATCCCGAAGTTGAACTTGGAACGCGACCTGCCTGCGGTTGATGCCACTCTCCTCAGCTCTCTGCTCGCCGCTCTTCCCACCACCGTCTCCAAGCTGAACCTCGAGCGCGACTTGCCTACCGCCGGTGCTTCAGTTCTCAGCAGCCTCATCGCCGCTCTGCCTACAACTATTCCCAAGCTGAACCTCGAGCGCGCCTTGCCTACTATTGACGGTTCGGCTCTTAGCTCTCTGCTCGCCATTCTGCCCACCCCTCTCGCGAAGTTGAACGTCGAACGAGACATCTCTATCCCGCTTCCCACCGTCCCACCCGTCACCTTCTCCCTTGCTGTCCCCGTTGTTATCCCTGCCCCCGCCGTCCCTGTGGTTGCCCGCGACGTCGTCCCGACCTCCGTCGATCTTCCTGCGCTCCCGACTCTGCCAGCCATCCCCTCCGTCAGCGTCAAGGGCGAGCCTATCACCGCCAAGGTTCTGCCCCTTCGCGCCCTCTCGGTCCTTCCTATCAATCCTACCACCTTAATCTCATTGCTCCCCGTCCCGACCGGAATCCTCTCCTGCTCTACCGTCAAATGCATCCCCGACTACTTCTGCGAGGAAAAGAACGGTGCACCGATCTGTGTGCCGGGCTCTCCTCCTAAGGCCCCTGTGGCCTAGGTCCCTGCTGTCGATCCCGGCCCGCAGTGGACGGGAGCCAATTCAGCAAGTCGGCGCTCGCGACCGCCCGAGCCCTCGGCGACAGGCTACTAATATCTCAATAACAACATGGGAATGCAAGGAGGCTTGCATAGTTCTCCCCACAGATTGGAACATGGAGGACCGTAGTAATGGGGACGTATAATGGGGAAGGGGGAAACGTTAAACTGAAATGCCCCTGGAGCATGAATAATTAATTAATCAATAGCTAATCTAATCCATCTATTTTCTTCACTGCCAAGACGCGATCATCGTCTTCGTCCGAACATGCCGGGTTGCTTACTCTTGTTCCCTCAGCCTTTGGGGTGTGGCCTCCCCTCTTCTCGAGCCTTATAGTACGCTTTGCCCGTGAGTTAGTTGGTCGACGCGCGTGCCGTTGTTTAACGTTGGCCCATCCCTTTGATATAACTGGAGACAAGGAATTGACGCCAGCAATCAATCACTTTCAAACAACAAACTATAATTGTTCCCTGAATCGCGCCAAACCTACTGCCCGCCGCCCACAATGGGGTGAGTCCCTCACTTTCACTTCGGGACCATAAAGGTTGACGTTTCCGCCTCGGCTTGAATAAACTCTGTTGCCCCTCAAAGCCAGTCACTCGTCCATCTTCAGCCAAAACCTCGATTCCAACTCAGTCAGTCGTTCTTTACCAACAAAACCAACCCATCAACATGATGTTCCTTCACTCGCGTCTCATCGGCGTCTTCGCCTTCGCCTTAGCCGCCTCCGCCGCCCCTACCACCTGCCCACCAGCCGAAGAACCCGCGCAAGACCAATGCATCGGTGTCGCTTGCCCCGAAAACACTTACTGCAAAGTTTTCAACTTCCGTTTAGAGCATCCTGTTGCTTGCAAGTCCAACGGCACCGTACCGGCGGATGCACAGACTTGCGGCGAGGTCATCTGCCCGATAGGAAAGACCTGCTGCAACTCGCCTTGCGGCGTGTGCGCAAACCCTGGGGAATCATGCTTGGAATGGGTCTGCTGAAAAGGTTGTCGGGATGGGAATTTTGGAAACAATACCAGGTCATTGTCAGGAGTTCGGGCGCCCATTGGGTCATCTTCAAATCTCGGTCACAAACAACATGATGAAAGTACCTAAAAATAAAGTATTCTCCTATTCAACAAGAAACCCGGTGCTTTTGCTTCTCACCCTTGAAGGAAATTGCCGCAGGATGCATGACTCGCGTGGAATATCCCCATCAGGACCTCGGTATTGTTTGTGATGAGAAAAGACAATGATCCTGACTTTGACCACGCGTGCGCGCAACTACACCAGCAGTACATCATAAACTTCGAATTCCTGGTTCTCTCTAGCTTCTAGATTCTCTTTGAAAGTGATTTCCCTGTGAATTGAACCAGGCTCGGCCTAGCAGCTGCTTATCTACGGTTGTGTAAGCCACGGCGTGCGACTGGTCCAAAGATATCATCCGATCTTTAGACTCTACTAAACCTTGGTGATAGCAAACTCTGGCGTCAGGGTCATCCCGGTCTTTGTAAAGTACCGTTCCCAGTGATCGGCAAGCCTCCGCATCACTTGCGGCTTCTTGTCTGATACGTCGTTCATCTCCGCAGTTTACCCTCTAAATGCTCCTGGTCATCCTTTCCCCTGCTTTTGTTCAACTAGAACGCCTTCCACATGTCTTCGCGAATTGCGCGAAGGACACCCAGCCGTGAACGTGCACGTCTTCTCCGTGAACAGTCGAGTCCGGCGCCGCGTAATCGGGAGAAGTAAGACGATCCACCCAGGACTTACTACGGGATGTTACGATTTGACGACCTCGGGACGATGTGCCATGGTGTTGGACCTGAGCCAGTTCTAGGATTGTGGGGAGGATGTTCATCACTGTGGTGAGCTGATGCGTGATCTCTTCGGACTTGGCTGGCAAAAGGGGGGTAGCGAATCAAACATGGGCTCAGCTACCAATACCACCGTCCGTTCTCCAACAGTTCGAGCCGCGTGATGGCGCCGTTGCGGCACATTCCATCGCGAACCTTATTTGCGTCTGCGGCAAATTACAGCCACCTAAAGACTAGACGAAAATACTGACCATGCTAGGCGACAGACGTCTCGACGCCCAATGTTGTCGTAGGACTTTTGGACTATGCCAGAAAACGTCATTTCTCCTCCAATCACCTGCGGCAAAGCGAAAGTAAGTATCGTGCTGATGCGATGAGTGATGAAACGGGGAAACTTACAGGAATGGCTTCAAGAGCACCACCCTCGGGCCATTATCTGACATGAAAAGGGCAAAAGTGTCATCGATTTTTGCTGTAGCCTCAAGGTTTTAATTGACTCGTCCAATATTCTCATCGATAAGACCTACCATGGAAGTAGTAACTTCCATTTTTCGTGCAGATTCCTTACGCTCCCGCTTCGTCCTGTTATTCCAGTTATCCAGTACGCCAAGTGGTGGCGTGTGATCAATGACCTTGCCCATGAGACCGAGATTGACGAAGCGTTGTAACCTGCGTCCTCCGCTGTGTCGACGCACCGGGTTCTTCGTCGTATTTACCAGCTTAGACAATCATTAGTGACCATCGCGCATGAAGAGTACATTCAGCTTGTACCGTATTTCTGGACCACCTCTCGTAAGGCCTGGAGAGGCCAGTAAGGCGCGGTAAAGGAGAAATAAGTAGAGAATGGTTGCTCTTTCTCCTTCTAGTCTCTCCCCTTGAAAAATCTGATCATATGATGTTAGAGTATTGCGTTGAGTAAAGGTCGTCGGTCAGTTTTTGTTCTGTATTTGACTAGCCTATCCCCATCCATCCACGAGCCTTCAGTGTCGAGACAGGGACTCTTGAACTCGTCATCTTCCAGCTGAGGCTCGTAGGCGCAATGGTTTCCGGAGCCTCGCAGAAAGCTAAAGCCTTTCGTAAGGCCTCGATTGCAAGTCGCGAGCGACTTGGTCAATCCGTGGTGCCTGTAGAACACTAGATGTCAGTAACACTGATACTGAAGCGTTTGCCACCGTCGTGAGTGAGTCTGGCTTACCCTTTTCCTCTTTCCAGAAATTATGGCGTGATAGCCAGGGTCTTGTGGAATCTTAGGCGAAGTACATGTAGCCACATAACAGGGTTTATTTTTGAAATAGTCTCCAAAATGTCTCATATGTTCAACCATTCGACCTTTAAAACTCCGTAAGCTGTTGCCATGCGATGAATAGACACATACGTATCAAATCTCAGTTCTGAAGAACAACAGTGTCCTTGTGGGCGAGCATGGTGACGCAGTGTGAAAGTTTTCATGCGAATGCCATCTTTTGCAAGCTATTCAGAACTGTTGTATGAACCTCGCCCCCATATAGGCTGAAATCACGAAAGTTATAATCCGAGGTCGTCGGCGATGATGATCAGGAAATTTGGTTACAATTGTATCAGAATCTGCTGGTACTTTGATTTTGGTAGGACATACCACAGAACATTGGAATATCCTGGGAAGCAGATTCAAGGCGATGCTGGCAAAAAAGGCCGGAGCCCCTGGTTTAGCGGCATAAATCAACATCAAAGCCCGAGTCTTGGTATCTGACTCGGATTGGAAACCCCAGAATATTGATCTTTCTCCACATACTTCAGCATCAACATCCAAAAAATTCCAGCTCTATGGTCAGGTGAGAACAGTTGTTAGCGGGGATAGGCGAGAAGACATCTCTCGGGAATGATCGTTTCGGCCTCGACCAAGGCGTCAACTCGGCACAGGCGATGGACACTTTCGGGCGATCATTCGCCTGGTATAATGCTAAGACAAAAACTTACTATCCTGAAAGCTGGTGGCTTTCTCTTTTTGCCAGGTTGCGACATAAATACATTGGGGTCGGCACCGGTGAGACATTTGTTAAGTCGATTCGTTTCAGGAAGGATGATGTGTTGACAGCTCCGTCTTCTGGTCAGGCATTTTGATCAGAAGCATAGTTAGGAAGTATGCGGCCGACAGATGTGCATGTCCTCGATCAGCATTTGGTCATGTGTAGCAACGACAAATAGTGACGTCCAAAAGCCGCGATCAAACCCTCGCTGCCAGGATACTGGCTTACATTTATGTTGACATAGAGCTCGCCGTCATGCCCATGTCCTGGTTTGAAATAACACCAAAAAAGCTCGTGGGCTCGTTGTGGGCACGTACCAACTGAGTCTTTCAGTGAGCCAAACACCATTACGAATCTGCTGAGATATATGCTGATATATTTCTTTCAGACGGTGGCCAACGCCATGACCCGAGGTACCGGGAACTGGAAGTCTGCTGCGGCCTACCTGATCCATTGTATACTTTTTGACATCGTCGCCTTGATAGTCATAACCCAAGTCTGGTTTGTCCCAGAGGTAATTTGAAGTCGATAAAGAACTTGTAGCTCTCACATGCCTTTGCAAAGGCGGGTTCACTGAGACCAAAATCGCTGTCGACATGTCTCACATCCGTGCAGGCATCGACCACGAAGTCGAGAAGGGTACTTTCATACACACAATCCGTAGCAAGCAATTGGATAAGCGGGCCTTGTCTGTCATTAGTGTCAACTTCTTCCTGCAGGCTACAGGTGCAATATTTGCCTCCCTGTATGGCGTCATTTTTTCAAGCATTTGGGGTTCATCGACCCCTTCACCGTCACCATGGGGATCTCTTGCATCAATATGGTCATGGTAGTTTGTTCCATGGTCCTATTGGGTGAGTTGTGTCAAAGGCGAGGCCCTCTCGTCTACATTGTGTACCTCGAGTCCCAGCTTCTTGCACCGATTGGCTGACTTATCATCGGCATTAGAAACGTCATCTTCTTCGGCGGGTCGATTCAGACGGCCGGTTTTCTTGCCGTGGGCGCTCTCGGACTCACGCTCAATCCGAGCGTCGCCGTCAAGTCAGCAATTGTCGCCATGATGATTGTGACGACTACGGGGTTCAGTCTCGGCTGGGCACCAACATCGCAGGTCCTTTCTGCCGAGATTCCGAGCATGCGCCTCCGTGACATTACGTTTCGGACGGACAGCGTCATCGGCATTGAATTGCAGTTCACCGTCGCTTTTATGCTACCGTATCTACTCAACACCCCCTACACTAACCTACCTAGGGTCCAAGGTTTGTCTGATATTCGGTACTCTCAGAATTCTGTGCTCTTACTGGTGTTCGCCTACCTCGGCGTACCAGAGCGCATGAGCCGCACACTCGAGAACGTCAACATGCTCTTCGAGATGAAGAACCCAGTCAGGAATTTTCAGAATACGGTCCTTTTGCCAGCCGCGCGTAAACAAGGCCATGATGAGCAAGACGAGGAGACAGCTTCTGAGATAACAATCGCGTTCTATCTCGAGAAACAAGCATGAGCTTGAATCTCCCTGAATCACTTGCCCCATGGCAAGCAATGATAATTTGCAACAGAGGTTAGGCTATAGCTACACTTCACATATTGTCCAAGAGTGGTGGGAACAGAAGTCTGAGTGCGGCATCTATCGTCAATTGGAAAAACCTGTAAGCAGTACAAAGATATCTTATTCGCGATACAGCCAAACCCAAAAAAAAGACCAAAGGAGTGACGCAAACCATGATACTCCCCCGTCTCACGCGTAACCGTTACTTCATCAGACATAACAAACTTCCATGCATATTATCCTCCTCTTTCCAAACTCCTGTCGTGACGTTCACTTGCTTCATACCCGGTCGGTGGAAACCAGCCATTTAGAGCATGAAAGCACCAAGAGCAAAGGCACCAGCGACGATGGCACCGACGGCGCCGAGCATGCCGTTGCTGCCGGGGGCGACGAGGCCGGGGGCAGCATTGCCGGTCTGGCGACCACCACCGACGATGGTGGAGGTGGCGATGGAGGGGAGGCCACCGTTGCCGGAGGTGAGGAAGGTGGTGGTGATGGTGGAACGCTCGGTGGAGTGAGTACGGCTGGAGGAAGTTCCGGTGGTCTGGGCACCGCCAAAGGTGGTGGTAAGCTGGCTGCTGGCAGTCAGGCGGGTGGCGAGGACGATGACGGTGTTGGCGATGGAGGTGGATGAGGAAGCGTAGCCGCTGGCGCTGGGCAGCTGGCACACGTTCATGATGCTCTGGATACCTGTGTAAAATCATCGGGTTAGCTCACTGATTCACAGAGAGCTAGTTGTAAGTTATCTCGAAAAGAAACGTACCCTCAAGGCTGCGCTGCTGGTCAGAGGGAACCTTCTCGATCATGCAGGCATTGCACTGGCCAGCCAAGTTCTTCAGGTCGAAGGAGTTGTTGGTGCAGACACACTGGGAGTCGAGCTCATCCTGGAGCTGATCGCTGTTGTTGTTGCTCTGGCCGGGGACGAAGTTGACGGTGCAGATGTTGCCGAGGTCACGGACGGGGCGGCAGATGGCAGAGCAGTCCTGGGGAATGTCGTTGTTGTTGATGCGAAGATCAGCGTTGACAACCGCCGCGGCGGCGAGAGAAAGAGCAACGGCCTTGGCGTGCATTTTGATAGTTATTGGATGAGTTGGTTGGTTAGAAAAGGTTGAGAAGAAGTTGAATAGGGAATGATTCGAGAAGCCGAGTCTACGAAAGTTGTAAGTGTCGAAAAGGGGTGCGAGAGACTAGCTGTCGAAAGGCGAAGTGAAGCGGTGTGAGAGTGATCTGATGAGAAAGGAAAAGGCTACCAGACGGGTTCGTGATAGGATATTTATGTTCTGGGCGTCAACCGTTCATGGCCTGCGTGAACCCTCCCGTTTCGCCCGGAGATCCGCTTCGGCAAGCTTCCAAGATGACCCCTTGGGCGTCGAAACAGCCACTATTGCTGTGCCTTGACAAGGACAAGAAAGTGGCACTGATGGGGAAGGGCGACCATCAACCACGAGGCGGGCTGTGGTGGGCAATGCCAAGCTGCATCTCAGAGCCCCGAGCAGTCCAAGCCTCAGACCAGACCGAGACTCAGTGACGCTATCGGTAATCTGGACTACGTGAGCAAGCTGGCAGGGTGTGTTCTCAGGCAGACAGAGTTACTCGCTGGTTTTGGGCACAGCACGGCACAGAGCAGTGTGACGTGGTCCAAGAGCCATGCATCTTTCGAAAATTTTCTGTCGAAGCATACCATCGTGAAACGCCCTTTCTGCCTGTCACCCGTGTCTGCCGCCGCTGCTCCCCACGTGCAGGGCGTGGACTAGTAGCTCCGGTCAAAACCTTAGTTTGTTAGTGCGTCCCAGTACTCTATCTGTGTAGAACGTACAGATAGACCTGGTTAAGTGATGGGGCCCTTTCTGACCATGACGGATGCGGGAAGGCATGATGCAGGGAGAATTGATGCAAGGCACGGGTCTTTGCAAAGGGGGCACTTGGTGACTGCGGTGTCCGTTTGATCCCCCTGGCAGCTCACCCGTAAAGTTGCTCGCCAGGAGATGCGGCGAGAACCGATGGTTCGGTCCCAATTTGCCAAGCTCGAGGATCAAGTTGAAAAAGTCCTTCCCAAAAGCAGGGTCGAAATCATAAGTGGTTGGGCAGGATTTCTCTTGGCAGCGGGAAGAAGCATGCTCAAAGCTCGGAGTGATCTTGGCGACGACCAGTGCCACCCCCTGCACTTACCATAGAACGAACATGCGCTTACCCAAAAGTTCCGGGAGGTAAGTCATGGAGGCAAGTAGTAAACAGCCGCCAGTTAGGAATATCAGACATACTCTTGTGGTCCAGCTGACGGCTCAAGCTACCTCGGAGGCGAGAGATGATGACTACTTTGCTCTGCATTAGCGCTGCCAAATTCAAAGATACCAGTTGCCACAACCCTCGCTGCTTTTCCTTCGACAAAAAAGTATTTCCAACGAGTTTCTGGCCTAGGATGGACATCCGCACGGCGCTCTCAGTCCTCCTCCATTGTCCCGACGATCTCCCCGTCGTCCAGCTGTAGCGTTTCACGTCCGGCCGTAGCACCGGGCCGTGCCCTTGGACTAAAGGATGGACTTGGCCCAGGTCGGCCCTGCACTTCCCCAAGTTATCCGTTAAATGTGGGATCCCCCTTGATTCTTGGTGCCTTGGAGGCAGTGTCATACCGAGATGCCGGCTAACCGGTTCAAGTTTGGTCGTTGTCTGGGTTCTGGGGGTAGCCGTTGAGAAGCCATAAACTGAGAGACCCACACGCGTAGGAATAGAGTCGACTAACGTAGGTCGGTAATGTAGGGAGATCCGCGGGGGGGCTAGAGAAACAAAGCCTGTCCGTGCATTTGCTCCGGAGCGGTTTTCCCTGCCCTTTTCCCTCACGTTAACCCTGAAATCACGAAAGCTGGAGAGAGTGGGAATCTCATCTCCGAGTACCTGGGCTGAATCAAGGAGCTTCAATTTTAGCAGATTGAGGAAATTGAAATCTTGGCTCGTTTGCCATACTGACGGCAAACCTTGGCTCGTTTGCCATACTGACGGCAAACCTTGGCTCGTCTAGCCCGGACCGCCGTCGCTGCAAAACATGTATGATGGCTTCGTCCAGTGCCAAGGCAATCACAGGTTTCCATGTATCGTCGCTAAGGGGATTCTTAAGCTCTAGTGCCCGGGAAGATATGACACTAACAAACGCCACTCAATCCAAACCGTTCCACATAGATTCTAGCCCCAACAAAGCGGTTTGTCAAACTTTTGGAAAGCAAGTATCGAAGCAAAATACCCAAAGATTCTTGGGCCTAGATGGCCTCACCCAGCAAGCCACTTAGCATGATATGTGGTCATTTGAAAACTGGAGATTCAGAAGTGGAGAGAATCTTGGCATCAATCACTCGGCCTGCTGTCGTTCGTCACCTACATAAGCAGAGTTGCTCCTGCGCGGCAGGGGGTTTATGCCGTGAACTCAACTAGAGCTCAGGTCAGTGAAAGGCACAAGACATGACTGGACCCATCGAGATGGCAAGTTCGTCCAAGGTAACACACCTCACGGATCAACGGGCCATCCCACTGCTCCAAGCTCCCAGCCATCTCAAGTCTCCAGCTTGTGTGAAGAGAATGCGCATATCCAGGTGACTGGTTCCTTACAGCCAATGTCACAGATGAGCACCTGGGGGCTGCGGATAGTGTGGCAGAGTCTGCTTGCATCGTGGCGTATGGTCTGCATATCTGGGACAGCGAAAAGCCCCAAACAGGAGTTGAGTAAGAGATGAAGCTGATCCAATCATGTCTCCTGCACGCTGCACCCCGGGTTTGAGAAGAGAGGGGGCGACATGGATGACTTAAGCCGAGAGATATCTGAGCTATCCGAATTCTCGGCGGAAACAGCTCGATGACTGGCTCCTCGCGCGACATTCGCCTTCGGGCTGGAGACTTGACACGCACGGGACCGCTCCATGCCTCGAATGCATTTCATGAATCACACACGGGTAAAGTAGAGATGAAGAAGGTAGGAAACCCCCCAAGAAAATTTCCGAGCTAGCCAACCCAGGTCGTCTTCTCCCAGGAGTCCTCACATGCGACAGTCCTGAAAAGAATTGCTTATCGGAACTAGCGGCCCGTGCCCTTCGTCTCACGGTGCAGTCTAAGACGATCCTCCAAAGAGCGACGAGGACTGTGGCTCGGTCTGCTCTGAGATTACACGGCGGCGAAACATGTCAAGGCCGTCTGTGCGGGGACCAAGAGCAAAGCAGAACACAACAGTCATCACATGTCCAACGGGTTAGTCGAGGGAATGTCAAGGCGAGTGGTTTTTCGCCTGGCGTATTCTTGGCGGCGCACATTGTGGTGAGGTCCGGTCAAGCGGCAGTTGCACGTCGCTGTTGCCGCAGTCCACGAAATGAGGTTTTGCCCGCCTACCCCAGATGAGAACAAGAAGGCTTGGCAAACAAATACACCATCAGCCGAAAACTTGAGTCGAATTGTATGAGACGATGGATGTGAATTTTTCTGCCATTTGAACTGGCACCTCTTCTGGACTGGTTTACTGATTTTGGTGGCAAAAAGTGCAAATCCGGATTTCAAAAGCATTTAAAGGGAATACTGTGGTATATTGCACTACTTGTGACATGCCTTGACCTCATTATCTGTCAGTTTGGCCGGTCAGGGTAGATTTCTTTCAATAATCCCTCCATGCGTACGCTTCCAGCAAGCGCTGCTTCTTCCGGCGACGGCGACGGCAACGGGCGAGTGAAAAGCGGGGCCCGAATATGGCGGTCCGAGGGCGCCGGAGTGTCGACGTATCGGTTGATTGAGTATGCCAAGTCCGAAGATACGGGAATTGCGGGTCGCTCTGCCGGCGCGACCGGAACAGGGGTCGGGCCTGTTGGTGCTCCGTTGGAGACTCTACGCGGCCAGAACACCGTGGGGTCAGCAGGAGAGACCTCAAAAACGCGACAGGCTGACTCTAAAGAGTCTGCAGATGGCTTCACGCTACTCACTTGTGGCTGTAATTATACACAGCGCCAGTGGACGAGGGTGGCATCGTTGCAGTGGGATAATCTTGCCAAGAACGATTCCAGGTCAAGGAACAAAATTGCTGTACGGGACAGCTGTATGGTTCGGATGGGTGGGTGGGGCCGACAGTTGTCCGAAGTTTTTCGGGTGCGGAATACCGATGGGTCTTCAGTACCGGAGAGTGAGGGCCTCGAGTTCATCGGTATCACTGGACAGATGGAAGCAGACAACGTCAAGCAAGCTGATGCAAGAGGTTTAGGTGGTGATGGCTGGAGTGAATGCACAATGGGCACAGATCAAAGTAGTTGCTCCGTTCGGTCCATCCGGGGACAGACGGAATATTTAAGAGCATCAAATCGCTGGCGGAGGAGAGACGAAACTCAGCTGGGAAGGGTAGGGAGGCCATCGAACAACCTCTCCACGGAGGCAGCCTTACGCTAGACGAGAGAACGCCTCCCGCGAACGACACCATCAAGCAACATGCGTATGAGATCCCGCACCGTTGGAGCCAGAACGGCGGTCGCGCCATCCAAACAGTGACGTGATGGCGCTCTCCAGCTTGCCTCCACCCTAGCAAGCCCATGCTACCATAGTAGGTACCGACAACGGTAAACGTCTTCTGTCCCAAATGTGACTGTCAACGGTTCGCGGACGACACTTGCCACACGAGAAACCAGTGCTGACTCTGGCAAGGCAAAACGCAGGCTAGGTTTACGAGTGGATGGAAGCCGGCGAGGTCATTCGCTTCGCCGACACTGGAGATATGTTGGGATCTGCAGATTAGGGGTCTAGAACGCCAGGTGGTAAAGAACCGCATCGCCAAGGATGGGGAATCCCACAATGCAATGAGCCGCGGCACCTCTACACCCCCAATGTATGACTTGGCCTACCTAAGGTAGCCAATCTTTGTTGTTCGTCGAGAACAGCATGAAAAGAAAGACCCGAGTCTAGAATCTGCAGCCAAGAAGCCTGGTACCGCAGCCAGAGGGAGCCAGAGGTGACGTCAACCTCCAGAACAAGCAACGGATCCCGGAGAGGCATCCGGGGGGGAACCAGGGGAGTGGTTCTGTACTCAGGGAAGAGCCTAGCCCCCTTCGCATTCCTGCGCTCATTAGGCCCACAGCCACCACCCGCGCGGTCCGCAGCGAACACTCTTCGCGAGGTGATGGCCCATCTCCAAAGGCCTAGGTAGACTGTGCATGACGTGGGCGGCTCCGTCGTGATTCTCAGACTGCTCTGCCGTTGTGTCAATGTGCTTGGCGGTTGGACATGTTCTGCTGTCTATTGTCAAGTTCGTCCTGACATGGGATCGATTGCCAATATAGCGAGCAAAGCCAATGGCCGCGATTATCGGTGCGCCGGCCAGGAAGAAGGGTGCGTGAAAGGATCTCCCACAGGTCACGCCAACCAAATTGCCCTCGTCAAGAACCGAAAAGTTGAAGAATGCCCATCCCCAGGCGGCTCGTCTGCCATCTCCAAGGTACCCCTCATGGATGGATGGACCCTGACTCGTCGCCTGTCAGGGGTCTAAAGGCCACAGGGCGGTCCCAAAACTGTACAGATCGGCACCAACGCCGTACCCCCACCAAGGGCAGCCAACGGAGCCCGGTGATCGTCAACAACACACGTCCCAAACCGAATTGGCTTCCATCGAGATGGGCATCTGACTTGACGCCCCTCGTACGATTTCTTCTTCGAAATGCCTTGAATTGGATGCGCTCCGGTGAGGCAAAAAGAAGGCGGACGGAGTAGTTTCTATACCCAAGGTAAGCTCAAGCCCGGGGAGATGTTGGCGCGCGCGGCGCAAGTTCCGTCGATGACATCACGCGTCATAGTTGGCTTCGGTCAATCTGCCGCATGCCCCGACGAGGTGTCTACTGGTGGTAGGGGTTTAGAATACTCAAGAAGTTGCCGGATGGCGTTTTATGCTGAAATGGAAGAGCAGTCTCTGACCAACTCCATGTCACAATCTGGCTCCTCATCAACAATGAACAAATATGTTCACAACAAGGTGGTTAAGGTTTAGTTCCACTGTATGCTATTATTAATCTCCAGGTTCTTTCTAGGAGGTTGTGAGTCGTCACTCTGTGTGTTGGAATCGTGCGATGAGAGGTGTTCTTCACCTTCTCATTGGAGGTGGGATCTGAAAAGATTCCATCTTCCCTTCAGACCCGCCATTGAATTCGCCTAGACCACAAGGCGCCAGCCATGAGCCACCGGACCATTATAACCTACATACCTGACTGAAGGCAAAATCCCATTCTTCCTCTCTGCCAAAAATGTAATCGAACCCGTCAATTGAGGTAGAAAGTGACGGTGAGAATGGCGAAGTTGGGGGAGTTGTCGGATTAAGCATTGGCGGCATCTCTTTGTCCAAGGGGTGTGAGTGGTGTTGTGGTCGCGGCTTCTTTTCCAAGGCCCTCTTGACAGCCTGTGCAGCTCTCTTCAGCCTTGGCTGTGCGTCGGGTTCCCTTTCATCCCATTCGCATGACAGAATCTTGAACTGGACATTCTCGGGGTGTGCATGCTTGCTGAGCTTGCTTCGGTTGGCATAGAGAATGAACCTCTTCTGGAGCCAGGACATGGTGTCGACTACTCTAGACTTGACATCCCAGTGATCCTCATCGAATTGACAAAAGACTCTGCCTTCACATTTAAATACTCTTTGCGCAACTTTCAGCTTCGGATCGGAGCTTGAGGGTGTTGCCTCTGGCTTTGTATCGTTGCTGGCCGCCTCCATTGTCTCAACCGGGCCAGCCACTTTGTTCGGCGATGAAAGACCGTCAGCAGCATCTTCCTTTGTACCTACGCAAGGTTCAAGTCAATACATTATCCACTTTCAATCACTTGAAAACTCTCACGCTTCTTAGACGGCTCAAAGGCAGGCTCTCGGTCTGCAACAACATCTGGAGGTGGCGACATGATCTGTTCGGGGGCCCCTTCGGGCGAGTCGTTACTCATGTTCTTCTTGACAATAAGGTAGTCGATGAAGTAGAAAGTTTGTAGATTTGGTAAATACCGGGCGAGGAATTCGTAGAGGTGGACAGGATAGACCTTCTGAGCGCCGCCGCCGTGGCGGTTGCCGCAATGGCTGCACCGAAAACCGGAAACACTGGCTTCCCAGGCGTGACAGTAGGGTATAGCCACGTGGCGAATCTTAGCAAGCTGTTTGCATTCGATATCCAGAGACATGCGACACCAGCTTCGAAAGTCATCGGCAGACAAGTACTCTAGGCACACCACATCACAGGAGCCACCGAGGGAGACGACGTGGCCGCCTTTTAGCTTCAAGCCACCGGGTGCATTGGTCAGACGTCGAACAACTGAAGCGGACTCGAAGCAGGTGGCCGACAGTCTGTTCAGCACACGATTGACGGCGAGATAGTTGGAAATGTTGGCCTGGGGTGTCGGGTATCGTGGCTCCAGGGTGGCAGGCCAGACCCTAGAAGGTATTTTCTCTCGAGCAAAGTCGAGAAGAGGATCATCTTCCTCCTCCTCGTCGTCGCCATCGAAGTGGCCGGTCGGCAACGGTGAAGGTAAGTGACGAATGCGGGCTGCAGTTTTGAGACGTAAAAAGTGCATGCCTGGTTCGAAAATGGCGTCTTCCCAGATCTGCTGTCGGATTTCGGGCGGTAGACGCGAAAAGCAGGTGAATGAGCGAGCGAAAGCTGGAATGTCGAATTTGACAGCTGATGCCATTGTGGAATATTCTGGTTTTGCTATTTCAATCAGTCTTGGAGCGAACGAATCGATAGACAGATGGGAAGATTAACGATGGTGCTATGAGAAGAGGTAGTGAGGATGCAGTTGTTGATGACGGGGAGTTGGGTGGAGAAACGCTCCGGCTGGAGAGAGGAGATCAGGGAGCCGGTGGGCCTTCTTGTAGGCCTTGACAGGTGCCACGAAGGTAGTGAAACAGTCGGTGGTAGGAACAGTTGGTGATTCACAGAGCTGAGCGAGAGCCTCCTAGATGCGCTTGAACTTTAATCGGGCTGCTTGAGGGATTGGTGGTGAGAAGCGCAACGTGAGGTAAGTGAATGGAAGAGATGGAAAGGCAGTAGTGATGTGGAGGTGAAGTTGGAAAGACCTGGACTGGAGTGCCTTCCCTTAGGTAAGATGACCAAAACGGCGCATCAGATTATCGTCGAGAATGAGAAGGCGCGATGTGCCTGGGGATTCACTTGCCCGCTTTCCATGTCCGAGGTAAGGTACGCACCTTGGTAGACAATGGAACCCTGGTGAAGGAAGGAACACCCCCACCTACTGATCTCACCAGCTGCCTTTGGGTTTCTTCCCGTCTTTGAACTTGAACGTTGCCCGATTTTCTCAATCCATACCTAGTAATCTGTGTGTCTATATATCTCACATTCACTCCAAAAAGAGAATTATAAGACCCAGGATATTCGATGAGTAATCATGAGTGCGATGGTCGATCATTCATGAAATTAGTGATTCTCTTTTCAGAGCATGGCCGCAGTACACTTGGACAAGGACGCGTTTACTTCAACAGAGTCAAGGATCAAGCACGTGTCCAATACCAAAAATTCCATCTCATCTCATTTCCACCATGATCATGTATCTCATCAAGACAAGACGAGGTGTGATGGGATGAACCTGAAAGCGGATGAGCCTATCGTCAAGACCGGAGCCGAATCGGATCCGACCTGATGACATGCATCAACATCAGATCACGTAACCTGGACCTTTATTGGCTCCCTCTGACAGAAAGCCTCCGAAACCTTAGCAACTGAAAAGCCTCCGACTGAGTCCAGCCGGTAATGCTTCCAACAGCTCATTGTCTATCTCATCGACACAAATGCTAGTCGGAGAATCATTGTATCGCGAGCATGGCATTCACAACGCACCCGAACCAGAAGCGGTCCGTCTAGTAGCGATGCCGTTGCCTAAAGCTCCAATGCTCCCGCCAAGGCCACGAGAACGAGACACGCTACACGCGATGCGCAAAACGCGGCTTTGACGGCATCGCCGGCAACAGGCTCCGGATCGGCAGACCTCTAACCACGCGGGGCCGACGCGTCAAGCAGAGGACTCTATCCTTTCAGAAGAGTACCACAGGATCCGCTCAGGCAGACGATGAGCTGGGACGCATGACCAGCAGACCACAGGTCGCAGACCCGGTATTCCAGCATGGAGCTCTCACCAAACTGTCGGAAACAAGCGTCGACCTAAATGCCTCCTTGACCACTATGGAGATGAAAAAGGCACACCTTGGTTTCTGTTCCTTCTCCCACAAATCCTCATTCCTCAGCGTTGGCGGCCTAACTATGCCAGAACTTGCGCTCCTCACCTCCCAAGACTTCATCGGCACTTTTTCAGACCTCGACAAACCGTATTAATTCCAGAAAGATATCCCAACAACGTCTAGAGCTAAGCCTATATGGACGACGCTTGCTTGGGAAAGTTGTTGCTTCGAATCTGGAACCCTGGATCTCTCGATGCTCGCCCCAGCCACAATCGCCCTCGGCCCTCGGTTACCTCACCATCGTCCCTCCCACGATCGTTCTTGACCAGCCCGGGGTTCTCCTCATTACGAGCTGTTGGAGCCAAATTAACAATCTCTTTGAGGAGATATTCGTCCAGATACACAAGAGGCTGGAGACAGTCGCATGCGACCTGATTCAGCCGATCAAAGAGATAATTTTGGCGCCGTTCTCAGAGTCAATGGTCGTCTTCAAATTCTCATTTTCTTCCAAATTGCTGCCAATCTGCTGGGCAAAGCTGGTCGGCTTCTGGGCGTGCAAGAACCCATGACATCAACGCCGGGAATCGTCGCATCTCGCGGGAACTGTCTCCAACTCAGTCCGATATCCTCCATGACAGGCTCAAAATCAGCAATCGAGACTCCATAACGTAGTCCAGTAGGCTCAAGAATGATATTCAAAGCATGCAATCGACTTTGACGGCGGCAATATCGCTCAATGTTAACGATTAGGGCAACATCCAAGCCCCTAAAGGCAAACCAAGACGTGCGCCTCATACACAACCAGGAGGAGCGTAGCGGTATCTCACCTTGCACAAGTACGAATTTTCCGAGTCTTTCGCAGTGTAAGTAGGCCTCTTGAAACGACCCTTGAGCATCACATTGATGCAAAGGGGCACTGGTCCCACCTCCTAGGCCCACACTGGCGCATCGATCCCGTTGAAGGGGCACTATTCTCCGGCTTTCCTCTACTAATTCATCCAGCTCATCGTTGCAAACAACCGGTTACTCTGCAGAGACTCCCACCGGAATGTCCCCCTCCACTGGCAATCACATCCGCGCGGTAGATTATCCACGTTTGCGCACTCATTCGACCTCAAATCTGCTCACGTCGACGTCCCTCTCCACCCCACCACACCTCTGCGGAGTCCACGCAGAACCGGTATATATACCTGGAGCAACCATCCCCCTCGACCACGTCTTGGCACGCTTCCTGTGCCAACAACAAAGACGATTGTGTATCAGTCGACGGGCTCGGTAGGGGTGAGCCCCTGAGCATCAGTCACGCGAGGATCGTCTTCACACTCACGTACCCTCACCCTTTCTCAATCTCCCTTCCACTGAACCCCCACATTTTTATATATTTGTAACGACCACCCACACCGCCCACGGCGTACTAACAGAATCACTACGATGTACGGCTTGGTGAAGTGTTTGACTAGTGGTGTGTACCTACTCGGTCTTGCGTATTGGGAGTGAACCTGGAACTCAGCAATGGGTTTTGTGCTGTCAACCTGGCGCCTGGCACTTGTCCAAGTCAGCTATCCACGACGCCTGGACAGTCGAGTCCATAAAGGGCACAGTTTCCACAATTATTCAACGATTTAGGGAACCGGGTTGGCAGACATACGACGTATCACTAAAGTATCAGGGGTAGGCAAAGCGGTAAGCCAGAAGCTATACTTTTCACATAATGACAATGACACATTCACACAGGCAGGCGCATCAAGGAGATTGTTTCAACAGATATACATTGCAAAGCTTGAAAGACGCCCAGCGGCACAAAAAAAGGTGCACTAGACGCCCGTGGTGGTGGTCGACTGAAAAAAGGGTGTTTTTTGCTTGCAGCGATATATACACCGGGTATAAATCTATTTACATTATGATTTGAGAAACGAATCAAACTACTCATTCACAAGCTCTCTTCGAAGTGAAGAAGGCTTTTTCGTTCTGTTCTCCTTTCCTTCTCTCCTCCCGCTCTGCCAACGCTTAGTGGCGGAGGCGGAAAGAGCGAGCGTGGCGGCGAGCCTTTGTGGCGCAGGCATCATCGTCGCTAGGAGCATCGGGGGTGGCAGAGGGCGCGGTCGGGGAGGGAGTAGAGGGTGTGGCGGGGGTGGTGCTGTTGGAGCCGGAGCCAGAGCCAGAGCCAGAGCCGGAACCAGAGCCGGAGCCAGAGCCGAACAGGGCAGGTCCGGGGATGGTGTAGCTGGAGATGGTGGTGTAGGGGTTGAACTGGATACCGGCGTCGGTGTTCTTGTACAGCGCGGTGCCGAGGGTTCCCTCGGGGTTGGCGGTGCCGGAGCCAGTGATCTTGACGTTGACGCACTGGGGGTAGTTCTGGGCACCATTCACGGAGCCGGCGCCGTGCAAGGCAATGATCTCGTGGCGGAGAACATAGTTGCCGGCGGCGAGGTCGGAGGGGATGGTGGTGGACCAGGTGTTGTTGTTGGCGATGAGCTTGGTGGCCGCCCACGTCTGCGTGGGGATATCGATACCGGCCTCGTCAATCTTGACCCACTTGAGGGTGTCCTTGTCGACGGAGGCCCAGTCGTCACCGTCGACCTTTGCGGCGTAGGTGAGGACGGGACCAAAGTGAGATTCGGGCCACTTTGACCACTCAAAGTCGACGGTGCCGCCGGCAGCGACGGTAGAGGCAACGGTGCCCGGGGCAGCTTTCTTGTGGCAGTTGATATCGGAGGAGGCGTAGCCGGTGCCGTCGACGAAGCCGTTGTCGAGGTTCTCGGCGGACCAGGCAGAGATGGACGGCGGAGAGCCGCCGCTCTGCTTCTGGTAGTAGTACTCAAGCTTGTAGCCGTCCTCGTAGGCGCCGTCAAACTTGAAACCGGTGACGGTGCCGTGGGCAAGGGCGCTAGCGGCGAAGGCGCCAACGAGGGCAATGGTGGACTTGATGGAAGACATTTTGAAAGGTCGGGTGGTTTGTTCCTGAAAAGAAAAGGAGGTGGGTTGTTGGAAGAGAGTGAATGAGCTTGAATTCGTTGGATGTAAGAGTTGCAAAAGAATGTCTCAGCTTCACACAGTGAAGAACTAACGGTTGACGATTGGAAAAAGAATGAAATGGTAAAGAACCAAAGAATGTGTGCGACCTGCAATGTTGGATGAGGAACTAGCTGAACTCAGGAAAGCGAGAGCATTGTCGTGTTATTTATCCCACCGCGATACTGTTGTTAAAACAGCCAAGCAAGCACACCCCTTTCGTCTCTTTCAGCTCCTAACCTGTTCAGTTGATGCCAAGCAAGTCCTCGCAAGCGCTCATAGCTGAGCCGCCCTCAACCCTGGTGAAGTGCGAGGACTCGGAGAAGAAGGACAAGTGGAGATGGCAGAAACTTCATAAGACCGAAACACCAATATGCAAACCAGAGTGGTGGAATCTTGAGGGTGTGGCACCGGTCGAGGCCGGGGGGCCCAACACAGCAGCCGGATGTGCTCCATTTGGAAGGGCGGCCGGTCTTGGAAAGATGAGATGGACTGTTCCACTGAGTGGCGTAGGCGCTCATTCTCGTAACATCAGCCGTTTGTTGTCTTGGCGCTCTGCCGTCAGTCAGAAGAATAAAGACTCAAGGACTCGAGAGCCATGATCTGGCTGAGGGGCTCAAGCTGGGATCAAGGTTGGGGTTGTGCGGCGCAAGGAAGGTGACGGTCACGATGGAGTCGCCTGGGTATACGGATACTCAATATTTCGTGGCCCAGTCCCAATAGCGTATTCTTACTCGTCACCGCCGAAGCCCTGAGGAGGTACAACTCTTTCGCCCGGAAACGAGTGCGTGGGTGAAGCAGGGGATGCCTGAAAGGCAGTGAAAGCACGCAAGCGAGTGCAGAGTTGCCAGAGTGAGAACTTGTGAAGTGCCCGGCGGGAAGCGTAGTGTAAGATAAGGTAGGTACGGATACGGCGCAGCACGGGCGCACCGGAATCTCAGACGTAGCGCCGGGCTTGAAACACACCCTCTTGCCGGCCGCCCCTAATATGGGAAGGTAAATCATAGGAGGATCGGATGCGCCTTACCTAAATGCCACTACACGCTCCACCAGAGAGGGCCGCTGGGCCAATGGGTGAATGGCACCGATGGGTGCCTTGTCTTGCTGCTTGTCTTGCTGCTTGTCTTGCTGCTTGTCTTGCTGCTTGGCTTCTTGAGATTGTCGACGATAGCTAATAGGTTCGGAGCCGAAGAGGATGAGTTCAGGGGCCAAGGTAATGGCGACGACTGTGGATAGGCCCCATCGTCGCCAAGGGAAATATGCATATCCCCTTAGTCTCATTCTTAAATCTCGCTGTCCACCCTACTGCGCAGCCCGCATGCGGATGTTGGCCGCTAGCAAGCAAGACTCTCTCGCACTCCCTGGGTATCCCCTATCCCCTTCTGTGAGCAAAAATCAAGCAAGCAAGTTACTCGGTCTCGCATTTCTCCGCAAAGGCTGAACAACTTGAAGGTGTGGTACGGATACCTGTCGCCCTGTTTTCCATACTATTACTACTGATCCACAATTCTTGCGTCTGGCGCCCACGTTTTCCTTTCCATTGAATTCCCTCTGCCTTGTTTGGGTATAACATCCGCCGTATCAATGCCCCCTCTCACTCTGAATTCTGGAATATGGATCCCAGGGAGGCATGCCGCGTGCTGCATCGCGAGTGAATCTCATTTCGGGCATTCCCATGCGTCGATCCGCGTAGTCGAGATGAACCCGCCAAGACAACTGCCGCCAGACCATTTCTTCTTCCATGCGCCGAGGCTCTGGGTCATTGGCGATTCCGTCTTGTTTTACGGGTTCTTTGACAGCTTGACTGACATCCCGTCGTCCGTGGGCACTTTCGATGAAACCGTGCCCGCATACCAGTCAGCGCCTGTCAGCAGGTTTGTCAATTTGTCAAGTCTTCAAAGAGGCGTAACCGCTGTCCTCGCCACCCGCGACCGTTGAGTTGAGCTCAAATTACTGGTTTCCTCCCTCTCTCTCTCTCTCCGCAGTCCACTCTTATCTTGGCATGATTCATGAGCTGTCCCTGCTCCAGGGCTGCGCTGAGACGGCGCTGCGGCGCGTGATTCCTGTACAGGGCTGATCGCTGAACAGTCAACGCGCCACGAATCGTGACCCCAGCCTTAAACCTTGATTGGGTTACTGTTTGTTTGAGATAGACTTTGTTCGTCGTCAAGCCTCCCCTGACAGCACTCTCGAGGATCGCTACCCATCAGAACTTCTGCTCGATATGGCGACAACGGCGGTGAGTACGGCCTGCAGCCAGCGCAGGGGACATGTCGGCTTGGTACAGTACAGGCAGCTGGTGCCTCACGGCAAATCGATCGCAATGTTGGGCCCTTCCGTCGGCGCCCAGCCCCGGCCAAGCATGTCAGCAACATTGTTTGCGGCGAAACTCTCGATTGGATTATTTTTGGCCAGACTTTTCTTGCGCTCCATGAGAAAACTCTGTTGTAGAGAATTGTTTTACAAAAAAGCCTGGATGGCGTCCCAAAATGCGGCAGGGCTCTCCCACATGGGAAGATGGCCGGCGTTTGGCACAATCTTCAACTCGGCGCCGTGGTCGCCCAACGACCCCTTGAATCCCTCCATCGCCTTGACCAGCGCACCTTTGCCGTCGCCGTCGCCCACGACCAGCAAGCCAGGAACCTGGCAAGACCCAAGCGCTGGCTTCAAATCGTAATCCCATAGCGCTTGGCAGCTATACCTGAAGCCTTCTACGTTGTTGGTTGCTACCATTTCCGTCATACCTTTCACGACGCTCTCCTGTTCCATCGTGGCCGGGTGGAACCACCGACCTACCGTCTGCTCGGCCAGCTTTGCGATTCCGGCTCCGCTGTTCTCCTCCGCCACCACGATGCGATCCTTCCACGCCTGTGTATTGGCGGCACTCGACGTCACGTTGAAATCGCAGGCGATGAACTTCTTGAGTCGATTGGGATACTTGAGCGCAAAGTTGGTCGTTGTTGCACCTCCCATCGATACTCCGATCAGGGCGTGCAACTTGGGGATACGCAGTGCATCGAGAACGGTGCGCAGGTCGGATGCAAGCAAGTCCAGCGTTGCCGGCACAGGCGGGCCCGGAATGGCGTGTCGGCCTCGTGTGTCGTAACGCAAAATGCGCAAGTCGGGACGCTGTTCCTTCAGGATTTTGACGACTGGGTCCCACATATGCAGTGAGGTCAGGAGCGAGTTGCAGAATGCCACGGTAGGTGCCTTGGGCGAGGAGTTGCCCTCAAGCTTGTAGGGGATCGAGAGTTGGTCCTCGGCCGTAACGTAGGAGTCAATGACCTTGTCCTTTCCAGGGACAGTCGTAGTCTTGCCATCCGGCGCTGTGAAAGTGGAGGCCGACGCCGGCAGTTTGGCCAGATTTTCCAGGTCGCGAGAAGCAGGACCAAAGACATAAAAGAGAGAATAAGTGCGGCGGTTCATACCCGCAACCTTTCTGACAATCTCGGCCGCCCAAGGCGTGGCCGTGGAGGCCTTGTGCTCGGGACCGCCCAAGCCATTTGTACGGGCGTAGTCGTGTAGTACGAAGAAGGTTGTCTTGCTGCCGACGCCGTCGCCGATGGAGGAGATGTTGAAGAGACGGGTCCTCAGCCAGCCCGGAACCTTGGACAGCATTGGGATGTGTTCCTCGGCGTACCACTTCTTGAACTCGGCCGCATCAGATTCGTCCTTGAGAGTGGTCTCGATGGCGACGAGCTCGATGCCCTCGGCTTCCTCGTCGGAAAGCTGCTCAATGGGGATGAAGAGAGGGGCCTTTTGCTCAATGACCAAGTCGAAGAAGTATCTGGTGACGTCCACTTGACCAATGGTTTCGGCCTCGCGGGCGGATCTATTTGCCCGCAGTGTAGTGTATGTGGGCGTCTCGAGGTGGGACATGTCCGTCACATCGTAAGAAGCGAGGAAGGTCGGCTCCTTGCCGTCGTTGGCGCGGTAGCGCAGGCCGTTGGTGAAGATTTGGGGGATACGCAGGCGGGTTGGGCCGTGCTCGTTGTTGTACCATTCGTGGAACTGCTCGATAGCCAGGTCGGGCTTCGGCTGCATAGTAACGTAAAGCATTCCCGGGGTTGCCATGGTTCTTTTCAACTCAATGAGTCCTGGTTGCGGTGTATTTGGGGAAGTCTGGAAAATTTGGAAAAGGAGCGAGAACAGCCGGACAGGAGAAGCCGGTGACTAAGGTACCTAGGTATTTCTGTTACGGCGACTTTGGAAGCCGTGGGAAGCTTTTGACGGGGCTGATGACGAACGCGGGGTCGAAATTGCGGGCAGGGTCCAGCGCGCTCGGGATATTCACACGGCAAGCTGCGGGACGGTGATTCGATGCAATGCCGGCTGGTCAATCAAGAGCACAATGGAAGCTTTCGGATTGTTCCTATGTTGTGTCTTGAGAGGCAGAAATGTCTTACTGTGTGCTGGTACAAGATGGAATAGTCGCGTCAAAACAAGTCGAGAGACAATAGTCGTCGGGAGAAAGGGTGTCGGATTCCCCATGATTGTCGAAATACCTTGAATGTTCTGGTGCATTGTGGCGGAAAAGCGTTCTGCCAGAGCTTTTCGCACTACCGCCGTGCGATTGATGATTCTTCCAGGCCCATGTGCCCTGTGCATCGTGCGATATCGGTGGCAGTCGTAGACGGGCCGTTTGATCGAAGAGCATTGACTGCTTGTTCCTGGGAACTTGGATTCCAAGCGAAACAGCACCCGATGCCTCCCAGGTTGCAGGTTGGAGTCTCTCGCTTGCGCGCACATTGTAAGCCATCGCATTCTTCAACGAAGCGTCGAGGGCAATTGAAGTTGGACAGACGCGACGGTGAGGTGCGAGCGATAGTGGCAATCGGCTAGACCTCGGGAGGAGGCATCGGTGCGTTGTCAATCAGGCTTTCAGGTTCCTTTCTTTCTGTCCTTCTTCGTTTCCTTTTTTCCTTCTTTTTTTGTTGGTTGGTTGGTTGGTTGGTAGAAATCTGCCTGGTAAACATGCCATCAACACGAATAATCAGACGGCAGGTGCATCGCCATCCGTGGCTTCCTGCCCCTCGTCAGCTTCATTGAAACAAACCACCGTGTAAGGTGCCACCTCACTGGAACGGTGCCGGAGGCCGGCTAATGATCGTCGGCATTCTCCTTCTGGTTGGCTGAGATATGGTCTCCGGACCCGCAGCAGCTTAAGCGAAGAGGAGCTATTCTCTTTTGGAACTAGACCGAATCAGCCCGACAACGGTTAGCGCGGGGCAGACTGCGACCTGCGACCTTCGACTTGAAACTTCCTACAACGTCTCCCGTAGCCTGTCCACCATATAAGCGCAAATATAAGCATCTCGCATCCATTGATTCTTCACTAATCTGCACGATGTCTGTCTCCAATGTTTGCAGTTACATTTCTCATTCCTCGCGTCTCTATATTTTAACTTCACCGCTCCGTTGGCACCCACCGCAGCCGCTGCAAACTGGGTCTGCGGTCTGTTAGACTCAAGCCGACGCAAACTCGCTGTCCCCGTCTGTCTGTTCTACCTTACCATCCTGTCTATGTCCAATCGATTCATGGATCATACCACCCAGAAGTGGCTAGCAGACCTTATTAAAACAAGGGTGCGGCGTCGCTTTTCAATAAGTGCTGTGTTACTAGGCAGGACTGACATCCATCATAGGTGTGAGACGCCCTCATCAAGTCCATTCAACGTCGGCCCATCCTCATCCCTGGACAAGTCTAGCACCTGATACTTCCTAGCTCCTTGTTCTAATCTCACACTCTGAGAAAAACGCGCTGTAACAATTGGATCTTCCATAACCGGCCCCCTAACCCCCCCCTTTGCTTCTGGGCTTCTCTTGCGAACCTTCTTTTTCAGGGCCTTCAGACTCCCGCTCTTAGCCCAAGCCTCACTTGTAGCTTCAAGTTGGACATCCTGTGCTGCTCATCATTACGGCCTTGATGCACTTTCCGCCATGGAGGTCTTTCTCACCAACCTGCCTCCGCCCCTGACGGATCGGACCCTCGAGAAGGAGCTCAAGCCGCACATGAATACTCTCGGCATCCTTGAATGGTCATGCTCGTCCAACTCGTCCAGGAGCAACAAAAAAGTTGGTTGGATAACCTTCCTCCACCAGGAGGACGGGAAACGGTTTTTGGGGCGCCATGGAAAGCAGACTATCACTGAACCCGAGGCTACTTTCAAGTCCACACCGAGAGGAAGAATGCCTCAAAGGGAAAGGGCAAACCTGATGCTCATGAACACCCCCGTCTGGGCTCAAGAAAGCAATAAGCTCCCAGATCCCTTCATGCTCAAGAGTCTTGCTCATCGTCTGGAAGAAAAACACAGACAGCGTACTCTGCAAGACGCTCCTTCTACTGACAATACGGTCATATTCAACGTTAGTCACTTGGCTTGCGGCCATAACTCTTTTGGGCCTGATCAAACCTTGACGTTCAACGAACAATGCCGCTTCTCTGACAGGGGCCTGGCAAAATTTGGCAAGAGAAAGCTCATACTCAAGTTCGACCAAGGGGCCAAAGTCGAGATCCCTTATTCCTCCGTCGTCGAGATGATACACAGCTCTACTCCGTCCACTTTCACCCTTCTGCTGAGCGAACCACCACGATTCTATCGTTCAAACCTTGACTTTAAAGAGGCAATGGAACGGCTAGGTTTGAGCAACTTGGGATATCAGGTAAAGTCACTCGTCCGTGAACTCGGTATTCCCGGCAGCAAGGAGCATTTGAAGTACGCAGGCACCTGTCTTGTCTATCAACTGGGAATCTTTAGCCGCGATTTCGATCACAACATGATCAGCCTCAAAAAGAAGGAGCTGTTCGTCATTGCGCACTCAAAGGTCACTCTCAACCAGAGGCCCATCTCCAATGACATTGACTATCACATTGAATGGACGCGACTCTATGTACGTCTAGCTGAGGCCGGATCCGCCAACAAATTACCCTTCGGCCTTCTATTCCAACTGCAATCTTTGGTGTACAACAACTTTTTACATCCACGCAGTGTTCACACAATGTTGCTATCGCTCGAGAAAATATTCCAAACAGCCAAAGCAGAAGGCAAACCTGAGCCCATCTCCGAGCAGGCCTTCAGGATTCTCCATGGCACTGGGCTCGATGGAATTCCCTTTCCATGTCATAACACCGACCCAAGCGAACTGGACCCCGATGAGTTACTGAAATATCTTCTGATCATCGAGAAGCGTCTACGGTCCGAAGCCAACGTCGAATTCAGAGATGTTTTGCTCGAGCCTGAGATAACTGATCATCATGCCTGGGTCTACAAGGCCATAATAACCCCCACAAGAATCATCCTGCAAGGCCCCGATCTGGAGTCTCTCAATCGTGTCCTCCGCAGGTTTCCAAATCAGACGGACTATTTCATGAGAGTCACATTTGCCGATGAAGACGTCAGCGATCTAGTCTTCAATTCAAAAGTCTCCTACGACAAAATCTTTGAACGCTACAAGCATATCCTCAACAACGGACTGTCGGTTGCCGGTCGAGTATATCAATTCCTTGGTTTCTCCCACTCTTCACTGCGATCCCATTCGGCATGGTTCTCAGCTCCATTCGTCGATGATTCAAAGGAATTCCAGATGTACGCAAACATCATCAAATCGCTGGGCGATTTCGAGAAGATACAGATCCCGGCCAAGTGCGCGGCTCGCATCGGTCAGGCGTTTTCGGAAACCCCCTCATTCATCTCGATTAGCAATGCTGATATTCTGCACTGCTACATGCCAGACATCAAAACAAAAGACGGACACATTGAACGAGTTTTCAGCGATGGTGTAGGCACAATTTCACGCGAAGCTCTGGAGTTGATCTGGCCGCGCCTTCCACGAGGCTCGTTCACTTCCACTTGTCTGCAGATCCGATGGGGCGGTGTCAAAGGAATGCTGTCTTTGGACTCGAGGCTGCAAGGTCGGACGATATGCATCCGGAGGGAGTCCATGGAGAAGTTCCCCAGCACGGACTTGGAGAATCTCGAAATCTGTGACGTAGCATCCAGGCCACTCAAACTGGTACTCAATCGGCAAATGATCAAGATCCTGGAGGACTTGGGTGTCTCCAATGACTGGTTTTTCCGATTGCAGAAGATGGTACTTGATCGACTTCGGGCCGTCACGGCAGATGCTTACAACACGGGAACATTTCTGCATCTGCAGGGCATTGGCACAGGTTTCTTCTTACCGAGCTTCATCAAGGGCCTTGACAAGTACGGCATAGACTACCGGCAAGACAGGTTCCTGAGAGCAGTGGTTGAGTCGGTTGTTTTACGGGAACTGCGATTGCTCAAGCACAAAGCCAGAATACCAGTTCCCAAGGGCGCCACACTCTTTGGCATCATGGACGAGACGAGGTTTCTCCAGGAAAACGAGGTATACGTCTGTTTTGACACCGACCGACGACCAGGCAAACTAGCCATCGATAAAGCTATCAAGGATGGTACCCAAGTCCTCGTGACGCGGTCGCCGGCTCTTCACCCCGGCGATATTCAACTAGCCGTCGTGAAAATACCGCCTGCAGGCCACCCGTTACGGGACCTTCGCAACTGCATCGCATTCAGTCAGTGTGGAAAACGTGACTTACCGAGTAAACTCAGCGGCGGTGATCTCGATGGTGATTTGTACAATATCATCTGGGACCAAGAAGCTAGGCCAAAATGTACCTATGGAGCTGCTGACTACCCCAGAGTAATACCGGAACCACTCGGCCGACCGGTTACGAGAGAAGACATGGCGAACTGGTTTGTTGACTTTATGAAGTCTGACGTACTCGGCATGATTGCCAACAGACATCTCATTCTCGCGGACCAAACTCCCAAAGGAACGATGAGCGATGAGTGCATCAAACTAGCTGAGCTGCACTCGACTGCTGTAGACTTTTCAAAGACGGGCATTCCAGTCCCGCAGAAAGGAATCCCAAAGGCACCCAACTTTCGCCCGGACTTGTGAGTGCAGACTGTCACTTGATGGAGCTTGCTGCTGACAAAGTCTCACAGTTTGGCCCCCGCTCCGCCTGCTCAGCTGTTCGATCGGACGCAGATCGACTTCCTCGGTAGGGACGAGGCTGTCGAAGATGATGACGATGGTTTCGCACCGTCTTACAGATACTACAAATCGGACAAAATCCTCGGCGAGCTCTATCGCAATGTCGACGAAAAGCAGATCTGGGATACTGAGGTCAAGAGAGCCATTCCCAAGACCGGCCCCTCAGTATGGGACCAATTTGTCGGCCTGATCCAGCGGAAAATTCAAGACTACACTCATGGGCGAGTCAGCTGGGGAACGAAGCTCAAGGAGGCCAAAAGTCTGCGGGACGTGTGGGTGGCTCTGGAACTTGACCAGTATTGCAGAGCGTGTCAGCTGACTCTATCTGATACAGTTACGAAGATCGTCTCGCCAGTGCCATGACTACATACTCCGACAGCCACTTGAAGCAGTTGAGGGAAGTCGAAGTCTTTTGCGGCTCGATCTTCAACAAGACTGGGTCGCAGACTCGACGTCAGAAGGACAATTCGATGAAGCTCAAGCAAGAGTTCGATCGGCTCGCCGACCTCATGGCGCAACAAATGCGGCGCAAATTTCGCAACGCCGGAGACCAGGCTCCCCAAGCTGCCGACATCTACAGTGTCCCTCCGGACCCTGCTACGCGAGGCACCAGCCAGATTGGCGATGAGTTGGAGCGACTCTTGGCGCCGAACAAGGAGGCGTTGGAGATGTCTTATGCATGCTTCATGGTCGGCTTGCTACCAAATACCGACACTGAGCGCGGACATCAGACAATGCAGTTGGAGAGCTTCAAGGTTATTTCCGCGAGCGTCTTGCTCAAAGAGCTCACGGAGCTTGCGAATCGCGTGAAGGGCGGCCGACTTATCGACCCAAGCAATGATGACGCTGCTGATGGTGATTTTAGGGATGTCAGTGGCGGGCCAACAATATCGTATGCATACAGTGGTTATGATGTGGATGTTGGACAATATCCCAACTACGGATACAGCAAATACCTGTAGAGTAGCTTTGATACCAAGACCGTGATATAGCTCGTAAGCCGTTGTACGATGTCAAGGCTTGCTAGCTGACAGGTCTTTTATCAAGCCTTCATTACCACTCACCTCGGGGGATTCCGCAGCGAAAGGGAGTGGCATCGGGCATAGCATCGTGTCCAATCAGTGCGCAAAGAGTGCGACCATAGGAAGTCTCTGTGCGACCATAGGAAGTCTCCGAATCTCGCGTCAAAAGATGGCCCCCTTGATCAATGGCCCTTTAACCACCAAAGTAAGCCTCTGATGGATTTTGACCATCGTCCAGAAAGCCTCTTGCTGGCACGGGATGGGATGTTCTACATAATTTAAGATTAGAAATGTCGGAATTTACGGCCGGTGTCCACGAACCATCACCATTCCCTCTCTTCCCTTGACGTACAGCCCAAGTCCTCGTGGTCTCTTTCAAGCTGTCATCCAGCTTTAAGATCTCCGATGCGAATTCCTCGCCGAGCCAAGCAAGCCATCTTTCCTCCAGGACGAAGGACAGAACGAAGACAGCGCTGCGGCCGGGAGGCATCGACTGCTTACCTGAAAGAAATCCGCTTTTGAGCCATCTTGTTCGATCTGTGCAGTACCTCCCTCCTTGTTTATTCCTCAACTCAGCGCTCTTATACTGGGCACTATTCTTCCTCCCGCTCTACTTCAATTCGGTCAAGCTCTCAACACCAGCTGGCTCAGGCGTCCACTGCTCCTCAGCACCCACCTCCCAGCCTTCCAGGTAGGCCTAGTGGAAGCCGTAACAGGCTGCCGCGACGGCTAGCTGGTCGCTCATTCGCAACTTTGGGAATATCTGGGGCGATGCGATCCACGCGGCCATTTTTAACACGGATACCGCGTCGCACGCCTCGCAGAAGATTATTGGCCCAACGGCGTGAGGGCTACTGCAGCACGGAGACGCGTTTGCTATACCACGAAGGCTTTTGTCGAGTCGTTTTACGAGCCGACGAGGAGTCAGATATTGGGATCTTTACAAGGGCGATGAGAATATTCTTCTCTATTGTGATTGCATATTGAGGCCCGGCTTTCTTATTGAGCTCCTTGGAGAGGGAGGTTGAGCTGAGGCAAGAATTGGAGACAGAGTTTGGACTTGTGAAAAGAAAGATACACGTGCTGTCTTAGTGATGATCATCCAAACTCCCTTCTTCGCTCATCATACTTGAAGTACTTAAGGTACCGTAATCATCGAATCAGTTTCCTCTGGCCATCTTATTTCATGATATGAGGTCTCCATCTATAACAATTGGGAGGCGCACATGCAAAGGCTCACGAGCGTGCCATAGTCGGAGATGATTATTCGCCGGCACGAAGTTTTAGGTTCACGACTTTAGGTCGTTGACCACTCTCCGCTCCAAGCTTATCCGTCTGGTGACGAATCCAACTTCGGTAGAAAGTCTGCTAACCCTGGCAAGACCGGAAAACCCCAACTGCGAGCGAGGATGGAACTACACTGCGGATCGATGGAATGATGAAGCAACATAGGTAAGGCACGTGCTTTAGAAAAAAAAAAGCCAAATCACGGCCCAAGCACCGCACGGATGGGCACATTGTCGATAACAGAGTGTCTCTTCCCCCTCTACTTGTTTCGTCGTTCATCCGCCCTGCTTCATCATTTTCCATATCCTTCTTCCTGCGTTCAAACTAAGGGAGCCATCCGCTGGGTTCTCTGTTCCCAGGACAAAGTACATGTAGCCTCTGCCCGTATTTGGTACCGTCGGAGAGCTTTGTGGGCCAATTAACTTCGTTGTAAACTTTCAAAAGGGCAGAAGAAATTCATGTACACGTGGAGTAAAGCCTCCCAATTGTCGGCCGAACCCGCCCCCCAGCGTAGAGAAGCTGCTTTCTGGCCAATGCTTGAGGATCGCCGACCGGCACCCTAAAACTTTCTCCTCCAACTCGCAGACTTTCTGCATTTTGGCTGGCTAAGGTAGGTTTCTGTCACGAGTCAGAACATACGGTACTGGGAATATATAGTGGATGTAAAGTGACTTGTATTTAAACAAGGTGTACGATTGGAAAGGTCAAGTCTAGATACGACACTGCGTGATAGTGAGGGCCACGTGAGAAAGCACGTGGCAGACTCCTCCGTCTGTGCCGGTGCTAGGTCAGTTTTGTGAGACACTGCCCCTCCGCATCATACCTCATATGACCCCCGGCGTGTTGTTGAACTTGACCATCTCATACTTTGCCTATCTAGTTCAGTTTGGCATTAACTTGAGGTGAACACATACGGTGGGGTCATACGCGAGGATGGATCGATACAGAGTCAGCAAGCCACGTGGGCCCCGCAACAATACATCGGCTGGACGACGACGACGGTGTACTTCGTGCCGCAAATTGCCAGCTACGGTAAGTCTCACGAAAGAGGGCGTGGGTTGATTTGGGAAACCCGGCCGTTGATGAACATCGCAGTGCGACTGTCGCCGTTCTCGTCGTTCGAGGGAGAGGTCGCAGTCAAGTTCGGAAACATCGTCCATGACCGAAGACTCACCAACAACCAACGCAAGCATTGAATCAAAGACTACGACGCCAGGATGTCTGAGTTCCACGCCCGGCAGTTTAGAGCCATTGCCAGATAATATCACAATGGCGTTCTTCGCATTTATGGGCGATTCACCGTCTCCCATGACCGACATTTTCTCGCTCTCATTTATGCGGACATTTCTCGAGACATCATTACCTGTCCGTGCTATAGTCACGACAATTGGTAAAATATGTCTAGAGTATTCCAAGACGACCGCCTTGGAAAAGAAGCAAAAAGCTGCAGCTTCGATCATGGCGCAGGACCGATCTAAACTCAAAGAGTTCCTTGACGTTCTCACATCGCCAGGAGGTAGTGATCAGCACTTGATGTTGCTATACGGTATCCTGTTGGCTTATGCCGAGGTATGTTGGATCCCCAGGATACTCACTGCATTTCCACGGTTCTGAATCCCCAATTGGCTAACCATGATGGCATCGAATCAAACAGACGATGACTGGCCAGTCATGGCTTTTCTTCCAGGCCACAATGACAAAGCTAACGGGGAGTCTCCAAGAGCAAGTACAGCTGTGGAAAAGAACGCCACTTTTATACTTTGACAAAGGACTACTAATGAACTATTCGCTTTTGGCCACATGCTACTCTCTAGTGTCGTTCGAGGACACCTTTCTTGTCGACGTCGAACTCTACGATCCCAAGCCTTTTGACAACATTGATTCGATTACTAGCCAAGTCCGCGTCAACTCGGCCATATTACACCACTACACAAAGTTCGTTGCAAACTTTGCAAGACTGCATCACAAGTAAGCGAAGCGACTTTCTCTAAGAAGCATGAGTGTTAGACAAGAAAGCTTACAAATTGTAACAGGGCAACAAAGTGGGTGCGACAAGCGCGGCACGTTTTAGACAACCGCCATTTGGCTGCAGAACCGCCGTCACACGAAGAACTTAGGGCGATGCTATCAGACGCCGGGCTATTGCAACAAGGGATGGAGATCTTTAAAAGCTCTGCGGCGGCCATGGACGTGATGGAAAATCTCCGTGGAGAGAGAGACGAAGACAGCGACGAAGCGCACAAGACCGATTTCAGCACCCTGCGCGAGGCATTCTATCATTTCGCGCTCATGGGTATCACGCGAACGTTTTGGGACCCAACTTGGAAACTCGTTGACGAGGACTTGCCGCACATGGCAGACATGCCGCATCTCGAGACGCATGGCTTGTTCGTTCTCGAAAGGCTAGAGCAGCGGACTCCTCTTGTCGGGTTGGAGTCGTGGAGCTATCTGGTTCCTCTCCTGGGCGTTGCCCTGGAGGCTAGAAGAGACGACATCAGACAGCGGGTAGATGTCTTGATGAATAGCATTATGGACAAAGGCTTTGCGATCGTTGGGGCAATGCTGGCCGACGCGAGGATGATTTGGGAAATGGATTATAAATCTATACATGAGTGCATCGGGCCTGTGGCCTGGTGAATGATGACAATAATACAACTCACACCAAGCCGAAATACTTGTCGAAAAACTCATTGAATATGTAGAGAACGACAAAAGATGAAAGGAGCATGCTCATGGTTGAGACCAAGTAGAGAGCTAACGCAGTCACTCCATCAGTTCCCATAGAGAACTGCCGTCTCGACGAGTTATCCATCGTTTGCCGAAGGGATGCGATAACCACGGCAATGCGACGCTTTTTTTCTTGTTGCGGATAAACCTTTATACAGGTGAAACATGTGCCTTCAACTTGGTAAGTAGTTTCAATTGGCTGGCATGACGTAACTTACTTAAGTAGTTAGTATAGAGTTTCCCCCGCATCAAAAGTCCCGCAAAGGGCACTGAAGGAAACGACGCGGAATTCATATCAAACCCAAAGATTCTCTGGTCAAGAAACTGAAGACTTTGTAGACAATACTGCCCCTATTCTAGCTAGATAGCCTACCGACAAGTCTATTCACCATGGCACCACCTGTCTGCACAAAGACATTCAAGCTGAACAATGGTACGCGACTGATAGCGATGAGCTACAAGGAGCATCAAATGAATACTCATGAGCTGACCAACCTCTTACAGGCCTTGAATTCCCTGCCGTTGGTCTAGGAACATGGCAAGGTGAGCAAGTCCCCCTCCCTTCCCCTTCCCACAGGTCTGACATCTCCTAGGCACCCCCGGAACGGATGACTCCAAGGCTATGGAGGAGTCCGTCATGCACGCCCTCAAGTCCGGATACCGTCACATTGACACGGCGCAACTGTACGGCGTCGAAGAAGTCGTGGGCCGGGCCATCCGCAACAGCGGTATCCCCCGCTCAGAGATCACCGTCGTCACCAAGTTCTGGGGCGATTGGCATCACGATCCCGCGACGGCGCTGCAGATCTCGCTGGACACCATGGGCCTCGACTACCTCGACGTCTTCCTCATGCACTGGCCGTGGGCCACGACGCCGGCGCCGGAGAAGAAGGTGCTGAAGAAGTGGGAGAGCCCGACCTTCATCGAGACCTGGAAGTTGATGGAGAAGCTGGTCGGTCCCAAGTGCCGGTCAATTGGCGTCAGTAACTTCATGCCAAAGGTCATGGACGAGCTGCTTGCCGAGGCCACGATCGTGCCAGCCATCAACCAGGTTGAGCTGCATGCATTCAACCCGAACCTGAAGCTGGTGCCCTATTGCAAACAGAAAGGCATCGTCGTTACGAGCTGGAGGTGAGTCACACCAATCTTTTGAATGAAGAATCGATGACGGGAAGAGAAAGGGTTGCTAAGATGCTGATTCAAACAGCACAATGGGTGGCTCGCGCCCGTCCCAAAATGACATCCTCACCCACGAGTTATTCACCAGCATCGCCAAGGCGCACGATGTGTCTGCGGGCGTCGTGTCCCTCTCCTGGTGCGTTCAGCGCGGCGTCGCAGTCATCCCAAAAAGCGCCAAAAAGGAGCGCATCGAAGAGAACATCCGCCTTGTCACACTTACCGACGAGGAGATGGACAAGATCAATGAGGCGCACAAGACGATCAAGAAGGAGAGATTCTCAAACGGGATCGCGGTGCAGCACATGGAGATTGATGGGGTGATGACCCAGCAGGGCTGGACGTACGTCGACATGGGTTACGAGGATGAGGATGGCAACTGGCTGGCGTAAGATACCAGAGAGTCTGAGTCGTCCAGATTGAATGAAAGGCATGGGGCTTCGGCACAAAAACCAGATTCCTCTTGCAGCAGAGTACAATGGTTGCACTGTGTTGACAAGACGTTTTCGTTCCGCTGACCGTGACAGCTTGTAAACTACCTCATGGATCGGCTGCCGGCATTAAACGCATAGCCAGGCCCAAGTACCCGTGACCAAAAGCACCTATAACTCTTTCTTGTCAGCGGAGTTAGAGTAAAACAGAGGCTACACTAACGCGCCCAATATAGCTGGTCCTCTCCCAACCAGATGAGAATCTTTCTGCGGGGATCTTTACTTTCTTTACAGTGTATCAGCTACTGATCAAAGGCTCATAGATGCTAAAACCTCGGATGGTTCAGATGGAAATCAAGAAAAATGTTATCTGATGGACGTACTCAATACTTGAATTCTCTCGCGTCCAAGATGAGGTGATGAGTAAATGAGCTGAGCTAAGCCAAGCCAAGCCCGGACATAGCACCGCCTGAATCGGGAGTGGACCGCTAGCGTCTGGTCGCAGCGGAAAGCATAAAGTCAGCCGTGGCAGCCTCTTTGTATTACTTCAATTTCCCCTCACTATCTACTGATGAGAAGCTTGAACAGCTGAGAAGACAATAGAATTCGCCAATATGGACGTATCACCTCAAGAACAAAAGATGTCACTGACGAAGACAGAATTCTCTGTAGTGTCAGAGATAATTCCAGTAACCTTGGGGCAAATGCCAGCGCAAAGTGAAGCTCTAGAGTCGGCAGAAGATTGGACAGGCCTGACGTCAAGTCAAGAGCGGAGGAAACTTCAAAATCGCCTCAACCAAAGAGCACGTCGTCAGTCTAGCCTGTATTCCTTGACTCATCGCAAGGTGTAGAACATAGTCTAACTGGATCATGGGTATCTAGGTAGGAGAATGAAGCATGAGACGCTTCGTCAATTACAAGGCGTGATAAACGAAACCGTAGCAGAAGCCGAATCATCCAGTCATCTGCAGAGCACGACGGGAGACGAAGGCTACGCGCTTCTTTCATGCCCAAAGAGGAGGAACGAGTTGATGATCCTCGCACAAGAGGCACGACGGAATGATTCTCTAGGAACTCCCGCGCCCCGACAACTCAGCGCCCTCGTCACGCTAAACCTGCTGACTGCTCTCTGGCGCAACACACAAATCCTGGGCTTCGACGTACACTCCATCTGTGAGGATGACTTTATCTCTCCGTTCAACCTCCAAGGCCCGGATCTCCCCTGCTACCCTCGTCAGGAACTGTCATGGCCTCCATATTTGCGTCCGACGGAAGCGCAAAAGAAGATTACGCACCATCCTTTTCTTGACGTTTTCCCGTTTCCGTCGCTGAGAGAAGCCGGCATCCGGGCCGAGGAGCTCGGTTTCTTTGACGAAGACGACTTTTGCGTCGATATATTTCATCTTGATGACAAGAAGGACAGCGTAGAGCGACCACAATTGATAGTCTGGGGCGAGTCTTGGGATCCCCGTGGCTGGAAAGTCAACGCCGCGTTCCTGCGGAAATGGGGCTGGATGGTGCGAGGTTGTCCAGAATTACTCGAGGGCACGAATTACTGGCGGCAAAGAAGGGGCGAGAAGAAAATGAATTTCAATCTCAATCGTTGACGGATTGAGTGCCTTTGTACTCGGCACATATTGTGGTATGTATTGACACTTATGAATTGGAACTTCCGTTACAAGTAATGCATGGAGTTTCCGGATGATAACGGGAGCCAAGAATAGAATGTACTTATGCGAATCAAAGCTACTAGGTCCACAGTGGTTGCGAGCCTTCTTTGGAAGATGGGATCTCTACTTAAGTATGTAAGTCATCGACATGTGACTTCGAAGAGACCGAGAAACTGATGAATCTGTGTGGTGTTGCTTGCAGGACCTCTCATAAGGGAGCTTCTTCACCCCATTTCAAACAGCCCCTCAAAACGGCTGGGCATTTGCATGCCAGAAAAGCTCACCGATAGCGTATCTGTCAGTGAGCGGCTTGACCACCTCCTTCACACAGTTCTTTTGCACCGGAACTCCCTCAAATCTCGCTGCGATCCATGCAGCAATGTCAGCTCTCGCTGCTTCCAGAACCTGCCCGTGGCCCATTTTCGGGTAGACTCTAGCGTGAACAGCGCTCTCGGGAAATGAGGTGCAAGTCTGGTTGAAGTCGTCGAGCGTTAAGTTGTTGGGCGTGATGGTGTCGATCTCGCCCGAAATCACCAACATCGGCGCCGCAATGGAGTGCGGGCCCTGACCGTTGTAACGGACAGCCCAGTCGTTGACAGCCGGATGCGTCAACCAGCTCGTATTCTTGTAGAGTTGTTCCGGAGTGAAGTCACCGACGATGGCATAGCCAGACGTGAAGCATGACTTGTCGAGGGCACCCAGGCGCTGCAAGGGGATATCTCCAAGGTAGTCCGCAACCTTGATCTGTTCAGGGAAGAGTAAAGATAAAGATTGGAGGAGGTAAACCGAGAAGGGATCGTGGGCGGCCTTTCCTTGAGCAAGCGAGAGAGAGGCGGGAATCAACTTCTGCGGCCGCAGAGCAGGGGCAGCAGCCACGGATCCGATGAACTCGCCGGCTTCCAAAAGAGCTTCTTGGTCGGGCTGAGCCAGACGCTCGTTGGTTCGCCAAGCCGTCATGCCGCCTTCGCTGTGCCCGTAGACCACCCACTTCTGTCCCAGAAGGTCGCCGATGGCCTTTCTGGCGGCAACGAGAGAATATGCGACATCGGCAACGTGGAGCCAACCGGACTCGTACATGAAGCCCTGCGGGATATCGGAACCCTGGCCGGCATAGTCGGGAGCGATGACTGCGTAGCCAGACTCGGCTAGAATGAATGGAGCTTTCCAGTCATAGTAAAGGCCCTTGTTGTTTGTGGGTGCACACAAACGGCTGCGGCCGGCGGTCCCGTGGGTCCAGACAACGGTGCGCAGCTTGTTCTCTTCGGCCGTAGCACCAGGCTTGGCAAAGGGGTTGGAGAACGGCAGGAGAACCCATGCAGATGCAGGGATTGGTTTGCGGTCAATGTCTTCGGTGACATAAAGAACCCGGGAGAGTGACAAACTGGCGGGAATGGTCCAATTTGAAGAGAGCTGCGCAGCGGGCACGTTCTCCCATCGCAGGATGTCGCCAGGCTTGGCACCGGTGAAGTTTGAAGGAGTAGAGTAGAAAGCGTCGGACACGATGTCGTTCACCCAGAGGGCGGCTTCAGCTTCGTACGTGGTCTGGATGGCGGTTTGGCAGGCTTCGTCACATCCCTTCTGGCACTCGGCATCGCAGATGGGGTCGAGGGCGCAGGCGACACCAACGAAAGCGACAGCAATGGCGACGAGAGACCTCATTTTGTTGAATGTTCTTGACTTGGAATCCAAGATTGGTCCTGCTGGATGACGAACGAGATGGAGTTGTGACCATTACCAGGACCGAGTCTTTATACAAGATCGAGGGCAGGAAGGGGGTTCATCTCAACATATGACTTTCAATGACCAATAATATGATTACAGAAGCTGGATTTATCGATCTTGAGCCTTAAACCCACACCTTCCCTACAGAATCCTACAAACCCACGCTGCCAAGCAGTCATATTAAGCATATGTACGATCTAGTGTTGTTGGTCACCCCAGCGTCGCATATAGCTTCCCCTTTCGGGATGGATCATCCGCCCCTGGTTGCAGTGCGTCTGCCCAGAATTGTGATTAAAGACCACGGCAGCCCCGGAACCAAGGTAGTCGACTCAGCTGGTTTGTCGATGAGCATTTCCAGTTGCTTTCAGCTGATTTCGGATCTTTCTAGTCTAAAGAATTCTCGGAACACTTCCAGCCCATTCCGTCTAATACTGTAAATCGTTTTTGAGCCTGAGAAGCGGACTTCGCAGATTTCATGTTGTGTCAAACAGGCATGCATTTCACACCGCCAAGCTATGTCATGTCGGCCTCCCACCGGCATCCGTTCCCAGTGAGACGGTATGAATCCACATTTAAATAAGCCAGCTTCTGATAGGTCCATCGGATTGAAAATGATCGTTTAGATCATTTTTCGTGGCATTGCATAGATACCTTGTGAACCCCATGGTGTAGCCGGTAGCCAAGAACGTTGTACGTACCTTCTTTTCTTCACATGCAATATCTTCCCCAAGCTTGAATTTCTAGGAAATCACCGAATGGCCTTGGACTAATATAAAGAATTCAATCCATTTAAAACCAACAATTCGAGAATCGATCCTACTCATACCTGTAGTGATGTAAGTGTCGATTCTCAATTTCTCATCTCCTAGTTGATACGCATACGATAGGTGCTGGTTCACAGATACAGACGCATGATCACGTCCAGCAATCCAAATTTGAGAGACTCTCTTGAATACAAACAACTACAGCGGCTTGGTTCTTTGCAATTTGCTCGTTCTTTCCCTTGTTTTTGTAATAGAAGTTTTGGCGCTCTGCTATCACTCACCTTCGAAAGAGCCAAAGAAAAAGAAACTCGTTCCATGGAATTACATCACCACACAATGCAATACAGTACACATGAATTCCGTTGAATTAGCCCGTATGTAGCCCTGAATCTTATATTCTTCGAGATTCAATGTGCCCCCGTGTTATTTTGAGATTCTGTGCTAAAGTTAGTCTACCTGTAATATTATAGTTAATATAGGTGAGGTAGTGAATTTTCCTTAGCGTAAGTCTTGTATTTGATGTTGCCAATGTGGAAAGATGGTCGAGAATTGTTTGCCAACGTGGAAATATGGTCGAGAATTGTTTTAGCCAGAAGTTTACGGTTTCGATTGCGGCAATGACACAGCCAATTATATTAGACGATCGCTTTCGTCACCGCTATGCCGATCGGTAGGCCGTGCCAGCGTCACCGAGGGAATTCAAGCAGCGCCTTTTCCCCGCACCACGTGGCATTCCGGCTTCCACCGCCGGCAAAACAAACTCGGCCCAGCCGCCGGGCGCTCGTTTTCTTCTCGAGGGCATAATACCACACTTGAACTTCCTCCTTATTTCTCAGCTCCCGTCATTTGCATATCCGAGAATGGAGAAGACAGATACGGCCGAGGTGCTGGATGTGTCTCAATGGCCCACGGCAAAAGAGTTCGTTTCTCGATGCTGCGAATTTCTGAATGAGGTACAGGACTTGTGAGTGCCTCCACCCTTGGGGTTTGCTTTGGCCAGGAACCAATCTAGTTGCTCAACCACGTCTGTTTTAGGACTCCCGGGAAAGCTCTAGAGACGCGACTCAATCAAGACTATGGACCTGGCAACCCATACTATGAAGATTTCTGCACCTACATCAAACAAGGTCTTGAGGAAGGATGGGTAGCGCAAACTGAGATCGAAGGACGCAAATACCGGCGGGGGAAGATCGCACTGCCTTCAGCTTCAACGAGATATTTCAGCATCACAACGGTCTACATGGATAGTGAAGCCGAGTTCAAGGGACAATATCACGCTCATCCGTACGGCGAGATAAATTGTGTTATTCAGCTAGATCCCGTGGCTGAACTCAAGGGAATGCAAGGCTGGCAAGGTGCTGGTTGGACTTCACCCGGACCTGGGACACATCACTATCCTGAAGTCCATAAAGGGGCCCTAGTTGCGCTCTTTTTTCTTCCTGCAGGCCGAATTTCTTATGATGCAAAGCCCGGTACACCTCAACCATTGTCAATTTGAAAGGTGAAAACAATTCGTCACCCCAGCTATTGAAGGTCGTGATAGATCATCAAACCCCATGTGTTGGGTTACTGTTTAAGATTTGAAACGAAGGTTTTCCAACGGCTCTACTCTTACCAGTTACGTCTGAAACTCGTTGAATCAAACTACTGCGAGATCACTTCGCTGGCCTCATGCTGAGACTTGCTCCATCTCGCTTGGATAGCATCCCTAGATCTATTCCGCTGTCTTGAGTATACCTTTATAGGTTTTGACAAGGAGAGAGGGGACCATACAGTCAGTGCAATAATCAATTGTATAAGGAAACTCATTGTGGAATTGAATCTTATGAATCTCAAACGAGTGACATACTAACTTAGGTAACAAATGGAAAAAGAAAAAAGAAAAAAGAAAAGACAAAAGCTCTCGAACTAAAACGTAATCCCGAAACTGGACCCGAAGCCAATGTAACAAGCGCAAAATTTCAGTTTTTCCCGTGCATCCCATTACCTTGAGAGCTACCCCCATCGCCTCTTTGCAACTTTCTTAGGTAAGGACCATTGTGCTGGCTCTGGCGTGTTGGCTTCCCACTGTTGTCATACTCAGCAGCCAAGACACAGCCGCTGTAGTGAGCACTGACTCTTGGTATTCCCATCAGGGTTCCAGAGTATGTTGCGTGAAGGCCGTTCAACTGTATGCCGCTCCCAGTCTTTATAGAACCCATATACACTGTTCTCGGGGAATCGAAGGGATTGCCCGTTGTGCGCGTTGGAGTGGAGGCACTCTGTGGCTCTACGAGTCTGTTCAGAAGATCGATGTCGTCTTCAATTTTCGGTCCGTTGTACTGGTTAACGCCGTGACCAGCATAGTTGCCATAATAGGTAGCTTCGCCTCCAAACTCTATGCCTAGATTCAAGCCCCGACGGTGTTCTTCATCAGAAAGTCCAGATTGGACCCGAGCTTTGTCTTCAGTCTGATTGGGCGTGTCATAATTTCCGTCGTAGTCGTAGTCTGACTCGTCCTCTCTTGGAAAAGATGCGTGGCTTTGATACTTGCGAGAGACCACAGCTACTGCATCGGGCGCAATTGAGACAGGCGACGTGGGAACAGAATCTTGCTGGTCGAAATCGGACGCATTTTCATTCGAGTCGGGAGGGACACGCCTGCCTTCCACATTGTTGAATGGTTTGGCCATTGTTTTGATCTCGTTATGTATTTGGTGAAGTGTTCGAGCTTCGATGTTCTGGATGACCAAAGACAAGTGAGACTTGTGCCTCTCGAGAGAACCCAACAGAGCGGCGAGATCTTTTTCTTTGAGCAAAAAGCCAATAGATCTGTGCAGACGGTTTCTGCCGAGTAGGCTCTTGAGACAGCTTTTCTCAATGAGGGCTTTCAAAGAATGAGTAATTATACCGACTTCTTGGGTCTGTAGTAGAGGATTTTGAGATATGGAGAGGGAGAGATGGTGAAGCTCTTGTAGCTGTGTCTGATAATTTTGAAGTGCCGAAGGTGCCTCTTTTATCTTTTTTGCCAGCTCTAGAAGAGAGAGGCAAGACGATGCTAGCTGGCTGGAGGCGGCTACCACCCCTACGAGCTCTGCCATGGTGATGACTTCATGAGGTCAAATCCGTGAAGAAACTTCCAGACACTCCAAAAGGATGATCAACCGCCAGATGGCGGTGAGAAGACCAAACCAATAGGTCCTTTCGCATTCATAGGTTTTGCACTTTGTTGTTATATTAGGATGGTGGTGTGGCCGACAAGTATGCGGGCAAAGATATGCTGGATGGCGATTGCTTGAACGTGGCATTCGTTGGCTAACAACTTGGGGGCCGTAAGATAATGTAGTGGTGGAAGTATGCCTGTGAAGTGCACCAGAGCCGTTTACATACCTTCATTGAACAGAGATACCTGCTTCGTTGTTGCCCAGATTGAAAGTAAGGCGACTTATCATGCAAGACTACTTGGCCAAGGGTCTTTCGGGGAAAGATGACTGAGCTCCGGAATCATATGATTCACCCACGAAGTGTCGTGAGAGGGGCTGTTTTAGGATTCATTGGGCTTCGGGAGCAGTAAAGTGAGCGACAAGGCGCGAAGGTGATTTGAGATGGTGTGGTAGATGCGATTTCTGTTCTCACCGCTCCAAGAAGCCAGCCTGACGAGCTCAGGATGGTGTAGGTAGGGCCTACAGCTACCGATAACTTATGACTGTCACAGATTTCATCAGTCTCTAGAGGAACCAGGGAGCTCAAGGCTTCATTCGGAACATACATGGCAATGGCAGTCAGAGTAATGGCTCACGCCCAGATATTCGTAAGATCAGACAACGTTTAAGATCCGACATATCAGGAAGCCTTTATCGGAACATTTTAAACAACTTGTATTTATTAAATGGCCATGAAGACTTGGGAGAGTGTCTACAATGGAAGGATATTGTTAGTAAGGCTGAGGTTACCGGAAGAACGGTTAGGCAGACTACCTCATTGTGGAGGGTGTGAGTTGTTTTTTGGGGGCGACTTTTGGGCTCATATGTGCCGCGACACTGACGGGTACGAATGCCGTATCGAACATGTTAGCAGCAGCTCCTCTTGAAGCCGACAGTTCCACAAATGAAGTGCTGCTCCTGGCCAAGATGTCACCATGTCTACATGATCATGACTACTTTACATGTGCGTACATGTAGGTAGTCCACCAACTAGACACGTCCTGATAAGTGAACGCAAGTGCCAAAAGCATCATAAACATGATTTCCATGTAAAGAAAAATGCATTTCTGGCAAGTGTGCCCATGTGGCCTACGATGTTTCGCGTCTCGCTTCTGCTTGACATCCGGGCACGGGAGCGGAGTCGTCTTTAGGGGTTCGACTGATGCCCAACATGAACATCACAGTATTCAGACTCCTTCACGACAACACCTACCGTACGCGCGAACTTGCTTGAGCTGCGCGCTTGCAGTCAGCCTTGCTTTCATTGGACATACCCTGGACACTGTGGCTTGGCGTTTCTGACCGACATGCCGATGTAGCCCCTTGCTCCGGCCGCAATGCAGCCTCGACGCGTTTCGACCAAAGACCAGCCCTCCTCGCACACCACTGAGGGCGGAAAGTTGCGTTAAAAATTATTACTCGTGCTCTGCTACGTCAAATCTGGAGCCGCAGCGCAGCTTCCTACCCACACCATCTTCCGAGTCGTGACAATTGACTGGACACAGAACCCATTCCGACGCAACCTCTTACGGCCGATTGCTCCGAGACAGGCAATGGACCGGACCAAACCATCCATTCCCCGACCATTCGAAAATCAGCAGAGGCAGAGGCCCTCGAGCTACTTGGCGTCAAACAACGTTTGCTCGCAGGCTGAGACACAGAACAATGGGCCAGTGAGGGAGTTCAATACGACGCACAACCCGGGGAATCATGGTGCCAATTCGCCGTTCGGAAATACTGGAACAATCAACTACACGCAATTTAATGGCCCTGTCAACTTCTTTGTCGAGTGGAAAGGAAACAATATTCCCACAGAGGCGGCCTCTCCGACTCCGCAGTGCCATCAAGGCGGTACTTCAGCGGACGTGTCTTCGACCGACAGATCAAATTTAACTGAGCCAGCCACCCCGCCGTTGCTCCGGCTACCTCGGCACGCATTCTTCATCCTCTTGATACCTTTCCTGGGATTTGCTATCACTCATTGGTGGTCCTCTGTTGGTGCGCGCCGTGCGACGACTTCGCTGACTTCGCCGACCTCGCCGACCAGAGTAAGTCTTCGTTGCACAATGCGAGATCTCGCCCCTTGACTTGTCTGGTACTCTGCTAATCTTCTGATCTTGCTAGACTTTCTGTCCCAATTAAGCTACGCACGTAACGCCATTAACACTGACTGCATTTGCTTCCACGCCTTCAGTCGAGTCGACGACAACGGACCTTCAAGTGCCTATTTCGATCACGACTGATCGACCATTCGCGTGGGGCCCATGCTGCCCAAGAACCTATATAGACCTGAAGTCTCAAATCTTACTGGTGCGAGACGCGTCTCTTTCTGAGTACATATGTATCAGTGCACTGACTAAAGCCCGGTAGACGATTCGTTAGCCGGCTCGGGCCTTTTCGTGGAAGCAAGTTTGCGGTTTAGCCTGTACAACAAGGACCTGGTCTTTCAAAGCTTTGGTTATTTCTTCTCAATGAGTCGTAGGCTAGTGTATTTACAGAAGCTTGCTACGCAAAGAATATGCACAGTGATGAACTCCACTACACAAATTCAGGTATAGCATGCTCTCCTTCGCAGGCCCATGGTATGGCAAAGCTTCGCTTGTGGAATTGATTCTTTGGTCAATGCTGTCCAGTTTAATCGCAGTTCATCCGCAATATCGATAACTTCTCCATCATGTACTCATTTGGAACCTGAGTAATCCCGTCTCTGGCCGTGCTCAAGGCAGCTTCCTCCCATTTGTCACATAGACGAAGCTGCTCCTGACACTTTTGCCTAATCACGGCCACGGAGTCAGCCCCAATTGGCACCCTTATCGGGAACATCTTTCCAGCTGCGAGGCCTTGCCCCTTGATCACGTCCCAAACAACCGGCGGAAGCTTTTTCACAGTAGACGGGAGGTTCGGAAATACTTCTGCTGCGATCGTTCCCACAGCCTCGCCATACAAGCCTTGGTAGTCCGTAATATTGGAGGAGGAGGTCTGTCGGCCCGTGACTTGTCGTCTCTCTTGTCATTAATACTAGTATCGACACCACCGGGCTCGAAGATGACGGCTTTGATTCCGAGATGAGCAGTCTCTTTCTGAAGGCCCTCGACGAATACTGTACAACATTCAGCCTTTTGAAGCCCACGATGCACTCAATCTTTGATGCATAAGAGACTTACGTGTGAGTGCAGCCTTGGTCATGCCGTAGTGAGCCATGAATGGGAAAGATGATCAGCCAAACCCAGCACCGATGAATCCAAAGGTGCCCGATTTCCTCTCGCGAAAGTGGGGGAGAACGGCCTGGACGACCTTCATCGCTCCGAAAAGGTTCCTGCCGAACATTTTCTGAACAAATGCTTCGCATCAGGCAAGTCGCCAGCAAGGATTCACTTCTTTGCGTGATTTTTCTATCCTCAGGGATACGTACTCCGCCTCCTCGATGGATGACAGGAGAGAGTAGCCAGCATTGCTGACAACGAAGTCGATGTGGCCGAAAATCTGGATAGCCTCTCGCACCTGGGCTTTGATATCTGCCAGCGGTGAGGTTACATTGATGTCGAAAGGGACAGCGGCATCCGACTTCTTGTCTGCCAGCCTCATTGTAGCGTTCCGACCTGTGGCGATGACCTTATCACCCCTTGCGGCGAACTGTTTCATGAGGGCGGCACCTATGCACGAGATGGTGCCCGTGATGAGCCAAACGTTTGCTTCCTGCATTGCGTCAATTGGTGATGGGTGATGTGAAAACGATGGGTCCGAGTGCAGCTGAAAGCTCAACTTGATCAATCTTTGCGTGTTTATCAGGACCGCCCTTTACATATAAGTCGCAGAGCGAATACAATCTCCGATGACAGTTTCGGAGAATTCTCACTACCGATGATCCTCGAGGAGTAAAGTGCATTAAGATACTTGATTCGTCTTACCCGTTTATGCCAGCCATCAGCGGCCCTCGGACTCCGGATCAAGCCACCGCGTCCATCAATACCCGGCCTTGAAAGTGCGCTGCGCGGGCTTCGGACCCTCATGCCAAGACGGGCCGTTCTGAGCAGCCAAGAGAACATGTCGGCGTTCCATCGGAGTTGTCTGATTTGGCGCCGCTTCTGCTGATCCTCCGCAGTAAGACAAGATTGGGCAAGTTTTTCTCACTGTTTCAAAGCTGATGGCTTAACGCTAATGGGTTTCCGGAAGATCGTCGACGATCTAGACCGTGTTGTCGGAATTCGGTGTTATTCCCCCCTTGCCTCCGTCCTCGAAACTATTTTTCATAAACAGCTACTGCGTGAAGTTTGGCAAGTCGTGAACCATTTTCTACATTGGCTGCGAATTCTGCATCAAGCCTGTCACTGTCTCACTTCTTCCAGCAAACTAGTTCACGGGAGAAGACGTGCTGACGCTTCCCACGTCCTTCGCATAAACTTCTACAGTTCTAGCGAAAACCGAGAAAGATCAGATTGGTAGCCTTCCTAGTTGACAACAGCAGCTAAACAGTTTTGCGAATGGCATGGAAGAATCGCGCGTCACTTGAGTCTCTGTCTTTTCAAAATCGCTTCCCTCAATACCTCATAATTGGGCGGTTTCAAACTCGGTTCGCAACCCTTACCTTTCAGGTTCGTGTGGATTCAAGCAGCGGTTAAACACTTGACGCTATTGGCACAGTGAGTTTAACGGATTCCGTGGAAGTCTACGCGCGCACACCCACACGATGGCATCATGAGCAAGGGGTCAGAACAAGGTTTGCAAGCGAGTTGTGGTAACCCCCGATGTTCCCCCCGCAGAGCATTGTGGCCCTCTATGGGGTATCTACCGAAAGAGGCCCGTCTTCCCCATGCACTAACCCCGTGAACGGACGCAATCACACCGTCTATGGGGGTTTGTGTCCCCACGTCGAGAGAGCTTGGCAAGACGCTACCCCGATTCAGAGATAGATGACTAGCCGCACCATAGACAAGCATCAGCGATAGGAACCTCTACGCTCTTTATTCAGATGAACTCTTTTGCGACGGAATTCAAGAACTTGATGCCAAGGGTCCGGCCTCAACTCGATCGCCTCATCGCCACTGACATGAGCATATGTACGATGTTAATTTCCAATATCCCCATTCTTTTCGCGTGGAATGAACGACACCATTGCCGCTGGTGAGTCGAGTTCAACCAAGATACCAAAGTCATCAAGCTCAGTGTCAATAGACCTTGGCCTCAATGCCTCGGGCTTCAACTGGGACAAGGCCACAAGAACCGGGAGCGGGGGTATCGTAATCTGGATGTCAAGCAACCTCATCGACTGGTCTGCTCCCACGCTGAATCGTGGAGGCCGGCACTGCCGGCATTGTATGGGCCGATGCAAAGGCCCGTTGACATGTCTTCTGGACCGCCCGACACGGGCCACCGCAACGCTCGACCGCATCGGATACACTACCTTCAAGGACTCAGTCACCTTCAGCCCGGTTCGGGACTGCTTCACTCTTGCGAATAGGCCAACTCAGTATGTGCCATTCTGCCCGTTGCAATATCCAGTCACCTAGATGGCAAGCTGGAAGCACGTCCGGCTTCCCATCTGGCTTGGAGCACACGTCTGTTACGCCGCTTACTGAGGCTCAATTGAATGCACTGAACTATAGGTTGCCTGCCTGAAGGAAATTCGGCGGGCTGTTCTGGTACGAGCGTTCACACTGTACCTATATATTGTTATTACTGCACATCGTTACCGGGGATGAAATAACGAGCAAAGGCAATGATACCTCATATGATTGTCCCCGTGTCCTTCACTTGGCTGGCATTGTCCAGTGCATCTCACTGTCGTCATCATGAAGCGAATGCTGGGTTTGATTGAATACGCTCGTTCTACTTCCACGTAAGTTCCGGATTCAGAATAGACCATGCCAATAATATCCAGCTCGCGCTTGTCAGCAACTCGAGACGCATCAGTCAATGTGGCGTCCCTTGAGCAGCCAAGTTATTCTACCACATCCTTTGAAATCGTTGTCTCCTGTTGAAAACTAGCAACGTGTTTGCTTCAAGTTATCGAGAACGCCCGTTGCGAAAGGCAGATCGTTCTACTAGTGCAGTCGCATCTCAGTAATTTTCGATCAAAGCACAAGGCCAAATTTCCATGATCGCGTTCCGGCAAAGTGCACCCGCATATTCAGTTCCAACTACCATTTTGACAGAGACAAGAGTTCGTCGTTGACCATCTGAGATCACTTCAAAAGGCGTCACCTGAGCATCAAACAGAGTCACGACTCAATACATTATCACAGGGAATCTGAGGGTTTGCTGTAGTTGGAGACTTGCATGTGAAAATACGGCTTGCAGGCCTCCCACCTCGCACTCGCCACCTTTGCAAAAGGCCACGCAGAACAGACGAGCTAGCAGTGAACTGTATCCGGTTTACCGGGAATCTAGATCCTGGCGGTTGACGCCAATCTAGTGTCGCTAGCTCTCGCCGAAGATCTCGGGGAACGGCGCCGGTGGCTTCGTGCCCCATCGTTTTCAGCCCTTCACTGGCACTGACTGGGACCTAGATGTGTGGCGCTCGACGTCCATCGCCGGCTCTGATAGGTTGTCCGATTTCGCCAGGCCAATCCACCATATCAATGGCTGGCTGTCTGCTCATGTAGATTGGCCCGATGCTGTGGGGTGGAAGGGGCTGGCTCTGGCTTTTACAACTCCAGCCGTCTGTATGTTGGCTGCTGAAGGATATTGTGGCGCGGCTGCATGCGGTGATTGGTTTCAAGATGTTATCCCCTCGATGTTTGTTCAGGTTCGCCGGACACGGCGAGTGTTAACGTCAAGGTCTATCTTGTGATATTCCACGAATTTCTTTACATTTAGTTGTCTTAAACGTGCCCGGGTCCAGACTATTTGCCCCTGGCATCCTCGCATCAGTATTCTCAATTGTCGCATTGACTTTACGGAATCTTTTCAATCCCATTTCGTTATAGAAGTCCAAAAAGTTCGAAATCATCTTGGAATCCCAGGACGGCTCTCAGGTGCTCCCCGTCACAAAAACTTCATCGACGGGGACGGGAGGGTTTGCGACGAGCCGCGATGCACAATGAAAGCTTCAGACGGCAGGCAGGGGACCCAACCCCGCCGTACACGGACGCCACCAGAGGCCCGCTACTCATTGGCATGACGGCAGGTTTTCTTGCAATTGCGTTAATTTTCGTCGTCCTACGTGTCTATGTACGGGCTTTAGTATTGAAGAAATGGGGTTTAGACGACACTCTCCTCGTCATTTCATTTGTAAGCGCCTGCATCCTATCACCTACATAGAAGCAAGAAGATTGGAAGCTGATTCGATCATGCTAGGTTTTGGCAGTATTCACCGGCACTACCTTTTCCATATGTAAGCCCGTTAAAGTGTTGCAACTTGAGTGAGGAGGCATTTGCTAATAGTTTCAAAGGCACTACCGTCGGATTAGGGAGGCATATCTGGACTGTTCCCGTGGACGTCCAACAAACGGGTCGCAGGGTTTGTGGATCCCTTTGCTGTTTGATCATGACTTGGGATGATAACATTTCTGATAGATGACAATCGCTGCAACCTTGTCCTATCACATCACCTTTATCGTGATAAAAATAGCTTTGCTTCTCCAGTACCGCCGAGTATTCGCTCATCCCAAGTTTTGCCTCGTATGCGATGTAATGCTGGGCTTTATTGCTATATTTGGCATTGCAGTGGTGGTATCATCCGTCGCCATCAGTGCTCCGACCTGGCGAGGCGACACGTTCGAGTTCGAGCGGTACAACCAGGGAGCATGGTGGATGGCAACAGCCGCGGTTCATTTAGTGACGGATATGATCATTCTCTGCATGCCGATCCCGCTTTTGAGCAGCTTGAATTTGAAAAGAGCTCAAAAGGCTGCGCTGATAGTTACTTTTGGTGTCGGATTCATGTGAGTTTGTGATCTCCCACCTCAATAGAGCTTGGCCCTGACATAGTTCCCAAGCACGACAGCCATCTCTGTCGTCAGGATGTCTACGCTCACTCATGTCTTCACAGCGGACGTGACGTGGGACGTAATCCCATCATTAATCTGGTCCGAAGTTGAGCTCTGTTGCGCAGTGATTTGCGCTTGCATACCGACACTTCGCCCTCTCCTTCGCTCCACGAGACCCACTTCCTCGCAGTACTACAATCGACAACGTTCCGAAGCAAGCGCCGAGGCGAAATTGTCTCGAAAGCGGATCAATGGGGAAGCATTTGGGAGTCACAGCCAGCAAAGCAACCAGGGCCATACGACGTTTGATGCGGATATGGAGATGGACTTGGAGGCGAACCTGGCGCCGGAAATGCCACCAGATGCGCCTCAGATCCAAAAGGGAATGAGTCAAGGGTTGACTATAGTGACAGATATCACCCCAGCGCTGGCGGCGGGAGAGTCGGATGATGGATCTGACGTATTTGGGCCGTTGGATGAGGAGGTCGCGACACCTCTGAGCCCGCCTCCCAGATCATACATCATCCCTGCGAGGCGTCTGTCTCGGTCTCGATCGTTGTCGGAATCAACTAGCGAGGGGTAAAGAGAGGAAGAAGGGGGATTTGACCTAATGGATACCAGGCCAATGCCGACAGGGCCGTGTGGCGGAGGGATATTGTGGTACATGTGTTTAGCTAGGCGTTGGGGTCAATTTTCATGTATATCATAGGAATTATCCAAGACGACAGAGTAGTAATAATCAGCCGCGAAGAGGCATCTGATGCTGCAATTGCATTCATCTTACAGATTTCATTTGTCGTCGGCGTGAGTGAGCAAGACATCAGCCTGTGGAAGAAGCATGCAGCGTAACCCTGCCCAATCATGTATTTGACAGCCGCTGGAAAGCCAATCTCACGGGCACTTTGACTGAGGCGTGTCGTGGAATGAAGAATGAATGGTTAAGGTTGTAATGGCACAGAGTTTCGACAAGGTCTCCCGGTGTGACAGTCGCTGTGAGGCTGGCGGCAGGGTTGTTTCCGGAACAAGTCCGCGGTGGACCAAATGGACCCTGAGTCAGGAACATGTGGCCTCGGCGCACCAGGTTCTTCGGGGTCTCGGTTCCGGCCGGGCCGCTAGACCTGATGAGTAACCTTGCACGTGCTACGCTAAACTAAAGGAAGAAGGCGGTCGGGGCTCCGAGGCACCGGCCTTCGGGCATCTTAGATAAGCCGGCAAAATGGCAATGTCGCCCGTCCGCACATCCCCGCCATCGCCGCCTGCGACAGGACACGGAGTCGACAGCTTTCCGTCCCATTCCACTCCTCCCGCCCACCCGCCTCCTGCCACCTTGGCTCTTCTCAACACTTGCAATCACACTGCTGTTCCCTTACTCGTCGATCCAAGCAGACTCGAAGACATCCATCCGCAATGTCATACGAGAACGGCGAGCACGCTGCTGCGGCTGCCAACACCTACCCCGCCAAGCCCCACTCATCCAAGCCGTCCCCGCGGAGTTTCCAAGACGTGTGTTATGAGCTGAAGGACAGGCTCGATGCTTTCCTAGCGGAGGAGCAAGAGACAGAGATTCTGCGGAATGTTCAGAAACAGCTGCGCGTGTCAATAGGTGTCGTAGACGAGACGTTGGCAAGATATAGGTGCGCGACACGCCATGTCAGCTCTCATCTTGCGTTCGCGTGTGTTGCTAATGCGCCGAGGCAGCCTGGAACAGATATCAATTTCCTACAATGGTGGAAAAGACTGTATGTGCTCTCATCTTGTATCCTGCCTGTCTCCCCAGTGGACTTGCGAATCGTCCGTGTCGCAAACCGTCACCTCCACCAATCTGGCGCCTGATGCTGACAGACTTCTGTGATAGGCCTCGTACTCTTAATTATCCTGCTTGCCGCCCTCGCACGTCGATTCCCCTCCCCTCAGAAAGCCTCCTCTCAGACGAACGGTTCGAACGGCACGACCTCTTTTCCCGCTGAATTCCAGGCAGTGTACATCGTATCAAAGCATCCATTCGCCGAAGTTGACGACTTTGTGGAAACCTCCAGCTCCGAATACCACTTAGACGTAAAACGATATGCCATGTCAATGAAAGATGGACTGGAGGCATACCTAGCAGACAGACCAAACGTAAAAGCAATTTTCGTAGGGACAAGGAGGACAGACCCCCATGGCGAGAAGTTGACAGACTTTGATCCCACGGACTCCGGGTGGCCTGCATTCATGCGGGTGCATCCTGTTATTGATTGGCATTATGGTCCGTTTCCTATGACATCCAAGGATCTGTGAATCTGCTTGCTGATTATCCTCTCTAGCCGAAATTTGGGCAGTAAGTTATGAGACAGGCCTTCGGTCCTTGAAGACCCAGCGCGCAAGGAAGAAAGCATACCGGCACGAGAATATGGGTTGACCAAAAGCTAGTTCATCCGGCATTTGCAGATTCCATACTGTCCTCTATATGATCAGGTAAGATGGGTCAATTAAGGGAAGCCGAGATGAGATGACTGATTTTATCCAGGGCTACACGAGTTTAGGCGGAACAAAAGATACCCATCCCAACCCCCAATTGAAGACCGAAGGACAGAATGGTGCGGCTTTCCGGCCTGCGTACGAGCTGACGGAAGACGACGAAGAGAGATTAGGTCGTGATAGATGAAGAAGAATCCAACGACTGGTCGACTTGCGGAACCCGTCAGAGTTGGATTGAATTTGAGGGTAGCGAAGATTCATCATGGAAGAGCCATTTATATAGAGGGCGCATATACTTGCGGCATCACAGCCAATCATGACTGATTTTATTTCCAGCTCAAGCTCGCGCCGGTCGCAAATTATGCAACCTTCGTTACGTTGTCCGGGACTTGGTGTCATAATCTCACGGAAATAGTTTATATCGCCATCAATACCAGCAACACCACGATTTGCCTACCGAGACAACGTCTTGCGCTGTGATAATTGACCAGGAAAACTCTACGCTTGTGCTTTCTCTATTTTTCCCATCTCTAGTTGACGCCACGACTGCGCAGGTGTCAAGGAGCCGCCAACACGGGCGCATCGACGGCATTGCGCACTCGAGGGGCATAAGATATTATCTGAAATGTGTGCGATGGATATTTTAGAAAGCCCCCAAAGAGGAGTTTGGATTTTGCTCAATCGTCGACTACGAAGTTCAGGGCGGTGCCGATTTCAGCATTTTATTCAACCATCGGCTGTCTGTCACCGAACCCCGCCAGATTATTGGGCCCCACCCGGCAATCTGTACCTCGTCGGCAAGTTCTTGGCACCTTATCATCGGATACCTGACCCTCGCCCTCCAAATGACGGCTAACTGGCTTGGACGGCATCAAAATGGCCAGCCCTCGTTATAAGACATCTCCCAGCCAAGCCGATGCGATTTTGGGGACGACGAAGATACCAGTATCGTCAACTTATATGACTTTGAAGCACGCACCGATCTTGAAGCGTACATGTGTGCTTCGCTGTTAGTCTCATGAACTGCACCCCTTCAGTTAACCTTCATCATGCTTTACTTTGGGTTTAGCCGTCCGACAGTATTGTCAACTCTGATTCTGCTCATTGTTCATCGTGTTTCAGCAGGGCCAACTGTGAAGGTTTTGAACGGTTCCTACGAGGGCTTGTTTCTTCCCAACTACCAGCAAGATGTTTTCCTTGGGGTACCGTATGCCATGCCTCCCATTGGGAACTTCCGCTTCAAGGCACCGCAAAGCATCAACTCGAAGTGGAATGCAACTCGTCCGGCAACGGAGTATGGAAACATTTGCATGCAATACACTGTAAGCATACCCTAAGCTTCAAAACTACTGGGCACTGGGACATGTGGCTCATGCACGTACTTACTAACACGGCTGCAGGCTCCTCCCAGCCATCCAATGTCTGAAGACTGTCTCTCACTCAACGTGATTCGCCCGAGTAATGTAAGCGGCATTGAACTTCTACCAGTCGCTGTATGGATTCATGGGTCAGTCTCAAAAGATCTCAAGTCAACCTTGATGCGAACAATTATAAATCTGACTTTCATGATAGCGGCGGCTTGTACGGGGGTTCATCCCGGGACAACAATCTGACCAACTTTGTGCGACAAGCCTCCGCGGCACGGAAGCCACTCATAGCCGTCTCCATCAACTATCGGCTTTCGGCTTTTGGTTTCCTCTGGGGATCCGACGAGGTGAAAGCCAACGGCAGTGCCAACAACGGCCTACGAGACCAGCGCCTGGCACTTCATTGGATACAAGAAAATATTGGCTTTTTCGGCGGTGACCCGCGCCGGGTCACAATCTTCGGCCAAAGCTCTGGAGGCTTGTCTGTTGGTAAACAACTCATAGCCTACGGAGGCAGAGACGACGGTCTGTTCCACGGCGCAATCATGCAAAGCGGTGGAATGGTCGAAAAGTGGCCTTACAACGTGAAAGATCCGGCCGCTTACACCAAGGATCTCTATCTGAATCTGACAGAGACTACCTCTTGTTCCGAGGCGGTTAGTCCACTGGAGTGTCTTCGCAACCTACCCGTCGAGACCATATCTGCCGCCCTCAACGTGAGCAACACACCGGTATTCTCAGGTACCGGACTCGGTCCTTGGCTCACTCAGGTCGATGGCGACTTCCTTCAAGATGGGCCCACGGCGTCTCTTAACAGAGGCCACTTCGTCCGTGTGCCAATCATGTACTCTACCACCACCGACGAGGCAACAGTCTTCATGTTTGGTGGGAAGCTTGACACAGACGAGGACTTTAGAGCTCTGATTGCAGCCGGGGGCCCAGATAATTCCACCGTCTCCGCCATTGAACGACTTTACCCCAACGCCAACGGCACAGGGCTTCCGGTCGGGTATAGCCCGACTGTTGAGGACGATCAGCTTTACGGATCTCAGTGGAAGCGTGGGGTCGAGTTCCATACCGATGTCGTCGAAACAACTTCTAGACGTATGACACTCACAGCCTGGGCCGCTGCTGGAGCGAGAGCGTATTCAGCTCGTGTCAATCTGTTGCCTCCCAGCACGACGCCGCGCCTGGGATCGCACCATTCAATGGACGTCTCGTTCATCTTTGACGCTCTTGACGCAGAAACGATGAGCGAAACGCAGTTCGTGGCGGCATCGGAGCTCATGGGTAGGGCATGGGCGTCTTTTGTGTCGGATCTCAACCCAAACAATCATGGAGGTACGCTGGTGTACTCCCGCATATCCCAACCGTGGGCCTCTGCTAACGTGACCCATTACAGTCTCCAATACCCCTACATGGCCGGCGTGGGCTGTTGAAAACTCGAACAGAACCAGACATAACTTTGTCTTCAACGCCAATAGCGACCCATCATCCAAGTCATTTGTCGAAGTGGATGATTATCGCTTGAGTCAGACAACATACTTGGCAAGTGTCATGCAGAGCCAAATGTACTACTAGGAGGTGGACTGGTGGTAGACATTAGCATGATTGGCATTGAGTGTATTCAGTGTCAGTAGAGAATTCAAACTATGGTTGATTGAATTATAGGGTAATGTAGTAGTATCTCGTTCCCGAATCGTATTCTAGGAGCACCTCCGCTTCCATCTGATCCACGTCTACAACAATATGTCGCCACATACTCAATTCATACGAGTCAGCCATGAAACCGGGGAGGACAATGGCGCAGAGGTACTTGGTTCCTTGCGTTGAGATGACTCCCGATTCGTTGACGAAGTTACCACTGAGGTCCCTGACATTTGATCCGACAGCCGAATGAGGGCACAGGACAACGACCATGTTCAGCCCAGGAAGCCCCAGCGGAAAGGTCGAAGGTGGTGACCAACGCACAACCATACCGGGACGGATGCGATCTTTGAAAGGGACGTCCACTGCCTTTGAGTCTGGGTCTACGCTAGAAGATAGCATCTCCTGGTTCATGGCTGTCTTCCGGCCCTTCCCCTCGGCAAAATCTGTCTCGCTCATAGTATCCGAATTCTTTGTGCGGGATTTTTGCGAGTCAATGTGCAAGCGCCAGAATTTGGCTTGGAATGCACGAGCTTGATCTGCATCAACTCCCGGTGTCTGTAAGCAGCGGCTAAGGAACTCGGGCGTAGGGAGGCGGAGGAGGAGCGATCCTGTCTCGGAGGGCGCGAGGATATTGCTAGATATGGCCGGGTTTCCAGACTTGAACACATTAGTTTTCGTTCTACGATTACTCTGGAGGATTAACTCACGTTGGTGTTGACCCAACTCTTCAACTGTTCATTGTCCCAGGTTGCAGGGGTCTCGGGGTCATAAGACTGAGGCTTGGCTTTGGGTAGTAACACCCGCAACATCTCGGCATACTTGAGAGTATTCTTGCCGGCGCCAGCGTCTGGAAGACTAGGATTGACACAAGCAATTACCACAGTCTTACAGCTGCGTCTTCCTGCGGGATCAAAGACGTGCTTGAGAATCTTTGTGAGTGAACTCTGTCGGAATGGGATGTAAGTTGGTTTCTTGGTCTTGCCCGTCAGAGGAGCCGCGTCAACCATTGCCCTACCCCTGATGCAGTCCTTCAGTACCGAAAGACTCGTATTGATCTCACGAGCCTCTTTCATACGGTCGGCCGTGTGGTTCTCTACGTCGCGGGCGGCCTCCGAGCCTGCCAGGTCGATAAGATAGAGCAGCCCGTCCTCGGCCGTTGGCATGGGGCTCTCGATGCGGATGCGACAAATGGCGTGGGAGCGAGAAGATGCATCATTCTTGAAAGTCGATGCTGTTCGACGGAAGCTCGCTGCCTTTTCTATGAGCTCGAGCAAGGTGGCTGCTTCAGTGATTTCGTGTTCCACAGCGCCGGCAAGCTGTGTGACACCGAAAGAATCCTCCAAGACTGAGATTGGCTTGCGAGAGTTCAGGAGGTCTAGTTGAAAAGGACCTTGTTAGAGCGATATGCGCCTTGAAAAGGGGAGATTTCCACAAAACATACCGAAAGAAGAGTTGCCAGCCAGCTCGATTATGCACGCGTACACTTTACGCTCCCCTTCCAGACGGCCGTTCATGAGCGACTGGGCGACCAGCTTTTCTATCGCACTCACGGTGAAGGTTTTGCCCGATCCAGTCTGGCCATAGGCAAACATGGTACTTACGCCGCCACTCCATGCCCAAGGAACTAATGGCTCGACCAAATCTTGGTATATATGTTCAGATGTGTCTTCTGGGCCGTATGCTCTGTCAAGGCGGACTGAAGTGGTCTGCAGAGTGTGTCAACTTTGATAAATCGACGGTTTAGCAAGCAGACTGCAGCATACCATTAGCGTCGGAGGCCCCAGTGGCTTAACGTGCTTTCGGATCTGGTGGATGTCTACGGCACCATTGCCGCTTGCCCGAGGGAAGACTCCACGGATAAGACCAGCGGCTACTTCTTCATCTAGAACCGGCCGAAGCCGAGCCGCAACGATCATGTCCGGGTTGGAGGTAGTGTTCGCATCTTCTGGGCAGGCCCTGTCCCTCTTGGCTGCTTTGGCGCTAAAAGCCTCAGTGGAGGCCCGGTACCAGGGCGTGTGTTTGATGTGATACTCGTCCATGGCGACTGAATTGCAACGTCAATACTGCGTTGGGAAAATCCAATGAAGTGCTGTGACTCTGAGAAGAGCTTCTCGTCATACCTGCGATTCTCAGAGGGACTTATGTCTTATGAAGCCTTTTTTCACTAGTGCGAAAACGTTTCGCATCTCGTTCGACTCGACGCCTTGATAATTGGCCAGCTTCACCCCATCGTGCCAAGGTCAGTCACAACTGTCAGATAATCACTGCCTAGGATCGGTCGACCAAGCAACCAGGCAGACAGATTTGGGCAATAACGCAGTGAAACAAAAGATCAGTTTGTATAGAAGCTCATAGGCTATTCATCGTCGGCAAGATGCTCCATTCACAGATGCCTAAAGACAAGGGTAGTGATAAGGCTTCCACATTCCAGTATTTACTAGTACTGATTGGGTTTTGTGCATGCTATTTACCTTTCGCACGCCCAACAATCTGTATCACTAAACACAGGTGCCTAATTCGACAGAAAGATTTTCTTGTTGTAACTGCACAAATATTTGGATTTGATCCTGTTGTAAGTCTTCGTTGTATACCTAAAACAAAGAGCTGGTTGTGAATTTCAATGCTAAATTATCAACTCCCGGAATCGCCATCATCTTCGTCATCGTATCTAATTGTTAGGATTGTTCAGAGATTTTCTCTTCGGTCCTCTGGCAAAGGTCAAGGTTCTCGGTGACAGTGCCTTAGCGTTGCCCTCCTTGTCTATCGCCGGTTGCACGTATTCGGTGGTGATGGCAACTTCTACATCCTTGCGAATATCAGTATTCTTCCGCCGGTTGCTGTGACTTCTTCTGATGCTAATTGATCTCTTGATTCCGGCTGGCTCAGCGTGAGGGTCTCCCCAGGCTTTGAGGTCTTGCATCTTGTACTCTTTCACTATGCGTTCTTCGCTCTCATTGAAGGTTATGTTGGTGATTGGGTATGCTGAGGGAGGACCGCGCCCTCGCCAGCTTTGGTTGCTGCCGCCGCCAAAAGTGCGTATTTCTTTCGGTGTCGCGTCCGTGACCTTCTGAGTTGATCGCAGTGAAGTGAGAAGAGAGCCAAAGACAGGGCCCAGCCAAAGCTTGATGATTGAGAACACCATTGGCATGTTTGCGGTGATGACTGCGACAAAGGTCTCTCGAACAGCCCAAGATCCGGCTAGCTGAGCACCATTTTGGGGGTCCTGAGTCGGGATTGATGAGTAAAAGTTTGTGTACGATGAGGCAATGGAAACTCACCGTAACAATCAGGATGCAACGCAGGGTCGCGCAGACAATAACAAATAGCCCGCCGCTGAAGAGGAAAATGAGGCCCCCTTTTTTTATGGGCTTAAGCCTAGCTTGCCACAGCATTGGAAGGGGAATCGTAAAAAGGTACAAATCCGTGGTAACGTTAAACGCCAGGTATACCCAAACAACCTGGTCGGATATAGCTGGTTGACAGACATCTACAAGGAAATCAAGTCAACCCAAATGTTCCGAGCTGAATCAATAAACTCGGTACCATCTTACTTCCAGGGTTAGGATTGATCTGCCAGTTCTTGTGAAAGGGACGACAAGCAAGGAAGAGATTCATGATGACGACGATCCAACTGACGGCTAGGAAACCGAAGCCAAAGTAGATGCGAAGTCGGTAGCCCCGACCCAAGCCCGCCTATTCCTGGTCAATATCCGGGTAATAGCTGGAATCAACACCCAAGTTCATAACTCACAGTCAGTCGCAGATAGAATACCAGCAGTGATGCCTTAAGGGACCATAATAACAAGGAATAGCTTGACCATCCACAAAGCTGAATAATGGAACCGATCACCCTGGAATAAATAGGGTCAGCGAAAAGTCATACTCGGGACGCAAGCCACTCACCTCAGTCGATATTCCTCGCTGTCTGGGGACAGAGCCGCTCGTTGATCGTCCGTCATAGCGTTATTCGCCATACCCTTCGCAACAGCCCCCACGGAGTGCGCCAGCGCAGTCTCAATCACATAGAACATCTAGCCATGAGTTGTTGACTTCAGTAAAGTATACGGATCAAGTCAGAATGTACTAACCGCGCCGACCCAGACAAGGTAGTCATCCGCTTGAAGGCCTTTAAACCCTACAGACCTGACCCGGGCGTAGGTCCTCAACATCGTAAAAAGAATGCCAACTGTCAAGAGGGTCCATGCCTCTATTGTGAATGACCGCATTGCCGCGGAAGCGGCAGCGGCAGCGGCGGCAGCCTCCGCCGCGGCGGGGTCCATGGCGGCACGAGTAGTGGCCATTGACGACATGCCAGAATCCGATGTTGTAAAGACCGTCTCTCAATAGATTAAACACAAACGACAGAATGAAAGACAGAAAACAAGCCAGAAGAGACAGGAGAATCTCCGAAAGGCATGCAGGTTCCCGGGGTGTCTGCTTTGTATAATCTGTTGCCAGACTCCATTTTCAAAGAGGTCCTTACTCGATTCGATCGACATTTGTCAAGCCCAAAGGACCGGTGCCGATCCACAACTATGGCTGCGGTTAGGCTCCATTCCCGTTGATACCCTCCAGCGGTGCCACCAGGAGACTGTTTGAGGTTTCCTGGATGTTGATTACATACGCCGAAAACGGAAGTGGGTGAAAGTATAATGTCGAACCTTTTCCAAATCCACGTGCTTGATACGGCATGGGATCGCGACGACAGGTCGTGGATTGTGCAACGGACGTGGATAAGCCCGTGCTCACGGAAACCAAAGTATTCAAGCAAATTTGTGCCTGGAACTGAGGGAAAAAATACGGACGTATTTGATCAAACAATTGGGTAACTTCGGACATGCCGCAATAACAATGAAGAATGTCAAATAGGGTTGTGATGCTTGGGTCACATCACCTCTATGCTGAAGGAACTAAGGCCACGGTAAGCTGCAGAGTGATTAGGATCCTCGCCATGTCAAGCTGCCATGGCCGAAGTACGCTGATGGTTTGTTGTTGCATTTCTGGCTAGCCACTTCCGTATATAGTTGCCAACAATACCGTACCTACCTTCTTACGCATCATGCCAATGAAAATTTCGGACAGGCGAACAAACAGCTCGTTGTAACCCTGGACTGGAGAAAGTAAGGATTGAAAGGTACCGTACCTGTTGACCAGCACACCCTCCAATTTTTACGCATGCGAAAGGTTCGGCGAATCGGCAAAGTGCATGTCTCGATGAGCAGGGGTATTTCAGCCGTCCAAACCCTTTTGTCGACGGCTGACTCGCTCATGGCACGTGTCTCTGTGAATGGTAGCATCCAACCGTTCAATGTGGCACACTTGTTGGTTCGCTCATATTTGTCCCCTAGTCCATAAGAGTTGGGTACGGTTGGTTCTACGTTTTGACGGCTCCTCATTGCGAGTAGCCCCGACGAAGAACGGTCAATCGTTGATACAGTCGCGGGGAACCTTGACCAGTTCCCGACGGACGCGACGGACGCCACTCGTAGTCACCCGCATTCAATGTCATCCCGAATGTAACCATATAGGAAATTGTTGAACCAGCCTGCAGGCTGCATGGTACTTCTCGTCCGTGAAAAGTGGACCCGGGGCTAATTCTCAGAGTTTAATAAACACATTTCCAGCCAAGCCTCCAGTCAAACACAAACTCAGGGGCTCGCAACCCTGCGAACACTACTCAATCTGGAAAATCCACGCCAACTGTCTATTTCCGCAAGTACTACGTAGTGTCACCTTCCAAACAGAGAAGATCGGCACGACATGGGATCCCGGGGAACCGCCCGGTTGTCGTCTCATTCTAACTTGGTCGCCGTTGGCCAACCGCATCCCGTTAGCCGCTCCTGAGTCGCGCCTCGAGCAGAGGTTCATCAAGATTTACTTTCCCGGCGCGTCTCCGACTGTTTCGGTACAGATCACTCAATTCTCTCGGAATCCTGTTCGCAGCTGACGAAATGGAAAACTTTGACTGTGTTGTGGTGGGCGCAGGTAATTTCTTCCCAAACTTCTGGATCTACATATTTCCAGACACACCTTCATCTAGGTCCAAAGCAGTGAGGCAATACCGTTGACTAACATGAATTTACAGGATGGTATGGCTTGGCTGCCGCGAAGCAGTATCACTGCACGCAGCCAGGGTCTTCTCTCGCTGTCTTTGACTCCCAACCCACGCTCGGTGGTACTTGGGCAGAAGAGCGTTTATATCCGGGCTTGAAAAGCAACAACATGTTAGGGACTTATGAATATCCAGACTTTCCTATGGACAGTGAGACATTCCACATCAAGCCAGGGCAGCACATTCCAGGAGAAACCATCAACGTGTATCTCAAAGCATATGCCGACAAGTTTGGCATCACCGACAAGATCCGTTCGAGCCACAAGGTCCTGGTAGCAGAACATCAAGAAACAAGCGAAGGCGGGTGGTTCTTGACAGTTTCGAATGCCAAAGATGAAGAAACACAGGTGTTTGCACGGCGACTGATCGTTGCAACTGGTTTGACTTCGGAACCATGGCTGCCCCATTTCGATGGCCAAGAGTCTTTTGGCGGTCGCATCTTTCACGGCAAGCATTTTCAGCAGAATGTCGATACTTTGAAAACTGCAAAAGTTGTGACAGTCTTTGGAGGCACAAAATTTGCATGGGACGCTGTCTATTCGTACGCAACTGCTGGTGTAAAGGTGAACTGGGTCATCCGGTGTAAGTTTATCCATGTCTAGGGAGTTAGTTTTTACTTACTCAATGATAGCAACTGGACATGGACCTTGCTGGATGTCGCCTCCTTATGTCACACCACTCCAGAAATGGATGGAAAAGCTCGCGAGTCAGTATACCTTTGCTTCTGGAGATCCTCACTACATGTAGCCTTGGACTGACAAAACTAGATACGCGAATGTTGACCTGGTTGAGTCCATGCGTGTGGGGCGAAGCTGATGGCTATACTCGCATACGTCACTTTTTCCATGGCACTGCTGTTGGGCGGACCATTGTTGATATTTTTTGGAAAGTACTAGGTGCCGATGTCATGACGCTCAATGCATACGACTCTCACCCAGACACAGCAAAGTTGAAGCCTTGGACCGAGCCGATGTTCACTGGCACCAGCTTCAGCATTCTCAACTACGAGACCAACTTTTTTGATCTGGTCAAGGATGGCAAGGTCAGTGTCCATCTCGGGGAGATTGACCACCTCAGCGCTGGAAAAGTCCACCTTTCCGATGGGACTGAGTTCCCCGCCGAGGTTCTGCTGGCTCATACCGGCTGGAAACACGTCCCACCGATCAAATTCCTTCCAGAGGGTATCGAGAAGGAGCTCGGTATACCACATGCACCCATCGGGAACGCGCCCCGAGTGGACCTTGCCGGCCAGGCCGACCTAGTTGACCTAGCCGACAAAGAGATTCTGGAGCGCTTCCCGAGACTCAAGAATCAGCCAGTGTGGAACAAGAACTATGTGCCCTTGACTGAGCAGAAGGGCATCAAAAGCGATGACGCAGTGACTCCGTACAGAACTCTCACTCCGTACATGCTTCATCACTTCATTGTACCACCGTCGGAGCGCTTCTTGCGCACACGCGACACAGCTTTCATCGGCATGGTCAGCAACTTCAGCAACATCATCACGGCTCATATCCAAGGCCTGTGGATCAGTGCTTATTTTTCAGGTCTACTTGCGAATGATCCTACCGAGGCAGTTGGTGATGAATCGTCGATGAAAAAGTTGCAATATGACACGGTCCTGCTGAACCGCTTTGGAAACTGGCGCTACCCTACAGACTGGGGTTTCAATAAGTGCCCAAGCTTCGTCTTTGACGCTGTTCCGTACCTGGACCTGTTGATGGGAGACCTTGGTCTGGTTCCATACCGGAAAAAGGGATTCATGGCCGAGGTGTACTCGCCTTATGGGCCAGAAGACTACCGCGATATCAACAAGGAATGGCAGGAGAAATTCGCTAAGAGCAAGGTTCTTGATGTAACATCAAGTCAAGATTGATCATGTGCTACATCATCATATCCCTTTATTTCTCATGTGGTCAAATGATTCATGTACAGTTATTGCAAAATGAAGCTTTCTGTTTCTTGTCGCCGAGTGCTCACTGCTCATCAATCCCCTAAGTGAGTTTCTTGACAGCCTTGACTATGATAAGTGCTCATCGACTACCACAATTCCAGGGTGAGACTCCCTCGGTAATTGCAATCCGTAGAAGATACTTCTTAGCAGGCACTTTGCCAGCTTCGAGGTCGTTGAGTGCCCTCCCCAGGGAGCCAAGACCTTCGGAGAGAACCTCACACTAATGACCACCGAGCCATCCCTCATTGAATCCACACCCAAAGAAAGGATGGAACGTAGCTCCAAACTCTCTGTCTTCCAGGGGCGGTCCCGAAGGGTCTCTAGAGGTATGAACAGCTCCCATTGTAGGATGCAGTACCTCGACCATGATGTCGCTGAGGAAGTTCTGGAGAAAGATTGCGATTTTGCCTTTGCCTGGATCCAGGGTCTTGGCAATGGTTCGGATCGTCTCGTTCTCGGATATAACCATCCAGAGCATACACAAGGGATTTCTTTCCTGCAGCGAGATGAATTTGCTCCAGAATGTGGTCTTCTTCCTTGCGGTTTTAGTCGATGACCACGTCGCCTTTATCCTTACTGACCAATGTCTCCACATAGGAGCTACCATTTCCGGCGACGGCGATGATGGGGTGAATGTTGAAGAGGATTACTAGCTTGATAGCAAAGGCTCCAACAGCTGTGACACCGCCAGTGAGGAGGGGAGGCAGACGTTCCTTGACTGGGTCCCAAGGAAGCGGCAGACTGAGCTTTTGGTATAAAGCGAGAGCAGCGGTCATAGCAGCCAGCGGAATTGTAGCTGCCTCTGAAAGACAATTTATGAGAACTCAATATTACACGAGAAAGCCTACGGGTACGCACCTTCAAAATCGATCTTATCGGAGATAATAAAGGTTAACTGAGCCCAAGTAATAGAGCATTCGGTAGAAATTCCATGCGGGGTGCCCATCTTGTGAAAGGCCGCAACACGGTCTCCTTTCTTAAAGCCGAGCATACATTCACCAATTTCGACACAGCCAGCAATGTCATCGCCATGGTTAAGGAGGTAAATGGGGAGCCTTTAATTTGGGAACTTTCCAATTTTTCGGATTGGTCCCAGAGAAGGCGGTCCTGATCAAGACTTGTTCGGGTCCAGGGGTTTGGCACCAGGACATCGTGTATCTCAACATGGAGATTGTTGCCAATGATTGCTTCCTTCACTGGCTTTTTGTCTTTTGGCAAATTTTCGCCGTGTCGTTTCTCTAAGCAGATGGTCAAGTAATGTGGTGATGTTCCAATGTTAGCGTCAAGACTCTGGGGTTGATCGACCAAAACTCAGGGGCAATTGCCATGGTTTAAGAATTCCCTATCGTATCTACCTATGACAGTCGAGGCTTTGTGTCTGATGTTCAAGTAAGTCCCGTCTCAACATCACATAAGTAGATTGTGAGACTCACATGACCACATGCAGATCACAAATTGAACAATGCTCGGAGAATTTTTGGACGGCTTATGGTTGTGATGAGCTGGTCACTCCGTAAGCCTTAGTTCTATTGGTGAAATCAATGCTCTGAACCCGAGTTCCCTTCGACCAAATATTCAGCTTTCAAAGAGCCGAATTGTTTCAAGAGCTCCAAATGATACCGCATTTAGATATCTCCATCTTATTCAATTCACAAAGGATCCGAAAGTGGATTACCGTAGATGCAAATGTCGGGGCCGGGCCCACTGTAAAATTGGAGACTTGGAGCCTTGCAGACATAGGAACATGGACCTCCTTTCTGCCTGAACCATCATCCATATCTAGGGCATGGCCGGGATGTTTCCCGAGTGAAATCCCGTTTTGCCAATACACTCAGTGAACGAGCCAAAATCGGGGCCGAGTCTCCGCTCACAGTCCGGGCCGTTGCCGGCGCATATCCGGCGATGCTCCACCCCGATAGCCGGCCGCTGGCCCATGCACTCGGGCATTTGGAAATTGCTGGAAAGCTCGAACTTTCTCTGCCCACCCCTCCTCGACTGGTCCCTGTTACGTCACAGGCACGGCATTCTATAGCAGGGTGCGTGTTGCACGGTAGGAGAGATCACCGCAACGCGGTACGGTAGAAACGTAAAGATTCCCCCCGTTCCTCAGCTTGGCATTTACTCCTTATCATTTATCCTGTAGACTTGCTGTTCAACTCTTGCCTAGTTGCAAACCCTCTCCATCCACCTTTTCCATTCATCATTCTCCATCACAAAGGATACTGTTCCCGTTACCCTGCTAATGTCACTCGCTCAGCACGTCACCCAGGCCGAAGGCTTTGACTACGAGCGTCCCACAGAGCAAGTCGTTTCAAACGGCAACAACGAGGCCATATTTGGTACACTCAACCCGGACCATCTAGAGAGTAGTAACGACGATCCGCATTGGAGACGCCTGAGCTTTGCACCTATTGAGACCGTACACGTCGAGAAGCCAATTGCTGCTTACAAGGTCTCCAACTCCAAACGATGGGGTAAGTGCACAAGTCTGAACACTGCAGAATGTCCCTTCGACCTCAAGACTGACGCCTGGCAGTACAAGTAGGGACTGGTATAGTGGCATGTTGGCTAGCTGCCGGCATTGTCTTTGGATTCGCCGCTCTTAAGCCTGTCCTCATTGCCGAAGGCGTCTACAGCAATCTCTGTGATGCCAAAGATCCGAGCACGGTGGAAAACGGCGATAACTTTCCTTGCACCGAACAAGACCTTAGGTTGAATCTATTCTTCATCGCTGCCTCCGTCACGGCCAATGTGTCCTCGCTCTTAGCTGGATCTGTCCTTGATCGCTATGGCAGGCGGGTTTGCTGGATCGCCTCCTCCGTATGCCTCACTCTGGGGTGTATCCTCATGGCAGTTTCACGCAACTTCACCAACTTTGACGGATACTTCCTAGGAAACATGTTGCTGGCACTCGGCGGAACCTTTATTTTTGTGTCCAGTTTCCAACTCGCCAATGCATTTCCCAAGTACAGTGGGCACATTATTGCATTGGTCACTGGGGCTTTTGATGCGTCTGCTGCTGTTTTCTTGATCTACCGCGCGATTTACGAGTCGACAGAGGGTGGGTTTTCACTTGAGAGGTTCTTTTACGCCTATATCGTCATCCCAGTCCTCATCGTTGTGGCCGAATTTGCTTACATGCCGGTTCGGTCCTATCACACAATTCCCCAGCTAGACCAAAAGATCGAGGAAGTTCAAGACGAGGCGCACGATGTGCATGAGTCAGATGACGATATCGATGATGCCGAACAATTACGCAGAGTACGCAATGCCCGAGCCGATCGGCGGTTGTCAAAGCTGGATCAAATCGAGGAAGTCGCTGGTGACGCCGAACAGCGAGAAGAACGTGTCAAGGTCAACGAGGAACGTCAAGGTGCCAGCGGAGTGTGGGGAGTTCTTCACGGTGTTCCTGCCCACCAGCAGATCCAGAGTCCATGGTTCATCCTCATACTTTTTCTTACTATTGTTCAAATGTTGAGGATGAACTACTTTATTGCGACTATTCATGCACAATACCGATACATGTTGGGCTCCGAGGCCGACGCCAACACCATCAACCGTTTCTTCGACGTTTCCTTACCTATCGGTGGACTCGTCTCGACTCCATTCATTGGCGTTCTTCTAAATAATCTTAGCGTACCGTCAACTTTTGGCGTCTTGACTGCCCTGATTTTCGTCATCGGCATCCTCAATTGTTTGCCCTTCGGCTGGGCGGGATACGCCACCGTGGTTCTCTTCGTTCTCTTCCGGCCCCTTTACTATTCAGCCATCTCGTAAGTTTCTTCCAAGCTGTTACCTGTACTTCGACTCATATACACGTTTACTAATTAAGCGTTAAGGGACTATGCAACCAAGGTTTTTGGGTTCGCCACTTTTGGACGTATTTATGGCACCATAGTGTGCATCTCGGGCCTGGTCAACTTCGCCCAATCCGGCCTGGATGCTCTCACTCATGGACCCTTACACGGCGATCCGACACCAGTCAACATCACACTCGGCGCATCAGGCACCGTTATTGGGGCAATTCTGACGGCATTTGTCGCCATCAGGGGTCGTGCCTTCGTCACAGAAGAGAAGCCTGAGTTAGACGCTTCGGAAGAGAGACAGAGGCTATTGCCATCGGCAGGACAGGACTATGGAAGTCGAGAATGAGAGATTTCACAAAATTCATCGAGCGCGTCAAGTGGATGAGCGAGCAGCTGAGTGAAGCGGCCGGTGGTGTCAGCCTGCCGAAGTCGATGCGCGAGTCGTCTTTGCAGCTCAACGAGACCCTGGAGTCGTTTTGGCAAGCGATACATTCCGGATTTCTCGGCCGCGTCACGTATCCGGCGGTAACGCACCTTTGATAGCACGGGTAGATCTACGTCGTAATAACGGTAGCATTCGTAGCAAGTCTTCATAGAAAGTCTTGGTTGGGAGGCAACATGTGTACTGGGCAGATGACCAGGTATGAATGTCTCCATGGATCATTACACTCTCATTCGATGTGCAGACATCTATAGACTACACTCTTGTATGGCTTTGTTGGGCGTCAAGCTCGATGGGATGACTTTCAGTCCCAGGAAGCTCTGGCTTAGGTGTTAAGGACGTATACATCTCAACTCGGCATGGACGAGCGTCCATTTCGTTAGGCCGAAGCGGCAACGATACATCGTCGTGCATCTTCCTCATGTCTTTAGGAAGATATGCCGCTGCCATCTGTGTTGCGTTTGAACGTCTCCTGCGCCGGCGAACGGACCAAATGCCCGCTACCACCAACAGAGCAACCCCAGCAATCGCACCAACCACAACTCCGGCAATTTCACCCGACGATAGTTCTTTTGCTTTGGGCGAGAAGAAAGTCTTGACTTCCTCCGATGACCATGCCACAGAGTCAACACCGCTAGGCTCGTAAGTGTCTGTCCTGATCGTCGTCACAATTGAGAATATGGACTTACTTCTCACGGTACCAACTTTCAATTTCTTTGTGGCTCTGATAGCTGGCAGCGGCTGAATTGTATTCGTTCTTCCAAACCCACTCCGTCATGTCAAATAACCCAAGCCCTTGAGGCCATGGGTCCGGAACAGCCCACCCTGCCAGACTCTCCCCCGAAGTCTTGGTTGTGTTTCTTCCTCCAACCACAACCATTTGTCGATTTCCAATCACTGCGCAGTGGTGATCGGTTCTGGGAAATCTGTCCTCGTATTGTACCTGCGTCCAAACAAAACCAGGTAGGCTCAATACAAAAACATCGTCGTATGGGCGACGGGTGTACCCAGCTATTCCGCCGAACACGAATCTACCTTTATCAACGGTCATATTTGCTAATGACACCGAACTTGACCACTTACATCTCATAAGAGGACTTGCCCTCGACCCCTACCATGCAGAACCATTGGCGCTTGGTTGGTGCGGATCCTGTAGTCTTCTGACTATACCACTTTCTGGACACTGGGTCCATGAATGTGATGTTTGAAAAGTCCATCCATTTATACAAGCTTTGGCTGGCTTTTACTATAGGCTCCAAAGTTGACTGGAAACCGCCCATGAGAAGAATTATACCATTCGACCCGTAATTGGGAACAAATAGGGCTCTAGCGCCTCTCACTGTTCCAAATGGGGGGAAAGCGGCCTTGAATTCTTCTGTTTCGTTCGACCATTGGTTCGTCTTCCAATCGTAAAAAACCATGCCCGGTATAGGTTGCACGGCGGTGTTTGTGTTGCCATTAGTCGCATTCAATCTCGTTCGAAAATTGGCCATGCCTCCGAACCAGAATCCCCCTTGAGGAGTACTGGCGAATGCGCCGTCCTCGCTCCGCTCTAGTTCTTCGAATTCTGTGGGGTTCGTTGCGGTCTCCTTTGACCATTGACCACCACCAGTGCCATCCGTTTGAAACTTCCACGAGCCATCGGACAGGGATTCGTCCATTAGTCGTCCGGAGTCAATGTTATGCCCTCCCCATATGTAGAACGATTTGGTGTCTTCCCTCTTCCACAATGCTTGCCTATCCATACTGTATGGCTCTTTCGATATTTGTCGGAATGTGACGTTGGCAGGGGACCATGACTTCGACAGGTCTATTGAAAGGGTAGAGTTAACTGAAGAATCCCTTTGTCAGACATCTGTGTCAAAAACGCAACTCCCAAAAGGGAATACTGACCTGGATGTGAGCCTCGGGTATTATTGTTGAAAGTGTATGCATTTCCTTCGGCGTCGAGCTGAGAGACCTCCCCACCATCTATGTAGAGAAAGTTGCCTAGTACTGCCACTGGATTCAACTACTCGTTAATCTCTTTCCTCAGAAAGGGAAGATGATAGGGCATAGGGCAGCTTACCATTGGCAAGACCTCTTCGAAGAAAGAGGTCAGGGGCCGGCACATCAGATATCTCCCAAGCACCCACCGCACAACAGAACTGAGACAGCAAGAACAGAATAGTTTTTGCCTCAAAATCCCGAGATATCATGATGACTTTGGAAGGATCTACAAGAATCGAGTGACGCCAAGTATGAAGTTTCGGACTGTTCAAAAAGGGAACCTGGTGAGACTTTGTGAATATGGCAAAGCAGGAGTAAGACGGAAGAAGTTTTGCGTCAGGCAAGTGGAAAAGGCACATTTCAACACGGTAAGTCATATTTTAGGGTATGGCGTGACAATTTTAAGTCTCAACATTGTCTGGTGGTAAATGGTGCAGCAAGAGACGACTCGGGCGCGTTGGGGGCCCATTACCTGACTTCGCTACAAAGAGCCGCCAATGAGCTGGAGGTAATTCACTTCCTGTCAACACCAAATCTCGTTACAACACCAATGAGGTGGCGTTCTTCAATGATTTTAGACTTGGCACTTCCTTTTGTCCGCCCGAAGCTGACAGGCACACTCAGCTCGTTCAAGGCCTGACAAGGGGGCTATGCAGCCAAGGACCCAAGGCGGCAGACGAGTTCCATGAAGCCCCCAAACTTCTGTGCATTCTTGGCACTGCTGCCTTGAACTTATGATGTGCTAAGGGAACTACTGAGTGAGGGGCCTTCTTCATCAATCTTTGCGATAAGTGCAGGAAGTACTTACTCACTGGTTGGCACGCATCCATTTTGCAATTCTCACAAACACCTATTTACCAATCCGCGACTTATTCCCCGAATAATCAGATAATAATACGACTTCAACTTTCGGGAAGAATATCAAGGTCTTCTTCGCCACTCGGGATAGACGTAAGAAGGAGCTTTTTTAATAATTTGTCCTTATAAGGTCGAAGGGGGCTGGGCGTTGGAGATTCCCATAGGCATCATCAGATTCATCGCAAGTCTCGTTCCATTTCAAGTCGCCCATGCCATCACTAATATAATACCTCATAGAATGACGAAGAGGTTCAAATTAGTTTCAGTCTCTTAAGGTAGACAAGAAGATAAATTAGTGTACAGGCGACTTCTGCTACATCACTGATACTATCCAATCAGGATTCATTGTTCCCAATTTCAACGCATACATCATCATAGATGTTCAGTCAGCTTGTGCTAAATTGTGTTGAAGCGATTACACCAAAGGTCGATTCTCACCGAGGTTGCTATAGGGAACAAAAGCACAGCTGATCGATCACTTCTGCACTTATTTGGTGGGATGAACTAGTCAAAATCGTCAGTTGACCACCGGAAGTTGACCCCTAGTAGTCGTGTGTGCATTGATAGACGTTGCACCAAACATGATTCAGACGACGATCAAACCGCAACTGACCGATCTCTCCGTTCGGATGACACATGCCATGATCCGAACCCGATGGAGTCCGAGGACTATTCAGCCCCCAAACTCGTGTTGATTCGATGGCGGTCTTGACTCTTTCTGTTGCCAAGTTTCAGATACGCAGGGAAGGCCCTCAAATACTCAGTTACTCGTCTCACGGGCAAGTGTCACGATGCCGGTGCCGGAAGGGCCGCTCGATTGACAGGGGGCCAATATCCACAACTGCGAAAGTCTATCGGTTGAAGGAGTCAATGACCCGAGTATTTAAAGGGTAGTTGCCTCAAGACTATGTAGAGTTTGGCTATACATCAACCCTTTCTTCCTCAATCTACAGTAGTGGCAAATTCGCTTCAACGGCCTGGAGTCGCTTTTTAGAAGACAATCCTTCTTTAATCATTAACAATATTTTCACTTGCAAAAATGGTCCGCATCACTCTTTTCGCAACTCTCGCTTGTAAGTACTTGTGCGATCGGACTCTGGTCCGCTGTGGTCCTAGTTGCTAACCTATTCGTCCACCAGTTGCGATGACCGCATTCGCAATCACCCCCAACAACGCCGGTGCTAAGAACGTCGGCCAGGGCAACGGAGCTCAGTTCATCACCGGAGGCTGTGTCGATGACGCCGATTGCTCTTCTAAATGCTGTGCGAATGCCAGCGGTGTCGGCGTCTGCTCAGCTGAGGCCGCGCAGTTCCAGAACGGCAAAAACGGCTGCAACTTTGTCGATCCCAACAAGGCGGCAACCATTGCTGCTGCCAAGGCTCAGGTTGCAAAGCAGGGCTTCTAAGCTGGAACACAGAGGCCCTGATGCCGAACGAATGCCGGTGAATGGATTTGCAGGAACGCTTGGCCAGGCCTCGGTCCAGAGTTGGCGACTTGGACTATAGCGTGTGCCGTAAAGTGTTGTACCAGATGGTTGATAGCACTTGCAAGACTTCCAAAACAAAAATCCATCAAAATCACCCAAAGAGTCTAGAATGTTCGCTATGTAGTCACCCCATTATTTTCTGCAAACCCGCCGTTCTGTCCTGGGTCAGTGTGCTACATACATTTGGAACCATTACTTCGGGTGACATGTAGCATGCGATTGATAAGATTATACGGGAAAGAATACATCTTGTAAATGTTTGTTAGTGAAGCACCTTGATTCGACAAACCAGTCTGCTGCTAATGACGAAGCCATCACGGACATGAGTACGGGAAACAACCCAACTCTTTGGCGGTTGGTTCGTCTTTGGGCGCGACGATGGTGAGTCTCTTCCAGCTCTGGAGCTTATAACTAATCCATTTAGGAAGCTGCGAGAATTAAATGGATTAACAAAAGGCAGTGCCAAGATTTTGTAGGGGCGCTTGGTCGGGCGTCTCGCCAAGCAACATCGCCCAGACATCCGTGGTTGTGGAACTTCCTGAATAGCCATGGGCCTTTTGTATAACGGCAGACTGTGTTTACTTATACGTCAATGGTGTGACTGGGGCATTTCATGGCGAGCATGAGGTAATGAAGCCACGTCTATTATGACCCCTCATACAATCATACTGCGGTGCGATGGTTGAAAGCTCAACAGCCGAGTCTAAGCTGGAAGAGGCAGCTGGGATGAGCTTAATGCCTTGGCGACCCAGATATGCTTAAACGCAATCGTCCTCCTGCCCCATGCTTCCCTTCGCTCCGGTGAAATGTCACCATGCCCATAAACGACCATATAATTATGTTTTGACCCGCAGATCATTGCAACCCGTGGACCGATCCAGATGCCTCTTTCGGTAGCTGGCAGACCGGAGGCTCCCGCGGCCCAGCCCGGAAGCGCGGGTGATCCCCCGCAACGCGAGAGTATGCCTGTCGAGTGGGTTATTCTTGCCTCTCTCTCGTCTGATGTTTCATGCAGGTTCTCCAAGTAATTCGAACATTGGAAAGAGCGGGACAGAAGTTTCCTGGAAGGGGCGAGTCGATTTTGTTTCCGAGAAAGCACCTACGGCTGGCTACCTCCAGTCATCTGACAAATATATACCAGCCGCTCCACCTCATCTATAGCTGCTTCTTTTCTTCTTTTTCCTTCTTCACCCACGAGCTTTTTTCTTAAGCCGTCTGTCAATTTCACCTTCTCACCTACTCATCTCCAAGTCCTTTGCCTTCCATCATCACCAACTTCAAGGTAGACCAGGACTACCATGCGCTTCAGCACTACTCTCGCCGTCGCCGCGGTTTCCTGCGGCCTCGCCGCTGCCGCTCCTGCCAGTGGTGAGGTCCAGGTCAACTCTGATCTGCGCCTCATCAAGACCTCTGAGGAGGATCCCGGCACCTGGGTCACTGAGGACGACAAGTTCGAGAAGTACACCTCCAAGGGCATTGGCTTCATCGACATTACCGACATCTCCGTAAGTCATCTTGAGACAAACTCCAGGAAATTTTGAGGCAGCGGGGTAAGAGCTGATCAAACTTTCAGGATAAGGGTGTTCTGAGCGTTCTCTCGACCGCTCCCGAGAGCGGCAAGCAGCTGGCCTCTCGTCAGGCTGTCGTGTACCCGAACACTCTTTCCCACGTCACCGAGGCCAACTCTCTCATTAGCAGAGTCAGCAACACCAACCCTCAGACTTGGCTTCGCACCTTAACCAAGTACGCAATCGATCCGGCGCCGCCTGTGATGTGAGACACTAACTAAAGGTCATTACTCATCAGCTTCCAAAACCGTCACTACCGCTCTTCTTATGGTACCGAGGCCTCCACCTGGCTCTACAACCAGGCCGTCACCATTGCCTCCGGCTACTCTGCCATCACGGTCTCCCGCTTCACCCACTCCTTCAACCAGCCTTCCATCATTGTCAAGTACCCCGGTACAAGCTCCAACCTGAGTAGGTCAACCGCTAAGCATCGAATCATTGCTCCAGAAATTCCCCTTTCTTGTGATTGATCTCAAATTGATAATTTGTCCCAGTCATCGTTGGCGCTCACTATGATTCCACCGCTGGATCCACCACCGCCCGTGCTCCTGGCGCTGATGACAATGGTACTGGCACCGTCAATCTTCTAGAGGCCCTCCGCGTTCTTGTTGCTGCTGGCTTCCGCCCTCAGAACACCATCGAGTTCCACTTCTACGCTGGCGAGGAGGGTGGCCTCCTCGGCTCCCAGGCTGTCTTTTCCAACTATCGATCTTCTGGCAAGCGTGTCCTCGGTATGCTGAACCAGGACATGACTGGCTACTCTCCCGGCGGCAAGGCCACTGTGTACACCGACTACGTTGATACGGCCTTCACTGCCTACGTCCGACTCGTCACCACTCAGTACACCGGCGCAACCCCCTCCAGCTCTTCCTGTGGCTATGGCTGCTCTGACCACGCCAGCGCCCGATCCAATGGCTTCCGTCAGTGATGGCCTCGCTTTTTTATAGAGAGCCTTGCTGACATTTATCCAACAGCTGCTGCCTTTGTCAAAGAGGAGCCCTTCAGCACCTCCAACCCCAAGATCCACACGTCCAGAGACGTAAGTCAGGCTAGGCCATTGACCTCAGACAGTACAGTTGGCTGACCTCTGTATAGACCTATGAGAGCGTTCAGTGGAATGCTATCCTCCGCCACTCGAAGCTCACAGTGGGCTTCCTCGTCGAGGCGTCTTATCTGGCTTAGGATGTTAGAGCCATTTGGTGCATCACGCCCGACCGTCGTCGCCCTTGCCCTAACGAATCGAGCGTTATCTGAGCGTCTTTGAAATAAGACACTAGTCTTCTTCTGACTCTTTTCGACTCCTTCAGAATATACTTTCAATTAGTGAACAGGACGTGGCTACGTTCATAGCAACACAAGCATTTCAACACACAGGCTGAAAACCTTTGAAAGCACGATGTGCTATTGTGAACCAAAGTCCCTTTTTGACAGTTGTTAGCCCATTGAATTTTGTCATCAACCAATAAACCCTCGAAGTCTCCATAATCCTTAGCCTAAATAAGCAGGTCATTGATGAAGTCACCGAGACGTAAGCTTCGGAGCCACCAAAAGCCGTGCTTACATTCTTATGCGCCTTCCTTCATAAATATTCAATGTTGGCTCTTCTTCTCTCCTTCTCTCTTTCTCTCAACTTTTCCGACAGAACAAAGACGGCATCATGCGACTACTCCAGCCACTAGCTCTTCTGGCCATTGCTGACCTGGTCAATGGCCAAAGGGTCGATCTCAGCAATTGTCCTCTGTTGGGGCCAGCTTATCCTCATCCAAACCTCCATAAATCGCAGGTGATTAAAGACACTAAAGAATCGTTTGCAAAACTCATCGAGAATGCCATCTTCACTGGCGAAACCGAACTGGGCAAGATCAATACCGCAACTGCCTCATTCTCCATTGGCGTATTCTCCGCAGACTCGGACAAGTTCATTTACGAGCATCATCATCGGGGCACTCAGCTCGAAGGGACGCTTACCGGAGGCTCGCTGAATGCGAATACGCTATATCGCATCGGAAGCGTCACGAAACTGCTGACTGTGTACATGATCCTCATCAAGCTGGGCCCGACATACTGGAACGAGCCGATCACCAAGTTCATTCCGGAACTCGCGGACGCGCCGGCAGGAAACCGGGCGCACCGAGTGCAATGGTCCGAAGTGACTTTGGGGGCTTTGGCTAGCCACATGAGTGGCCTTCCACGCAATAGTATGGCGACTCTTACGTTACCGTGACAACTATCAATTTCTCACCACGATTAGATCACTTTATCGACCTCTCCGGTATCCCTGGTGTCGAGGACATGGGACTTCCCCGCCTGAACGACTCTGATGTCATCAAGTGCGGTCTGCCTGAGATGCGGCCCTGTACGAGAGAAGGTAAACAAGCCTCACCTTTGTTTTCGGGATGAAATTGACCATGAACGCCATGAATAGAAGTAATTCGTTCCATGCTGGAGCAGTATCCCGCGAGCGCGACTTGGCATACTCCAGTGTATAGCAATGAGGCCTTCCAGCTTATCGGGTGGGCGTTCGAGAACATCACAGGCGGCCCTATGGAACATGCCTTCAAGACCAGCATCTTGGAGCCTTTGGGTCTGTCTCGGTCCTTTTGGAACCCACCCAAAGACGACCCCAACGCCAACATCGTTGATCTCGACCCGTCGGCATTGAATTCATTGATAGACTATCCTTTTGAAGAGGGATTGGCCACATATACACCGTGAGGACTATGACTACCACTCAACTCTTGGCTTCTTGATTGGAGCTAACCCATGCCTTCAGGACTGGCGGCGTCTATTCTTGCTTGGGCGATCTCTCCGCTATCGGCCGCTCCATTCTCACCTCCTCACTCCTACGAAAATCAGTGACTCGCGAGTGGCTCCAACCGGTGACGCATACCCAGCACACCCACAGCGCCATCGGACGACCATGGGAAATCACCCGGATGAACGTTGCAGCAGCCCCCGGGTCCAAGCACACCCGGCTCGTGGACCTGTACACCAAGAATGGCGGTATTGGGGCCTACCTGACCTACCTCATCCTCTCACCCGATCACAACATTGGGTTCACCCTCATGGCCGCCTCTCAGAACGCCTTCGGCGTGGGCGACACGGACTCCACCTTTGACATCCTCAGCGAGCTGCTCCTGGAAAAGTGGATCCCCGCCGCCGAGGCCGCGGGCCGGGAGGCGGTGGGTGAGGACCTGGCTGGCACTTATGTGTCCGACGACGGATCGGACTCCCGGGCCGAGCTGGCGCTCGAACCCGGCAGACTCGGCCTAACGCTCCAGACTTTTGTGCACAACGGCACAGACTTTTTTTCAACGGTGGGTGGTAATTTTGGTTTCCAGGGGGCCGATCTACAGTTCATGGGACTCCGAGACGATGGGGAGGTTGCGTTCCGGGCCGTGTTCTCGAGTCCCGATGCCAAAGCTCCGAAACGGGAGCCTATACTGGGCAAGAAGTGCGGGTCGACCTGGGGAGGTGCTGGGTGGCTCACCTACGGCGACATTGGCATTGATGAGGTCGTTTTCACCGTGGGTGAAGATGGAAAGGCAACCAGTGTGAGTTTCCCGGCGTTGCGCGTCAGATTGGTCAGAAAATCGGGCAACAACACAGTGAATAGAGTAGAAAGGGAGGGAATCTCTGAAGAATTATGATTTAGTTGATATTCTTAATGATATTATCTCATTCATATCAAAAAACCTAACGATTCTGTATCCAACTCTTGTTCCAGGGCTCCCAGTCACTCCTGGTTATAGATTTCATCAAAACTCGCCAGCCTTTCTTCAAACTCAGCTACTCCGCGCTCCCAATGCAACCTCACACCAAATGGAAAAACTAGGCCCAAAGCCATTGCGATTCTAAGCGCGATACTGGTTCCAGAAGCTGTACATGCGAGTCTGCTGGTTAGGAGTGAACTCCTCGTAGCAAGAGCTGTCAAATCGTTAGCAAAGGTACTACGTCTAAAACATTATGCGGGGGATCGCTTACTCGTAAGAGTAGTCCATGTAGTTGTGGATGGGGTCAAGGCCAGTCTGGCTAGGGCAGGAATCACGACCGGTAGGGCACCCGCTAGAGGCGCTGGCCTGGGCTGGGGTGTCGGCGATGGAGTCGCCGGAGCCAGTGCAGCCGCCCTGGAAGGTGTGGTAGAGGCCGAACCAGTGGCCGACCTCGTGGGTGACGGTCTTGCCGAGGTTGTAGTTTGTCGAGCTGCCGCCGGGGACGGTGGAGGAGAGGATGGAGCAGCCGTCGCGGATGTAGGCGGTCGAGCCGGCAGCGGCGGTGGTGGGGAAGTAGCAGTATCCGAAACTGCCGCCAAGGCTGCGGACGAAGTACAGGTTGAGGTCCTTGTAGGTACCCTTGCGGAGGGCGCGCTTCATGGCCATCTCGTCGCCGTCCTGCGCCCAGTTGGCGTTGATGGTGCGGCTGGTCTCGACCAGGGTGTAAGAGATGCCGTGGGGGGCAAAGTCATCGTTCATGACGGCCAGCTGGTCAGCCAGCATCTTGTCCTGTAGAAGCTGTTAGAGATCGTTGCGACAGATACACAGAAGCTCTTTGTTGCTCACGGTGAGGTAGCCGTTTGCCACGGTCTGAGAGGAGGCAACGACGTGGAAGTAGACGTTGACGTTGATGGTAGCCGCCATCAGGCTCATGGTGCCATTGTTGGCAGCCTCCTCCTCGGCAAACTTCTTGGAGATCTCAATGTGCTCAGGGGTGGGATCATGAGTGCCGCAGCCGAGACGGGCGGGAGTAACGGCGGCAGAGGCGGCAGCGGCAAGCGCCGCAACGACAGAAAGCTTGAACTGCATGATGGAGAGCTAGCCGATAAGATCGAGGCTTGGACAAAGGGACCGGGACTTGAAGGAGCTGAGAGGGATGGGGAGTAAAAGAGAAGGGACTTTGATGGTGGAGGATCGCGATATATATATTCTCGAGGACATCCTCTTGAGTATGTCTCAATGTTTCTCGTTCCTATGATACATGGTAATGATGGTTCAGGGAGCCGTAAGCCAAAGATTTGCGACCTTCCGAATCAGTTCAAGGCAGACTTTGGCCCCCTCGGTCACAGTGAGCTTGGAGCAAAGTAGTAGTAGTTCTGAGATGAAGAAAAACTGGACGGGCGGGAATGAAGGCCATGGAGTAAGCTAGAATGCCTTCCTCTTTGAGGTTGAACCGACAATTCAATAAGATCAACGAGCCATTCAACAGCGCAAATTACCGGGGGGCATCGGAGACGGACGACCTGGGGAAAGACTTGCAGCTCTGATTCGTGGATTCTGATTTACGATGATCTTGGCATGCCGAAGGCCTTATCGACCTGAGCTGAGAATTTGAGGCGATAGTGGATGCTTCCTTGTGCCCTGGTTGGGTAGCGTTGCATGCATGAGTTGTTTGCGTCGGAAGACACCGAGAGGTGCCGACACGTTGAATGGCTACAACGACCTCCGAGGTGGATAAGAGATCCGATTATCTCGGTACGTCCACGGTTCGGCGAGACCGGACGGTCCTCGGAGATGAATCTGGGAGGACGAGTAAGCTTTCAAAGCCGGCACTAGCGGATTGCGGTGGTATCGCGACATTAAACGCTCCGTTTAACGTGCATGCCAAGCTCTCGCCAAAACGGCCAATCATCCAACCAGGGCAGCACCCTCCAACCTCCCTATTTGGGTTTAACCCGATCTTTCGATTGCGTCTGGGAGTCGAGGACTATTCTCTGAGGTCTTTGGGTTCATGTTGTCGCGAAACGTCGACCAGGAGGAGTTTGTCTTGAGCTGCCTTGAGCGAAAGGGACACGGAATACCTGACTCTCGACGGCATCTAACATGACATATGACATGGTGCCTTGTAAACAGCAATGACTTAGACATGCGAGGTCAGAACAACCTTCTGCTTTTGTCGAGGGACTTTTGGAAAGAAACTGGGTATCGGTGTACAGGGTTGGGCAGAGTCTTGGCTTTGCCAAGGCAGGGCGCTATTGGCAACATGGCCAGGACGGGCAACTGACTTAGGGAATTGATTGATCGGCGGAGCTTCGCCCGCCAAATCCTTGCCATCGCGCTGCATCAGCCCAGCGCGATGGCCTTGCTGAGTCGCTGTCTCCGAGCTTTTGAGTGACCATTGAGCATGATGGAGGAGTCTGGCGCAAATGCACGAGCTTCGAGCTTTCGACACGAGGGACCGATCACACGATCGGTATATCTTGACTCGCTGGAAGCTGACTAGTCATCGATAAAGTCGTCACTCAACGTTTCAAAATTCTTGACATACGTCTGAGTGGCTCCATAAGAAGCTGTTGCAAGACAGTCCACTTGGGCTACCAGTGTCTCTTGGGCCGAAAATATTTGCAGAGGGATTGAGAGGCTGTCTTGAGCTCGTCTCCCTTGGAAAGGCTTGGGTTCGCTTTGTTCCTCTGCCTTCTTTGAGATCACTCACGAACTCAGGCAAAGCCAGATAACTTCCTAGGTGCCGCGGGTAGGAGAGACGGGAGTAAAATGCCATAGTCAACGGTGAAAGGCATTGCGAGAGCCTCTTGAGGCTGGAGTGAGAGGACGGTTGAGATTGGCACCACAAGAGTGACCGAGGCCTTGAGGAGGGAAGAGTGGATGAAAAGCAGAACGGGACGGGAACAGCCAGGGGCAGAAACCCCTCAGAGTGCGGATAAGGTAAGCTTAAATCTCGGCCCGGCTCACCTCAACAGCCCAGTTGCATCAAGGTGAGAAGCCGGCAGGAAAGGTGTGTCTCGGTGAAGTCGGCAGGTAATGCCTTGAAGTTACCTGAGGTCGGTGGGAACCACCGTCAGCCACCAGGGCACAGACCAGCCAGAATGTCCCCTCCACCACGTGAGTGCGGGTTGAGGCGCCTGGGATTTCGCGTCGCTGCCTGTTGGAGAAGCGCGCCGCGCGACGACCACTTAAACCACCCCCCCAACGGCGGGCAACCCACCATTTCCACCCCAATTCAAGCAGCACCTTACCACAGCAAACCTTCCACCGATCGACAAGTCTCACCATCACACGTTGCTTGGTCGGGGACAGGCCCATTGGTCTGCTCGACACCATGCCCGACTTCACAGGTACTCCATACTTCTCCCCCGGACCACCACCAGACAGCTCTGACCCCACGTTTAGAGGCGGACACCATCCGCATTCTGGTTGCGACAGACAACCATGTCGGCTACGAAGAGCGAGACCCGATCCGTAAGGACGATAGCTGGAAAACATTTGACGAGATTCTGAACCTCGCCAAGAGCCAAGATGTATGTAGCTGGTTCACCCAAGGTGCTTCGCCGGCTGACAAGGCATATAGGTCGACATGGTGCTCTTGGGCGGCGATCTCTTCCACGACAATAAACCCTCCCGAAAGTCCATGTACCAGGTTATGCGCAGTCTTCGAAAGAATTGCTTGGGCATGAAACCCTGCGAACTCGAATTCCTTAGCGATGCGAATGAAGTCTTTGAGGGCGCGTTCCCCCACGTAAACTACGAAGATCCCGACATCAACATCTCCATACCCGTATTTTCTATCCACGGTAACCACGACGATCCCAGCGGCGAGGGCCACTTCTGCTCGCTGGATTTGCTTCAGGTTGCTGGGCTGGTCAACTACTTTGGTCGCATTGCCGAGGCCGACAACATCGAGGCGAAGCCGGTGCTGCTACAAAAGGGTCAGACAAAGCTTGCACTGTTCGGGTTGAGCAATGTTCGCGACGAGCGCATGTTCCGAACGTTCAGGGACCACAAGGTCAAGTGGTTCCGCCCGGGCGTACAACAGTCAGACTGGTTCAACCTGCTCACCGTGCATCAAAACCACCACGCACATACCGCAACGTCATACCTCCCGGAAAATGTGCTGCCTGACTGGATGGACCTCGTTGTCTGGGGCCATGAGCACGAGTGCTTGATTGATCCCCAGCAGAACCCGGAGACCGGCTTTCACGTCATGCAGCCCGGCTCTTCGGTAGCAACATCTCTGGTCCCGGGGGAGGCGGTGCCGAAGCATGTGGCGATTCTGAACGTCACTGGCAGAGACTTCAAGGTTGAGAAGCTACCATTGAAGAGCGTCCGCCCGTTCATCACGAAGGAGATCCAACTGTCGACTGATGCGCGATTCAAGGGCCTGCACACGAAGAAGGACAATAGACAGGAGTTAACCAAGAGATTAATGGTCGTCGTCGACGAGATGATCCAGGAGGCAAATGAGGAGTGGTTTGCTGTTCAGGAGAATGATGAGGAGGAACCTCCCCTGCCATTGATTCGACTCAAAGTTGAGTACACGGCTCCAGAGGGTGGTCAATATGACTGCGAGAATCCTCAGCGGTTTTCAAACAGGTTCATCGGCAAGGTGGCAAACACAAATGATGTCGTCTACTTCCACCGGAAGAAGGCTGGTGCCACTAGTGAGTGTTTTCGTTTCCTGCAATTCTACTTACGGATATTGATGCTTGCCCAGGGCGAAATGCCGACACAGACATCCCTGAGGCCCTCGAGGAAACATTGGGTTTAGACACCATCAAAGTAGAGGCTCTTGTGCAAGAATTTCTTGCAGCTCAGTCTCTGAAGATTCTGCCAACAGCACCTTTCGGTGATGCCGTCAATCAGTTCGTCAACAAGGACGACAAACATGCGATGGAGGAGTTTGTCAGCGAGTCGTTGGCCGGGCAAGTGAAGCAGATGCTGAACCTCGACTCCGATGAAGACGACCTCGACATCGCCATGGAGGCGTATCGTGCCAAGCTCGAGGAGGCATTCTCCAAGGGAGCCCTGAAGAGGGCTTCCAGACGTACTGTAAAGCCGAAACCGGATGAGTGGGACTCTGACCTCGATGGGCACTGGGAAGACCAGCCCGGAGTTGTAGAAACCGAGACCGCCGCTCAGCCTACAGCCAAGCCACGAAAGACTGCTACTCAGGATGACGAGGATGACCTGATGGACGAGGTCGAACCCCCGGCCCGTCAGGCACCTGCGAAGAAGGCAGCGGCCAGTCGAGCCACGAAGGCCGCCCCAGCAAAGAAAGCCCCGGCGAAGAAGGCTCCAGCCAAGAAGGCACCTGCGCGAGGCCGCAAGAAGCCCGTCTTTGAGGAAGAATCGGAGGAAGAGGATGTTGTGATGGATGATGAGTTTGAGGAGCCGCCGCCGCCGCCGCCACCTACTCGAGGCAAGCGATCTCAACCTGCACGGGCGGCCCCGAAGAACACTCGCCAGACGAAGCTCAACTTCTCGCAGGCAACCGCCTCGCAAGCCGCCGTCGAGATCAGTGATGATGAGATCTCGGACGAGGATGCGTTCGAGCCGGCGCCGACCACCACCCGCAGCAGAAGGAGATAGATAGCTGGATCATGAAAGGGATAGGTTTGATGTGACAGAAAAGTTGCCGAGGTTTTTGATGGTCTCTCTTGCATAGTTAGCCACTTGGAGTCAGGGAGCGGGATTTTGCTTTGACTTAGATCCGATGAACAAAGATACCACGTCGCCAATGAAAGTCTGTCTCTTACCATACACCTTCTGTTGAAGTTCGCCGTGGCTCAGCTTATCTCTCGTTGTCCATGTCCGCTTTTGTTGACTTTTGTCTCGGAGAATTACAGCTTCATACCTATTAAGCACGTCGCAAACCGGGCACGCGCTTCGGCACCCGCAGTCATCAGTGGCTTCCATGCTAGGGGACATGTGTCTGCCAGCAGGCAAGAACCAAGCCCATGTCGAGTACAAGTGGCGATGTTTGATTGTTGTGCATGAAGTCGGGACATTGATTGACACCAAAGGCAATATCAATCAGAGTGATATAGCCACAGTTGCAACAATTCCGTTTTAGCCCATACGCAAAGACGACTTCTACCGTGACAGCGGCATAGATACCGAGCCATCGCTCCCCAGTCATATCGATCTTATTCACTCTGCTCAACGTCAGTGGTCATGCCGTATGTCTACAATTGTGGTGCTGGAAGCAAATCTCTTCCCGAGCCCAGATACCTTGAGGCCCTGATCCTATGCCGTGATACATATGATTCCATGTTAAAAAGGCAACGTATATGCCGTCTCTCACCGGCAAGAGGCATTCGATAGCGTTGCTGCATCCAACTCGTGGGTATTCCAACCCCTTTCTCGATGCTCTTCTGAATGCTGGCTGCACCGTTTAGCTCTCGTGGGAGCTCCTGCGATCTGGATCTACCAGTCACGCCGTTTCTCATAATCATGAGCATTTCCCCCGGGGAATACATTAAAGAAAACCCGACTAGTTTGGGGCAATCAAAGGGCAGCATCAACACCCTTTTCAAGGTAGCCATAATATCTTGACGTGAACTCAAAAAATCGGACTTGTAATCAGATGCCGCGTACCTGAGGTGAGGACTCATCGCGAATGCTTACCGAAAGTTGGTCATGAAGCGTGGTTTTGGGAGGCTTCCAATCTTCAAACGTCGACAACGGTGAAATTTAGGTCGTTCTCCACTGGTCTAAATCCATTTGTGTGCCTTTTCGTGGTATACCACTCGACAGTATCTTATGAGAAAGGATCGTTGGTGTCTCTATCAGTATTTCCCAGCTTCATCACCAAACTTCAGACCACAATCTCTCCATTTCTTGGCGATCCATCGCGACTTGAGATACGACGTTTGGAGATGACCCGAGTTTCGGGGGACGCGGAAGCCGGAACCAGAGCCCCAACCTCGATTTAAATACCTACGACACAGCTTCCAGCTTGTCTCCCCATATCCTATCGTTCATCTGAAGCAAATCGACTTGGAGTTCTCACGAGGCGCCGCCTGGTGGCCGTACTAGAATACCCGTCACCTGTTGCAGGAGCCTATGCCTTCTTTACCACGAGGAATCCGTGACACTCACCATGGCGTCCCTGCTGCTCTCAAGAGTCCGAGCTTTGCCCTATCAATGTATCCTGTACCTCTCTCTTACTATATACTTCAAAGGCCGACTCATGCTGAGTCGGTTCAAGTTGTCATGAAAGGTCTCAAAAGCCGGTTCACAGACGCGGAAGGACGCGTCTGCGGCATCAACCGGCGTATTGTACCGATTCAATGCGCTAATTCTTATCTTTCAGGGTAATTGCTTTTGAAAAAAAAAATACAAAAAGAGATCTGACCGACCCTCCTTTGAACCTCATCTCCGTCTCACTATGCCGCTCGATTCCATGCGGTCCTGCTCACCTAGCAAGCATAGCCAACGGAGCGGGAACGAGATATCATCTTCCTGAAACCGGCAGTCAACTGAAGAAAGCTGACCGGAGTTGCTAAAAATATCTTCGTTCCACTTTATATCCGTTGGTTCAAGAAGCGTTGCGCCGTTTCCGATTCGGAAACTCTCCCTATACCTCAGCATCTAGATGGCATCGTCGTAGACGAATACGAGTCTGGTAACTGTGTGCGGTTGCGATCCCTTCGCCGGCACACCAGTCGGCGAATATCTCCCATCTCCATATGAAGTCAGGGGCAAGGACGTCTCGGTTGAAAGTGACGGTATTGCAACGTGTAAGGATTCAGCCACGAGAATGGGCCTCCAAGTCTGAACCAAGCTGTGCAGTAGGTTGAAAAAGAACACTTTAACATCGCAATCGAGGCTGCTTTAATCCTTCCTTAGCAGACTAACAGTCGCATTGGATTACAACGAGTACCTTCAAACTATGGGTGCCACCAGCCAGATGCTCTAGGAAAGTAGTGGCATTTCTTCCTATCAGCCAACAATATGCAGTATCCCGTACGCTGGGACAACTGAAACGGTGAAACCAGTGGCTTTGGTTTGAGGAGTATCCTTTTCAATACTAATACGATGTAATTATCAAGATCATCCGCGGGACCGTCGACTCAAACTTCAATGTCAGAAGTCAGTTAAACAACTAGAGGCATCATGCTTATTAAGACCGATTGAGACTTATTAAGACACCTCCACATGTTTTCAACGAAAGTACACTCATTATTTCGCGAGATCTCCGTCTGTAGAGACCCGAACCGTGAACCCAAAGCTGCCAACAAAGCTGCCAACAAAGCTGCCCAAAAGCCACCATCTGAGTTGACCGAGTTGTGCCAGAACCGGATCCCATCAGTCCCAGTCACTGATCACCATCTCTTTGGTATCATTTGAATCACCCAACAGTCCGTTTCCGATGGTCCAAAGGGGTAAACAAAGCTCCTCGCTTCCGGCTATGCTCGGTGTACCAGGTCTACACACAGGACTCCATGGAGGCCTCGAAAGACTTTCACATCTCCCCGAGTCTGCTACCTAGGACCCAGCAAAGTAGCCCACCGTCGCCTTCCCTTTTTCGTTTCTCCTGTCTGCCCCTGAGACGTCGAAAAAGGGGTTCAGCGGAAGTGCTGACGAAGCCAACACCAGAACGGAGATTGTGACGTCCGGAGTATCCGGAGGCCAAGCAAGCAGGAAACCACATTGAATACCTCTCAAGAAACGCCAGTTTCCAATACAAGAAAACATGGTCTCCTTTCTTCACCAAGCTTAGTTGTCTCCGAACAACCTCGCTGAAAGATTTGAATGCTTATCGGACATGCTACCGGTGCACCCAAGATTTTATCATAACTTTGAGGTAGTACCTCTTTGTGGTCCTCAATGAAGAAGCCTTCCCCCCTCCTTTTGCCGCTTATCGACCCTATGCCTGTCATCGAGTAGGTATGTGTCATGCAAGATGTGGAAAAAGGCAAGCTTTGCAGAACCAACACGTAGCTCTAGAAACAGTCAGACGATTCCATCGACCCGACAGACGCAGTGAGGTCCCCGCAGCAGTCAAGGTTTCGAGGCTGCAGGAAGCCTCATTTACCATGACTCAATGTCACCCTCATATAAGGAAGTATCAAATCTAAATCCTCCTCGGCGATATCAAGGACTTAAGTTTGCAGGTTCCTTGGTGGCTTTCGAGCCGCCTAGACCTCAAAAACCACGCGCAACAGAATACCTTGTGCCGAGAGGCCAAGCAGCAGTTCTCGCTTGAAATGATGCCTCGCAAGACTTTGTCAGCACTCACGAATATCAGCCAAAAGATGCAGCGGCATTTTTGCAAAAGAACGAGATTGTGCCTACGGGCTGGCTCCGATATGGGGGATTCTCTCCGCGGGTCTCGCCATGTCGCATGCCACGCCCTTCCCACACCCCGCCGTCCTCGCTCGCTCAATGCGCAGAACCTCGTGGGCTCGCCGTTCCAACTGCAGCAGCAACGATCTCATTTCGCGGGAGCGAGCCGGGCTTCTCGAAGCGCTCATGCGTGTAAGTGGAGTCAGATGAAAAAGTCAAGATTTTTTTGGGGATGAATCCACTTGAAGCCTAAAGCCGTTGGATCCCATCAGGGATGTTTGCCTCTGGCCTCTCGGACAGCAAGAATTTCTGTTGGTCTCGGTAGAATTTCTCGAAGGTCCCAACGATGCTCTCGATGGAGCCATATCCCTGCCCGTGGCAAAGGGTGGACACGTCCAAGATCCTCTATGCATAAATGCAGGTTTCCAGAGCAGAAATCTTCAAATCAGTCAGAACGCAATGTGTCCTTGAGGAGGCTTAAGCCCGGTACGACAGCAGGCCTCGCAGTTTCCTACTTGAGTGTGAGTACGGCACCGAAAGTGTCTGGTTCATCGTGCGGTCGATCCAGTCAACAAACCTGGGAGTGTACGAAAAGTAAAACACAGAGTTATGCTCGCCGACGACTGACTATGCTTTACCGTAGACTACAGACTTGAGTCCCGCAACAGGTGCAGGGTGATCCAACTCCCCGGCTCTGGGTTGCCGCTGAGCTTCAAAGGTGGCAGTACGTTACGGGAGTCGCCGTCGTCAGTTTCGCGAGGAAGATGGATCATCTAGAACTTGACCAAAGACTGCCGTGTGACCGATCGACCTTCCGAGGAAATAAGGGACCACCTTCTCGGAGTTGGGATCATCTTCCAGAATAGTAAGGAGTGAGGAGATGGCGGGTTTCATGTCGCCTGCAAGCGAAGTACGAATGCGTCGTGAAAGGACCCAGCCAATACTCGACCGCGAAAGTCGAGTATGCTGGCGGCTGCACCACTCACTGTGCTGTGCACAGAGTACATCGGAAGTGATACCGTGTCGACCACAAGCCCTTGAGCGAACCGTGGCGACGGGCCCCGGGTTGGCCCATTTATGTGATGTTTGCTTCCCGCCTTGCATAAGCGGAATATGTAGCCTTCTTCCACGTGTAACATCGATCACGTGGGATAGAGAGAAACATCGCCAGCGGATGTTTATGGCGATCCGCGGTTGCCCCAGCCAGGCTTGTTGTCTATTTTTATGGCGGGAGGAGAAATGGTGGGTTTCAAAGGCAGTTCCCAGAGATTCCAGACTTGTGACGCGAAGAGCGAATATCAAATCTCCAGTTTCTCCGGATTCTGCCTCCTAGCTGAAGAACGAAGTAGGATCATACGTGCACATTGTGTAGTATGTGCTGAATACTGTGGTTTCGCCATGGATCTTAATTCCGAGTCGGCCTTTCCATGATACCCATGCGCAAAGAGTGCATCATCACGCGCTGGGTCGTGTCTGATGCAATTTGTGGTATGGTGATCGGGATTGGTGAAATGAGGGTTGACACTGCCACCTTATTCTTCGGAACCCCGCTCGGAGAGATGATACTGGCTGGAGTATTGGGGAACCTCGCAAACGGGGGCCACCACTGAGCGGTAAATGATTGTCTGATTAAAAGACAAGGCGCGCTGGCGGTAATGGCTGGGCATGGACGGCAATGAGGAACCTTGACTGAGACATTGGACAGGCACTCGCCCGAGAGCTTGCAACGATAAGACACCTTTTTGGATGAAATGCTCAATGTGAAGTCAATATATGGGAGCAGCGAGCCTGTTATTGCTATTTGGGAGTCAGGCGTCCCTTGTGGAATGTTCTACAGGCCGGGCCTCCAACGTACCGGTTAATGAGAATGGACCGACTAGTAATAGGAGGCTTCAGCTTTGACACGAAATTTGGGAGGGATGATAACTTACACGAACGCGTCCAGCATGTCTGAGCCGAGCGAGGCCATGATACGTGCCTCACAACGCGACGCAACTTCGCTTGCTCGTCATCTGCGAAGATGGTATGCAAGAGGTAACTGCCGCCCATCGGAAGTGTAAGAAAACCCGCGATTTGTCTCGCGGCTGTGCCGGCGCATATCCGTACTTCTAATACCATCGTATCGAGTGCAGCAGTGTAATGACTCTTCAGCAATCATGTGTCTACAGGGCTTGCTTGGTTTGCGCAGCCTTCGGGGAGCCGCTTTGGACAATCCGGTCCTAGGCAAGCCACCATCGCTTTCCCGGTACCCACCAGTGGACAGGCCCAAGGGAGCTATTGTGGTGGGATCGTGTACCGGATCGGCTAATCGATAGCGCTGACTGGGCATCATTGACGCATTTGGACAAACTGATGACCCCGAACACTTTGGTGCTGCCGCGGTGGGTTGTTGGCTGGATGTAACGATCTTCAGAGACCTCCGGCCGAGGTGGTGTGAAGGTAGTGTTTTCCAGTCGGAAGCTCGGAGCAAGGCCGGAATGACCAGCTTGGTACCCCGTACAGCCACCAACGAGAAAACATATGGGGTTGAAGATGTGGTTCTGTTCGAGAATAGAAGGAGAAGGCAAACTAAGCCATCACCATCATCATCATCATTCGTGTGTTCTTGCAAGGCAGACTGGCGAGTCGGGGCGGCCCCGGAGACATTTGCTGTGGCAGCGCAACGCACCGGTCGGTGGGTAAGATTAAGCTCCATCCCCCATCTCGCATCTCGTGAACGACAGGGGCGTTGAGCCAGGGGGGCGATGCGGAGCAAGGTACGCCAGGGTCCGACATATTTTGTGCAAGGCGAGTGCCGCGCGATGGCGCGTAGGCGACTTTGTGCGACGATGCATGGTGGTGGCCGATTGCCACCATCTCTTGCATACTACGTAGTCCGAAGCTCAGGCCCGACTCAATCGTGAGATCGTGAATCTCGCCAGAGTGAATATCTTGCAACCTCAAGCCGTTGCATAATAAAGACTTGTTTTTATTGAAAAAACTGCAGGCCCTAAGAAGGTTGCAAAAAATCCGGAGCTATTGTAATCAAGCGGGGAGATGGAAATTACGCCGCTATTCGTAGACTTTGACTGCCCCAATTACCCATTCAAAAGAAAGGGGACAGACATGGCTACAAGCGGCCGGCGTTGGCACGATTTGCTTCTTGCAGGCATCGTGACGACAGCCAGGGGCTGAAATAGGGGTTCACGAACCCTAGGTTATTACCAAGGAATTGGCGGCCGTCATCCTTGGTACGGAACTTTGGAAGCAGTGGAGCAAAAGAAGCAGCTTTTCCCGGGCCTGTATCCTTTGTCGATCTCCGGCTCGAATTGATCCTCGGCGATTAGCATAACTAAGACGTCAGGTGGGCTCTGTCTGCCTTGGAGTCGACGGCCACTAGAGGCATCTTGGAGAAGGGCGAGGACTAGGCATGTAGATCTGGGTCCAGCGTGACGGCCCGAAGACATCAGGGCAGGTGTGGAAGTTTCGCGCGCGAGTAGAGCCCAGGCTGTTGTCAATGAAGCTTCGAGCGGCAGGAACACTGACGAACAACTCGTATCCTCGTTTCATTGCTTGTCCAGTTTTGCTTTTCAAGATGATATTGTAGCAGCCAGCTTTTCAGCGCATCGCCAAAGTGGCGGACCTACTAACTAGGGAGCTTGCGAGGCGTGCGAGGTAACTCCATGTGCCTAATACGTAACGAGCTTCTTAATGCCCCAAAACTCCCACGAATTTTGCGGTATGTTGAGGCCGTCTTCAGAATTCTCTGTTGTCGAGATATGCAGCGAGACAGTCGACTAAGCGGGATGGGTTTGGCGGGAGGTGGACGTTTGAAAGATCACTTGGCCTCGTCCGCTGAATGTTGCTCCACTATGGGATGGGCCCGGAAGACTAAAGGGATGGCGGTGGACTAGCCTAGGGTGCAGGTTTGGTATGTACTCGTGTTCCGTACTTATTTGGTGGACAGGACATGATGAGGGTGAGGCGCCTGTAGATGACGATGGAGGACAAAGACCCTGGACAATGTGCCACGCGAATTGGGCCCCGTATCCGAGGTGCTGGATCGCCAATGGATGGATTCGATAGGCACGGAACCGACCCGTCATGGCGGGTGTGCCGAAGAGCCTTCATTTGTGGTGAAACGGAACGGTGCGAGAGATGCGGAGTCTTTGTGCTGCCAGTGTCCTTGTGTTTCTGGACGTCTTTATCATACGGAGTAACTTCAAAAGGAATGCCAGAAGAGGCGAGGCTCCTTGGGAACGGTTGACAAAGGGGGAGGGAGGGCCGAGGATGGGGCATTCAAGACAGGGGTCCCGGTGCCAAAGTCGTCGAGGGAAAACGGCGCGGAGTCTGAAGATGCGGACTCGTGGAGCTGAATGAACTCGAGGGGATATTGATTGAAAGAGCGATTACCCCCAGAATCGAATTGCTTCTCGGGGAGCCCTGTGCCTGCGGGCTGCCCATGTCAGCGCTGTCTCAGCGGTAACCTGTATCCGTAGGTTCCTGACTCCCGTGGTTGTGTCCCTTGTCGCTCGGCGTGCCTGTGCAGTGATTTCGTATCTCGATATCATGCGGAGGAATGGGGGCGGCCTGCATGCTTTGCTGCAAGTGCTGCGTGCGCGGCGTGCCATGTCGTCGACTCGGAGATGCTCCCTCATAGGTCGGCCGTGGCTGGCTGTGAGGTCGATGCCACACAGGTGACAGGCAGGTAAGTAGATGTTCGGTTGGGTTGAATGCGCAGAGACGGCTTGCAAACCAAAGTACGAGCAATATCCGTACCTTAGGTAAGGCATCTCGACATTATCCGTAGTGTCTGTACCTTTTCTTAGGTTGGCAAGTAAATGATTGTGTGAATGGTGAATGTTGAGGTACCTGTAGTATAATGAGATCCGTACTCCGTACTGTGTAAGGTATAGGTATAGTGTGTATTCGTAGATGCATGCGAGGGAAGGTCCAAGTGCATGCATGTCTTGCTCGCTGCCGGTGCAAATGAAATGGGATTGGTGCGCACAACAGTGCTTCTACGTACCGAAGTAGCGTGGAGACACTCGGAATTTCCTCGACTGCCATTGGCTGCAATTGAATACCGTTGCTGAGCCTGGGGACTTGGGAAGTGTCGTGCCTCCATTCCTGCACAACACAACTCTCTGGTGCTGCAATCTGGCAAACGAACATGATTGGCCAGTCACACTGTGCGGATACTGAATGGCACTTGTTCGGAGACAGGCATTTGAGCTCCACTGCGTTGAGTTCAAACTTCAACTCATCGAGCCACCATAGTTTGTCGCAGCTTCCTGACTCCCGTCTGCTGTTGACGGAAAACTCCATCTACCTCCAGGCACCTTACTTGCAAGTCGCAAGCCACAAGCCACAAGCCATGAGCCAGAAGCCGCAACACGACAAAAGCTTGAAGTTGATACGGTGTTCTAGGCAAGCCACGACGGCGAATCAGCATCGCATTGAAACCTACCTACTCGTTGACATCTCGAGTGAATGTCGTATCTAGGCACCAACCGCGCTGCTCGTGTCGTGTGTTCGTCCGATGCTCTCGCAATGACACGGCAGCATCGTGTTCTGGAAGAGAAACCATCAGTTTGTAAAACACTAAAAAACGGCTTTAGTCGGGGAGCCCTTCCCGCCCGTTCACCGTTGGAGATCGCCAAAGACCCGACAGACGGCGGCTTGAAGGGCAGTAAGGTAGGGTAAGGTAGCTAGGTCACGGGGTATCAGTATGGAGGCAAGATACCTCCACCTGCACAGTCTCATGATGGCCCGTTGCGTTGCCCGTCGCACTGTCCGCTAGTCATGACTGCACAGCTTGGATGCACATGTTGAGGGATAATTTGTGGATTTTGTGCCTGTCTCCCAGCAACGCACGAGACGGTGACAGAAAGGCCACTCGATTTATATTGGACCGGTGTGAGGCAAGCCGCAAGCCCCAAGCCCCAAGCCCCAAGCCCCAAGCGTGGCAAGGCAGGGCCAGGGACGACACGGGCAGGCCTCTCTCCTTTTGGTCTGGGACGTTTTCTTAGATCGAAACCAGCGCGCACGAGCAGCCAGCGACAGACGGCTCCATCGCAGCTGACACTGTGCTAGCGCCCCGCCTTTCTCCCTTCCTCCCCGTCTGGCTTGTCCCACTGGCCAGGCTGGGCCCTTCCTTCCCAAGTTCCGTGGTTCCCTCCATCGTTAGATTCGTTCTGGCAGCAGCCGTAGTCCCCGTGCCACCTTCCCGCCCCTCCCTCCCAAACGCGATCACAGACCACGGGCAGACCACAGACCTTGAGGCGTCTGTGGCATCGCGAGAAGGTGCACTGCGACTGGGAGTGAAAGAGAAAGTGCAAGTGCAGACCTACCGTTTTATGCCTGCCTTCCGAAAAAGAAGAAAGGTACCTTAAGTGATTGCACCTACCTTCCACTTTCAGCTGGAGAGAATCTGTCTCCTGCCACAAGATGCCGTGCCCAGACCCAACCGTGACTTCCCCATGATGATGAGGATGATGAGGATGACGATGAGGTAATGCTCGATTTTGATACCAAGGTAGATAAGGTAGGTAGTCTCTTCTCCTTCTTACTCGCAGGAGAGCAGTGGCATGGCAAAAGGACATTGTATTCGACCTTATATTCAGGTTCTCTGCCGCCATCACCATTCACGGTTCTTCCACCAGAAGCTGAAGTGACCAGGGAGGCCCATTTGTCGAGTCAAATCAGACTATTCGCTCCACGCACAAAGCGTAAAGCACCACGGGCGATGGGCCACTCACCGCAGGCTGCTGATTGCGATTTCGGGGCACATGGCCAGCGACAGCGGCGCGTCGCGACTCTTTGCTCCGTCTTTTCCCCCTTTTCTCTTCAACAGCTCGAGGCTCGGTTCATCATCGCTCGATATCTACGAAAACACCCTCCCGTGCGAAACGTGAAGCTCCAATGTCCGTCGAGGATTCCCCGTCCCGCTGTGGACTCACCCAGGTGCCACGATCCATTGGAGCAGACAGAATCGGAGCCGACTACAGTCCAGAGATGGCAACCCGTCCAGCTCGTGGTCGCGAGGATGAGGGAAGAAAAAGGAAGGAGGAAAGTCTGGAGAGCTGGACCCAGTCGTTCCAGTCTCTGTCTAATACGGGTAATTGGCTGCCCATCCATGGAGGACGTACTTGGATGCTTGGTCTATTGACATTTCCTGCGGCTACCTCAAGGCTCAAGGTATAGAGACTGGAGTACCTTACCACCTTACCTTGCGGTTCTGGAGACTAGTCCCTGCTGATTGGCAATCCAACACCCAGGGTATGGGCACGAGCAAAAGCATGGGCATGGCACGGCATGGCATTTTAGCTTCCATTTTTCCCATCGACTCCCTCCGGCACGGGATCCTTCCATGACCAGACAACCTCACAGGACCCGACCATACCAAAGAACATCGATTTGGCTTTAGTACAGCCACATAGCATAATTGCAGGGCGAGACGGGGCGAGACTAGATGAGCTTTTTTTTTTTTTTTTTTTAATTTTTTATTCCCTCCTCTACTTCCCACGCCCACCACCACCATCTATCCACTCACCCACTTACCACACACCCCAGGGACACCACACCGCACCCCACTCAGTTTACCAGGGGTACCTAGCTCCGCGGTACCTGGGCTCGACTCTCCGTCTCCCTCCCGTCTGCCGCCTGTGCTTATGACCTGCACAGGGCAACAGCGGGTAGTTACAACGGCACAAGCCATGTGCGCATCGGGCCCTGGGGCCAGAGGGTCAGACATTGTCATAGCCGTGGGTAACAGAGTCAGTGCCAGCGTCAACACGCAGCTCCTTCTCGCATCAATAACACTCTCTCGACACAAGGCCGAGAGGTACATCAGCAGAAGCAAGGCTCTTGAGCCTCAGACGTTGCGAGACCACAAAACCTTGTCGAGCTCAGGGACAGTTTTCAACAGAGTGAGTGTGAGGCGGATGACGATGGCCGCGGCCCGTTGCGGGAAAGGTGGTGTTGGAGGTGCTCGTGCCCAATACAGACTCCAAAGTATCCGTCAAATGATGGGTCAACAGTCACCCCGGCAGACACGACAGATACGGAGTCGATAGGAATATCCGTAGAACAGGATAGAATGAGACGGGACACCGCCAACGCCAAAGCCAACCCGGCCAACAGTCTGAGTCCACCACAATAATAACAGGCCTTGACCGACACTCATATACCATTATATCCGTACATAGTGGTAAGGTGGTTAGGTAGCTAGGTGCGTTCCCACACGTTCCTCTGAGCGAGCCGACTGGACCCCAGAGGCTATGGGCCCCCCAATTCCGATATTCGCCATATCGTACGTACAGATACTTTGGGCAGAGAACCCTTGCCGAACCGAAGAGAGCCGGGGCATCCAGGCCAGCCAGACGGTGAAGACGTTTGTTCACTGACACTCCGCCTACTACTATGTATGTACGAACCATAGATACAGAGTACCTATCTTTAGTGGGTGGCACTAAGGTGAAGAAGAAAAGACACACTGACCTCGGGAATGTCAGTCCCCGCTGCCAGATGGATGGGCTATTAGCGGCGCTGTCAGTGTCAGATTTGAGGTCTGTTCAGCAAACCTAGGTACCTTAGTGAGGAGGGTAAGGTGTTGGTTGATATTGACCTGATGCAGTCCGAGTGAAGTATGTTTATGTGATGATGCACCTAGCTCCCCGCTCCCCTGACACGGTAGCTATGTCAACTCTCACTCTCTCGTCCTTCTTGACTTTCTCATTAGATCCTCAAGCACAAAAACAGAGCCACGGCGCAATCCACTCTCATCGTCGTCGGTCGCCCTAGGCCAACCCCCCCGACCCTGGTTCGCACCTGGCCCTGCCCTGTCAGTCTCCGGTGCTGGGTCCTGGACTCCTGGTAAGGTAAACCGTACTACGGATATGTAGACCGCAGAAGAGGCTCCTCTATTTTCCATTTGTTCCTCCACCGTCTGTTTCTGCCCTGTCAGTCATTCTCCTTGCCGTGGTGGTCCCTCCCGGGCCCTGTCTTCCTTTTGCCTTCTGCCGTCGGGTCGTCGCCACACCCTTCTTCTTGCCCTCAGTCTCTTGGATCCCCGTTGGCTAGTCCCCGTCCACACAGTGGGGGCCCATTTCATCAGCTGCGTCTACTGGGTCATCGTCGACGACGGGGGGTGAAAGTGAGAGGGATTGCAAGTCCAAAGGAAGGGGAGGGGACCAGAGGAAAAAAAAAAAAAAAGTGAAAGAGAAGCTCCCCTTTTTAGCCTCCTCACTTCAGCATCTTCTTATTTTTTCCCCCTTCCACGCTGCAGTAGCATATTTTCCCTCCTCGCTCCGAATCTCTCTTCATCCTCTTTAACCTCACATCTACCCCCCCTTCTTCACGGTTTCCCATCGTCCTTTGCCATTTGATCTCTGTGAGCCTCAACACCAGACGAAAGTAGCAGCGAAGGTCACCATCATATAGATTCTTCTTCTTCATCTCACCCGATCTTACCTTATCCTCCTGCCCCCTATTTCCCTCCTCCCACATACCACTCACCACCACCAACAAAGAGTAACACCCTTTGCGCCGTGCCCTATCCTCCCAGGCGCACCACACCAACCCCCAAGCGATCGCGTGTCAGCGTCTGCATCCGCGTCTGCGACTGCGTCAGTCTCTGGTGCTGCGTCTTCGGCGGAAAAACGAACCAACGAGCCAGCCCCGGGCTAAGCAAGAGAAGGAGAACCTGGCAAAGCAAAGCAAGCATCAGCCCGCCTGCGCCCATCCCGCAAAGAGCCCGCCACATACCATTGACTGGACCGCTCGCCCTCCTCCCCCACGCCCCTACATAATATCCGCCACGGCATTTTCTGTCCAGGTCACAGCGTGCGACTTTTTTTTTTCCCTCTCTTTCTCTTCCTCTCGGCTGCTTGCATCTCCTCCCATCCTGTTTTTTTGACCCATTTTCGGAGGGGGTCTCTGCACGACTATCACGACGAGCGATCCGAACGAGCGAACGGCCACCCATCAGAAGGGAATATCTGCGACTTCTGTTGCATGCCGCGTGTTTGGTGAGCTGAACTGCACTGCATCGCATCACAACCAAGGTTGCTGCCGCCGCCTCCGCCTCCGCCGCCGCTGTTGCTTTGGCTTTGGCTGCTCCGCATCGCCCGCCATCCTGAGCTCGCAAGTTCCCTGTCCTTACTCGCGTTGTCCACACACGCCAGTCGGTCGGTTTTGTCGAGGGCTTTTTTTTTATTGCTGCATCGAACAACTGCCCCCTTGCCAACCTGCTTCTCTCTCCCACATCGGCATTACCGCCTTCTCCCTCCCTCCCGCTCCCCGTCGGCACATCGTACGGTTGCTGGTTATCGAATCCAGTAGCTGCCGTGACCGCGTCTAGATCTCGAACAGGACAATGAGCCAGCAACAACACGACATGTATCTCGACTACTCAGCCCCCCCGAATCGCTCGCCGAGCTCCTCGAGGCAGTATGCGGGCGGCTTCCAATCCGGTCTATCCCTTCCTCGCCAGGCCCAGCGTCCATTCGACAACGGCTTGGGATCTTCTGCCCTGTTTCCTTCCGACCGTCTCGGTTACAACCCTAGAGCCATGGATCAAATGTCGGCCAACGGAATGCCCGGTGGATATATGCTGGACAACAGCCAGGCCTGGAACTATAACGCTGGTGGTGTCGCGACCGTCAACGGTGCCATGAATGGTGCCAACAGACAGAGGAGCGTCAACCGCCGAGCCGCCCTTCCCACTGTAAGTTTTCCTTATCTCTTCGTTTCCTACGACGTAGCCGGCATCTGACCGCCCGTAAGAACTGGACCGATCAAGGCCTCGGCATGCATGGCTCATATGGCTCCGGCCTCAATGGCGGAATGTCGAATGGTCTCCGCTATGATGGACAGGGTGATATGCGTCCTAGCTCTCAGACGGAGGAGCAACTGATCCCCACCGCCATTGTCATCAAAAACATTCCCTTCGCCGTGCGAAAAGAGACTCTTGCAGCCGTCATGTTGGAAATGCACCTCCCCCAACCCTATGCCTTCAACTACCACTTCGACAACGGCGTATTCCGTGGTTTGGCCTTCGCCAACTTCCAGTCCCCCGAAGATACCAAGATCGTCATTGATGCCATGAACGGTATGGAGGTCCATGGCCGAAAGTTGAGGGTAGAGTACAAGAAGATGCTGCCAGAGGCCGAGCGAGAGCGTATCGAGCGCGAAAAGAGGGAGCGACGCGGTCAACTCGAGGAACAGCATCGCGCCCCGATGCTTCACCAGCAGCCATCTTTGCAGACCCTGAACAGCGTCTCTAGCAACCCTCCCCGCGGTCCCCTGGGTACGTTGAGACGAAACCACAATAATTTTTTTATTGGACACCTGCTGACCGGCCACACAGAAGGAGACATTGATCTCAACGATCCCGAGACTCTCGAATTCTACACCGAGCTCACTCTGTTCAAGCGTGACACCAGCCGTGAAATTCTCATCTTCCCCAACTCTGTCGCCCCCGAGCAGCGCCGTCGGATCCACATCCTCGCACACCACATGGGCCTCGAGCATAACTCCGTAGGAGAGGCCGAATCGCGTCAGATCCATGTTGTTAAGCGTCAGCTTCCCTCGCCCACAGGTCAGATCCACTCTCCCGCTGTTGGCTTGGATTACCACAAGAAAGGTCTGAGCAGGGCGGCCACCTTTGACTTTGCTGCCGACAGAGAGGCACGGAGCGCCAGCACCAACTACTCTCATGCCATGGGCCGTCAAGGTCCGACTTTGGAGCTTCCTGGAAGTCCCGATGGGAACGGTCTCGCCAACCTTCGGGCTGCAAAGAGCTTCGCCGATTTGCGATCCTTCAGTCCGAGCCCGTCCGCGTCCTCTTCGAGCTATTTGACGGCCATGAACGGTATCGGCAACATTCCCCAGTCTGGCAACTCGGGTGCCCGCTTCGGTGACTACAACGGAGGCGTCAACCAGTCCGGCGCGCTTGCCACTCCCAACTTGACCCCTACCTCTGGTACGGTCGGCACTCCTGGTACCGACAGCAGTCTGCTGAGCTCTCTCGGTGGACTCAATCTCGGCTCCTATGAGTCGGCCACCCATTCCCAGGCACGAAGCACTCCTGGCGCCATCGGAAGCCAGCGCCCCGGCGCCAACAGCGGCAACCGCAACGCACCTGAGAGACAGCCCAGAGGCCCCGAGTGGGAAACCACTGCCGGCTTCAATGGCCGCAACCGTTCCAACGGCCACATGCAACGTGGAAGCGGTAAGTCTCTTTGATCGGCAAAAGGCATACGTTGAGTTGCAGGACTGATCCCCACACTAGACTCTTCCGACAACGCACCTCGTGCTGGAAGCGCCGGCGCATCTCGATTCCACTAGACAAGAACCCTAATTAACCTCACCGAGACTGCCACGACAACCATTACAATGAGGAAACGATTCATGACTCGCGACGCATAGAGACTACAAACGACATTCGACGAGTTCACCCAGCCCACCCCAGCTCGGTAATCGACAAACCCCCCCTGTGTTATATCTACCATTGCTTTTCATGATGGACACTCTCCCCCACAACCACCCCATATTGCTTATAATGATGATTTGTTGGACATGAGCCTTTGGCAGCGTCATGATCTTGCGCTCGGCCGTCTCGGATTTGGTGGATAGAAGAATTCCCAGTGTCGCGGCGGCATCCGACTTCGGATTCACGGCACCCGCCCGGCAAGGAAACCTTGGCTCATGGCTGTTTCAACGACCAGAGAAGGATTAACGGAAAAGAAACTTGGATACAAGAAAATACCTGATATGGGCAACCATTTCGACATGGCAAAAAAAGGCCCATGGGCGGTCCCCCTATACCCTCCTGTTTCCCCGCCATACCTCCTTTCATGGCGCGCGGGAGCATATGAACCACCCTTGACGATGAATACGCTGTTACGACCTCTTTATGTCTAGATAGCTGTACCAGCATGCTCGACAAAAGCCGCTTATTTTGGATGACGAGACCATGCCCTTCGGCGACCATGACTATACCCACCTAATTACCACGGTCCGGCAATTCTTGAACAGGACGATCCAAGACTGATGTTGCCTTTGGACTCTCTTTTTGACGGTCCAGATCGGTCGAGTGTCGACTCCAGAAAAACAATGCCAGCCCTTGATTGGGCTCACCGAAGAAAAAAAAAGTTTGAACTGATTTTGGGCGTTTGTTTTGCGCCAGCATTTCCTGATTTCTTTTTTATCCGGTTTATCGGGCCTTGATGTTTCCTGCAAGCCCTGAACCGAACCCTTCAAACTGCTCTGTTGCAATTTGGAGTGAGGCTCCCATGGAGCACTGCCGTTCCCTTCATGGGTAGTCTTTCGGGACATGTAGGCGGGAACAACGGCGTTGAGGCTGCATTGTAGGCCGATTGGTCGTGGTTTTTGTGTCTGGTCTTTCAAACGACCTATTACTGCTAGAGTTTACCGTGTTATTTTTCGTTGGGTTTTACATGCATTTGCGAGCATCTGAGGAAGGATGACAGGACGAGATCAGTAGACGATCCAATGTCGATATTTAAGGAGACACACGAGAGAGATGTGATGGCAGATGCGAGGGCTGGCCAAACTGTTTGCGTGTAATGTGCATGGGCACAAGGATAATTCCGATGAGAGGATGATGATGTACCGAGAGAGCCGCACACACTAGGCCGCTATGCTATTTTGCGCCTTGTCAAATATACTGCGTTTGGTTTCATCCCGAGTCACTCGGCCATGATGTGGTGATCAAGGACAACCACCTTAGTGGATGCTCATAGGACCATATGCCAACGGGAAGCGAGTCTTCCTTGCTGTGCATTCCAGGTTGTTCAATTCTACTACCCATTCCTGAAGGGAAAGGCTGTTGTTGTGTTTGAACATATGAGTTGGGTTCCCACTCAGGTCAAAGGTCTTACAAAGAGGCACGGAACATATATTCGTATTAAACTGTTTCGTGGTATCGCAGGGGGTGGGTGGGCGGTAAGACGATCCTTTGTCTCATGATATACGTTGTGATGGAGGTGTTGGATGGTGGGCGGCGAAATCTGGCCCAGAAAGACTAGCTAGATTTTGAAAATATTGATGGAATAACAGTCAAAGTTAAGCAACCAACTGCTTGAATTTTATGAGGCCACGATAACGACGTTTGGGTGATTTGTCCGGACAGTATTTGTTTTTACGTAGCGGGTAGGCAGATGAAGACAGCCGCACCCCTCTTCCCCCCCTATACTCCCAAACATTTACACACATGTCCCCACCTACCGTACAGACGTACAACTCAGGCCTCATGTCGCTGGTCTCATTTTTGGTTGTTCTTGAGATTGTCAGGGAGCGGCATTTTGATGCTTTACATCCCCCGTCTTGGAGACCGTTCAAGGAGCATAACCCCCTCCGCTCCTCGTTCCCTCCTCGGGTGAACGTGGGCGACCTTTTGCCATAAGGTCACCATCGTTTCTGCGTCCCATTCGATAAGTTTGACACATGATGGCCAATCATCCCCAAGAAGACCAATCCAGGCATCTGGGATCCTCGTCGTTTGAGCCAGACAAAATCTCTCACCAGTCCCATCTCACCACCAACAACAGTCCATCTCACCGCGTCTCATCATTCTCGCCTTCATCCCCGTCGCCCGCATACTCCGCCCCCTTTCCACCATCTTCCTCCTCCTCCTCCTGCTCCTCCTCCTCCTCCTCGTCGTCATCACCATCACCATCATCCGCACCAGAACCAGCACCAACAGAACTTATTCATATACCGCATAAATGGACCTGCAGACGCTGCCGCATCCAATACCCCCTCTTCTGCACCAACCGCTGTCTCGAGTGCAACGACTACTTCCGCCATGACCGTAAAGAACGACACGAACCGCAGGCCGACTGCGAGACGTTTAGTGACGACGATGATGAGGACGGCAATGAGACGACGATGGAGATAACGACGATGAGGACGACAACGGATGACTACGACTACCACAACAGTCCCAGTCCCAGTCCCGACGAGCCGCCAGTCCCGCCGCCCAGTCTGCCATCCCTCTCGCCCTTGTTCGAGCACAACAGGATGATGCTTAGCTTAGACGAAGGTGCTGCCGAGTCCCTCTCCCTCGCGGCGACCCTCGCGGCGAATTACTTGGCAAGGCCCCGCGGTGTGACCCGGGCAGCAGCCTCGGTGGACGACCCAACACGAGGACTGCCACGGGAGGATCCGACGGGGAATTCGCCGTGGCTGTTGGAGATGCCTGAGGAGTCGCAAGATGCTGGCAATGAACCCATTCGCGAGGATGCCGAGAGTGGACAGATGATGGGAACCCAGTGCGGTCAGCCTGATTGGTTGATAAATGGATACTGCTCATGCGTATGAGCTGTCTAGCCACTGACTGGCGTGTGTCGCCTTAGCTTGTTGGATTCAGAGTTGTCCAGACACCTTGATACTTCAGTATACCCTACACCACCGATCCACATGCATAACCCCCCCTTGGACGGAAATCAGGACTGCACCCCAATTACAGTTTTATTCATCTACCTAAGCCCATCAGCTAGTGCCTTGTCCGCGCGTGCCTTCTTAGGAATCGAAACAGGAACCTCGAAATGTTATACATTGTGAGTGAGTGCCAGACTCGAGGCGAATCTGCGTGGGCTTGGAAAGTGCAGGTACTTGGTTTGACCAGGTACCCTGCAATCCTTTTATTCAAGGCGCTCATGGCTCATCTGCCATCTTTCTCAGCACCGTACCCCGTTGACGTCCAAGACGGAATTGCGTGCAACTCTGAACCGTTGCATGCCTCTCCTACTCTTGTTTCCAAATGTTATGAGTAGATTATTCAACCTCTGGCACACCTGCATCATCGTCGTTTCTGACCAGTGTTTTAAGGAAAGCGGAAAAAAAGCATCCCTTCAGACCGAACCACTCCCAAATAACCGTCCTGAGAAAAAAAAGCCAACCGGGAATATCAACATTATTGTTGTTCTTGTTGTGCAAGACGCGGGTTTTATGCCTCGAGCGCCTTGGCCTTCTTCTTCTGCTCGACCTTGAGGAGGAGCGCGCGGTTGATGTGTGGCAAGACACCACCAAATGCGATGGTGGCACGGATCAGGGTGTCAAGTTCCTCGTCACCACGGATGGCGAGTTGGAGATGGCGGGGAGTGATACGCTTGACCTTGAGGTCCTTGGCAGCATTCTATGAGGCGCGTGTCAGCAAAAAATTAAAAAATCAGGCAGAGACCGCGATGAGTCAACGGGAGGCGCGCGGAGGGATGGAAACTTACGCCTGCAAGCTCGAGGACTTCAGCAGTAAGATACTCGAGGACGGCGGTAACATAGACGGCGGCCTTGGCACCGACACGCATCTTGTTCTGGGTGTTGGCCTTGAGGAAACGCTTGACACGACCACAGGGGAACTGGAGAGTCTGTGTTAGCAAGCCGCGACTGCTAGCTTGAGAAATTTTCATTGCTGCGTGCGTTCCGGGCCTTGCGCCATCACTTTCAAGCCCAACGACATCGTGCACGCGACAGCATCCTCTCCATCATGCAATGCGACCTTGACGGCGTTAAAATGATTGCGCAAATTAACCGTCATGGGCAGAAGACGCTGCGCGACACGAGATGATGGATCGAAGGCGATTCTGACTTGTGTTGCGGTGGAACGCGTCGGAGACGGGGGGGTCGTCGGTCGATGCTCGATATCGGGGCCCAAAAATCGACGTGCAAAACCGGCGCATCATCAGCAAAGCGCAACTTACCTGGAGACCAGCGCGAGCAGAGTGGCTCTGCTGCTTCTTGGGGACTTCGGCCGTAGCCTTGCCTCCGGACGTCTTTCCGCCAGACTTTCCCTTGCCGCCGGCCATTGTTGATGTTGATGCGAGGGCGCGAAAGGGTTTAGATAAATTCGACGTCGAGTATAAATCCGATGATTCGATCAAAGTGGGGATGCGCGTGTCGAATGGAAGGTTCAAAAAAGGACTGTTATCGAAGAAGACTGTTCCGGTGTTGGGTTGGAGTTGGAGGGGTTGTCGAGGGAAGCTTGGGTGGAGGTGGATGGAGATGGCAGAAATTTAGTTCGAAGGCTGAAAGTGATTGTTGTTGTTCGTCGGTGACGGCAGGAGAAGAGGACAGGGGGGGCGAATGGGAGCGAGGGAGCTTCGGTGCGTGCAAGAAAATCGCGGTCGGTGTGGTGTGGGAGGTGAGAGGGAGGGGGGGGGGAGAGGGGACGATGGGGGGGACGAGTGTGGGTGTGGCGGGGGGGGGGAGGGGGGGCGGGCGGGGGTGGTGGGGGGAGGGGACGTGGCGGGGGGTGGGGTGTGGTGGTGGGGGTGGTGGTCGGACTTGATAGGGTGGGGGGGGGGGGACCGTCGATGGGTGTGCCGGGTGCTGGTGCTTGCTGGTGCTGGTGCTGGTGCTTGCTGGTGCTGGTGCTGGTGCTTGCTTGCCTCTGCGGTGCTTTTCGTTTCTGAGCAAGTCCACGGCGCGGCCTGTGTCTGCTTCTGCTTCCTATGACCACCTGCGCCTCTGTGCTGCCTCCTTGCTCAGAGTTTTGCTGGTTCGCTGTCCGCTGTTCCTATTCGTCGGTTGGAGCTCTGTTGTGGATGGCTGTGTTATGGCGCTAGCGTCCAGTGCCCAGAAATTGTTGACAGAATGTTATTGCCGGAATGTTGCGCGGGTGCCGGAGTAAACCCGAGCCGCATCGAAGGAGCCCACGAACCTTGGCCCGAGCGGGCTGTGAGTGAGTCTGGTGAACGAGGCAGGAGAGGCAGCTGCCCAGGACGTAAGTACATGGCACTCGCCATGTTGGAATCATCACAACGCCAGAAAAGAGTCAAGAGTAAAGAAAAGGACCTGCTCAACTCGAGGAGATCACCTGGAACCCAGGAGACGCCGTGGCGGCAAAGAAGCACATACCTTGAGCCTACCTCGAAGTGAGGCTCTGCGACGGATACCAGCAGCAGGCTTCGGCCAAGCTCGCTGCACTGCAGCAGGATGGTCAAGCAAGGCTCAGAGAATAATGAGAAGTGGCCTTCAGATCAGATTGAGCCCTGATGCAGCCTGTCTTGGGCCGTGGAGGTGAGTGTTGTCATTTTGACATGATCGTTGCTGATGATGGCCTTTGATGTCGACGCAAAACGCAGACCGAGAAAGCGTCCCGCACGAGGCTTGTGACAGCCTGTGGCGTTGAAACCCACGTGACGTGGCTGGTGCTCCATTCCCGCCAACTGTTTCACGCGTGACTGGTCAAGGTCAGCGGGGCCTGGACTCGATCGGATGACCGGCCCCATAAAACGCCAGGAAGATCTGGCACCCATGGAGCTCGGGTCTCACCCGGATCCACACAGCCACTCTCTCGCGGGATCCAGAGCAGTTTGTTCAGTACCTTGAGCATGCATGTCTGGGGTTGCCGCCTATTGTTCGTTCTTGTTCGTTTACACGTAACTTCATCGTTGAGAGACTGGAATCTGACGGCACACACTGAGAAATCTCATCTGCCCTAAGTCGGCAGCCGTGTGGCAGAGATGGGTTCGTCCATAGTACTGCATGAGGTACCTAAGTAGGTCTACTATCAAGTCTCTGCTCTCGACGACTCAACATTTTGAATGTCTTCCAGCTCCGACTGAGCATCAAAACTGCTCGTCATGGCCATTACCAGCGCCATGCCCATTACCAGCGCCATGCCATACTGTGAAACCCAGCAGGCTTCTGAGCCTGTATCGCCTGCAATCATACATTCTGCACGCCATGGTATTCGCAATCTGCCAAGCGACCATTAGATCCCAATTCCATGCCAGTTGCATCAATTACGCTTGTCATCAAAACCAATCTCGCAGTCTTCGCTTTCGTAAACGCCTTTCATTATCAAACTCCAGTGTGTTCGTCATCGTGATTGTTTATCGCTTGGCATTTCGTTTAATACATCATCGTCATGATCTGCTGTTGCTGCTGCCGCTGCCGCTGCGCATTTCTTTCCGCGAGAATTCTCTTGACCCGTCGTCGGCCTGTGTTGATGAAGTGGTATTGCGGCGGGTATTCCTGTTCCACCGCTTGGGGGTACGTCCAGTACACGAGCCCGGCGAGAATCATGTTGACGAACCGGGCGGCGGGCTTCAGTCGGGGTTTCTTGCGCGCAAAGTGTCGCCATTCGAATGTGAGCACAATGTTGCCCAAGATATTGAGGAGGCGGAAGAACCTATGCACTGTTTAGTTTTCCATGGACATGAGGCGAGAGTGATCCCAACTTACATGTTAAGCACGATAAAGACCAGTGTTACTGTGACCCGTCTGTCAAAGAGTCCGGCGACGCCATCCTCGACATCCTTGATCAGAACGTAGATTGGGACACACCACAGACCGAATATTGCCGTCTCAAGTATCAAGGAAAAGTGGTATGTGCGCTTATGTTCGCCTCTGACAACAAGTAGGGCCAAGCACCACCACAGGAGGACGAAAGCGACCTAACCGCATTAGAAATCCAGTTTGTGAAAAGGGTGCAGTGATTCCATATACTCACAATAGACGGTACCAAGACGAGAATCTCATCTCGAAAATACCTCCAGCAAAGCGCACCAGCGACGATGCCAAGACTCAGCTGAATCCAGCCCAAGACGAAGTACACCAGCAAAACATTATTGTAGTGATTATAGCAGCCCTTATGAAACTCGGGCTGGTTAGGCGCCGAGGCACTGGCGACTGGATACCCGCACCAGCGACAGATCCATACACTGGCATAGTTGCCTAGCGCGACTTTCTTGCCCACGACCAGCTCGTTCTCTTGGTACGCGCAATCGACGCACTTGCTGGCGAGAGGGTAGCGCGGGTGGCTGTAGTCCGCCCAGAGCAAGCTACCGCGCGTGGGATCGTACTTTAGGCAGATGTAGCAATGTGCCAGCAAGGCGAGGCGGAACTGCTCGCCAAAGAGGTCGCGAATGGTCTCCTTTGTGAGAAAATTGCGGTAGAACCGGCACGTGCGGCGCAGGTTTTCGAGCTCGCCGAACTCGAGGTAGTCGATGATCATGAGATGTAGCTCGGGCGGGAGGTCCATGAGGCTGTTGCCCGTCTTGGGGCCCAGGATACGGGAACGTCGGCGTGAGATCCGAGGGTCGAGTGAGGCGACCTTTTCAATGACCGAGTCCCGACGTGAGCGGGATGTGCGGGGCCTGGCGCTTCGGGCGCTGGTAGGTCGTATTGAAGCGCCATCTTTACAGGATAGTTGCTGCTCGAGCTCGAGGGGAAGTGGTGACTCGAGGGGTGAGGGCAGATACTGAGCGGATGAGGCTGCAGCTGAGAGGTTGAGAGGTTGGGGGGCTGGTGAGTTGGGGTGGACCTGAGGCGCGAAAGATATGGCTGACGGAGTAAAGGATGGCGAAGCCAAAGGTGCGCTGGGTGAGTGGACTATGTTCAGCGGGGCCGCCAATGGTGGTGCGGGTTGAGACTGCGGTCCGGGGACAGTGAGGGTTTGAGTGGTGATATTGTTAGTCAAGGTCTGGGCATTCGAGGTGGATGAGGACTCGGGTGAGTGACCGGTGAGACCCTGGAGGGTCGCGTTGTCCTGGGTGGGGGGCTGGGCTGATGGGCCCATGGTCAAGGTCGGGAGAGTGTGAGGTTCATGAGCCGTGTGAGCGGGTGGCGGTGAGGCCGGCCCAGAATCCGGCGAATTTACAGTCGGGGTGAAGGGCGGCGGCAGTGGTGATGCAAGCGGCACGGCCGTGTAGTTAGATTGAGAGGCCGTGTGAGCCGGGAGTTGAGCTTCAAGATCGGGTTGAATGGTCGGTGCGGGAGCGGGTACGGGAGTCTCCTCGGCGCTGGTGGACGAAGCGGTTAAGGATGGGGCCGATGAAGCCGATGAAGCCGCGAATGACTGAGATGGTTGCTGATCATCTTGGGAACCTTGGACCTTTTTGCGGACGCCGCGGGCAGCGCGGGAGATACCCCTCCCGAATGAGCGGACAACATCATCCATAGTGAGCCCCGGATGAGAGATGGTCGAGCGAGGAGCCGGTGGTCGTCTGATGCACTGTCGACGGGATATGTGCGTGCTCGTTTGACGGCGAGAGAGGTCTGGCGGGTCAGCTGGCGACCGGGGATCTCCTCGTCAAGAAGGGTTGAAACTGCTTGGAACCCGGGGTGCTACAGAGAGGCCGATGTGAAACGGGTCTGCAAGCCGCGCCGGGAATCCTGGGCGAATGTTGGGGGCGATGCCGAGGAATTGGGCGAGGTGACAAGAGCGTTAAGTTGGAGTAAGCGTCGGACGTGTGGTTGAATGAGCGCGGGGGCGACGGTGAGTGAGCGAATAAGTGAGAGGTTGGTTCAGTGGTCTTAGCCAACGTCTGCGATAGTAGCCTCGGTGGCCGTAAACCGGTAGGACATTGTTTTGGTTCAAACTGTGAGGGAGGGGGAAAAGATGGAAAGGAAGAGAGAAGGGAGAGAGAGGAAACGGGACAAGTGGAGGAGGATGAGGAGGAGGAGGCGGTAGTGGTGGTGGTGAGAAGTGAGGATTGATTTGTGATGTGGTAGGTAGCCTGCCCGCCGTTGGTTTGTATCTTTTCTTCTTCGTCGTGTCGGTGTCCCTCGTGACGCTTGCGACCAACGGTCCTGATTCGACCTGGTCTGATGCAGGGTTGCTTTCTGGTCTCGTTGAATCCTTGAATCTGGGGTTCCGTTCGAGTTGGGATGCAGCAGCCAGGCGCAAAGTTTACCCAGGCGTGCCAGGCAGAAAAAGAGAGAGAAAAGACGACAGGAGTGAATAGGCTCCGCGCAAGACTGCAACGCAGTCTCACCTTTTTAGAGCGAGCTGCAACGAACGGGCTGGAATGGGCGACCACCACGCGGCGATCGCAAGGGGGGCACTTAAGCACTGCGGCACTGGGGGGGTTGGCAAGTTGGGTTGTCCGGTGCTTGCGCAGGGCCGCAGGCGGGTGCGCCCCCTGGGAGAATAGAAGACGCCGGGCCTCGACCTGAGGGGTACACAAAGGTGGTGCTGTCGTCGGGTGACCAACAAAGTACCTCGGTTGTCGAGTGTCCCGCGGGAGCACGCGGTGGGGTTCCGGTCTGTGAGCACCCGTCGAGCGTTCGGGCGCCAACAATCAGCAATGGTCAGTGAGGGCGTCTGCTGGCCAAGCCAAGCCAACATGAAGGGATCGATGTATCGTAGTTCGTCTGTCTCTGGTGGGAACAACAACAAACAGGAACAGCAGGGTCGATAAGAGAGAAGAAGCAAGGCTGGGGAAATCGGCCAAGTGCAGAGAACAGAATCCCCAAGACCGTGTCTTGGTGGTGCTGTTCGTCCGCAAGCCACCGAGGACTCTCCTTGTAATAAAACCTGTCCGTGTTGACGAGATGATGATGATGAGTGCCGACGTATGAATATCCGTACGGGTACTACAAGGAGGCAACGCCAAGCCAGGATGCCCGCCTGCTCGGCACACCACTTTCTGCCGCTCAGATCAGCCTCAAGCTTCGTCAAAACGTGGCCAAGCAATCCCCAATCCCCACATCCATCTTTAGCAACGCTGCGGGCTTGATGGTGTGTGTTGGGCTTTGGGTGTGTCGCATGTTTCGAATCCTAGGGGCTTCCGCGCCGCCCTAGCTACTAGCATGGCATGGTTATCGGCATGATTTCTAGCACGTCTTCCAGTTTGCTGCTTTCTAGCTCCCGTGCGACCTTGAGAGTGCTGGACCGGCAGCTGGGTCGGGCACGATGCACGATCCCTCAGTCGTCTCCATGTGGTTTGTTTCTCGAGTTTTATATGCTTAAGAATATCGTTGCATTCTTTGGTGGCGAGACGTTTACAACGGCCAGAAGCATGGACGCACTTCATCAGTCACCACATCAGCTGACAGCACGGCAGCTTTCCACATATGCCATTTTCAGGGAAGTTCCCAGTTGATTCAATTCAATTTCTCCGTGCTTGACAAACCGGCCTCAAGCCACCGGCGACACGGCATGCCTCCGCTGCCCAGTGTCTAACTAACGGCAGCCCACTTTCGTCTCCGGAACCGATCCGTACAGTCACTTCAACCCTGCAAAGCCCACACATCTTCGCTGGCTCGTTTCTTATGTGGACACCGCCTGGACTTTTTCCACAGCCTTACCGACCGCCCCCTCCTCAAACGTAGCATCGCCGTGCATACCCGCCTCCTTGGAAATTTTGACATCCTGACCGTTGAACAGGACGCCGGTTTCCTCGACGATAAGTCCTTTGATTTCCACAAACAGGAACCAGATGTAAACCACCTCAACGACCAAGATGACAATGTAGACAAAGTAGAACTTCCAAGCCAGCGACAAGAGCCTGATGGGATTGACCTATTGGTTCAGGACACCAGAGAGCACCGTCATTCCCACATGAGGCAGATTGCCAGTCCCTTGGCAGATACTTCCGACGTACCAGATACTGTTATACATTACTGTGAGTCTGCCTCGGCACTGAGTATAAGCGAGTTCCATGATCAGAAGCGGACCTGCCTCGATTGAGATGTTGCATCTATGATAGTCAGTGACCAAACCAGTAATTCGGGGCATGAGTGCCTGCTTACCCGAATCCACGAGGAAACGACCCCCGGTGAACAGGTTCGTGGGGTGATTCGGGATAAAAAAAAATGGGTTGAATCGATCGAATACAGATTCTCACCAGTCGTAGCATGGTTTACGGCCTCGGAAACACTCGTGTGGTTGCTTTCCCGGCATCGAGGCGACTGAAATCATCAATCGTCTGAAGATGCGGGATGAGCGCGCATGAGCTGGTTGGTGCGTTCCCCAGCCTGTGTGATGAGGTTAATCTTATCTGGTCTAACAAGGAGCTGGGTCCGGTGCGCTGTTGGCGCTTCTTTTGAGTAACAGACGGCACTGAAGAAGGCAGAAAACATCGATCATAAATGAGAAACTTGATTGGCCTTTTCCCTGACGCCTATAAAGGTCTATCCGCCACAAAGCAACGAGACCTTGGCCATCTACATACCGCCCGACTTGCTGGATGACCCCCGAAAGCCCTGAATGTCGCTAGATCAGTATTCCATACATTCTCCCATTCAGTGAGGCAAGTACAACGGTTATGGTACGGTAACTTCGTCCTAGTGTACTATTTCATTACCGTGCCATCTCGGATCACATGAATTCTCTGGCCAGTTCGTGACGAGGTCTCTTCGAGGGCCGCATACTGCAACATGAATACTGTATAGAAGTCGTGCTTCCTGTCTGTCCCTCTCTTGATAATCCAGTCCAGCGTTTCATCTCTCCATGATATTGTCAGGCAGTGACGGTTCCCGATTTTTCAGACGCCGAGAAAGAGAGGAGAGAGAGAGGAGAGAGACAGATGACGCCGCTCGCAATATTCTCTGCAGACATGCTGCCATTGACGTTGCGACGGTCCAGCTGCTAGATTGAACCAAATATTTACACCAGGGAAATATTGTAAGCCCAAATCCCCAGTCGTCATGGGCCTTTTACTTGTGTTGCTTCCGGACCTAGTGACTCGAAAATGGCTTCATCCATGGGCAGATTAACAGCAAGCTCTGAATCTTGGATCAGTGGTAGCAGAACAAGGCTTGAAAACGACCAACGGTCGGTCATGAGTAGTGTTTGCCATATTCTTCTGTGAATTTCGAGATCGACCAGCTGTGTCCCTACAGTGAAGGTGCCAAGCTGCATGATGTTCCAGAGACTGAAGCCGGTGCCTCGTCCGTTGCGAGCAAATCAGCCTAATAGAGCAAGTCATACATGCCAATGCAGACGCATATGTCCACTTTTGATCACTTACGGAGGAATGAAGTTTCTAAAGAAGCGTTGAGATGAGCCTCGCAGAGGTCCGCGATGAGGATGTCCGCCTGAACATTTTCGGCGCTTACGTTGTCCAAATTTGCCAACAAGAGCCGCTTAGGTTCCTCCATCAGATCATTCTCAATGGCACGACTTCCATCATCGAGAGCAAACCGTGACCCGATGCTACAGATATCCAACAGGAGAATCCTGCTCATAGAGCCATCTTGAACCTCCTACCGAAGCTTTGCTGCCTGGAACAAACTATGCGGTCGATTAGTAGCTTGTCTAGGTAATAGTTAACGAAAGGTACAGCCGTGTGAGACGGTAAACCTAAGCCTTTGGTTGTTGAAGAAGTAGGCTCGGAACTAGCTACAGGTGTTGTCGGACGTGTTTGTTCGGGTTTCGGGAGCAGTTACAGTGGCGATGGGCATATGCGCGCCAGAGAACATGGCAGGCTCCTGGCCGGACAAGCATCGCAGGGCTCGCCTACTGCGAGACTACGACGAAGATATTTTAGTTTGCTCTCCCGACACTAACGACATGCTTTGGTGTCAATTCAGATAACGTGCGGGCGTATATGGATGCCATTCCGGAGCTCCACGTCGAATGTCATTGATGGAGGTAGAAAGATGCCTCTATTTACTTTCTCGGAAATTGGCGTCTTTCACTGGGCGGACCCGGAAACCCCGCAAACCAACATTCGGAGGATGCTAGCATACTGCTATGCATGAGCTGACGCCACTGAGGGGAAGCGAGACGGGCGTGGCGCGAATCTTTACTCGTCAATCGACGCTTTGCTATCCGGCGTGCCGGCATATCCCCTCATGCCTCGCATGTTTTGCAGATCCGGAAAGCTACTAACCAACGATCGGGATACGAGCCAATCATCTTTCACAAAGTTCGACGAGTGTTCGAGACTACCGATCCATCATCCTCTCCTCATGGACTCCCAATGCCCCAAATTCTTCATAGTAACTGTGAAGACGGTCAATTCCCTGTCTTGAACTTCTTCCTCCTCGTCCAATTTCTCTGTCGGCTTTTATGTCACTCATCTCCATTGTAGAGCATTGGACCAACAACCCGATACGATGACATTCCTTGACGCGACCCCTCAAGTCGCCGCGGAGATGGGTGACACTAGTGTCAACATCCATCACCTCATCCCAACGGATATGTTGAAGCCACTTTTGGTGGAGGTCGAGCGTTTCTTCACGGGGGCCGGTGAAGTTCAAAACTCGTCACCTCCTGTGACTATCATCGAGTTACATTTACAGGCATTGACACTTTTGACTGTAGGTTTGTCTACATATACGCCGGCTTTGCTGACGACAGATATCAAGAAGCTTCCGCGCGTAAGACTTCGCAAGGCCGAAGGTCATCTCGAGACGGCCGACGTCTTGTCAATCTTCAGCACCAGAAGCCGCAAAGCAGAGGCCAAGGTATTTAATCGACTGACGGAGAACCTGAAAGAGATAGACGAGCCGCACTCTACTGTTCTGATGGTACAAGTGAAAAATGAGTGCGGTGTACTGGGAGATTCCCACGATGGTTCAGAGCTGGCAAACATGGCCTTACATGAACCGTCCAAATGGACCTCGTGCACTTCCTGTCCACAGAGTAGAATCAGCTACACCATGATATGCGGGAACAGAACTCGACGCAATGTAATCACCAAAACTCACAGCTCGATGGGCCCGGCGATTGGGAATCTGTATTTGGGAGCAACCCCCGGACAGATGAGTTATTCATGGCATACAACCACGCCCTCTACTCTACTTGAATCAAGCCGCCAAGGCCGGGATAAAAGCGCATACTATCCCGTTTTACACCAACGTGTGAATGAACTGCGTCGGTGAAAATCGGACAAGGAATTTCCCGTCGTGGTAGGCGGCGGTAGCATGCCCAGAGACTATCCTTCTGGAGGTCCCGTGAGCAACGTAGTGGACCATTGGACGCGCTTCGCGCCGAGGCTGGACTTTATCGGACCAGATGTCTCATCTCGATGACTACGCCAGCTCATTTGCCAAGTACAGGCAACGGGGCCAGCCTCTATTCCATCCCGGAGCAAAGACGCAATGACTATGGCGTGCGCCGTATCTGGATTGCTTATGGCACCTACGGCGCCGTGGGGGTTGCTCCATTTGGTTTGGAAACCATCAAGCCGGAGGATAGTCCCTTTCCCAAACATTATGGTCTGCTGAAAGCTGCTTCGCTCATTGTTCTTGAAGCACAACGACACCCGAACAGATCGGTGATTTCATGCTTCGACGAACTTCCAGCCGATGGCTCCGGAAAGCACCCGAGCCCCGTCATCCGTCGGGTCTGGAGAGGCTTTGAGATGACGATAGGACGGTACTTCGTGTTCGGTAAGCCAGGAACAGGGGCTGGAATGGTGATACGTTGCGGCGACGGCAAGCTTTTGCTCATCGGCTGGGGCTTCCAGGTCAGAGCGAAGGCATTGGGCCAGAATCAGAGTTTTACCGGCATCCTGAAATTTGAGGAGAAGATTATAGAGTACGAAGCGACCGGCCGCTTGAAAATGATCAGGGTATTTATTGACTGGGGTTGAGACTGGAAGCGGCAGGTTCGCGATGATGCCGAACGAGGACCCGGATTAGGGTGGCTTTCCAATTTCTGTCATTATCCCGGCTAGAACAATGATTGCCGAGGTTATCCTCTACTCTCTGTCTTGCTAAACTTTATTGTTTAAGTGGCACTGGACCAAGATCTGTAGGCATCCTACTCCGAACAGATTTTGGCGAGCACCTTGGGTGTTAGCATTTGCCATGAATGATCGACCCAACTCTCATGTACTTTGCCATTACCATCGAAGTGAAAGCCGCGAGCATAAATCCACCGGCAAAGATCCAAGTCCCCTGGAACTCCCTCTGCACATCTGCCGTCCCGTTCCCTTGCGGGCGCTGCGCAGCACCCGCAATGGGGTTTCCAATCAACGCACCAAAACTCGCGATGGTATATCCCATGCCCACCCTCGTCCCGTATTCTGATATTTCATCCGTCAAGTTTGCAATGGTAGCCGGCGGCAACGATACCATGCCGCCCGAGACAAAGCCATACACGATTGATATCGCAACCAGTCCCGGCAAATCGTTCGCAAAGCGGAAGAGGAAGAGTACGGCAGCGGAACAGAGGCAGCAAGGGATCATTATGGTCATACCTCCGTACTTGTCGGCGAGCCAGTTGGGGGCTAGACGACCGAGAAGGCTCGCGGCGTTCATGGCGCTGAGGATATAAAAGGAGGTGTCTTGGTCTACGCCTAGGCGCATGGCGTACGCGTCCATGTAGAAGAAGGGGACGTAGACGGAGCCGATCATCAGAGCGAAGCCTGGAGGTCTGTTAGTGGATACTGTGAAACAATCGAAGCCTCTGTGAGGAGGACAACTAACCGATACAGAACGAAACATAGGGAACATCGCTGAAGTGCTTCAGGCGGAAGAGCGCACCACGTCTCTTGAGATTGGGTCGAAGACGCATGATGGCGATACACACCAGGAGACTTCCCATGACGATGAATGCGAACACTCGAACAGCCCAAGGAAAGCCAATAGAGGCGATGAGGCGTCTCTCCATTATGGGATACACGATCCCCGCTTTGTATTCCATCAGTATCCATGCTCTCGCGTATCGTGACGGCCAGAGGTTGTTCACAACTCACCTAAACTACTTCCCGTAGCAGCAATACCAGTCGCGACCATCCGCCTCCTGCGAAAGTAGAGAGGTATCACAGCCACGCACGTCAACCCAAGCAACCCACTGCCCGTGCCGACGCAGAGTGCCTGCGCAAGAAGAATCTGCCAATATCTCGTGCACAAGCTCAGCATGAACAGACCGAGAGATGTCATGGCAGTGCCGCAGATAAGGATGAAACGAAGATACCCCGCGTCGAGAAGCCAGCCTGCACAGACGCCGGTGAGCATCATCAGAAAGATCTGGATGGAGCCGATCCAGGCAATGGTCGAAGGGTTGAAGTCTGGGAGGAGGTTGTTTGAGTAGTAGGCTTGGAAAACTCCAAACGAGTTTGACAGTCCCCTTCATCGAATGTCAGCGCGCTTATTTGCCTTTGCTGTGACCTGGCGTCCGAACCACGTTCGACGCCGTCACGGTCAATGGGAATGTGGAAAACTTACCACGTGTTGGCAAACAAAATCCAGCTTCCAAGGACTTGAAGCCATGCGACAATTCCATGGTCCATGTCTAGCTCTTCCTCATCGGCTTGTGCTGTCTCGTCGTCGCTCGTTGGCGATGAGGAAACTTGTCCTTTCTCTCCATTAGATGCCATCAGGATCTGGGAGACTATCTTGGAGTCAGTGTCTTGACTTTCCGTCCTCGCCATGTCAGGTCACTGGAGTAAGGATAATCGGCCTGGACAGGTCGCTTTAGCTCCAAAAACAGTTTGTGAACCCAGGAACATCGAAATTTGGGTGGGCACTGAGCCGATGTTAGAGTTAGCCAAGTGCTTTCAAGCCGTTCTATGTTGGCAAAGTCAAGCCGAGGCTCCATGTCGTATTTCGTCAGATATGTGTCGGCTTACGAGGCAGGGTTGACATGCAAAAGCTTCACTTAGTGGATCCATTCAATGTTGTCTCTCTTCCTCGCACCTGATGTGACCAAAAGGAACCTCGCGCGCCGTCACCTTCGTTATAGGTGTCTGGCTGATAGGTAGGGGCCCATGTAGTTTGGTGTATGGCGTCCCTGCCCTGGTGCGTTTTCTCACGTTCTTCCTGTCTCCTCTGCCTATGGTGTGTAAGTAAGTCTCTCTTGTCGAGTCAAGCCGATGAAGCAACATAGGGCCTCGACAATTGGCTGGGAGACACCTCTGAGACTGATCACGCAAAGGTTGCTGGGGCAGGCCCCTCCGAGCATCGCAGGTGGGTAGAGCCGAAGATGACGAAAGCAGGGTATGAGATCCCTTCACTCCGAGAAACCCTTCCGTTAGGGCCGAGACATCAAAAATATTGTAAGCGTATGCCCATCCTGACTGTGAGCCATGCAAAACCGGTTCGCTAAGTTGACCACTAGTATGTGTGTAGGCTCACATAGAGCAACCCCTAGACAAGGGTGTTTTTTATGCCGGTTTGTCAATATGCCTTCGGCTAGGCGTGCACTCTGTCGGCTTCGGCTCCGGCTTGACTGTCATCGTAGCAAATTGTGGGAGATGAATAAATCACCACAGCAATCCGCACAGTCAGAGAGACAGGTGGTTGGATATGTACACCGACTTGCTCGACAGCGAGTAGAGAGCATTGGGTGTAAAAAGGGAGTTTATTTTCTTGCTTGCCAAATTGTTTCACGTGCATTCACCTGTGTTGTAGTAGGGCAAAGAGCAAAAGTTAGAGGACCCGAAGAGTGGCTTAGCCAATCGCGGTGAGGATTTGAGCCTCACGCGGGGGTCGAACCCGCAACCTTGAGATTAAGAGTCTCACGCTCTACCGATTGAGCTAGCAAGGCGGGTCTTATTTGTTGTCTCAACTGATTCGGATGAATGCTTATATTCTCTTTATCCGGTCCGTGCACCTGTTGCGTTGACCCTCTTGGTGATTTCTTTCTTTCCTCTCTCTGTCTCCTCTCATTCTCGTCGACGTCGCCCTCACCACTTTCATCCACCACTATTCTGCAGATCTTCAGTGTCTAAGTATTTGTCGAATAACTTCGCATAGTGTTTCTCTCCCCCTCTGAAGCAAGTGTCCCTCCCGCATATCACCAGCTACGATTCCTCCGGGCAAGAAACTCCTCGTCGTCTCCACGAACAGCCCAGCCATTGGTGGCTGAAAAAGTCGTGCGAAGAATTCCTCCAGCTGCTTGTCTCCCACCAACCTGACCTCGACCTTCTTCCATATCATGTCTTCGAACGCATTGTGCACATCTTGTGTTGCGTAGGACTTTGGCCCGTGCAAATCAAAGATGTAGGGATTATGTCGCATCGGCGAGCCGGCTGCTAGTGCTTCCCTTGCGCAGGTTCGGCCAACGTCCTTGACCGACACCTTTATCCCGTATTTCAGAATAAGTTCTTGGCGTATGCAAAATACCAGATAAAAGTCGGTAAGACTCACCATGGGAATTGCGTAATCCTCAGGACACAGCACAGAATAAAAATATGGCGGGTCATTCTTCACGGTCTCGAGGGCCGCCACCCAATTCTCCATGAAGTAGGCGCATCGGATAAAGATGACCTCGGGAGCCGCACCGATGAGGGCTTGTTCTGCCTCGTAATTCGTTCTTATCGCGCCCTACCAAGAATTGCATTGCATCCTTCAGCCGCCTGCCTGCCTGCCTGCCGCGAAGAATCTCTCTTCTCAACTTACCGTCCCATGCTCCAAGTGAGCGCCTATACTAGACACATACACCAGACGTTTTACCGAACACCCCGCCCTGCTAATGGCAAACTTGACGTTGGCAGCCATCTCCCGTGCTCTCGTTATCGGCTTGGCTTCGAAAGGCTGTGGAGGCGTGATGGTTACGACGGCATCGGCGCCTGCGAATTTGAGACTGCCAACATCAGCAAGGTCACCCTTGATGGCCTTGAATCGAGGATGATCCTTGAATTTAGCCGGGGCCCTTCCCAAATCTCTATAGACCCCTGTTACAGATGGCTGCGAGGAATGATCAAGGAGAAATCGAATCGTGGCCTGCCCAGTCCTGGGAGACGCTGGAACGACAAAAACGTTCATCGTTGCTGGTGATGGGGATAGCTAAAGCACAGCATAAGGTACGCAAGCTTACATCGGCCATGACCAACAACCGCCGCATTTGAGCTCTGGGACTTCTTGAAAATTATATAAAGAAAGGCTAGCTGTCGCATGACCCCAGACGACAAAGGTCTAGATTCGGTCCATCGGTCGCCTGCATCCCGCCATCACGGTCCCCCGATGCATCCGTGGCTGCAATGTTTCACCCTTGAAAGCTTCCAGGTTCACAGCAAAAGCCTCGAGAGAACCCCCATGAGTTGCCATGTCAGCTGAGTCTGGAGCATGAAGTTTCGACCCTTCCAGACCACCCCACCTCCCAAAATGTCCCGACGCTTGAGCCAGGCGATGTCGATTTGGCTTTCCGCCTCTGCATCTGCTGCCCAGGAGCCGTCCCAACTGTTCGTCCAATCACAAAAGGGACCTTGACAGCAACGGTGAAAGCTCCGATCTTGGCTACCCTTCGGCCTAATTGAGCCCATCTTCGGCCCTTCCCGGAGCGAGCTTCAGCGAGCTTGGTCGTGTCAGCCAAACGTTCCCATAGCAAGAGCGGAGCAGGAGGACAGGGACGGTTCGGTCTGACTCACCGCGCGGCAATATCCTTGCGATAGAACATGCCTTCGAAATATATACTTTCAATCCCCTCATAAGCAGCAGACACTGCATCCTCCAGAGTCTTGCCCGTTGCGGCAACGGAGAAGACGCGGCCGCCAGCTGTCACTAGCTCACCATTGATCCGTTCGGTTCCAGCGTGGAATATATGAACACCTACAAAAGATACAGCATTAGCGATATGTTCTATAGCTACCAAACCAAACTCTGCTTCGACTCACGTTCGTTAGTAGGTCCCAATCGGATAAAATCTCCCTTCCTGTACGACTCTGGGTAGCCCTCTGCCGCGACGGTGATGTTGCACGCAAACTCCGCGGACGTATCCAGCTTGACGTCGGCAAGCCTTTCCTCTACACAGGCGAGAATGATCTCGAGCAAGGTCTCGTCTGAAAGTAGAAGAACCATGCTCTGCGTCTCTGGATCTCCGAAACGCGCGTTGTACTCGAGCACCTTTGGACCCGAGGGTGTCATCATTATTCCTGTGAAGAGCATGCCGTTGAACGGTCTCCCTGTGTCTTCTGCTTAGCTTCACCTGCTACCACCATTCTGTTTAAACTTACTCTCAAGTTCAAGACCAAGGATAGTCGGCAGGATGATGGTCTCTTCGATATCGGCCATCTGCTCGTCAGTCACGGAAGAAACGGGGGCATAAACACCCATGCCGCCGGTATTCAGCCCCCTATCGCCATCGTGAATCCGCTTGTGGTCTTGGCCAGGCGGAAGAGAGAGAATCGATTTCCCATCAGTGAAGGTGAGGATGCTAATCTCGTAACCCTCGAGGTATTCCTCGATAATCACCTTGTCGCCAGCGTCACCGAATTTGTCCTTGAGCATTACGTCTTCGAGGGCTTTCTCTGCCTCTTGGACCGTCTCTGGGAGAATGACGCCCTTTCCTGCCGCGAGACCATCCACCTTGATGACCACTCTGCGACCAAGATTCCGTACATACGCCTTGGCCTTGTCACAGTCGACCTTGTCAAAAGTTTCGTACAGAGCGGTCGGAATTTTCCATCTACACATGAAGTCTTTTGCGTAGTCCTTGGAGCCTTCGATGATGGCCGCCCTTTGACTTGGGGAAAAGCAGCGAATTCCATCTGCATTTGCGTTAGACCATATTTACTCAGTTGAATAAGGTAGATCAAGTAACTCACTGTTTCTAAAGTGATCGCCCATGCCCCCGACAACGGCATCGTCTGGGCCAATGATGACAATATCAATTCCAAGACTTTTTGACAGCCCTACGAGGCCGTCAAAGTTATCAACGGCTACCTCGCGGCAGTTTGAGGCTTTCGCCAGTGCTTCGGTGCCTGCGTTGCCCGGCAGGACATAGACATGTTCAACTGACTGCGATCGAGTGAGCTTCCAGGCAAGGGCATGTTCACGGCCCCCTTTGCCGATGAGGAGAATCTTCATTTTCGAGTGCTCCGTCGACGGCATGCTTGACTTGAACTTCTGGTGATGATCGTCAAAGTGAGATGTGGAGGCTTGCACTCGGGAAGTCATCCGAGAACAAATTTCTCAGTGTGCAGGAAAGAAATGTGCTTGATTGGTTAATGTTGGGGACAGCGATGAGCAGGCTGATATAAGTGGCCGTTGAGGTGGGAAGATTTAAAGACTCATAAGCATATCGCAACCGACACTTAATGGAGCCCAAAGTCACCCGCGGAGGGCCACCACGGTGAACCTCACTTTCTCCGTGACCTTTCCCCACATCAGCTCTTCGTCAACCATGTAGCAGCTTCCAATCAGCAGTCAATAGCCATCCCTCTGCCGTGCGATGAAAGGCATCCGGCCCCCGAAAAGAACGAAAGGATCGTCCCCAGGCTGTATTATTTTGGGCCCGACGCCCACATGTCTGTCACCGGTCGGAAACACGCGTCGATTATTCAAATACGTCTACACTCCGGCCCCAAGAGTCTGTAGCTTGTCCTCTCGATTAGGGGCTCCGAATTCCATCGCCGTCGGGAGGAGGGGCCAAACTCCGCCATCTGAACGAGAAACGCCGCCGCCAGTTCTTGAGCCTTCCTATCGAGCTCTGCGTGAGATTTCCACAACTTGTAGGGCCGGTCGAAGACATTTTCACTTTTCCATCCCGCGAGCACAATCAAACAGGTGGTCAAGTCGAAAAAGGGCACTTCCAGGTCCTCAATCTTGGCAATTGCCCACGACGATGCCACCGCTTCTTGCACGCACCAGCAACGGCTGAAATATTGACGTTCAAAGATCTCAACCAGGTGAACCATGCATGTCTCGGGCAGGTCGTCGACCATGCTGCTTCTTAGATCCTGAACGGCGACGGGGTTCGAGTTGCCCACCGTTCGGTCCAGTAGCCGCGGTATGAGTGTGTACTTTGATCCTCGCGAGCCGTTCCGCGGCCTGGAATGTTTCTTGGGCTCCGGCAGTCTTAAGGCCGAGCCAGCCATTGACGCGAGCAGCGTCTTTGTACGCCAGCGTCATGTGCTGTACCTGCCGAGCACGCTTGTCCAGGTCGGACTGGTCTATACAGAGCGCATCCACCCACAGCCTGCGGACCTGAGTCGGCAAGCGCAGAGAGCGCAGAGAGCGCAGAGCGGCTTCCAAGTTTGGCTTCATGGGTAAGGGAAAGCCTTGCATCCAGATGCAATCCTTCGGCTGTTCCGTCGGTTCCCCCCACGTGTAAGACAAAGCCTCGTAAGGAGGCACATTCTCAATGTCGACAATTTGTAGATGCGCTTCCCAAGGATATTCTCCCGAGCCTGAGTACAGGAACAGGAGCCGCGTGAACGACAGTGTGCGACCCTCTTCAGCGATCGGTGGCAGATATTGAGATCGATGTGCGCAATTCCGTTCCATTGCGTCTGTCTCTGTAACGGGCAATGCCCTTGAATTCAGGCTTGAATATCAGCCCGCGGTTTGCTGCGGCATTGTTAGCTGCCAAGTCGTAGATAACTTGCCAAATATCGACAATGCCGTCACGTGTGATATTCTGGTTCGAAAGCCTCCTCACAGAATCGGACACAATTCGTTCGGCTCAGCAGGTGTCACGATGGAACGTGACAATCAACTGAAGGCCAGACCCCAGCCGCTCGCGCTAGTAAGGCGCATACTAGGGAGCCAAGAAGACACGGGATGGTGTGAAGCTATTGCTAATTATGCGGTGGTACCTTAGTAGGGTTGTTGATACAGTATGCCATCGTTTTCTGGCCGTGTGGATACTGGAAAGTCTGCCGGAACGCCCCTTTTGCTGGCCGTAACGTGCCATCAAACTCCTAGCTCTTTGAAAGCCTTCTCCTCATCCGATTTCGGGGTATCATTACAGCAAAAAGAAGAGTTACAGTGTCATATGCAGCCAGTGACACCCTAATGCCCTCGCCCATAGGGGAACGTACTCGGCCTGGCCGGTCAAGGCTGAGTCTTTGTCGAGTGTCAACATCGAAGATCGTCCAGCATGTGGGCTAAAAAGTAGATTCCAGCTGCGCCTCATCGGATCTCAGGTTCCTTCATGAAATCCGGAACGGACAGGCCAGCCTCGAGTACGGAGAGATCCCACGGGTCCGCGGGTCCCTCGTCTAATTCCTCACTCACAGCTCGCTTTATTATCTTTTGTCAGTCACGCGCTTGCCACATAATATGAAAAGGTTGACTTACCCGATTCGAGATATCCGTGTCCATACTAGGGACATCGGTGTCCGCCGCGTAGATCTTGATAGAACGGAGGTGCGTATCCTTGCCGTTCTGATGATTCTCAAGTATCTGCATTTGGAACACGTAGGAAACCAGCGTGTTGCCGTCGGGGCCGCCGCCAGCGCCATCGACCGGAACGATTTGCCACCCAGAGGGTGTCGAGAGTTCCATCGTCGCAAATTGAATGAGATTGTTCTCACTAGTACCGGACTTGAAGATCATCTTGGTAGGTGTGTAGGATTCGTCTTCATTGTAGTCTACGTAGAAACGGATATCCCTGATGCCGACTCGCTTGATGAAGTAGACTGTCAGCTTGTGCGGCTGAGGACCATCGGATCTATCTTAGTATTAGCATTGGCGAGCTTTTTTTGGCTTGTTTGATCAGGTGGACGCACTGCCAGTAGGTCTTCAAGCTGTCGTTGCGAAGCTGCTCGACGCCGTTCCCCTGCTTGTGGCTGCTGACGGTGAATTTCCCCAGATTTGAAATCTCCTTCAGACCGACGGCGAGAGGGTCGAATTCAGGCTCATCTTGGTGGTCCCCGACTTGTTCGCCGTTCTCTCCGTCCTCAACGCTAGTGTCGGTGCCGGAAATCTCGCCCAGGTCATCGAGTGGCATGCTGATACCCTCCTCGTCAGAATAATCCGGAATGGGCTGGCTTCGTAGGTACTCTTCCATGTTGGCGCCAGCTCTCATGGCCTCCCAGTCAACGCGTTGCGGGGGGAATGCCTCGCCGTCATCAGAATCCTCTGCGTCTGGATGCGAGCCACCTAAGGGGGAAATGAGTCAGTAATGTGGTGATAATAAACTAGGAGTGAAACGGTCAAGATCCAAGATTGGATTGCTACTTGTAAACCGTCTGAAGTCGATGGCCGGGGCCAGAACATGGACCAGGCGGGTGCCAATGTCATGCGGCCCCCTGGTCTAATCTCCCGAATTGGGCGTCTGCTCGACTGCGAGAAACATAAAAAGACTGCCTTTTCGCCGTTCAACAACGGTTTTGTGCAAACAGTGCAAACCCCATGGAGCAATGAAAGCCAGACGAGGCTTGCGCGGTAAGATGCAATGAAGAGCTTACAATCCTCATCGAACGCTGGTAGTGACGACCACCCTCCATAGAAAGACCACCCCTGTCAGACGCATGCAACCCCAAGCTACATCGATCAAAAGATGAAGTGAATTACCTACCGTTAGGACCGAGGGCTCTCGTCGCTCGGCGGTCGTAGTAGTCGCCCGTCCACTGCCCTCCATCTTCAGCATCGAGATCGAGTCCATTCTGTGTGAGCTGCTCGGAGCTCCGCAGGTCAGGCCGCGGGCGGCCGCCATGAAAGTTGCCCCGCCTTTGGTCGTCCATTTCCGTTCATCAGCTCAAGTTTAGCATGGATTTCTGAGACGGCGGCCGAGGCGTTTTCGTGGGGGAGCAGCATGGTGATGCTGCTGTTGTTGCTGCGTTCACGGCTGTAAATCACGTGGGTCCACCGAGGTTTGTCACGTGTTCGCTTATCGGTGTAAGCTCCCTCACCGGCTCACCGACAACCCTATCGTCGCGTATGGTTTGCCAGCGAATATTATGCCAAGAGTGAGGTATGCAGACCGGACCAATGTTCAGTACTTTTTTCTTGACTTTTTTCTTTAGGCTTCAATGTGGCTTGAAACACATGCAAAGCATATTTGTCGATGGTGAGAGACTCAGAATTGTCAGGCGACCTCATCCCCGATTGCAACATACTTGTCAAAGACATTTGTGTAGTTTCGTGAGGGGTCACCCAACTAGATGGAATTGTAGTACTTTCACAGGAGCACTCCACGCGATTGGTGGTAGTTGTCTCGGCTCTAGAGCCTGCATTTCAGCTGAAAACCTCGTTTGCTTTTTGCATGGTCTAGACTCAACGTTACCCCGACTCCGTGGAAGCAATCTACTCGATGGCCCCCTCTGACGGAAACCCTCCTTCCACATTAGAACTAAAGTATTGAAAAGACTAATGCATCGGAAAGCCTCAGTGTATCTTCAAGTTGTCCTATGTAAGCGCCCGCACCAGGACCTGGCCGAGTACTTTTGCACAGCTCGCCCAAGTGACCTTCCACGGGCTGAACCAACCAGTGGCGAGATTGTCGTCTCACTTGAGGAACATAGATGGGAGTCTACGTTGGTCCAGATTTCTGCAATGTAATTTTTTGATCCTGATCGCTGCAGTGACAAGACGCATGTCCTAAAGGTTAACCGGTGACCATGTCCCTAAGGGCTACTTTCTCGTCGGCTAGCTACCGCCCCTCACCATTGTTCTGTATTGAAACGATACAGACATGCCTGAGACCATGAGTGGCGGTACTTTCAAACGGTGACGATCTCCCTTGGACCGAGTATCATCCTTCGCGATGGTCACTAGCAAGCTATAGGAAGTTTGGGTCCAGTGGCTTGCATTCGAGACCCTGATATTCCACTTGGATTGGACCTTGAACACTCAACGTCGCTATATGTAATGCTCTGCCGTGAGTCATCAGCCTTGAAACTTGTGTATAAAACGCCAGACGCATTCTGTCAAGAGAACAAGTGAAATCTCGAAGCAAGCAACACAACTGAGTCTCATCTTCTTACTCGTCCACATCTAATCAGCATCGGCGATGAAGGTCTCCGCACTCGTCTCAGCTCTTTTCGTCTCCGGCGCTCTGGCAGCTATAGGCGGCTATTGTCACGACAGTAAGGTTTGTTCAATCCTTTAATGAACACACATGAGGCATCTGCTAATGCTCATTGATCTTGGCTAGGGTAACTACGGAACTTGCCAGAAGACCTCCAAGTGTAGCTCTCTCAACGGCTACACCAAGACCGGGCTCTGCCCTAATGACCCGGCCGATGTGAAGTGTTGCTTCTACCCGGACTGCAATAGCAATGGGTTTTGCCAGAAGGATACTCTCTCTTGCAGTGGCTCATACTCCACGTGGGCTCTCCTTACCCAAGCATTCATCTAATCAACCCAGAACCTCATGGCTGATTATTTCATAACGCAGTGGTGATTGTCCTGGTCCCTCTAGCTACCGTGTAAGTACTCATCCTTCTCTTATTCGACTTCATGCTGACATTGAACAGTGCTGCAACGTCAGGAAGCCGCCTATCTGCAGCAGAAGCGACAGGACTCGTCGCTGCATTCCCCTCTGAGTATGGTACGAATTGGCCTGGATGCTTCCGGCTTCTAACGTGAAGGGTAACGTGCTCGAAGGAGAGAGACAATTGCTTGCCACTCAGCTTGGATTGTTCATCATCATCCTTAGACACGTACGAGAGACATCGCCATGTGTAGAGCAAGGTACAAATGAGGAAGACACTGGTTGGAGGACAGATCACATTCGACGAGGTAAGAACAGAAGTCAAGTTCAACAAGCAATTACATTGCACTTTTCCTGCCAGTAAAAGAGAAACTATGCCCATCCAATGATCAGACCATAAAAACCCCCCAGGTCCATCCCAAAACGCCGGCCAGAGAGATCAAGGTATCATACAGCGCATTGAACAATATGTTTATGCACATGAGGCCCAAGTGCCGTCTATGAATAAGAAATACGACGCCGCTTGGCTTCCTAAGCACCAAGGGAGCTGCGCTTCTTCTTCAGCTTCTTTTCCTTCTTGGGCGTCTCATCGTCTTCGTGCTTGCGCTTCTTCTTGCTGCTGTCGGTAGCCTTGACGGGTGTCTCGTCGGCCTCGTCCTCACCCTTCTTGAGCTTCTTCAGCTCCTTTTTGCTGAAGACGACGGGCGTGCCGTCCTCACCAAGCTGGACGTCACCGCGCTCGAACTTGCGCTTGAACTTGGAAACGCTGATGCCAGCAGCCTCGGCGAAACGCTCGTAATCCTTTTCACTCAGCTTCGCCGGTGTGCCCTTGACAGCCTTGCTCTCCTTGACGGGAGTCTCAGCCGCAGCGATGGAGACGCGCTTCTTGTCCTTCTTTTCTTTCTTCTCCTTCTTCTTGTCCTTTTTGCTCTTCTTCTCTTCTTCGCTGGCATCGTTCATCTCCTCATCCTCGTCTTCGCTGTCGGCGTCCTCCATCTCCTCGTCGACGACCTGGATGAGCTTCTTGGACTTCTTCTCGGACTTGCCGTTGACCTCGGTGTCTTCAACACCATCGGCGTCGGCGTTGTACTTGCGGGACTCCTTCAGGTTGAAGCCACCGGGGGTGGTGAGCTGTCCGTCGGGACCCACACCTACACCCTTGGGTAGGAGGGGCTTACCCTCCAGCTTGCGGAGGAGGTTCTCGAGCTTGATGCGGCTGGTCAGGCCGAGCAAGGCGCGCTCCTCCTCATCGTCCTGGTTCTCGGTATCGCCGAGAGCGTCAACACGCAGACCGAGGGCAGTCTTGGCGGCGAGAGAACGGGCAATCTTTCCTTTGTTCTTGCCAGTGGCCTGGCCAACGAGGGAGGAGTGGTAGATGATACCGTACTTGGGTGTGTCGTGCTTGGTCTTGAGGGCACGGAAGAGCGCCTTCTCGGCACCGTAGATCTGGATGGTGGAAGAGGGGGCCTTGGCGAGGGAAATGAGGGAACCAGCGTGGGCGATCAGGCGGGCACCGACGAGGTAGCCAACAAGAGCGGTCAAGTTGGGGGCGAGAGCGCGCATGCGGGTCTCCAAGTAAGTGGAGAGGGAAGTACGGTACTCGGAGTACTGAATGACCTGCTGAGCCAACAACTGAATGTTCTCCAAATCTTCAGGGGTCATCTCAGTTCCCATGGAAATCTCTGCGGCAGTCTTGACGGGGCCCTCAAGCTCTTCGGGGAGAATGTCGGAAAGATCGGACTCGGCGAAATCCTGACGCATGCCAACAGCAACAACAAGACGGGCGTAAACCAGGTTGTCGTTGAGGATTTTGGCAAGCTCGGGGAAGTGCCAGCCGTACCATTCCTTGGTGCGCATGGCGTAGACGTTCAACTCCTTGTCAAGATCGTCCACCAACTTGATTGCCTGTACAACCATCGCGTCGACCTTGTCGGCGGAGAACTTGAGCTTGTGTCGCGAGATTGAGTGCGACAGACCAAGGGCCATACGGTCCATGGTCTCAGTGCTGAGGCCGGGAATCAGGGAAGAAAGGTTCTCGCGAACGGCACGGAACAGGTCCTGGGAGGCGGCATCGGAGACGGCCTTGATATCCAAGTCGGGGAGCTTGCCAATGGCAGTACCGAGCTTCAGATCGGCAACGGCCAGGGTGGCCTTCTTCTCGTCCTTGATCTCCTTGAGCAGGTTGGCGAGCATTGGCGGGACACGACCCTCCTTGAGACCAGCGGCTTCCTCGACGGCGACGGCGGAGCTATCGAACTTGACGAAAGACTTCAACTTGAGCCTTTGCGACAGTCAGCCTCAACTGTACTCGAACACAGCGGTCTAATCGCGGCCGTAATTACGGGTTTGCCTGCACGCGTGCGCGCTGTTGCGTGGTGCTCGCGGGGAATTGGCCGCGATTGCTGACTGTAGGAGTGCGACTTACATCTGGTTGATCTGCTCCGAAGACGTCGGTCCAGTAGTGAGCTCATCGCGCTTGAGAAGCTTCTTGTCGGCAGCCTTGAACAGACCATAGCTATTTTTCGTGTTAGCCTCTCCCAATTGCTGGCACAGTTTTTTTCCCTTCTTTTTTAAATGAACAACTTACCCTGCCGGCGTTTCGGCGAGAACGAAGAGAGACATTTTGAAATCTGCCGATGCTCTTCAAATCTGGCCAAATTGGTCCCTCGGGTTAAATCCTCCGCGCGTGGGTGTAAATGTTGTTGTCGGCGGAGGCAGGTTTGCAGAGAGCGGATTGATGGTTTGGAAATATTTTTTTTCTAAACCAAGCCAAGCTCCACCAATTTTTTTTCGATGGCTGCAGAGCCTTTGGCGGGCCCCCCACACACACCAATTGGCAAGTGGGATGGCCCGGAGCGCGTAAAATCTGTTTTGCCGAGAAAAGCCGCCTCTTGAGGTCTGTGCGCAGCCGCAACTCGTAATACTGGGTGGACTTGGTTGGCCTCGCTGGGACCTTGGAGCTGCTGTGCAGTGATTTGGTTTGGCAGAGTACCTAAGAGCGTCCACAAGTCAACGACCACAGCTGTCTCCGTTTGCGCCTCCACCAGACCGGCGTCACCACTCCAGCCGCTTCGAATCGAACAACCCACAACACAGCCAAGATGGAGGGTCTTTTCTTCAACGTCAACAGTGGGTGAGTGTTGGAGTTATGATGCGTGGCATGGTACACGACTGTGGCTAACATGACGCAGCTACATTGAGGGCATCGTTCGTGGCTACAGAAACGGCCTTCTTACCGGCTCCAACTATGCCAATCTGACGCAGTGCGAGACCATCGATGGTGAGTATCTCTATGTGCTCCGGCGTGATGCATGTCTAACTCGGCCCCAGATCTCAAGCTGCAACTCGGTCCTGCCTACGGCGACTTCCTCGGCAACCTCCCTCCCAACCCTTCGACGTCAGCTCTCGCCGCGAAGACGACCGACAAGCTTGTCTCCGAATTCCGCTATGTTCGCGCCAACGCCGTCGGCTCTCTTGCCCAGTTCATGGACTATCTCACCTACGGTTATATGATTGACAACGTCGCCTTGCTGATTACCGGCACCCTCCACGAACGAGATACCCGCGAGCTTCTTGAGAGATGCCACCCCCTCGGCTGGTTCGAGACGATGCCAGTACTCTGCGTCGCGACGAATATCGAGGAGTTATACAACAGCGTTTTGATTGAGACGCCCCTTGCCGCCTACTTCAAGGGCAGTCTTAGCCACCAGGATCTTGACGAGCTCAACATCGAGATTGTCCGAAACACGTTGTACAAGAACTACTTGGAAGACTTCCACAACTTTGTCAACACCCACCCTGATATGGCAGGCTCGCCAACAGCTGAGGTCATGTCAGAAATCCTGGAGTTCGAGGCCGACCGCCGCGCGATCAACATTACCCTCAACTCTTTCGGCACGGAGCTTAACAAGAATGACCGCAAGAAGCTGTACCCCAGCTTTGGTAAACTGTACCCGGAGGGAACCTTGATGCTTTCTAGGGCGGAAGACTTTGAGGGTGTCCGTCTTGCGGTTGACGGAGTGGGTGACTACAAGAGCTTCTTCGAGGCAGCGGGCCTCGGCGGCGGTCCCTCTGGCCCGGGTAACCAGGGCGGCGGTGGCTCAAGCTCCGACGGCAAGAGCCTTGAGGATATGTTTTACCAAAAGGAGATGGAGATTTCCAAGAGCGCATTCACTCAGCAGTTCACCTTTGCTATCGTGTATGCGTGGGTGAGACTCCGTGAACAGGTAAGAGTGGAAGTGCTTGAATATGACAAAAATGAAGCTAACGATGAATAGGAAATCCGCAACATCACCTGGATCGCCGAGTGCATAGCTCAGAACCAGAAAGACCGGATTGGCAACTACATCAGCGTGTTCTGAGTTTCATGTTTTGCAGTCCTGTTCTGTTAGTTTTGTAGAATACCAGTTTCATCTTTTAATGGCAGGTCACAATGGCGCAAGGAGGTAGCTCAGTTTCATGACGTGGAGATCAGCATCTTTACCGATCGCTATAGTGTACATAGAGGACAATTACAAGTCTGAGTTTTACACGTGTCTACTTCATCCTGCACCTGGCTCGCCTAGAAGCTGATCTGCTCCTGGTAGGTCGCCGGTGACAGGCCCAGCTTCTCGAGCAGGTGCGTCCATCGCCCACTTCCTCTCTCGCTGCGCTCCATGTACTTGAGAAGCTTCTGCCGCCTGTGGCACAGGACTCTCAAGTTCCTCTTATTGTGCTTATCCTTGTACCCACGGTTCTGTGAGAGCTCATACGAAAGCTTCCTGATCTTGGCGGTCAGGATGGCAATCTGCACCTCTGAGCTGCCAGTATCGGGGCCACCTCTGATTGGCGCCTCAGGGGCATTGGGGTCCATGAGAGCAGACTTTGGCTTCTGCGTCAGAAACTTGTCGGTGTTGTGTCGCCCAAACTCTTGGACGCATCTCTTGATGTTGGTGTGGAGAAGGATCTTGGAGTTGGCATTGTCCATCGAGAGGATGCGCTGCAGAGCCTCGACTGCCTTAGCGTGGTTCAACTCGTGCTTCTTGTCGGCCAGTGCCTCAATAGCAGGGTCTGCCAGCTCCCTGATTTCCGACTTTACGGGTTTCGTCAGAATGTAGGCCTTTTCTATCACTTTTTTGAGTTCACCCTCGTCAACAAGATGGTTGAGAAGCCCCGGCGAAGTGGGGAGCGGGCGAGGGTCGGCGATGATGTTTCCATTGTCGTCCTTGACGGGCTTCGTTGTGGGCGCCTGGCCGGCTGAGTCGAACGACTCGACGAAAGGAGTCGGGATGCCGTGGATAGGGTCGCCCCAGTTTGCATCCTTTTCTGCCTGGATCTCGCTCTGTCTCTTCTGGTTGGCAGCCTTTCGCTGCTGCGCCTGTTGATGTCTGTACGGGTCCTGCTTCGCCTTGCGCTTCTTCTCGCGCTGGGAGAGGTTCGCGGTCTGGATGACGGGGAGGAAGCTCGGGGTCGTTCTAGCAGCTGGGCGTAGGCACACTATCTCGATCAATTAGCCTTTTAATTGCTTTTCACATTCCTTGCGGCACATTTGAAGCTCACAGCTAGCTGTGCCTAGCCGTTGGAGGCTCTGTAATCTGGGAGGCATGGCGGCAGTAGTTCCCCTTCAACACGATCACCAACAGTAAGAGCCATAAAATTTCCCAGACGTTGGTCCCATATCTGGACTGCTGCACTCCATTGGCACCGGCCCGTCCGTCCTCCGCCGCGCAACCCCTGGAAGCGGGTACGCCGCCAGAGGAGGACTAGCGGTTTTCTGTATCACGTGATCTCTGGACTTGCGAGGTACGTACTCTGCCGGAACCTCAAAGGCGCTTGGTCCACAAGGGCCTAGCGAGGGCTTTGCCAGAGACATGAGCTGCCCACCCACCCACGAATTCGAGACGCACAACTGGGCGAACTTTTTCCGAGGATCGCGAAATCTCGACTTTCTTTTCTTTCCGCACCACCACCGCTCGACACCGTCTCCCCGTGGAAGAAAGACCGAAATCGCCCAAGATGGCTCCCGCTAACCTGCCCTCGATCTTCAATGCCACTTCCCAGGACATTGAGATGCTGCTTGCAGCTCAAGCCCACCTGGGAAGCAAGAACCTCCAGGTTCACATGGAGCCCTACCTGTGGAAGACCCGTGCCGACGGTGTCAACGTGATCAACGTTGGCAAGACCTGGTAAGCAAAGAAAGCGCCGCGATGGAGTTGTATATGTGGAAATCTTGAATAAAGGATCCCGAGAAGACTCCTTGCGCTCTCAATTTGCGCCAGCGCAAAACCCGCTGACTTTTTGCGCTTGTTTAGGGAGAAGATTGTCCTCGCTGCCCGCATCATCGCCGCCGTCGACAACCCGGCCGACATTTGCGTTATCTCTGCCCGTCCCTACGGCCAGCGCGCTGTCCTCAAGTTCGCCGCCCACACCGGCGCTGTCGCCATTGCCGGTCGCTTCACCCCCGGTTCCTTCACCAACTACATCACCCGCTCTTTCAAGGAGCCCCGCCTGATTATCGTCACCGACCCCCGTACCGATGCCCAGGCCATCAAGGAGGCTTCCTACGTCAACATCCCCGTCATCGCCCTCTGCGACACCGACTCCCCCACCGAGTACGTCGACGTTGCCATCCCCACCAACAACAAGGGTCGTCACTCCATCGGTCTCGTCTGGTGGATGCTCGCCCGTGAGGTCCTCCGCCTCCGCGGCACCATCTACAACCGCGAGACCCCCTGGGACACCATGGTCGATCTGTACTTCTGTATGTGGAATCCGCCCCATTGTAGCGCGTATGGAATCATTGAAGACTAATCCGCGCAACAGACCGCGACCCCGAGGCTGAGGCCGAGGAGAAGGTCGAGGAGGAGAAGCTCCCCGGCGTTGAGGAGGAGGGTGTTGCCGCCATCGAGTCCGGCTTCCCCGCCACCGGCGACTGGGACGCCCAGGCTCCCGGCTTCACTGGTGCCCAGGCCGGTGCTAACTGGGACGGTGCTGGTGATGAGTGGGCTGCTGCTGGCGCCGCTCCCACCGGTGACTGGGCCGCTGCCGGCGACGCTGCCGCCGCCGCTGCCGCCCCCAAGGAGTCCTCCTGGTAAACTCCTTCCCGCAATTCACGTGTCGGCATGAGACACAACACAAGAGGATCCCCAAAACATAACCTATAACGCACCGGTCATCGAAGCACGGTGTGAGATATCCACAAAACGGCGGAACAGCAAATGGTCATGGAATGGTAGATCAAAACTCTGGCGGAGTTTTATTCTTTTATGATCGCTGGTAGCAATCTTGGGGGCAAAAAGGAAAGGGTCAACTTGGTCTGCACTAATGAGGGAAAGATACTCGAACCAAAAAACATTGTGAAATAGTCGGCAAACCACCAATTGTTTGTGCATGTCGTTTTGGGGAGAGGGAAAGCCCTGTGTGGCCAAAAGGGGTGGACTTAATCGTTATCCCGCCCTTCTTGCTGCCTTTCGTTGAAAGCTTCTGGTCGAAAAAATTATGAAATGTTTGAGGACTCGGAAGAAAGGTGTACAGACTTTGCTTCGAAATACCACAACCCCGTTGGTCTCTCAATTGCGACTTGCCCCGTGTCTTGGTGTGGTGACTTGGTGTTACTCACTGCCGTTCCTTTCCCCCCTGACCAAGTGGCATACGCCGTGTTCGTTCACTACCCCTTGAGGCATCATCTTCAAAGGGATGGCCGTACATTTCTATTATAGTCGTATTTTTGTCGTTCGTCGTACTCGTGGGTATTATCTTGTTAGATCTTATCCGCCCGTTGCTGTCGTTGTCGTACTCTTCCTAGGCTCACGCACCGTCCTCATCTGACGAGAAGAGCGAGGACATGGAGCGAGTCAAGGACAGCATCGACGTGCTGTTGGTCAAGATGCGGCAGGCCTTTGTGAGGTCGAGTGGCACGCCTGTATAGGTTTATGCGGCCCCAAGAAGGGCGTTGATGTAGGCATCGTCGTCAGGGTACTGGCTATATCCTACCCCGCTCCCGCGCCCGCGAAGGAACCCATCAGGTTCTCATTCTCCTGCCCCGAGTCCAGTGCTCGAAATCTAGGAGAGTCGGCCAGCTGTGGTGCTCGGTATCAATTTCCTCTGCAGTATTTCCCTGGTCCGAAGTGTCCAGGCAGGTCCTATCTTTAGTCTATCTTTCAAGTCAAACCGGGGCATCCCCAGTCATCAGTCATCTTAATCAAGAGAACAGGCCAACCTTCATAACATCCCATTTCCAACATCCAGCCGCTGGCTCAATCGCGCTTTCAATATTAACTTCTCTCAGTTGAGAGCCTTTTTGCAACATAACCTGAAGTAGGATCAGACACTCACTCTCGCAGCCAAAGAGACCTCAACTTCTTCTCCAACTTCCTCCCTCTCAGATCCAAAAATTTTACCGCTGTCTTGCGAATATGGCGCTTCGCCTCGCCGGGGGACTTGCCGCTCATGATACACCGGATTCTCTCTTTCGGGGAAGACCCGGAGAAGACGCCGTCTCACCAGCCTCCCCGGGACATGATCTCAAGAGGTACACTGCGTTACAAAACACCCTGAAACCCCCAGCACCGCTGTCGACTTTGGGCCCAATCTCCTCCCCTCGCCCTTTTAGAGCACGACGGAGCTGAAAGATTGCTTTCAGTGCCGCAGAACTAACCCGCTCGGTTGATTGGAATGCTCTCTTCGAACATGTGCTGAGTTGTACCCTGCCCGTGAAACCAATGCGTAGATGCCTTCTTAATACGGTTGGTAGCAAATTCGCGAGTCCCCCGGATGCAGGGTCGGCGATTGAAGGAATGATCTCAGTAGAGAGAAATATGGTGACGTCTTTGTTAGCATTTCTGAAAGTTAATTGAAGTTGCAAAACTCCTTCGGGAAATAGAGGAAGTAGTAGAGTGACCGTCCTACCGGTCTTGACCATCCTCACTGAAGGTAGGTATATCATAGATCTGCAGCAAGTGGCAACCTCTGCCTACCTATGGCAAGGTATTTTTGAGTTCCGTCGGTCATTCATCGTTTTCATGTGCTATGCAGGAAGTAAAATGCAACCTTCATTCCATAGGCTCTTCAAACACTTGCATAGTTATCATGTCATGGCAAGGGGGGATGCACCAGGTTCTGAAAAATCTCAAATGTTTGTTTGAATGAGTAGTCTCCTCGAGTCGAATTCCAACATGCATAAGGGGTATTGAGCTTTGCTCGAGAAACCTCGAGCCCGGGACACCCAAGTTGTCCTTTCTCTTCCAGTGTAAAAGAAACCCTTGTCCCCCCTCCCTCAACTCCCTGTGTAAGTCGATATGGTCGCTCGCTCGCTTCAATGACGCAAAGTAAGGGGTATAGACCACCGCTTTCTATGTGCAATGCTGGGCCATCCTCAGCCTAATCTGCGTTCCTCTGCCCCATCCCCCTCCGGTTGCTGAGCCTTGGATGCTCTAATGATCTCATGATGGAATTATCAATACAGGGTATATGGCCACTGCTTCGAAACCAAGACAGGGCATTGTGGGAAACGACGATAGTTGAAAGGAGCTGCTCGTCACGTATGATGATGTGAGAGGAAGGAAACGTGAACGTGAGCGAAGTTCGTGTGTAGGGCACACGTATAAATGCAGGGGTATCTTTCGAGGGTGACGAAACCCTCAGCGGTCGTGCTGTCTTTCGTCAGGGGTTTGTTTATTCGTTTATTACGATTTGTCTTGCAGGAAGCCAATAAATTGGCCTACTCCAGACGATGAGAGTGCTTGCGAATCTCCTCGTCGCTCAGAGCGCTCATCCATAGGCATCTCTCGGTAATACCCTCGACCGGTTGGAATTGGTAGAGTGTGCTAGACTCGAGCAGCCTTAGCAGTGTCTTGACAATAGTCGCGGCGTACCTGCACCTCTCAAAGTTGACCAGCGGTGCAGTGGTCGGGGAGCTGGCAATCTCGGAGGGTCGCTGGGCGTTGAAGAGAAGGTCGTGAGTGTAAATGCCTACAAATGGAATGCAGCCTGTATCGGAGCCAACCTCCATCTCTGCACGCAAGTTGTAAAAGTTGCGCGTAGGGGAGATAAGAGTTTCCAAGTCGCGTAAAGTCTTCATATCGTAAGGCGGCACCATGGCCCAGGTGTTTGTGAGTCGAGATATCTCCATCGAAGTCAGGGCGATGGCGATCTGACTCATGGTCGCAAAGTTGCGATATCGGCGGCAGTGAGCAGCAATGTGAATATACTTGATGATGCACCGTGCTCTCTCTTCAATGTTTTGGGTCAACACGATCTCGCTGCATGCCCACTTCACCATGATGTTGAAGCGTGCAATGACAACTTCAACGCCATGAGCGTCCGTATTGCGGAGGAAGTCAACCCATGATCGAGAGTCATTGTTGGTTGCGTTCTTCCAGCCCATGTCGATGAGTTCCTTCCAGTCAATCTCATTGAGAGCATCCTTTTCGATCAGCGTGAACTGCTGCGCCAGAATCTCCGAGTCAAACGCAAGCGTGAACGGCAAGTGGACAGAGAATCTCGAGGATTCCCTCTCACGTTCAGAATACTTTGGTTGCCCACGCAATGCTTCCCTGGTGCCGGTGGGATCCAATGGTGAGCTGGGCAAATTAACAGCCCCAGGAGTGGTGTCGGGAGTTGGTGGTAGGGGCTTTTGCTGATACACCTGGTGTTCGTGAAGCTCTGGAACCATGACTGCCTCAGGCGACATCTGAAGAGCCTGGACAAGCGTCATTGGCGGCGACGGAGGTTCTCGGCTGTCTGAAGGGCCGATGGCTGACTCTCTCAAGGGGCGAGGATCGAACTCCAAAATGGATGCACTGCGGTGCGCATTGCGGTCCGGAAGAGGCTGTGTCTGGTTCATGGCAAACTCTTCGGGCTCGACCATCTCTACTGATAGCTCGGATGAGAGGTCGGAACTAAGGTCTTCTCCATCACTATCGTCGTCCAAGAATGACTGCTCACTAGGTGGGGAGTCACCCAGCTTGATCTTTTCCAGGCTTTCTGTCTTTCGGATAAACTCGTAGGAAGATGTGTGAGACGATCCTTCATACATCGGTCGTGGAGTCACTGCTGATGATAAATCTTCCTCCGGGTCTTGAAGAACAGACATGTTGGTCCACTCACGGGCGAACGCTTTGCTCTGCCCATCATCTGCCAAGCCACGTTCAAGAAGTGGGATGGAGCAGTACGACCCTGCCGAGTTATCTGACAAGAACGAACTAGCTTCGGTTTGGGGTCTGTCGGGGACGTCGAGGAAACTGGAACGGGGCTCCGATCCCTCGGTTTGTTGGACCACTACGGCGTCCACAGGGAGGACATGCAAGTGACGATGTCCCCTCTTGCCCTGCTTTTGAGCCTCGGGCTCCCCTTCGAGATCCGTTACAGCGTCTGGAACATAGAGGGGAGCATTTGTGGGCTCCATGGACAATTTGAAAGACTTCTTTTCATACTTTCCTTCCAATTTGGCCAACGCCGATTCTACTCCGCCGTCGTCTTCATCGTCAGGGATTTGTGCCAGCTTCTGCGCCTCAGCTTCGAATGAAGGACGCATGATGGGTTTGGACGAGTGCGTGCTGAAGAGCGACAGTTGTCGTTTTGCCGATGGCTCTGCCATTGCGCCGAGGGAAAAGTTATCTGCTTCTCCCCGGTGGGAGAACTCGCTCGAAACGACGTCTACAAAAGCGCTGGAATCATGCCTGGGGCTCTGCAAATAGGAACTTCGCATGGATTCCGAATAAGTTGTGAGGGAGCCGGCTGACCGCGACTTACGCAGAGGTAGAGCGTCCCCGTCACCCACGTTGTTGATTGCCCGTAAGTCTCCCCCTGGCCGCCGTCTCAAGATCCGAAGAGGCTCAGGTACGGGGCTCGGCTCATCCCCATCAGTCACGGAGCCTTCAGTATATGTGGTCGCGTCGAAGCTCTTGACGGTTGATCGCGGGTTGAAGGTACTTTCAAATGAGGCAGTCCGCCGGTGAATCGCAGCCGAATCGAGGGATCTGTTCGTCCTGCTTGACTTTTGCCGGGTGTGATTCATCGTTGACCTGATCAGGGTTGGACGGCTGGAAGCGGGCCCGTTGAACTCAGATAAAGGACGATCGGTATCCATAGAAGGACGGGCGCTTGGGCCATTGCCCAGAGTTGTCAAGTCAGGCACGAAGGGAGGCAAGGGATCTACCGAAATGGAAGGTCTGACAACATGTTGGTTGAGCAAGTAAGACGACCGTCGAGGTGTGCCCATCGCATGGCCCGGAGGCGTGTTTGGTGGTGTTGGATCCGCACCGGGTGGCAGAAACGTGTCGGCAAAGGCTTCCACGGACTCAGTGGCGGGTAACGCTCCATGCATTGCTGGCAAGGAGAACTGGAGTGTATCGTCGACAATGACAATAGACTTGCTGCCGGTTGTGATAGCCATGTCGCTGACGGGTCTCAGCACATCATCCTCCGGGATGCTTCCGAAAGAAGAAACTATGTGAGCCCCTGAATAATCGAGATCTTGTTCGGATACTGCCCTGTGTAGAGCAGCAGCGGTGGGATCTAAATGCCCGCGTCTTGCGGCTTCGTCCGCAGCATCTGCAGCGGCATCTTCTCGGACAGCCTTCTTGAAGTCCTCCACGACCTCCGCACCGAGAAGGTCTATGCGTACAGGAGGACGGATACCGTTTTGTTGCGGCCTAGCTTGAGGGACTATCGCGGTTCCAGGCAATCGATTTGTCGTGGCGCCACGGGGACCTATGGGGGAAATATTAATGAAGTTGCCCTGCGTCGGGGAAACGCCCTGCCCACGGCTGCTCAATGCGCGTCGGACACTGCCGATCAGCTTCTTCATGCCCTGGCCAGACATTGCGGATGCGCTCCTCTGTTCTCCCGGCACTTGGAAGACGGTGGTGTGGCGCTGGAAATCACCGGCAAGGCTAGGCGACATAACCTCGACGTACGGTTGGCCTGGAGGCATCAGATTTCCTCGAACCAGGCTGCCAGCAAAAGGCAGTGACAAAAGAAAGTCGGTGTCCTGAAGACCCGATTTTTCAGTGCTATGCTCCCTTTCTCTGAGCGAGTCCGTCAGGCTGCCGTTTCTCTTATGCCCGTGGCCTGCCCGAACGCGCTTCCCAACAAGAGCGCGTGGAGTCGTTGCCACTGGGCCTGCGCTGGAGTAAACCGAGCTAGCGGGTGCCACTGGGTGAGCACCCAACGTGTAGTTGTTGCCATGTTGAGCTCCTTTCGAGTTCTTACCCGGGAAAGAGCAGGAGATGATGTCCATGCTGGCGATACTCGTAGGTGAAGCCGCCAACCGTCTGTCGATCTCGTGAACATGGTGATTCTCTGGTGTAGCGGGTCTGTCAACAATGGGTTGAGAGTCAGCAATGTGACCCGCGCGGGACACGTCGGCGTAGAAGCTTGTCTGTTCCTTGTCCTCGGGGATTGGCGCAAACAGGCTATCCAGCTGAGGGGCAGCGTCTTCTCTCTCCCAGAAGGATGGATCCAGGCCGGCGTTTCTGTGGCCTGCAATTCCACCTGGAGCTATAGGTATATTTGGACCAAGAGAAGGTTCGAACTCTGGACCATCCCAAAACTGAGCACACACCCGCCGCCAACATTTCTTCAGTTCAGCCAAGATCTTGAGTTGAACCTTGCGACCCCGAGGATCTGTTGACAATTCGTCCACCATGTCGTTCAGGAGGTTGCAAAACGAGACGCGAAGGCCGTATTCGATCACGAAATCGTCCATGAAGTAGTTGAGAATCCAGTGACGCATGGCAACAAAAGTTCGCACTCGGACTACCATTCCGGTCTCATCGTTTCGGCCCAAGGCCCATCGCAGGCGCGCCATCACCATCTTCAGCAGGTCGCCCGACTCGAGAAAGGATCGATACGTGAGGAAAAAGTCGGAGATGAGTTCATAGTCGAGAAAGCATGGAGAGGTGAACTCGGCCACGAGACGAGGCGGGGTGGCGGCTGTCACTGCGCCCGTTGCCGGGGAGTATCGCACTATCGATCTGTCGTCGCATGTCGGTTTGAAGGTGAGGGCATCAAACATGGCTGGTTCGATGACCAGATGGGTCGACATATAGGTTGAGCGGATAGCAGGCAGCCGAGATGTTGCCATGGGAGCGGGACTGAAGGGGTCATTGTGTCTAGCGGGTTCCATGGGCGGCAGGCGTATTTGAGGAATCGAGATGGGACTAGGCTTCTTGGACGCTATTGACGCAGGTATTCTTGGAGTGAGTTCGCCGGTCTGAGACCGATGGAGGAAGGAAACATTACTGGAGCGGGGAAACTCCTCTGTCGGGGCGTAACTCGATCCTCTAAAGAACGGGGTACCTCTGGCGGTGAATCGTGGGTTGCCTAATTTCCAGGTTGGAATCTCAATGTCTAGGAGGGGGATGTGCGGCGCATCCAGATCCTCCGTGGTTTTGGCCCGCCGTTCATCGCCCGGCTTGGAGATGACGATTTTGAAGCCTTCGGCCTCAGAGTCCCTACTCGTGGTGGTGCCGTCGTGGGCTGTCGAGTCAGAGTGAGCCCGTCTGTGTTGAGAGGGTCTCGGGGCATGACCAGAAAAGTAGCGACTGTTCGTCGCCGTTGGGGGGGTGGTAGCCGTTGCAGGCGTTGCAGGAGTTGGTGGCGTAGCGGTCCATTGGCTCAGATGAAGGTCGCTTGCGTCTTTTTGTCTCTGCTTCTCAGTCAAGGCGTCTAGACCGGCCGTCCCAGGAGGCGTTATGGGAAAGACAAAATTTGGCTGTGGATATCTCTGGTTGGCAGGACGAACAGTTGGTCTGTTTATTGTTAGCACGTTTCCGGAAAACCGAGTAAGATTGTGGTGAGGTCTCAGCATTCCTGCCCATATGGAAGAAGGCACTAGATAAACAGTCACCGCATGCAGTCGGGACAGGAACCCACCTCAGATAGATCCGGCCGTTGTTGCCCACGTTGGCAACGGTGAACTGTCGTCCTTCACGTCCGGCAGAGCCTCCATCGGGGGCGATTTCGAATTTGTCATCGGCAGAGCTGTCAGTTCTCATGCGGCGTATCGGGACCTGATTCCTCTCCTCCTCAGATATCCTTTCTGTAGCCGGTAATAATGGTTTTGTTGAAGGCCCTTGTTGGCGCATCTTGTTCGTCCATTTTCCTCCTGACCCAGTAGTGGCACTCTGACCTTCCTTTCCTCCGCTTCCCAGTTTAGGCGGTCTTACTGATCTAGAATCGCGGGCAGCGACTGGGCTTCTGGGACTCAGCGGACTGCGCGGAGTCTGGTCGCGCTGCGGAGAGCGCGCACTGAAGGCGAGTCCATCGGGCGAGGACCGCGATTCGGTGGCCTCCATGGCCGGTGTCGCGAGTGTCCGATTACAGCTGCGGGCAGCGGGTGTTGCTCGCTGCGGTGACTGGGCGCGAAGGCATTCGGTCAGCTTTCTGGCGAGACACAACAAGGTGCAGTCGGACTAGATTGGTGTACGACCCGGGGAGAAGGAATGAGGCTCGGAGCGGGAAGTAGAGTAGTAAAAAAGATAAGAGACACGCTGAGCGGCGCGTTTGTTTGTGTGCCAGGGCCGTAGGGTGAGGTAGATAGACACCAAACAAACTCGGGACGAGGTCATGGACCACTCGAGTGGTGCTATACTCGATTGCGTAAAGGGCCCTCGCGGGTCCGTGAGATCCAGGGACCAGCTCAGCTCACAGGACGGGTCGAGGACTCGAGGTCGACGCTCGGAGGAAAAGGCAAAAAAAGATGGGCTCAGGGTGCTTGTGGGAGTGGGACGTACGTTTTGACGCCATAAAGAAGCAATAGCAAGCGGCGGTGGCGGTGGTGAGGGTGGTAGTGTTTTGCAACCAGGCACCTCACAGTGTTCGCTCAACAGAGACAGAGAGGCAAGCACAAGCGTCCAACGGGCATAGTCCAAGACCAAGATACCGAGAGTCGAGACGTTGTGCGAGAGGAAGTCGATGGCGGGCCGGAGAGACAGAAAGAGTGGAATGCGTGCGCTTCGACGCACAAACAGAAACACGGAACCGAGGTGGTAATTCGCGAATCGCAGGAAGGAGGCCGGAACTCGGAGGCTGCGCTCGTTGTCGTGCAGCGGCCGCTGGTTCGTTTGGTTCTTCTGGTGCCCTGGGATATCGAAGTAGGTAATATCGAGGTCTCGTGGACTCGTGGACGGAAGGAGGAATGAGGAATTTGAGATGGTATATCCGCAAGATACACGCCAGCAAATTGGTGGAGGGAAGGAGGAATGGACGACGGCAGAGAGAGGAAATGCGAGTACCTCGATGTGTATGTACGCAATGCACCATGCGAAGAGAGGCGTGACCGTGTGCCTGTGTGACTGCTGGTTAAGATAATCAAAAAGAAACCAAGGCAGAGTGAGAGGCCAGACCAGGCCAGACTGGCAACCAGCGACCAGCAACTAGCTAGAAAGCGACCAGAGACGACGGGTAGCAAGCAAGACGGGAGCGAGGAACACAACCGGGAAATGGGCAGTCAGTCAAAGTGAGTTGGTGGCCCGTGGGACGGGAGTTGATTGAGCGCAGGCCAGGTACCAGTACGTACTCCCCTGTTCATGTTCCCTCCGTTTGTCTGTCTCTCTGTCAGGAGGGAGATCAGGGACAGGGGACGTGAGGGAGAAAGACAGGGAACCCGGCCGGGCATGGTTGGTCAATTGCATTAGGTACCTAGGTTGTCTTTGCAGTCTACGCTGTACGGATACATCTTGCTGTCTTCTCTGCCTCTCATACCATAAGGTGTTGGTCTACTTGGCATTCAACTGGTCCATCCAGACGTGTTTCAATGAATCATATGAGTTTGGTGTGCTTACACCGTACCTTACCTACCTGGCAATCTTGCGAGGTTCATGGCAACAGGACAATGTTGGACAATGCTGACTGACCACAACCCGAGGTACCTACCTAGAAGATGCAGGAGCAGGAGGTGCGCGTGGTGCGCGTGGTTGCTTGGGTGGCCCAGTGCGCTAATCTCCCTTAGCAGCTACTAAAATACGTGCGTGAGGTACGTATCCTATTGGGCTGATGTGTTTTTGGCAAGAGAACCACCCCACTTTTGGCTATTTCCCAGCGTTGTGGCTGGTCCACCAGCCATCCACCAGTCACTTTCTGTACGTACCTGTCCACATTGAAGTGGGTTCACTGGGTTGAGCAGGGGGTTCAGCAACGAGGGCAACGGGATGGGGCCAGCCACTTGTTGCTGTGTTTTTTTCGCTCGCGACGTACCGCGCGCACGGTTAGAGCCCCGTAGTGCCAGTCTTGTGTTTGCAAGGGGGGCCACCACAGCGATACGTTCCCCGGGGTACATCTTCGTTGTACCCGGCCGAGTGTGAGGTGCAATGGAAAACGCTGCCCTTGTCCTCACGGCGTTACGTCGATGAACCTGCCGACTGACTGCTGCTTCGCCTTCCAATTGACACTCACGATGGCCGATTTGTGCGCTGTAGCATCAACGCCCGTCCTATTGCTTTAAACCTTGATTTTTGCCATTGTCACAGCTGCTGCGGCTGCTGCTGCTCTCCAACACGGATGAGCTTGATGCCGGATCCGAACAAGAGACTATCACTGCACGGAACGGAGACGGGGACTTGATCGACTTGAAATGAGATCAAACCGACCCAATTACCAGCCGAGAGCATCGCAGAGTCACCACAACCGCACCATGTGATGAAATGTAAATCGCCCTACTTTGGCTTCGCCGCTTGCCTGCAAACGTCGGTCGCGGCCAACGCAGCATGTCGAGACAAAAAGAAACGGGACGATGCCCATCACAGCCGCCGCAGCCTACAGGCGTGCAGGCGCATCTTCGCCCTCTCTTCCCTTGCCCCCAGCGTCGATGCAGGGAGCGTTTGCCTTCGACGTGCACCTCAAGCTCCAGCCTCCAACCTCGCAGTGTCCAACCCCAAGGCCTGGTGCACCAAGCTTATTATGGGAATCCGGATGCCCTCTTTGCCGTCATCGCCATGTCACTGCCTGCGTTGCTCGCGCCCTGCGGTTACTGCGTCCGCGCTGACTCTTGAGTATCGATCGACACAACGGCCAACGGCCCATGCTTCGGAATCCTCGTCCCCGGTTGATGTCATTTCCTGCAACCAACCTCCTGGAACCCGCCCGATAGCAGTCCCAGAAGCGACAAAAGGCGGCATCACAAGCGAGGCGGCGAGGGGCAAGACAAGAACGCCAAACCCCAGCACCCTCTCCAACCCCAGCCGGCATCCTGGGATTCGACAACCCATCAGAGAGTTCCCACTTTGCCTCGCGCTTCTGCCCACCTCTTCTTTCCTCTCACGCTTCGCCTAGCATCAGCGCCACGATACATACCGATATGCTGTACCAGTTATCTCCCTGGTCCCTTCTCGCTCGTCTCTGGTGCTTGCCGCGGCCCGTCAGACTGACGTTCTGGGATTCTGGATGTAAACGGGACTGAAACTGAAACGACGCATCCAGGCACCAAGGGCCTTATCCCTCGAACAACTTCACCCATGGAACGTCCGAGTCCCAATTAATTCTCTACATGGCACGGATGCCTTAGAATTGCTTCTCAACCCCACGGCCCTGTGCTTCCATCTCGAACTTCGCCCATCTTCTCGGCCAGGACACCAATGCCGATGACGCTGGTGAATCTTCCAGATAGATTCTCCGTGCCGCGTTCGGCCTTCGAGTCAGCCCAATGTCCATCGTTGCTCTGCACCTGCATCTGCATTTGTTTTCTGCACGCTGCAGCCCGTCGCCAATGGCCACTCGGCCCAATCACCATCCCGTCCGGCCCCTGTCGGTGATGAAAACCCGCTTTGCCGGCTGCAATTGGCGGGATACCTCTGGTGCCTGAGACCGAAGCCTCAGAAGAAGACTTTCAGAACACACCGATTGTCCTCTTTCGGGTGATGTGTGCAGGGGAAACCGAGCCTTGCTTAAGGGAAGAAGGTCGGGAGGATGGCCCGCATCTCGCATCTGCACGCGATGCTTAGAGGTCACACCGTTGAGCTCTCCACTCGTCTCTGTCTACCGGTACCCTCTCTATCCTCTCAGCATACCGAGGCAAGTACGGGAGAGAAAGACGATGTGACAATATGAGAATGAGGTACGAATAGACACTGTGACGTCGTAACAGTTCAACAAATACGTAGGGCAAAAAGATACACTTATTACCCCTCCGAAAGGCACCCTAGACTACCTAGCTATTGCTTGTAAACGGTACCCTCTCCGACCCCCTACTATGTAATACTCGTAGCATCCATCACAAAGGAAAGACCGAAAGAAGGGACGGAAATACCCCGCAGACGCACAGCAACGGGGTCGCTTAGCAAACCTTTTCCCTGGTTTTCGGTCAATGATAAGTGCAGTTCAGTTGGCAACTTGCAGCAAAACCCACACCTCCCAACGGTTACCTCCTAATCATTCAAACCGCATTTGGAGTCCGTCCCAACTACCAAGGCACACAAGGCCATGACGAACGACTTCCATGTGGCCTGCTTTGTTTGCCAGAGTCACAAATCACTACCGATGTTGGCGACGCTAGTATGGTCTCTTCTGTCTTCACCAACCCGCCTAACGCTACACTAGAACACTAGACAGACAGCCGCAGGGATAGTCGACGTTGGTGGGGGATAGCCACAGCGCGCCTCAAAGAAGACATGTCGAAGGGTGATCCATGATGTTGTACTTTGAGCCACCATTGCGAAAATGTTGCACTCGAACCCGGGCAAAAGATCCAAAGTCAACAAGCAAACACGCGTTGCTTTTGCTCATCATCGATACGATGACATTGCAAGACGCGGTGTCCCCGCCCGCCGGGGTTCCTTTAATATCACACCGTTAAATGACCAGCGACCAGGATCGGAAATTGTCGCAGGGGCCACCAGCGACAGCCACCAGAAGCCTCGCCAGAGCATATTCGCCAGGTCTTTTTCTGTGGCTGCAAAACGGGTGTTCCTCCTCTCGTCTTCCGCTTTGTCGTTCTCTTCATTGGGGCTTCCACGGATCACAATCGCGAAGACAGTTGCGAAACGCCGTCAATGTTTGAGCATTGGGCCAGGACGGGAGGGACAGTGAGACATGAAAGAAAAAGTCGAATCCTGTCCTTGCCAGAGACGCCCGCTGGACGGCACCAAAAGGATGATCAACACCTTGCACGCTACACAGCGGGCAGGCTTCAAGCCTGTCGGTTCCGATCCATCTTCCATGGCTTATTTTAGCAGTCTCCGCCAGACGTTCCGTGGCTCGATCTAGAAGTGTAAAATGAAGGGAACTAACGGCGCCGCTCGCGGCACCAAAGGCTTGTGCCCTAGCAACAACAACTAGAAATTGAGGAAGGAAAAAAAGGCGCAGCGGTCGTGTTGTCCGGTTCGCCTCAGATTACCTAGGTTGCTAGGGACGAAAGCCAAGATGGACCTTGCAGTCTACGATCCTTCGTAGATTCCCACTCAAGAAGTGCTTAGGGGCAAGCACATATCGAAACCCAATGGCATGATCGGATGTCGCGTCACACCAGTGTCAAATCCGTTGTTCCCGTCCCTCTTGTCCAACGGTGGTGAGGAGAATAAGCAAACAATAGCAAGGAGGATACGAAAGTCAAACCAACAAAGTGATACAATGGAGAAGGCGGCTGGTCAGCTGATCACACGGCCATGCTGAACATGTTACACCCGGTTTCCGGTGGATCCTAGATTTGCAATATTCAACTCTGTTTTCCTCCCTGCTCCTGCCTCTGGTCTCGAGGGGAAGGCTCGGACACGCCGTGCTAGTGGCTCACGGTAGAGCTTTGTAGTGCTGATCTCAATGCCCAACGCCCAACTATGGGAACAAAACATGACGCCAATGCGACTACTCCGTACTAGAAGTCGAAATCCAGGCAATCGCATATGGCTACACCTGAACGGTACCGAGTACAGATACATCTTCCACAACGTGCGGGCCCAGAGCGTTGGAACCCGCATCTCTAGTGATCCTATTTAGGTACTGTGGCTCCCGAATCACTGGTCCGGATGTCTTCCAGCTGCGTTTTCTAAGAACGAGTCAAGCATCGACAGCACCGATGGGGAATGGCGATAACTAAGGTGCCCAAGGTGGTTCGGCTGATCTTTAGGCTGCGTCTCTTCGGCAGTAGTCTTTGCTCGGCCGAACCGGTCCACCCACCCTGCGCATCTGGCCCGCGTCGGCGAGATCCAGCAGTATTCGGACAGGACCTATCTGTAATAGCATTCGGGTCGACCGTGGTGTCTGCGAACAATGAAGACCTTTGGCCAATTGATGAGCTGCCTGTGGGAAAGCAGTTGAGATAACTAATCACCATTGTGGCCCTCCCATCGTCCATGCCATCTCTTGGCTGTCACTTCTCAAGTGTGCGGCGTGCCCTGGCCTGGCCGCCGCGTCCGGCTTGCAGATCCGGACTTCCGCGGCCTCCAACGCCTTGCCTGGATATCGTTGCCAGGCCAGAAAGACTTTACGCAACGCACACTGTCCGTACTATGGAGAGCAGCGCGTAGACAGTCCAAAGCTCTATTGCGTTTGTTCTCAACCCGTGCGGCCTGGATGAGGATAAAGGGTCACGGCACCAGGACATGCCTGGGAGGTCTACTAATAGGCATGATCAATCATCTTGTCACTCCAGGGCCTCGGCATTGACCAATGACTCTCTTCCGGGGGGCCTCACACTATCATGCCGTCCGCCCTCCGGATTTTTGGCATCACCATCGTACTATGCCGCTGCAAACCCCCTTCAGTCATACAACTGGCACATATTGGCCCCCTTTGACCCTGGGAAATCGGGCCAAGGACCTGTTGGATGATCTGCACGTTGCAAACGAGTGTGACCCCATCTCGATTCCCCTGGCAAGCAATCGTCCGAGAGCAAATCATCCGGTGCCTACTGGGTCTTCTGATAAACGCAGCAAACCCTCCCCCCCTCCGAGGCCACCGGGTGCGCGATGCTTTATTAATGCTTGCTCGTCCAAAGATTAGCATTGACCAACTGTGCCACCGGGCCCTGTCCATCCCTTCGGATGTCGACGAGTTCGAGACTCCGCCAACCCAGCTTCTTGGGTTGTCCCCCTGGTCTCGCCTCTGAGCAGTCTCTCCCTCGTCGATTTCATCCAGGGCGACACAGCACTGCCAGAAACCTTTTCAGATCGGGGCCACGAATGATGGCAATCATTAATCGTACGAATACGTGTATCTTGCTCCACTGGGCGCTCTCAATGACAGTACGCACCGTCACAGGCGCAAAGCGCTGCTTTGGCGCGTCGGCGCGGCGACGGAACACGCGGACCAGAAACGACTCCCTGCCTTGCCTTTGTCACCAGTTCGTCCCTCGACTCCCTCTAGAGACAGACCTCGGCCAGTGTCCATCTAAACAAGCGCCGCAGTCCGTTCTCGCGGGGTCCTCCAGCGACGCCGCTTCCGACAATATCCAAGGACATATAGAACCCCCGGCGAGTATCCCGCTGACTGGGTGGAGTAGACGCAACACCCGCCCTCTCGTTCGCCAGCGTGCTGGGGGTTTACCAAGTGCCAACGAGCCGCGGGGTAATCGCACGTGTATGCGACGGTGCAACCTCACCCGCCACACCGTCTTTCGTTATCTCTTCACCTCGTCAAACGTCTGTCGCCAATTGACCGTTGCGAGATCGTATGGAACGTGTGTTGATAAACCTCATCGCGCATTGGGGTTCGAGATCCACTGGTACAGCGACTGTTACAATCCATGGGCAGAAAAGTGGCGGGCAGTTCGGCCAGTTCCCCCTCCCCCTTTCACTACCCTGGCTGGCTGGCCCTGAGGTTGCAGCCGATGGCACATCAACAACTGCCAAGACAAGGAAGGGAATAGAGGCCCAGCCGACCACGTGAGCTGAGGCATGGGGATGCGCCACTATGCTGCCGTGGGATTGACTGAGGGTATACGCTATGCCCGCGACTTTGCTGCCTTGCTGCCCACGAGTTAAAAAGGCAAGGCAGTCAAGGACCCGCCGCTATGAACTCAAAACAAGAATACCGGTCGAAAGCGGGAACTGACGATGCGGGAGTGGATGCGGTTGAAGCTATATTCGGCAGATCGCTCCATTAAGGTCATGGGCATCAATAGTCTACGAATCCGCTCGAGACCGCAAGTAAGGCGATGGGGGAAATGGTCACCGCTCTCAACCCACCCATTCCCGCTTTGACAGCGGCCTCTTGGTCCGCCTTGTCTCAACGGCCTGCTCGTTGCAGCGATTTACCGGCATCACAGATGCAAGCTAGATTTTGCAGGCTGTTTGTCGGTGGGCTATCTACCTAACCCGCCTGCACCACTGAGCCCATGCTACTTACCTATTTTACCTGAATGACTACTAATATATGCAGGTATTTTCGAAAAGAGACAAGACGAATTGATGGAGGGGAGTTTGGGGTGGGG